AAAAAATGATATTACACAAATTGGCAGAGTGTATTTGTGTTCAGTTTTGCAGAAAATCTGATGAATCAGAAAGAACGGATGCGATTTATTGGTTTTTTAAACAAATTCTAAAATATCGTATCATTCGTTTTTTCGTCACCTTGACTTTTGAAAAGTTCATATCCGATATGTGTCCTCTGATGATCTGATTGATTCGATTTGTGATTCGTTAAAGTTTTTCGGGTTGAAAAATAACCCCTGTCACTCCGCAGTTCGGAAAAATAGTTACGTAATCAGATAGGATAGGATTTGTAGCACCTTTTGTGAAGTACAAATTGTGGAATGTTACGTCATGTCGCTTGACTCTTTTGATAAATTGGTATCAAGGTTGAGAAAAATTAGAGCTTTTGATCTGTTCCGTCGGTGGAAAATTTTGGGTTTTGAATCATAAGAGAAGCCGCTACCCTTTTGAGGTTATCGGAATTTTGAAGAAAAAGACAGTGCAATGTCGCTATTGATAAGTTCATATTTTTATATTTCTGGAAGATACTCTAGCTGAAGAAGCTGTCGGAATTCGATTCTTTCCAAACTCCTTGTAATTTTGAAGTTCTGATCATTTTCCTCTCGTCGGAAAAATTTAGTTAAACCAATTAAGAATCCGATAAATTTCGTAGACATTCGAAACTTTCAAAAATCATTTTTCGAAATGTCAACAATAGTAATTTTTATTCAATACTATTAAATTTCCCTCCGGGTGGTCTAAAACCAACCTCCCGCTGTTTTTCTTCTTTTTTGTTGTTAAAATTTCATAGGTATCGAAGTTCTATTCATCTTCTTCTTTTCTTTCACAATATTTTTCCGAGTATCAAGAGATCATTTGTCCTTTGACTTGTGCCAGTAGTAAATCTTTTTTCTCTCCCATTTTCCCCATCTTTTTACCCCTAGTCTTCGGCTGATACTACAAGACAAAAAATGTCTCCAAGGAAAGCTCAATGGCGACAAAAAATCATCAATTTCAATGTTTTTTGTCAGTTCAATATATCATTTTCACTTTTCACCATCTTCTTATTCGCGAAAAAATTCAGCCGCTTTTTTCATCTTCTGGGGGTAGACAGTTGCGACGACCCGTGTCTGCGTATCCAATCATCTTATACTATCTCAGGGGCACCTCGATGCGACAAGTGTTGCGACATTTTTACGGTCGTTTATTTTAGATTAAGAGAATTTTCGATGTCTCTGTTTGATTCGGTTATTACTCTTATTGCTATTGTTACAGTTTTTGGTGTCACGAGGTTTCTTAAACTTTTGAAAAACCGAAAAGTTTTAGTTATCATCATGAATTTGCAAAAAAAGAGAAATTAGTTTTCCGTTTTTCGAGGAGTTTCTGATAAGAGCTCAAAATGGCGTCGAATTTCTAATCATTTTTATTAATGAGGTCGGAAAGTTCAGAAAAATTCTAGTTTTGAATATTTGCCTTCTAAAGAGTTTCACTGCAAACTGTCACGTGATTTCTGATTTTTTAGAGATCCACAGAAGTTTATCCTAATTCTGTTTTCTGAACCAAACGAAAGTCCAAAAAATCATAGCACTTCCGCTAACTAGCCACCCATATTGGATGGATTCTCTTTTTCTCCTCACTTTCTCCCTCAATCTTTTCTCCTCCGTTTTTTTTTCCATTTTCGCAACATGTAGAGTGAAACCAGTCTTTTTGCAACCCACCTCCCCCCACTTTGCACTTTTGAGCTCATTCCGAATTTATCACTCTCCTCTGGAAAATTGGCCGAAAAAAAATGAATGAAAAATGCAACATTTTTATGACAACCCGTCCACTTTTGTTCTGACAATGTCGCGTCAATTTGGTTATCTATAATTTTGGCGGGAGAGAAGTGGAGAGAGAATTTGATAAGAATTTTGCACTATCTAGTATATATTTATAAGAGCAGCACCCTCTCTTTTTTGGGAAAAATCGCAACTTTTGTGTGTATTTGCTCTCTATCTTCACCCTCTAAAATATAGTGTTGTTTTTGTTATTTGTTATTATTTAGAGCGTTTTTCTTGATGAGGATGAGGATGATAACAAGAGGCTTCTTCTCCCACTTAACCTCCCGTTTTGCACGGCCAAAAATGAGATTGACGAAGAAGAAGAAGAAGAAGGTCATTTGTGATCTTGTGAATGTTAATTCGATCAATGTCGTTTTTTTTTTTGGTTGGCTAAAATTGGATTTTCGGCGAGAATCAGGAAGTTTTGTCGACCTGTACTTTTTATGATTAGAGAGAAAATGAGATGAGATGATCAAAAATTGTTTTGTTAGATTTGAATTTCCGCGTTCTTCAGGCTTAGGTCAAGTTTTGGAACTTTCGTTCATTCGAATTTTTTTTAAAGATTTCCCAAAAAATCCACATTTTCACATTGTAGGAAAATATTTTTCTGAAAAGAAGTTCCCCCTGGAACTTTCCCCAAACTAATCTCCAGACAAAACACATGAAACTTTCATGATCTCTGCAAATCCGCAAACCTAATATTTTTGTTTATCATGCAGCAGCAGCTTCCCTAGCTATTGTTTCAAAATCTATCCGTTATTTCCAACTTGGCACCGTTCCAGCCACTCTGAATGTTCTCTAATCTCCATTTTCTCCCCACCGGCTGATAGTTGGTAAAAAGAGGAGTAAAAAGAATGAGTGAGGGAGAAAGTTATCATGTGTTCACTACTTTTTCCACTGTTCAAACAAACAACCAGAAACTCACTGATTATTATTATTATTATTTTCTCTATTCCTATTCCGATTATTATTTATACATATTGTTGGTTCGAATGTTTCTGCTTCTTATCTGACTTTCGTTCGAAGGACAAATGAATTTCGAAGCAACAAAAAAAAACCGAACTCGTAGAATCATATGACATTTTTGTGTTGTTCGAAGTGACCTCGAGACGCACAAAAAAACACATAGCGCGAAAATTGGATGATGAGACTTTTTTTTGCGCTGGGAGAGAAATTTGAATGGAATTTTTTATTGAATAGCAATAAAATTCGGATTTATTATGGATCACTTGCGAAAAAATGAGTAGAATATAATATATCTGGTGCATTTTATTTAGTACTAGGTGTAATAATTTGGTTGGTTTTTGATCGGCTATGAGTTATTCATTTACAATCACAGGATTTTGAAGGGTTCTATGATGTTTTGCGGTTCCAAAAGTTCAGACAACTTTTGTAGTATCGTAGTCGCATCTTAGAAAAAAGCTAATATGCACTTTTTCTCAGGTGAGGCCTACAATTTTTTGTAGTAGAAGTCTGCGCCGCACAGACCACACACGATGATTTTTGAGTCATACGATATGCTGTGTTGCGCAATTTATGTTAATTTGGCATTGTGTTGGGTTAACCAGAACATGGTTTTAGTAGATAGGAATGGTAATTTTTACGAAGCTTGGTCCGAGAATTGTTGGCAAAAGACTTGTATTTCAAGTTTTGAGTTCTCGAGAGTTCCAATTTTTTTTAAACAAAAATTGAAGACATTTCCTGAGAATCTTAGTTATGGCACTGCCAGATTTCGGGAACTTTCCGAAACGAAATTTTCTAGAACATGATGTTTGACTTGATAGAACTTCTCTCTACCATTTGACACGTTCTTATCTACATTTCTATCCATCCATTCTCAATCACAAGTCAAAAAATTTCCCGTTCCCAAAAGTGCACAACAAGTTCTCTCTTTCAAAGGTGTTCCTTACCCTTTTTCATCAACCTACAAGTATGATTTTTTCAACCGTTCCTCCACTCGTTTTTTTTTCTTTTTCAATTCTGTCTCTCATTTTTTACTAATGACTACATCTTCATCTTTTTTTTTTGCTTTCCTTGGGGTGGACCGCCTTCCTTCTTTCTCTTCTTCATCTCTCCTATATGTTTCACCTGGGAGAGAAGGAGAGCTTGGTTACCCCGCCCTTCTCTTCTCCCTCTTCTTCTTCACATATTGTTCGGCATCCCGCCGGTCGTCGGCAAATTTGAACGGAGTTCTGAGTCCTGCCTGCTGATTTTTGTTATTTTTCGGGGTGCGCCAGTTCTTTTTTGTTTATTTTCGAACATCCTTTGAGTTGGGATGAGATATAGTAGTTCTTGTTTATGATGGGATTCATTTGAACTTTGATATATGCACTTTTTGTTTATCTCAAATTTCATAATCTTGCAACAGAGTTATTTATAAAAGCTCACTTTTTTCTCTCGAAAAAAAATTTAAAAAAAATACTACGGTCGATTTAAATGTGTGCATCACGTACACACACTTTATTCCACGCCACTCTGTTTTTTTCGTGACATTTTCATTTCATTTTGTTCTTCTCCACCGGAAGCCATTTTGCAAGTGTTCGTCCACATTTTTCGATGATTAAAATGTCTTTTCTCATTCATCCCAGGTGGTTTTTCTCTAGTTTCACTTCATTTTTTTTGAAATACGGAAAAAAGAGAAAAAACCGCTGTGTCCTTGTGCATTCTTTTGATTTTATCTATTTTTCTCTCAATTTGTTGGGCGAACTGCAGGGATTTGTATCGAAAAAGTATGCAAAGCGGTGTTCTTATGAATAAATAATATGATGTTGCGAGTTAGGCTAACATGAGTGTTTTGTAAGTAAATACTTGTAGAGATGACCTTTAGTCGAATGCTATTTCTCTAGTTGTAGGAAATGCTATATTTCAATCTTATATAGGATTCCCTCGTTTCCCCCTGGCTCGCTTCCAAAAATCCTTATCAGTTATCAAAACGCCGCCCATTTTCCCCTGCTTCTTCGTCTTCGATTATGATGTTGATGATGATAAGCTCCGCCTTCGCCCATTTATTTTTTTATTGTTGATATTCTACTCTATGCGTTCCTTTTTTTCTTTTTTTTTATTCATTGTTCGCAACAACACAATTATCAAATAAATATCAATTTTTTGCAGAACCACACATTTGTATGTATTGTACGTAGTACACACTTCACACTTTTATTATCTTGTTATTAATTATATACAATTATTATTTATAAATTATGGAAGTTTCGACATCCTATCACTGTCAGCCGACAGTCAGCTTCAAGTATGGCAGTTTTCAAGTGAGTTTTTGTTTTCACTGTAAAAGTTTTTCGCTGCAAAACAATAGTTATCAGCTGATATTTGTTGAAAATGTGGGAGAAAAATCAATATGTGTTTTCAGGAATCAGATGATGTTTCGATGATGGACGAGGAAATGTACTATGGTAGCTACAATTCGCATTGTGATTCATCCGGATTCATGTACGATAATGGGTCGATTGGAGAAGAAGAAGAAGCGTCATCTAACGATGATGGAGAAGAGGTGAGTCAGAATTCAAGAAATTTGAGCAAAAAACCATGGAAAAATGTTTTCAGATGTGTAGCGAGACGACTGATTCTGACATGACTGAAAGTTTGATTGATGATGATTTCAATGAAGATCCAGAAAATGAAATAGATGAAGATGAAAATGAAAATGACAACGAGGATGAATGGACGAATCAAAAGAGAAATGCGACGGCTGATAGTTCGAAACAGAATACACTTGCGCACTTTGCCTCCAAGGAAATGTTGCGTTTGCGTTTTCCGTTTCAATCGATAGCTATTCGAATTTCGGATTTTTGTGCTCTCCAAGAGAACGTGAGTTATTTTTAGTTTTTATCAGTAGAGAATAACTTGTTTGAATAACCTTTTGTTGTTTTCCTTATCAACTAAAACTAAATACTTGAGAAAGAAGTAAGTAGAGCGCGAAATTATCCCGGAAATATGTTCTCTGGCTATTTTTTGACCACCCATGGAGAGAAAAAAACTAATGGTTCTTCTTTGTCTCCGCCGAAATTTATGTAGATGATCTTGCACTTTTAGACTTTTTTCCTCCTCTTTTTCCCAAAGAACCAAATGAAAAATGACAGAAATTTGTTGCGTTTTTTGTTTGGATTACAGGCTGTCTATGTTTACCCCCAGACAGCGGAGAAACGCAAAAAAGTGCATTGGGAAAAGTTTTTTTTTGGACGCCGCTCTGCCACTCGGAACGGTTTTGGCAACATTTTGTGTACTTTTTGTTGAAAAAAAATTTTTGTGCGAAAACGGGAAAAGGTTTTTTGAAGGGGGTTTTCTTTATTTGAGTTGAATTGGATTGAACTTTTTGAACCTAGCAACATTTCTAGGAACTAGGGAGTTAGGTTTATCTGAAATTCCGAAAAAGGCTCGAAAACCCGAGAATCTGAAATTTAAGTTCCGAAAATGTTTGTTTTTGAAATCCGACCTCTGAAATCTTCCAAAATAAAAAAGATTTTATCTTTTCCTTTTTGAGTTTCAAATTTCAAAACCTCTAATTTTCCCGCCAACAAAAACAACCAGCTGACCGTTTTCACTAAACGACCTGCCATAAAAAGGTTTTCTAATCGAGTCGCCAGCGCCTTTTCTCTTTTGAAACATCTGCTTGTTGCTCTTTTGACCTTGGCAACCCTCCAGCCAGCTGTGTTCTTTGTCAAATGTTTTTTTTTCGCGCACTTGGTTCGAGCAAAGAAAAGAAGGAAGCAGCAAGAGGGATATTTTCCGTGTTGTGCTTAAAAGATTTTCAGCTCATCTAGGAGCAGAGCCGTTTTGCACCTGGTACCGAGTGACACAGAGCCAGAAAAAGAAGAAGAAGAAGAAAAGTCGCTGGCGACTAGCCAGAGGCTCTCTTTTTCTCTCGTAATATGTTCTGTTTTTCTTTCTTTTCGGGTTTTTTCTTCGGCCGAACATATGAGCGATGTCTGCACTCTCTCACTATCCCATAATCTCTCACCGCCTTGTCTACTACTTTGTTGGTTTTTTTTATAAAGAGAGTTATTAAGTTGATGAGGTGTTGAGCGAGGGGGTTAATGAGAGAAAAGATGAGAGGGTTTTCCCCGAGTTATCATATCTGTTGGTTATTTGATACGGTAGATTTATATGATTTATTAGTTAAAACAAAGTGGACAAGGTTAAATATGTCGAGAGAAGGGCATTTTTGATAACAAGGAACTTTTGAACTTGAGGTTTTGCTGAAATCCAAGATTTTTCAATTTTAAAACTTAGGATTTTAATTAAATGCTTAATTAAATTTGCAAAAGACAAACTTTGAGCTCTATTGGTACTTTGATCACAAAGGCACACAATAATTCCATCATTTTTATTTATTTTACATATAACACAAAATAATATTGCAAAAATTATGATGAATAGCTCTGACTCATTTTTTGGATACAGTATCCTTCTCTTCTTCTTTAATACAACAAAATGCCATTTTTGTCACCCACACACACACACTTTTTTTGTCTGTGTATGTGTCCTATCTTAGATTGTTCAGGGTCACACAAGAAGAATTTTTTTTTCGAAATATCTATCTAGTAACTGGTTTTTTGGCGCGCGAATTTTTCGCGCGCGTCGCTCGCTCCTAGACAAGAGAAAAACCAACTGAATGACTGAGTGCGATCGGTTTAGGGGTCAGCTGGTGCGAGTTTTGAATTAGGACAGGACAATACAGGAAACTGTTTTTGTTCTTGTTTTTGAAAAAAAATTGCTGAAAATCGAGTCAAAGTTTAGAGAAGAAAGAGCATTTTCAGCCCTTATCAATACGCAAAATTATGCCTCATATCATATTTGTTATCAACAGAATTTGACATCATGTTGACTAAAATTTTGACATTATTCTTTCTGAAAATTGTACATATTTGTTTCGGTGAAATTGGTTATCGGAAAGATTAACTCTTGCAAAGTTGACATGGCGCCAAACCTTTTTCCCCCTACTCTTTCATATCAATCAATCTTGGAACCTTTCCAATAGAAATTTGGTCGTTTTTTTTGCTAACTATACGAAACAAACTCACCTAGATTAATCATGTCGAACAAAAAGATATTCTGTGTGTTACACAAAAAAGATGAGAACACTTTTTCGAAAAAGTGACACATGGACCAGAGTTCAGGTGTAATTAATTTTCGCGGGGAAATCGGAATCGCAAAAAAACCAAGTTTAAACAAAAAATTCTCAGGAATCCGAAACTTTCAAAAACAAAGTTCATAGTTCTTTTTTTTCAGGATGTGCTCAACGATACGATGATAGATTTTTATTTGAATCACATTGTTCAACATGTTTTGCCGGATAATATTGACAAAAAAGTCAACGTTCTTCCATCGGTTTTCTGGCATAATTTGTCGCTTCGTCAACACGCAGTCGATTCAGAAGATATGAAACATTTGACAGAAGATGAACGAATGGATTTGAAGTTTAAAGATCTTCATGAATTTGTTGAAGATTTCGATTTGCAAGACTTTGAATATATAGTTATTCCGGTAAATGAGTGGGAACATTGGTCGTTGGCTGTGATTTGTCATCCATTCACATCACGCGCCAGAACGGTTATCTTTGATAGTCAATTGACGGCGGATTTGAATAATTTGCAAAATATGGCTGGTTTACTTGAAGAGTTCTTGAATTATTCGTGGGGAAAACGGACTGGAAAAAAGATTTCACATTCGTTGCCCTGTGTGGTTCCAATCGAATTGCCACAACAAACTAATAATTTCGATTGTGGAGTTTTTATTTTGGAGTTTGCTGAACGATTCTTGATGAGCCCACCGAAAGATGTTAGTTTTTTTTCTAAAATTTGTTTGCACTTCCTAACTTCAAAATTTACCAGAATTCTTTTCAGCTCGACACATTTGATTTCACGCGTCAATATCCGGATTTCAAAATATCTGGAAAACGCGCCGAAATGCAACGGGCCATTCTTGCTCTTTCACCCGAACCTGCTCAATGGCGACCACTTGTTGAATTTTTGAATGGTATAAATACGGCGGCACCACACAGATCATTGTAAACTACACGGAGTATCGTTGCTTAATTGTCATCAAATTCCCACACATATTCTACTCGTTTTCATTCGATTTCACACAATATTCAACAAATCATGTTTAGCGCCTTGTTAGATTACCAAATTCCGAATCCATCGACTTTTTCTTCGTCCATTTCAATGTTATCCACCCTTTTTTAAAAACGGTCAAATTTTTGCTTGGTTTTTCAACAAATGTTCAACTTTTTTTAATTTTGGTAAGTTTTTTCTGAATTTTTAGATAACTCTGAAATTAAATCTCGAATTTTGCAGCTCCAAACTTCTTTGTGACTCGAAAATCCTACCTCTCGATTTTATTCTTTCTACCCCATTGGATAATTTCAAGGAACATATCAACAGGATTCTTTTGGTGTCACCCCTTCCCTCAAATTTTCAAGTCCATCTTCTTCTTCAAAACAAAACAAAAAATACGTCTCATTAAAACCCCGGTTTCGGTCCGCGCGTCTTTTTCAAAAACCAAAACCTGCCAAGTTTTCTCTTCATTTTTTATTAATTTTATTGATTGTTATGTTAACCCCTTGCCCTTTATCTTTTTTTCTTATTTTTTTTTCATTTTTTAACTGTTCTATTAATCAAAAAATCCCTGCAAAAATTCCCAAATTTTCAATTTTTGAAATCCCAAAAAAAATCGTTGAAATTTGTTACAAACCTGTTATTCGCCTCTCTTTTGTATTTGACCCCTCCAAAAAATTCTTCAAAAAACGGGCCATTTTTTTGCCCAAATTCTTCCCGAATTCTCATTCCCCGCGGGAATCAATAATGCCCGGACGGTTTTTATAGCCAATATATCTCGGATTGTTTTTTGTTAAGAGATTTTGGTTGATCGAAATTGTCCCCTGCGTTGTTTGATTTTTGCGAAGGGAAGATTTTTCGGGGGATTGTGGGTGAATTTTTGAAAAGCCCTCGAAAAAAATCTGTATTTTTTTGTTGAATTTTTACTTTTCCTAAATGTAGAGCTTGAAGTTTGAAGCTTGACAAAGTTTTGAAGGGTGAAGTTTTGAGAAATTAATTCATTTGGCGAAGATTGTTGACTTTTATTTGTTTAGTAACCATTTGAATAAGTTTTGATCTACTTTTCCCCGAAATTCTGAGTCCTGATTCATTCTAATTCTCTCATTTCACCCATTTTCTCTCAATTTTTCCATGACTGTTTATTTTTCCCTTGCCTTTTTCCCTCTCCCAATTTCCCACCAATAATCTTTCCAATTTTCATTATTATTTTTCTCCATTTTCAACCAATTCGGTTTTCTGATATTATGGGTTTTCTCCGTTTTGTTTCCTTCTTTTTTTTTCTTATTTTTTATTTTTTGTCAAATTTTTGTGTGTTTCATTTGTGTGTTTGTGTGTGGTTCTCTTATTTGTCGCCCCCGTTCATTTATCCAAAACCGTAGTTTAGGATTGTTTATTGGAAATATTACCACAGTGTTTTTTTCAATAAATATGTTGTTTGAAAAAATTTTGATGTTTTTTAAAGGTTTCTTGAGGATTTTGAATTCCTCGATAGTTATTTGATTTTGGAAAATTTGCAGGAAATGAAAATTAAAAAAAAACAGCTCACGTTAAAAAATTAATATTAATTTATTCAAAAATAAAATTCTCACGTAAATTTTGAATCATTTCTAGATTTTTGAAATTTTGAAAGTGCGAGTTTTTTGAAAAGTCGGAAAATATTTTGTGAGTTTATGGGCTGAAAATAATTTTTTTTTTTTGAAAATTGAATTTCTAAAATTCAAGGCTTTCTTGAATTTCAGTTGTTAGAAGTTTATTTTACAGAAAATTTTAAGTTCTAGATTACTGTAGCTAAAATTTCAAAAAAAAAATGAAAACCTAATCTTTGAAGATGCGAGCCACAAGTTTTATAGAATCCCGAAAGCTCCATAAATTCACAAAATTGAAAAAATTTAATCAATTTTTGGTGAGAATTTAGAAAATTACATCGAGTTAATTCTTGAAAATTCAAAACTTGAGGATTTCACTAAATCGAAATCATCGAGTATTTCCAGGGCAATAATCTTATCACAGAAACATTCCCAACGTTAACAAAATTTTTATTCACTTATTCAAAGTTCAATAAAAATTACAAATATCTCGCCAGTTTTCCACAGGGATACAACTTATATCCTGTATCACACGGGAAATGATCGACAGATCCTAGGTTCGCATCCAATCGAATACATCGATTCAGAGATCCATTAATTTTCATGTTAGATTTTGAATTATCACCTTTCCAACGGTAAAACGACGAGTCCACTATATATTTGTCGTAGAGTGTGTAATCCGTAGAAAATTTACAAGTCCCATAGTTCAAAATTGTGCAACTATCATTCAACTTCCCATCAATAGTTATATATATATTTGTGAGTCCGCTGAGATGATCTAGAGCTTGCTGAACAACATAACTCAATTCCCTTTGACTACCAATTCCGGAAATTGTCGCACCATTCTTTTTGTCTGCGCAGAATTTGTTAATTTCATCTAGAGTTAGATTATCCTCATAGAATAATCGAATACACCAAGCGTATTTTTCCCGCTGTGCGAATAGCCAATTTGTTGGACAAATTCCTTCGACTTCCCAATTTGTTCCCACATCTGTGTAACTAACATTTCTTGAATAGTAGACTGTTTCAGGAGAAATTGAGCAAGTTGTGGTGTTTGTCTGAAAATATTCTTAATATTTGTGGGATATCTTAGAGATTACTAACCTTGAATGCAAAAAACTCAGTAACTGGATAATCGTAAATTTTCGAAACTGAAAATAGGTTTCCGTAATCATACCTTATGCATGTTAGGTTTGTCGAGTTATAGTAAATTGCCTGCAAAATTCACTCGGATAATTGTTTTGGAAAACTAGATTTCCCATGATGAAACACAACTTATTTAATCACAATTCCTACCGAGCAATCATCAATTCCTAAGCATGTTTCGGTACAATTAGTGTAATTATCAAATGTTCCGTCTAGAATTGTTGATGCAATAAAAGCCGTTGGTCTTCCGGGAATTAGGACAAAAACCGACTGAATTATAGGAATTACTAAAAATGCAGAGAGAAACAAAAGCATTTTTGTAGCTGAAAGTCTTGAAACTAGTTGGAATCTCGAGTTTTTATTGATATTTTGTCATGACTACCAGGTTTTATAACTATTTTTATAGTTGATGGAAGTTTTGAGCAAAGCGTAAAATGAACGTTGGAAATGTGATTTTCAAAACTCAAAGAAAATCGAATTCAGAAAATTGTGTCCTCAAATCGCAAACTATCATGGCTCTAGATTTTTGAAGTTTTCAAAATGTTCCATTTTTTTGTTTTTTTGTTTTTTTTCAATAAAATATATTCGTATTTTGATGACACCATTAAAAATCGTCAAATCGCGTATCCTAGAGATCCTAAATGAATTCTCCGAATATTTTTCATTTCGATGAAATGTTTTCGATCATCCTACGTATTTTTCTTCTATTATTGAATTAAAAATACGTGAGAAATAAAAAACTAGGTCAAGTGACGTGGATTTAAAAACAGTATAGGTAGCCATGTCGTCAATTGCGATGCGTGTGAGCGACACGTTTTTAGAAATGAAAATTTGGCAAATTCAATGGAAAATATCGAGGTCAACACGCAACGCAGAACCGCATCGCGACTGACGGCATGGCTACCTATACTGTTTTTAAATCCACATCACTTGACCTAGTTTCTTATTTCTCACGTATTTTTAATTCAATAATAACAAATACTGTATCCTCAACAATGTTGGTATTTTATGGATCACCTGGAGCAAATATCAATTGCACATCTGATTCAACAACTTCTTGGGATTCGTGTGTCACTAATTGTGCAGAAAATCAAACTTGCTTTGTGGTCTAAGCTGAGTGTCCCGAATTCTGCCTTTTTGAACACGTCACTTTACATTGGACTTGAAAGGGTTAACAATGTATTTTCGTGGACTGATCCATGGTGTGCATCTCTGCAATATACTACTGCTCTAATACAAAGTGAAAAGAGAAGAAGAATTATGAATTAATTTTGTCCTTTTCTTTTCAGTTGTACTGCGCACACATGTTCAACCGGATCACGTTGTCCATACAGTGTTTTTTGTGGTTTTTCAATGAAATGAAATGTTTGTGTGTTTCTTATTGTTAACCCAAGACTTACTTCCGAGGTTGTTGTTTGCACTTCGACATCTGGCGCTCCTCCCTCAGACCGGTATTCATACGAACAATCTTCTCGATAGACTGACGTTTCTTCTCTTGATATTTGCAACCCGTCGTCGCAGAGAGGCTACCCTGTGCTACTGGCTACGCCACGTTCATTAATGAATGTTTTTATTCGGGTTTCCTAGCATTTGATTCTTCGATTGATCCAGCAATTTTAGCTCATCAAAAATGCTTTCGGGTTTCCTAGAGATTCTTTATTTTTTCGAAACATTTTCCAGTTTTCTGAAATGTTTCCACTCATCCTACGATTTTTTCTCATTCAAAATACTGTATCTTCAACAATGTTGGTATTTTATGGATCACCTGGAGCAAATATCAATTGCACATCTGATTCAACAACTTCTTGGGATTCGTGTGTCACTAATTGTGCAGAAAATCTAACTTGCTTTGTGAGTTTTTTTCTCATTTTAAGTATATCTGAAATTAATTTCAGTTAGCCTATTCATCTCCTTCGATTACTTGTAATTATTGTGATTTTGGAGGATTCCCAGATATTACATATTCCAGCTCTGAAACAGATTATATTTTAGCTTTGAAAACTGATAATACTACCGAATGCAATTCTGATTTTGAACTTTTGAAAGTTAACGATTTCGATAAACTAAAAATCTGCCCATTCACATGGACAAAGTTTATCCGAGAGAACTACGTAGTTTGTATGCAACGACTATACACTACATTTTTGCTAAATAAGCCTTTGGCCACAGACCGTTGCTCAACCAATGGTTGGAGTCTTCTTGGCTTTGAGAATCAGGATGAATTGTCGTATTGGAGTGTTCCACGTTTTCCAAGTTTGAGTAATCAATCACTTTATATTGGGCTCGAGGAAGTGAACAGTGTTTTTTCGTGGACTGATCCATGGTTAACTGGCCCGGGGGTCATAAATTGGGCCCCTGGACATCCAAAAATTGGCTATGATTGTGCTTCAATGCGATTTACCACAGGTTTGATACAAAGTGAAAAGTAAGGTTGATAATTTTGTGAAGTATTTAAATTCACTGAAGTTTTCAGCTGTACTGCGAATATATGTTTGAACGAGCCACATTGCACATACAGTGTTTTTTGCGGTTTTTTGATGAAATAAAAAAAATGACATGTTTTAGATACGTTATTTGTGAATACCGATAATTAAATAAGGATTGTTAAGAAAATTTTGATAACGTTTCGGAAAAAATACAGCATTCCTGTAAAACTCTGTTACTGAAAACAATTTGAATAAATCGTAACTATGTTTCGAGCAGTTCCAGCAACAGTGACTTAAAAACCTCAAAACACTTTTCAAAAATTAACAATAGGTTTCATAACCAATCTCACAACATTTTTTTATTCTCCAACAATTGTCGCCAACTTTCCACAAACCAACATTTCAGCATTTGCTGAAAGCCTGAAATACTCAAATCTTCTCAACATTTTCTAGCGATCCCAACTCACATCGTGTCGTCAAATATTCCATCTTGAGGCTGTCCATTAAATGAATACATAATTATAGCTTGTTGATATTCTCCGTTAGAATAATACGCATCAGGATTTCCATTTGAAAATGTATAAAATTCATAATTGGTTATGTATTTGTCATTGAAGAAGTATGATTTCGGCCAACTACAAGTTCCATTTTTATTTTTCTGAGACATTAAGACTGTGCAATTGTTGTTTAAAAGTCCATCGATTATAACAGTTTTCTGTGCTCCGGTATAGAGTTTGTGACTGTTGTCAAGAACATAGGTTCGTTCCTTAGCTGTACTCACTCCAGATAAAACTGCGGCATAGTTTATCTTGCAATATGTTACAGAAGATGAATAATTTATTGCTTTGCCGTCGAAAACTTGCATACACCAATCAGTATCAGATCTGGCTGACAAATACCAATCTCTTGGACATGGACCGGTTATATTCCAAAATGTTCCATCTGAACTGAATGTATAGTTTTTTGAATAGTATATTGTTTTCATTCTACTTGGACAAGATGAAATTATTGCACCACTTTTGGAAACCAGCTATCTCGGTTTTTGTGTTGTTCAAAATTTCGATCGCATAAATATCGCTATAATTGTAGAGATAGCAAGAACGGTAGAAATAAATAGCGGAACAATTTGTCAGATTTGCACATGCCTCACAACACGCTGTATAATTCTCAGCGCTATTTGTTGTAACTCCAGTATAGTCAGCTGGTCTCCCCCAAAAAATTACGATATAACTTGAGGACGAGACTAAAATGTTGAGGAGAATTAGAAGTATTCGAGACATTTTGAGAATGGTTGCATCTATTTTTGTGGAAAAAAAAACAATTAATGTATTACCACCATGGTTACTAGTTTGTTTCAAAGATTTTTCTCCAAGATCTATGGAGAGAACAAAATTGCTAGAAAATATCCTGAAGGTAGAATTGCTCCACAAAAATATGAGGTTAAAAGTTGATACGCCACATTGGAGTTCGAAGAATCCATTGTAAACATCGTGATAGGAATTGTGAACATTATTTTTAGAAATATAGTTATGGTTAAATAAAATGTATCGAAGTTAGTTTTATCTGAAGTTTTCCATAATTTGAAAACAAGTAGAATTGAGTAAATGATGACTGTGTAGATTTGAAGCATTTTGTAGATTTCAGTTAGACAAAGATAAATAATGAAAGATATCAACTTTATCCAAGTCGTTCTCTTCGGGAAAACTTTGAAGTATAATTCAAAAATTGTGAAAAATAGAAAAACATCATAGAAAATCGATAACACTGGAAAAAAGAATAATATAACAGGTGATAACAAAGTTTTTATATATTCCATTCTACTATTATATTCAAAGAATGGTGAAATAATTATACTTGTGAAAATTAGAATAACCAATTGATTGATACATAAAGTGAAACGACTTTTTGAAGTTTCTATAATTTTTTGTTGTTTTTTGAAAATGAGGATATAAATTATTGTTGAGGTTACAGCAATGAGCCAGAGATAGAAAATAAACTTAACAAAATCTACTTTATTAATGTCGATTAACATTTTTATTATAGAATAAAAAATGAAACAAATGAGAGCAGGTGATTTGTTTTTTAATATTATGTAAGAACTCATACATGAAGACCACATATAGAAATTGATTGACAAATTTTTTGACCTACAATTCGTATTATCACAGTTATCAGTTTCCAACAATCCTGTTGTCATTTGTAAATACACACAATTGTCTCTGAAGCGAAGAAAACGTATGTATTATAGGTTGCTCATATATCCTGATGTCCAAATCGGAAAAAGTATAAAGAGAAAAATAAAAAGAAACTGAATTGGAACATTCTTGTTTTCAACAGAATTTCTTTATTACTTATATAGGACTACCACAAAGAATTATCATTTGAGAAATTTGAGCGTTCCCGTCACAATTTGCAGTTTTCAGTTTTGATGTTCCGATCTCCATGTATCCACAGGTATCTCTACAATTATTTTTCTAGGTTCAAAATGCCTAAGTTTTTCACGTACACCTTATGCGGATATCCGACAGCCCATGGCATTTCTCCTTTTCCAGTTATCCAACGTTCAGTCCAATGAAATGCTGTAGTAGTATTTCCAAACAGAGCTAAGAACATATTAGTGCTTTGGAAACCTTTAGGTCTTCTATCAATATTCCAATATGAAACTTCGTCTTTGTTTTCGAAGCCTAAAAAAATTGAAGACAAAATGAAAGATCACAGAAAAATTTACCTAATAACTTATCACCTTCTTCAGAACATTTCAAGAGACCCGAAAATGATGTATTTTGGTTACGCAAATATCTAGTTCTTGCGCAAATTATATAGTTTATTCTTGTTAGTTTGTGATAACCATTTGGACAAGCTTTAAGCTTATCAAAGTTTTGATTTTTCAAGAGTTCGATACTTGAAGTGCAATTTGTGATATCAGATTTCAAGGCAATCTCCAGATTTTTTGGATCATTGGTGTATCTTATATTTGATGTCGCATTTCTCATATCAAATCCAATCTTGTAACAAAAATTACCAGATTTATAAACCAATAAACAAGTTGTTTCATTTCGACACCAGCAAATACAATCAACCCAAGAGTCATTAGATGAAACCAAAGCTCGATTGAAAATTGTAGGTTTATTAAAAGTTCCATAGAAAACTATCATTTTACCATTTGCCACATAGAAAATAATAAAAAGTGGAATAAAAAGAACAGTAGATCGAGAAAACATGTTTTTGAGAGAAGCCAAATGTTTTCCTCAAAAAAGTAGATAGTGTCATGGTGATTTTCTTGGTGTCAACCATTTATCATTCATTTTTATTTTCAAAGAACTAATGGGAATTTCAAAATCAGACTTCGGGAATTTGAAAAAATGTTATGTCAAAAAAATGAAATAAAAATAAAGTCTTGTTCGGGAAAGTCCGGGATAAATTTGTAATGCTTTTTTTCGGTTAATCAAAAGTTTTCAACATATTTTTAAACTTTATTCCTCAAACAAGATTACCACAAAGAACTATCATTTGAGAAAAGTTCGGAGCGCATAAACAATTTCCACTTATCAGTTTCAATGTTCCAACTAGCAAATATGCACATCTATCTCTGCAAGAAATATGGTTTTTTTAAATTTGCATTAGGCATAGCTATTTTACTTACTTATTTGACGGATAATCATCAGCCCATGACATTTCTCCACTTCCAGTTATCCAACGTTCAGTCCACTCAAATTGGCTACTGTCTTTGAACAATGCTATGAACATATTAGTGCTGTTGAAACCTTTTGGTCTTCTATCAATACTCCAATATTCTACTTCGTATTTATTCTCAAAGCCCAATAGTTTATCACCTGATTTAGAACATTCTTGAAGTCCAACAGATATATTTGTTTGTTCCGTCAAATACAACGCTTTCACACAAAGCGTGAAACGTTTTCTGATTTGTTTTCTATACCCAAAGGGGCATGCTTTGATCTGATCAAAGTTTTGATTTTTCAAGAGTTCGATGCTTGAAGTGCAATTTGTGATATCAGATTTCAAGGCAATCTCCAGATTTTTTGGATCATTGGTGTATCTTATATTTGCTGTCGCATTTCTCATATCAAATCCAATCTTATAACAAAACATACCAGATTTATAAACCAATAAACAAGTTGTCTCATTTCGACACCAGCAAATACAATCAACCCAAGAATTATTAGATGAAACTAAAGTTTGATTGAAAATTGTAGGATTATCAAAAGTCCCATAAAAAACTATCATTTTACCATAACTTGTAGACAGAATATAAAATAGAAAAATCGGGATGAAGACACGACATTTCATGTTTCTATGTTTCGAAAATCAAATGAAATGCTTGTTGTCCGGGAAAGGACAATTTTTTATAATGGATTTCATCGGGCGGATTGGAAAAACGATTTTCTAACAGATTTTTGAACCTTATTCAAAAAAAAAAGAGAAGGTTATAACTAGAAATGTGAAAAAAAAAATTTTTCATTTTTTTTTCTTTGGAAAAAATTTCAAGCTGAAGTTCTAGTGGTTGTAAAAATATAGTAGATTTCGATTAGTTCCCTAAAAATATTGTTCTGCTTCATTTTCTATAATTTTTTGTAGCATAGTTATTGTCGAAAATATTCCGTCGAATAAGTGTCATGGTGATTTGAAAAATTGAAAATTATTCATTTCGGAAACAAAATTAAGAAAAATCAACATTTTTCATTCATTGAATAAAATACAATTTATATAAGAAATCCACAAAGAACAATTGCTTGACAATTTGAACCACAATTTGAATTTCCAAATTTATCCGATTCAAGTAGTGTTGTATTCATCTGTAGAACCACACAATCATCCCTAGAATAAAAATATTATACATAGTTATTCATAACTTACATCAGAGAGTGGAAAATCTCACCCATCCTTCGGATATCCTGTGGCCAAAACCATTTGACTGGTTCCAGTTATCCATGGATCAGTCCATACCACTCTTTCATTACTTATGGATGCTCCAAGAACCACTTTTGTAGTTTTCATTTTGGACTCTGGATTCGGAACACTCCAATGCAATCGTTCTTCTTCATTCTCCAAGCCCAAAATTCTTCCATTTCCATTTACACACTTGTTGATAGCTTCAGAATTTGTCAAATTGTAATACAATCGCGCTCCACAAACAACATAGTTTTCACGCACCAGTTTCGTATAGCTAAAGGGACATGCTTTCAATTCATTGAATTGCTGATTTTGAAGAAGTTCTTGACTCTGTGAACAATTTGTGATGTCCGATTTGATCGCAATTTCCAGATCATCTGGATTATTTGTGTACTTCATATTTGATGTCGCATTTCTATTGTCGAAGTTAACCATGTAACACGAAAGATTGTTCGGACTTCGATAAACCAATAAACAATTTGTATTATTTCGACACTTGCAAATACAATTCTCCCAAGAATTCGTTTTTGATTCTAATGTTATATTGAAGTTATCAGGATTGTTAAAAGTCCCATAGAATACTATCATCTTTCCAATTGCCACGTGACAAATAGAAGAAAGAAATAAAGTAGAAAGAATAGCACGTCTCATTTCTATGTATCGCAAATGATTCGGAAAATTTTCACGGAGCAGTGTCATAGCGACTGGAACTCATTGCTTTTTGAAAGAATGTGACATCTTTTGAAATTTCAAATTTTAAACGTGATCTTCTATTTCATGACCTCGGTCAACCTTTTTGAAATTATGCTGCGCGCTATTTCAAATTTTAAAAAATGAATTGTATTTGTGATTGCACCGGAAAATCGGTCAGAAATCTAGAAAACGCGATGCAGAACTTGCTAGATCGTGGGCAACAAGTTAATGAGATTTTGGAGAATCAGAAGAGGAAAGAAGTAGTGCCAATGAGGAGCGATACTACGGTATGATTCATAACATAACAGAATCCACACAATTTTTTTCATTTCCAGATGATGACTAAAATACCTGCACCTTCACCAATCAATGTCCCAATAACTAAGAAACCTGGAAGTCTCTATAACAAAAATGTGAGCTTCCTCTCCTCTCCTCGACTTCCTGTTTTTTTTTCGAAAATCTTGATTTCAGACAAAGCACGGTGAAAATATTGATTTTGAGATTCCATCCTTAACTGAAGAAAAATCAATAACTCCAGTCAAATCTTCATCAAAACCTAGAAGTTTCTTGTTCAACAAAAATGTGAGATTCATTTTTTTTCAATTTTAGATTTTGAGTTTCACAATAAGTTTTTCAGACGAAGACTGCTGAAACTGTAGATTTTGAGATTCCATTGCTGCTTAAGGAAAAATCGACTACAAAAGTGAACTCCAAGATCTCGGGCATAACTTTGAATGATAGTTATAATGTCGAAATCGACGGAAATACTCGAAATCTCCCTTCGAAAATTGAAATTTCCCAAGGCAAAAAGAAATCTCTCAATGTTTGTTATCAATTTTTGGATGCGTGTGGGAATATTTTGATGAAGCTGAACTTCAATCTGAAAAGTGGAGAAGTTCGAAATCTCAAACTCGATGGAAAGAAATACAAAAATTGATTGAATAAAACATTTTTATTCTATAAACAAAATTACTGCATCAACCAGCCGCAGACTACGAATTGAGGACAAAATGAGCCGGAACAGGTTGTGACTTCGCATCTGAAAATACATTAATTGGTGGAGGCGGGGTTAGAAAGAACCAAAAACAACCTTTGACTTTGAATCAGACTTGTGTTAACTTGAAGTACTCCGCAATTGTATCCGGTCATCGGATGACCTGCAGCCCAATTAATATCTCCATCCCCAGTTAGCCACGGGTCTTGCCAAACGAAAGTACCATTTACCCTGACCAACGCGAGCCATGAACCTGTATCCGCTGTATAAGTCGGGTTTCGCCACGTCATTTTAGTAGTTTCTGCAGAATTTTCCATTCCAATTATTATCGCGCCAATTTCAGCACAATAGTCAGAGGCAACGGATTTAGTACAGTAGGTAGTATATTTGCGACGCATGCTGCAAACTGTGTATTTCTCGCGGACAAATTTGCTAGGGGCAGTTCCGTTGCAAACTTTCAAAGATGGCAAAAGTTCAGTAGATAATTCAGATGGACATGTTGTGGTATCACTTTTGATCGCAATAATTGTGTCAGAGACCTGATTCAGGTATTGGAGATTAGTAAGAGCTCCGAAACCGCAGAATCTGCAAGTTGTAGATGTCAGTGAGTCAGTGAAAGTTTGCTGAAAAAAGTTGAATATAAAGAGAATTGGCTTTTTCAAAACCCACATAACAAGCTTTTGTTGATTTACACGCAGTTAGACAATCATCCCAAGTTGTGATAGAACTTTGAACTTCACAATCGGATGAGGAGTCGAAAGATCCATAGAAAACTATCATAACTGTACACGAACATTGCAAAATATTGGAAAATGAAAGAAAAATAATAAAAATGGATGAGAGGATTTTAGACATGTTTATGTTTATAGCATAAAAATATTTGAAACGCATTTTTGAAAATTGATATATTTTTGTATTGCCATAGATACCCGTGGGGATTCCGCGGGGTTTGTGATGTTTTTACGCTCAAGTTCAACAACGAAATAATTTTGTTTTCTGGAGATAAGGGGCAGAACTTTATGAAGCTTTTTTTGCTTTAAAATCATAGAGAAAAATGTTCCATAGATCCGATTGATGAGTTTTTTTTTAATTTTCGTGTTAAAAAAAAGCACCCAATGTTTTTCTAGAAATCATTGCGCTTAACTTCAATCCGACTCTAAGAAGTTATTGTGATAATCCACATGACCAGGTAACTTTTGTTCTATGAACATTTGCATACTCCGATTTTTGTGTAGTCTGATCTGATTCATATGGAAACATGTTCATTTTTACGTTTCCAACAGCATCCAGATGTGCGTGAAAACATTTTTCATCTCATTCATTTTTATTATACTAACTGTGAATTGCAAGATCGTCGTATTCTATGGAACTTACAACAGTGCTTCGGAAAGTGTTCCAAATTCGGTTCAGAATTGGTTTGATTGTGTTTGTTGGTGTCAAGAAACAAATGATTGTTTGTTTGTTCTATGGAATGAGTCAAGTCAAATTTGTAAAGTTGTTTATTCGAATTCATCTAACTACTTGGGTTTTATCCACTATACTAATAAAACAACAGATATGGAAATCGCGTTAAAAACAAATTATTCCAATTGTTATGACGCAATAGAATTTTTGAAAAGTCGCTTTATGGGTTGTTCTGGAAGATTGTTTCGATCAAAATACACAATATGTGCTCAAAGATACTACTATCATTATTCGAATCATTCGGCTGCTCTTGAAAAATGTGAAAATGAAGGAGAAGTTCTGATTGGATTGGAAAATCAAAATGAACGTGTTTCTTTTGCAAATGTGATTAATAAAGCAACAAAATACAATTCTAGCTCATTGATTGGTCTGACTCGAAATTCTGAGGGAATGTTTGTTTGGTCTGATCCATACTTGACTGGAAATGGAAGTATTGTTTGGGCCGATGGGCATCCAATAGACGGGTATTTTTAAAATTTTCCTTTAAAATGACATTCAATGCTTCTTTTAGAAATGATTGCGCATCACTTCAATCTGACACTTCGTTAATCCAAAGTGATAATTGTGATTACTCTCCATGCGATAATTCTACTTTTTGTCCAAGTATTGTTATTTGTGGTAAATTACTTGGTTTTTGAATAAAAACATTTATGTGTTATTTTGGTTTCAATGAGCAATTGCGAGATTTACATATCCCGATTCGCTTTTCTAGTCTGACATATATGTATTTCTAGGAAATATTCTCATTTTTACGTTTCCAACAGCATCCAAATGTGCGTGAAAACATTTCTCATCTCATTGATTTTTATTATACTAATTGTGAATTGCAAGATTGTTGTGTTCTATGGAATATACAACAGTGCTTCGGAAAGTGTTCCAAATAACAATCTGAATTGGTTTGAATGTGTTTGTTGGTGTCAAGAAACAAATGCTTGCTTGTTGGTTTTTTGGAATGAATCAAGTCAAAATTGTAATGTGGTTTATTCGAATTCATCTAAATACTTAGCTAATATGTACTATACTAATGAAGAAACGGATAATGAAATTGCACTAAAGACTAATTTTTCAAATTGTTATGATGCGATAGAATTTTTGAAAAATCGTTATATCAGTTGTCAATCAGGATATTCCAGAAAATTCCGATTAGATTACACTGTATGCATGAAAAGACTCAAATATGCTAGTAGTTTGAGTTTTTCGCAAGCTGTTGAAAACTGTGAAAATGAAGGAGCATATATTACCGGATCGGAAAATAATAATGAACGAATTTCTATAGCAAATATTTATAATGATTATGTGAAAACTAATTCTAGCACGTGGATTGGCTTGACGCGAAATAATCAAGGGAATTTTGTATGGACAGATCCTTGGATAACTGGAAATGGAAGTATTGTTTGGGCCGACGGACATCCGATTGATGGGTTCGTTCTCAAGTGTTTGGAAAGTCAGATTTTATTCTTTTTTCAGAAACCATTGCGCATCACTTCAGTCCAATACTTCATTATTCCAGAGTAATAATTGTGATTCTTCTCCATGTAATAGTCTTACTTATTGTCCGAGTATTGTTATGTGCGTCAAACTAATTGGCTAAATTGTCTAATCTTTTGGTGTTCAAATAAAAACATCATGTGTTAAAAATCTTGTTGTTTTCAAAATTGTACCCGCGTGGCTTTCATTTTGAAATTTTTTTTCAGAAAGATCAATGGTTCAAAACTGAACAGGAGGAAGCATTTTCCTCCCCTTGCAACCCGAAAAATTGTATCCTGGGTGATTGGCAGAATAAATCGCTCATTATTCTGTCTCTCATGCATTCGCTCTTTGAAAATATTCACTCATTATTTTTTCGAGACTTCTGCCGTATGAAATGCTAACAATATTTCTATATTTCTCAATAATTTCAAAATGCTCTTCTCAAATCATGTTAATTTTCTATGGTTCTTATGGCTATGCAAATTGTACAGCACAAGCAGGTGTGACTTGGGATAATTGTATTGATTTGTGTTACGCCAGTTCGAATTGCTATGTGAGTTTAGAAAATTCAAAAAAAAATTAAATGAGAACTGTTTTTCTTGTAGTCCGCGTATTCGACTTCAGCCTCAGCTTGTAATTTTTGTGGTTTTGGAGGTCTGAAAACAATAGTTTTCTCAAGTTCTGAAACACCTACAATTATTGCAATCAAGGTACATTTTGTTTTCAAAAATGTAGGAAACAAAACAAAGCCAATATGTTTAGAGTGATGCTACAACATGCCCAGCAAGTCAAGATCTCACCACTGAATACATTAATCAAATCAGATATTGTGTAGATGGTTTGGCAAAACTTATTCGACCGAATAACGCAGTATGTGTGCAGCGCCTTGTTTATACATTATTCTCGAATAAAGTTGAATCCAATCAGAAATGTGCCAATTTCAAACCCAATGGAACTGTTCTCGGTTTACAAACTGATGCTGAACGAACAAATTTTGCAGGTGTGAATCCAACTTATGGAAGTAATATGAGTGTTTGGATTGCTTTACAAAGATCGACTGAGGGTGGAGATTTCGAATGGACAGATCCGTGGTTGACAGGAACTGGAAGTATCGCCTGGGCTTCTGGACATCCATTGTCTGGCGCAAGATGTGCGACTTTGCAAATTGGAACTGCTCTCATACAAAGTGTTAGGTAACATACAGAGTTTTTGACAAAAAGTAATTTCATTTTGATTTTCAGTTGTGTTGGAACAAGTTGTCCATCTTCTTATTGCCCTAAATTTGTACTTTGTGGTTGGGTTATTGAATAAAAATTTAGATATTTTTTTAGATGATAATTTTTGTGTTTTGAGCTGATGTCTGAAAAAAATCCGTGTTGTCTGTCACCCACTTTTCAGGATTTATGAACACTCAGATCTCCTTGCAACCCGAAAACATGTATCCTGGACGCTCAATTCGCACAAAATCTCCATTTCATTTCATAGTTTCTCCTATATTTTCGAGAAAACTAGAAAATGCTAACAATATTTCTATATTTCACAATAATTTCAAAATATTCTTCTCAAATCATGTTAATTTTCTATGGTTCTTATGGCTATGCAAATTGTACAGCTCAATCTGGTGTGACTTGGGATAATTGTATTGATTTGTGTTACGCAAGTTCGGATTGCTATGTGAGTCTTATTGTTAGCCTTTTTTCTGAATTAGCTTTTTTCTTGTAGTCTGCGTATTCGACTTCAGCCTCAACTTGTAATTTTTGTGGATTTGGAGGATTGAAAACAATAGTGTTCTCAAGTTCTGAAACGACTACAATTATTGCAGTCAAGGTAAATGAATAGATCAAAAATGTGATGGATACCTAACAAATGAAGTTTTTCTAGAGCGATGAAACAACTTGTCCAGCTAGTCAAAATCTAACCACCGAATACATCAATAAAGTTATAAATTTTATCTTTTATGAGTGTTTGATTCAAATTTGGGAATGTTTTTATTAAAGGTGGAGTACGAGGTAAAAATAAGTTAGGCTCGTTTGAGATGAAAATTGCAATTAGTACATTCCTCGAAGGATTCTTAATGGAAACTTTTCGAACATAAGTAAGACAAGTTCGAAGTTCATAAAAACAGTGAAAAACCGTGTAAAATGAGTCACATACATCAGTATCCCCGGATTTTCGTCCGGAGGGTCTGGCTAACTTTGGAAATGGAAGTCTTGTCTGGGCTTCTGGACATCCGATAACTGGATTAGATTGTGCGACTTTGCAAGTTGAGACTGCGTTTACGTGAACTTTTAATTATCATATTCGAAGTTTCAGTTGTGGTGGAACAAGTTGCACAACTTCGTATTGACCCCCCAAAAACCAAGTTTTTTTTTGAGAGGTCTGGCTAATTTTTGTATTTTCACATTCCGGGGGTGGCTAATTTTGAGACCCTGACCGGGAGAAACTTATGTATGAAAATGACTTGAGAAAATGCAAAAATGCAAATTTTATCTCGCACTCCACCTTTAAAGCTTTACATAAACCAAACTTCCAAACATCAGGCTCCATAATCCAGTCACACATGTTTCAAAGATCTGACATCTATCCCGCGACACCCGCGAAAATGAAAAATATCAGACAGACTTTCCTCATTCCGAAAATCTGTATCCTTGACGATTTTTTGAAGAATAATAAGCGTCGCTTATTATTTTTCTCTTTCATTTTCTTTTATTTCCTTTTCCTAATGCTCATTGTATTTCTTTATTTCTCGTTAATTCCAAAGTGTTCCTCCAATATTATGCTGATATTCTATGGGTCTTATGGAACTGCAAATTGTACGGCACAAGCAGGTGTGACTTGGGATGAGTGTATTGATTTGTGTTATGAAAGTTCGGATTGCTATGTGAGTCTTATTGTCAGCCTTTAGGATAAATTCTGATATCGACTAGCCCGAAAAAAATTCTGAATGAGCTTTTTTCTTGTAGTCTGCGTATTCGACTTCAGCCTCAACTTGTAATTTTTGTGGATTTGGAGGATTGAAAACAATAGTGTTTTCAAGTTCTGAAACGACTACAATTATTGCAGTCAAGGTACTAAATGAATAGATCAAAAATGTGACGGATACCTAACAAACTTTTCAGAGCGATGAAACAACTTGTCCAGCTAGTCAAAATCTAACCACCGAATACATCAATAAAGTTAGAGTTTGTATATCCGGATTGATAAAACTCACTCGTACAAGCACCGCAATTTGTGTTCAGCGTCTTTTCTACAACATATTTTTAAATCAAACTTTTTCAACTCAAGTGTGTGCAGCTTACAGACCTACAGGAACAGTTATTGGACTTCAATCAGATGCTGAAAGATCACAGCTTTCTCCTATGAATCCCACTTATGGAAACATGAGTATCTGGATTGCGTTGGAAAAACAAAGTGGAAGTTTTGTTTGGACAGATCCGTGGTTGACCGGAAACGGAAGTATTTCTTGGGCTTCTGGACATCCAATAACTGGTTATAATTGTGCAACTTTGCAAGTTGGAACTGCTCTTATACAAAGTATCAGGTGAATTATAAGTTAGCGGAACTTGAAACATAAAATAATACGTTCGAAGTTTCAGTTGTGGTGGAACGAGTTGTGGTGGAGCTACTTATTGTCAAAGAGGAATACTTTGTGCTTGGGCTATTGAATAAAAATTTTGTGTTTTGTTTAAATAACCATAGTTTCAGAATTCAAAAATGTTAAGTTTTCCTTCCTTGTGATCCCCGTGTACGCCCGCAAATTCGTAACCTTGGCGATTCGCTAAATTCTATCCTCATATTTTGATCTTTTCATGGATTCATTTTTGTGCTCTCTTTCTCAGCGAAAAAATTCCCAAAATTTGAACACAAATAAAATTTATCAAAAAAAATTTGACAGTTTTTCGGCAGAAAATACAAAATTCAGTCACAGCTGATTATAAATTTCGTACACAAAAAATTTTAGTGGAAAGGTATGCTTACTTTTTTAGGCGCGGAGGATCACGGTATTTTAACAGCTCTAGAAAGTACGGAAAACTGTGAAGCTTAAATTTTGTTGGATTACTGTGTAATACACAGTGTGTATTTCAACCTTGTTAGGTCAAATTTTCAGAAAGTCAAGAGCACTGTAATTTTTCGTTAAAAACCTTTGAATAGGATTACTGTAATGTAGATAAAAAGTCATTTACCCAAAAAATACTGTAATTTTGAGAGTTAAACATTTCTATGAATAAAGTCCGGGTTACTATTTTTCGAAAGGGTCAGAAAAAATGTTATCAAATTGAAATAGCCTAGCCTCAAGGTTAGTGTATTATGAAATCACACGCGAGACAAATTCTGTGTGTTGGGATTCAGATATTTCGAAATATCTTCTTACATTAAAATAACCTGATTTAACAATCCCACACCTTCATTTTTCTGTTTACCTGCCTTTTCAAATGTGTTTTCCTTATTCAATTCGATGTTCCCAAAAAAAGCAGCTACATATTTGTTTATTATCAAAAAATGACCCGATAATCATAACCTATTTCTCTGCCTCTCTTATTTCCCCATACTCTCTCATTTCTATCTTTCTTATCACAGACAGGTTTCCTGAACAAATTCGCGAATAATTCTCAAATATTGACATTTCGCATTGGTGTTTTTTTCTGAGGTCGTAGGGCACGAAAAAATGGGAGGAGCTTATGGAGGGAAAATTGGGGGAAAAGTGGATTTTTTTTTTGGAGGAACAACCGGTTTAATTAACGATTTTTTGTGATAAGCATACTTTAGTGGGACTTTGGATTTTTCTGGTTTTTCAGTTATTTTTTCTAGTGTTTCTGTGGTGATTTATAGATTTGTTTTTTTGGTGAATTGAAATAAAATAAAAAAAACACTTGAGAATTAATTAGTTACCGGTTTTTTCATGAGAAAATTTAGATTTTTTTGTACAGTTAGAAAATTTTATTTTTTTGAAAAATATTTTTATTTCAGAATTTGGCGCGAAATTTTTGGTTAAAAAATTTACGATTATTTTTCTACCGTAATTTTTGATTTGGCGCTTTTTCTGCGCTAAGATCTACAGTACTCCACACCTTTCGAAAAACTTTCATGAAAATTTGGGACTTCACAGCTCCAGAAATTATCGGAAAAAATAAATGAAACTTCGCTCCAATATTTTTTCCTAAGTTTTTGATTTTTTTGATCTACCAACAATCTACAGTACCCCTCTTCTGCGTATTTTTCCCGCCAAAAACTTTTCAAATTCGCCCTACTTTTTTTCTTCTTCTACTTCTCGTGTTTCCTATCCACTTTAAAAATGAACAACAAAAAATTAGCATAATCACATTTTGTTCTCTCGCTCTCAATTCATTGTATTTTATTCTATAGTTTCAATTTTGAATATTTTCTAGTGTCCACAAAAATATGGGTTTTGATGTGCAATTGGAACGACCGTATTATCAAGCTGGACAACTTTTGGAGGTGAGAATTTTTTATCTAAAAAAAAATCTGAATAACTCAATTCTAGGGTCAATTTACATGCGATTTGTTAGACGTGGATTTAGTCGAAGGTCGAATTTTAGGAGAAGCTGAATTCAATTTCAGCGATCATCAAAAAAGTTCACCATCTTCTAGAATTTTGGTGGATGAGAGGGTGGAACTTTGGAGATACTGTACTTTGAGCCAACTACTGGGTTTGGATGAAAATCAAAATCAAAATCAGAATGAAAATATAACTTCGGATAACTCAAAAAAGGGGCGAAGTTTTCCTATTCGAATTTTGGTGCCGAAATTCGCACCGCCAACATTTCAATGCGCTGGATCGCCGATAAATGTCAAATATTTTTTACAAATTCGAATTTTGAAAGGTGGTGAAGTTATTGGAACTCATGAAGAGCCGCTGGTTATTTTGGGGAATTCGATGAATTTCAAAAAATTTGCTGCAAGTGGAGGAGGAAAGCCAATTGTTTATAGGAAGGATTTCTATTTTTCAAAGTGAGTTTTTTGGGATCAGAAATTTTCTATCCATTTTTTCCTCAGAGATCGCTCAATTTCTGCCGAAATTCAACTAAAAAACGACATTTTCTCAACGACTGACAAAATCGAAACATCGATAAAAATTGGAAATCAATGGAAACAGAGTCTAAAATATGTACATTTGAATATTGTCCGACGAATTTCGACGCTGAATTTTGAAAATGAAATTCTTGAGACCATTAAAATCGATACCACAGGAGTTGGACTTCCATCTTCAAAGCACAAAATTTCAGTCGGCGAGGCTTATACATTTCAGCCCAGTTTCAATATTCCAGCTTTGCCACCGAACATTAAAGTAGATCAACTATTTCGAACCGATTATAGCCTTAAAATATCAATTGGCCGAGCTCACAATTTCATTTTATCGAGTTTTGAAATTCCGATTACGATAACTACAAATGAGCTGAAGTCCTGTAGAGATTGTAAGTTTTAGGACAAAAAATCGGAATAAAAAACGTTATTTCAGCAATTCTGGTCGATATCTCTGCCACGTCATCAATCAATAATTTAAATCTTTTATGAAAAAATTAAAATAAAGTTTAATCCCAAACGTAACCTAGTTTTTTTAAACCAGCTCATATGTATGTTTTAGTTAGACAAATAGTTTCTGAAAAGCATGGCCTTGGAAATCGGTCCAATAACAAAATCGAGCGAAAAATTCAATTTTAAAGAATTTAGAAAATCGATAATCACCGCACTTATATTTCTAGCTATTATATTTTTGTTGTATGTGAGAAATCGAGGTTTTATCGAAAAAAGCGAAGTTACGCCAAGTATTTATGAAGAAAACATTTGTAAAACAAAAGAATGCAAAATTCTAGGAAAACGAATGGTGAGATACTTTATTGTAAAAAATCTTCTGAAAAAAAGTAAAATTAATTTCAGAAATCTATAATGAACCCAAAAATTGATCCATGTGATGATTTTTATGAATCAATTTGTGGAAAATATCCAAAAAATAATACTGATGAAGTAAGAGAATATCAAAATGATGACTATAATGATTTATCAACATTTATCAAGACTTTTAAACCAGTCACGAAATCTGAAAAAATTGCGATGACTGTTTTGAAAAAATGTATGGAAAAATCAGAAGAACACAACAAAATTGATATGAGTTATTGGAACAATTTACAGAATCATAGTTTGACCGATGTTTTGATTGAAGCTGCCAAAATCAATCCAAAAAACACTGGATTTTTGAAAAATATTGTTAACATGGCTCATAATTCGAAAACGAATTCAAAATATTTGTATCTTTTAATAACTCAAGGACTAGAAAAAAATTCGGAAATGGATAAACTTTTTGATGAAATTCTTAAGAAGAACGAAACATTGAGAAAATCATATATTGTGAGATTAGACGATAGTGTTAAAAATTCAATATCTTTCATTGATCTTCAAAAATATGTATATTTTTTGCTGCCAGAAGAATATCGAGGATTGAAAAATGATGGAGAATGGTATGTTGATATTAATGCATTGCTTGTTTTGCAAGAAATTACGAAAATGAATGGTGTTGATGGAATTAAAGAAATTATCAAAAAGAGATGGAAATCTACTATTCTAAAATATTTAGTTGAACCAGAATCAGGAAAATGCTTCGAAAAATTGACTAGATTATTTCCTGGAACTCTTGCTACTATTTTTGTGAAGAATTTCGTTGGGAGCAAAAATCTTCAGAGAGCTAATGAATTATTCAAGGAACTTCAGAAGGTTTTTATTGAAATGTTAGAGAAAAATAATTGGATGGATCAAAAGTTGAAAGATGTTTTGATTCAAGAAGTTTTGGATGTGAAATCTTCGATTGGAATTCCAGATGAGCACAAAAATCAAGAAAATATCGATAAAATGTATGCAAGAATCGGAGATTATGAAAATCAATTGTATTTGGAACTTGTTCAGAATCTTCTGAAAATGAATAGTGAAGAAACATTTTTGAGAGTTTCGAGAAGAGAAGAAATCACATATCAGGGATCAACAATTGGTTTTAATGCCAATTATTTTCGCAAAAATCATCGAACAAGTAAGTTACTATATTTCTAGATTTACATTAATTATTACTTTTTAAAACATTTCAGCCATCGGTCCATTTCTTCTCAACTTTCCATATATCGATAGAAATCTACCAGAATGGAATAACTTTGCAACTCTTGGTTATCTTTTGGGACATGAAATTGGACATGCTTTTGATGCTGAAGATTTCTATATAAATCCAATGAGAAAAGATATTGCGATGTCAACGAAAATGAAACAAATATTCAAAGATCGTATTGATTGTATTATCGAGAAATATGATGAATACCAATTTTCAGATGGAACTTTTGTGAGTTACAAAAAAATATGTTTTTCAATTTTTAAATAAAGATTTTCAGTCAAATGGAACTCGCACTCGAACTGAAGATTCAGCAGATATGATTGGATTTAATCTAGCTTATAGATTATTCAAGAAATTAAATAATATTGAAAAACTGCCAAGTCTTGAAAAATATACAGTTGAACAACAATATTTTCACAGATTGGGTTATGTGCGTTTTTTCTAGAGCTTTTGAACACAAGATAAAATTGTTTGTTTTTTCAGCTTTGGAGTTCTGCTGAACTGAATGAGTTTGCAATTTTGTTTTCACAATTTGATACTCACAGTGCTTTGAAATTTCGTGTAAATGGAATGATGTCGAATTCCGAAGAATTTGCAAAAGCTTATAATTGCCCGAAAAATAGTCCTATGAATCCAGAAAAGAAATGCCCTCTGTTTAAATAAACAATTTTAATTATAAATAATTTTGAACTCAGCGCATGTTTGCACACAAAATACAATATAAGCGATAGAGTGATTATGCTTGTTTTTTTTTTGAAAAAAAAACTTCCAATATGATTTTTTATCAGAAACGTGTCCCATTTATTGAAGTCTATATCTACCTTTTTAATAAAATCCCGATTTGGTGGTGAATTATGAAAGAAAAATAAATAAATTCAAAACAAAAATGAAAATCGCGTGCATAAAACTATGAAAAAATTAATCTACCTATGAAATATTTCATAGTTTGTTTTTCAATAAAATCTGGAAGCTGATCCTATACCATCAAGTGTAATTCAAAGCTTCATCTTATGATTTAAACATAGTTATTTATAAACAACTTTCCTTTAACATCAACAGTAACTATGCACAAAAAACTTTACCCAATATTTTTCAATGAAGCTCAAATCTCACCTGTTAGTTTTGTTCCCCCCCCCCAAACCTCAAAATAAACTAACTTGACTGGTCCTTTCCGTGAAAAGTTGTTGATTTCTTTGAGTTTCCTGTCCAAACGATACATCTTCTTTTTCGAAAGCCTGAAACATTTACATTCTTTTTCTTAAAATCTTCGCCTATTCTTAAACTTACATCAGAAAATGGCAATTGTCGATTTGATGGGATCCCTGTATTCTGTGACGGTTGTCTCTAAAAAAAATAAGAAAATTGAAAAATGTGCCAAATCACCTCATTAATAACACTTCCTGCGCTGAAAAAAACCAGAAAAATGATTCAGTTCGAAAAAAAACGTTCAATCAATAGTTTCTTTTGAAATAAAAAACATACATCTCTCTCTCTCTCTCTCTCTAACCCTCTCTCCATTTCCCACACTCTCTCATCTACCCTGCAAAAAAAACAACAAAATAAACACGCTAAACAACGCACACGCGGAGTATCGTTGTTTTTCTTTTATTTTTTTCCACGACCTTTATTTTTTGCTTTTTTTTCTGGTTTTTAAGTGGTTTTTTTCAGCGCAGAAAGTGTTATTAATGGGGTGATTTGGTACATTTTTTAATTTTCTTATTTATTTTAGAGACAACTGTCACAGAATGCAGGGATCCCATAAAATCCACAATTGCCATTTTCTGATGTAAGTTTAAGAATAAGCGAAGATTTTGAGAAAAGAATGTAGATGTTTCAGGCTTTCGAAAGAAGATTTTTCGTTTGGACAGGACATTCAAAGATATCAACAACTTTTCACGGAAAGGACCAGTCAAGTTAGTTTATTTTGAGGTTTGGGGGGGGAGGAACAAAACTAACAGGTGAGATTTGAACTTCATTGAAAAATATTGGGTAAAGTTTTTTATTCATAATTACTATTGATGTTAAAGGAAATTTGTTTATAAATACCTATGTTTAAATCATAAAATGAAGCTTTGAATTACACTTGATGGTATAGGATCAGCTTCCAGATTTTATTGAAAAACAAACTATGAAATATTTCATAGGTAGATTAATTTTTTCATAGTTTTATGCACGCGATTTCCATTTTTGTTTTAAATTTATTTACTTTTCTTTTATAGTCTATGTCTTATTAAACTTCACAATTTGTATTCCCAGGCGTAACTTTTTCAAAAGAAATATTTCTTTCACGTCAGCTTAGCTGCGAAAAATAGGGTTTTCTTCAAAATTTTGAATTTTTGAAGATTTTCTGACTGTTTCAGTTTTTTTTTGTTTTTTTTGAGGATTTTCTGACTGTTAGTTTTTTTTTTTTGAAAACTCGGAAAGCCCCCATTTCTCAAAACACAAGAAAATGCAAGAATCTCAAAAAACCGATATGGAATCAAAAAAATCATCTGTTACTGAAAAAAAGTAAGCTGAAACTTTTTTGAAAAACTTATGAACTTATTTGAAATTGAGTACCGGGTAACATTAGAATCATATTTATTGACAGTTCAAGAGCATCCATTTCTTTTTCTTAATTTTTGAATCTAGAACTCCTAAGAAACAGAGAAAAACGTTGAGGATAAATGAAATCCATCTCAATTTCCACCACATTGAACTTCTCAAATCACCGAAGACAGCCAGTTACAAGCCTGATACAACATGTCAGCAAAATGAAAATCGGCAATCGGTGAGAAAAATTTAAATTTTTTTATTAGAAACGTGTCCCATTTCTTTTTTTTTCTTCATTATTTTTCGACAACTCGAAAATGTCCCCATTTCTCAAAACACTACAAAATGCAAATATCTCATAAAACAGATGTTGAATCCAAAAAAACATCTGTTAGTGAAAAAAAGTGAGCCGAAACCAAAAAATCTGAAAAATCATGAACTTATTTGAAATTCAGGGAAAATTCGCCGCAAAAATCTGGATTTTCGAAGAAAGTGATTGCAGCAATTTCAGCGGTGATTTTGATATTGGTTATTATTTCGCTGACTTTCGCCATTCTCTATTTTTCAAGAGGAGAAAAAGAAGAAAAACCGGAAACGTTAGCATTGAAAAATGGTGAGACTTCAAGACCGGCTACAATTTCAACTACGCCTGAAACTTCGAAAATTTCAGTTGAACCTGTTTGCCAAACTGAGGAATGTGTCAAACTTTCGAATCGAATGGTAGAAACATCTAAAGTCTCCCTAAATTGAATCAATGAATGCTTTTCAGAAATCCTTCATGAACCCTAAAATCAATCCTTGCGATGATTTCTATGAATCAGTTTGTGGAAATTATCCGAAAAATGGAAGCAATACAGAAGTCGAAAATGAATCAGAGGATTTGAGAGATTTGATGAAATTATTCCAAACTTTTGAACCAATCACAAAATCTGAGAAAATTGCAAAGACAGTTTTGGAAAAATGTATGGATACATCGGACAATAGAGATCGATTGAATATGAAATCTTGGGAAAATTTGACAAATCAAAATTTGACCGATGTTTTGCTTAAGGCTGTCAAACTCAATCCTATTGACACTGGATTTTTGCAAAATGAAATTACTATGATTCCGACTGCACATTCTAATCCAAAACAACGTCTCATCGCTTACATATGTCAAGGAGTTATGGAAAATCCAGAATTGAAAGAACTTTACGACAAAATCGCGAATGAAAGCACTTTGCCAGGAGTCGAAATTATGGCATTAGAACCGGCGAAAAAATTGATAACATTTATGGATATGCAAAAATATGTGTATAATTTGCTACCCAAAAAACAACGTGGAAAATCAGGTGATGCAGATTGGTATGTTATGGTGCAAGAAATGTTCATTCTGGAGAAAATTGTGAATATTACTGGGGTTGAGAAGATTAAAGAAATCATTCGAGACAAATGGAAATCTACAATGAACAGTTATTTGGTGAAACCAACATTTCCAAATTGTTTCAAAATAGTGAAACAACTATTTCCTGGAACGCTAGCAACACTTTTTGTCAAAAACTTTGTCGGCGACAAAAATCTGTACAAAGGAAATGAACTATTCAAAGATCTTCAAAGAATGTTTATTGAAATGTTGGATGAAAATGATTGGATGGATAAAGATTTGAAAAATACTTTGAAACAAGAAGTTCTAGATCTCAAATCATCGATTGGAATTCCAGATGAACATCAAAATCTAGAACATATTGATGAAATGTATTCGAGAGTCGGAGATTATGAAGATCAATTATATTTGGAACTTATTCAAAATATATTGACAATGAACAGTGAAGAAACATTTCTGAGAATTGCAAAAAGAGAAGAAATCACATATCTTGGAGAAACAATTCACATGAATGCTAATTATTTTAATAAAAATCATCGTGCAAGTGAGTTTGACCGAAAATTCATCCAAAAAAAAATCTAACTTTGAAAAATTTGCAGCCATCTCTCCAATGTTTCTCAATTATCCATACATCGATAAAAATCTGCCAGAATGGAATACAATTGCATCAATCGGTTCAATTATGGCACATGAAATTGGACATGCTTTTGATGCTTATGGTTTCTATAAAAGTCCAATGAGAATGAATATTGAAATGTCAACAACAATGAAGCAAGTATTCAAAAATCGTATTGATTGCATCATCCAAAAATATGACAAATATAAATTCCCAGATGGAACTTTCGTAAGTTCTTCTAAAATTATTTTATTTTTCTTTCAACCAAATAATTTTCAGTCGAATGGAACTCTCACTCAACCAGAAGATTCTGCAGATATGATTGGATTCAATTTAGCTTATAGATTGTTCAAAACCCTCGAATATCAGAAAAGATTGCCGAATCTCGACGAATATACACTCGAACAACAATATTTCCAAAGAATGGGACTCGTAAGTTATAAATCTCTTATGAAATCCAGTTTTTAAAAATCTTAGGTCTGGTGCACAGCTGAATTGAATAAAAAAGAACTCCAAAATGTGAAAGAAGATGTTCATAGTTTTGAAAAATTTCGTGTCAATGGAATGATGTCAAACTTCGAAGAATTTTCAAAAGCCTTCAATTGCCCGAAAAATAGTCCGATGAATCCAGAAAAGAAGTGTCCACTTTTCAAATGAATGAATGTTTGAATACTCGTAAAATTAAATTTTTTGTCAAAAATTTGGAAGAACCTAAAAAAACGAAAACTAAAATTCAAGGACTGTTTATTGTTCTGAAGTGTGAGGAGAATGTTTTTAATACTTACATATTTCGAAAAACCTTTTCACCTCGAATCCAAACTTAAAAATTGAAGCTTTCGAAATTTTTCAATTTAAGTTCTTATAAATTACACACATCTCCGGAATAGTCTCGTGACGCTAACATTAATTTTTGTTTTTTTACAATGTTCAGGTAGAAAATCTGGCTCAAAGAACCATTCAAAATATAAAAAAAAATAAATTGAAAATTCTTCAGCTAAAATTTTTTATTTATTTATACAAAGGGCATTTCTTCTCTGGATTCATTGGACTATTTTTCGGGCAATTGAAGGCTTTTGCAAATTCTTCAAAATTTGACATCATTCCATTGATACGAAATTTCTCGAGGCTATGCACATCTGTTTTGGCATCTTCGATTCGCTTTTCATTTTCTGCCGAGCACCACGTCTGAAATTTGAAAAAAAAAATGTGAAAAAGATAATAATGTCAGAGCTCAAGTGAGAGTAAACTTACATAACCCATTCTTTGAAAATATTGTTGTTCTACAGTGTATTTTTGAAGATATGGTAACTTCTCGAAATGTTTCTGTTTTTTGAACAATCTATAAGCCAAATTGAAACCAATCATATCTGCAGAATCTTCAGTTTGAGTGAAAGTTCCGTTCGACTAAATAAAAACAATTTTTTGAATATTTGAAATTTATTCGAAAACACTTACAAAAGTTCCATCTGCGAATTGATATTTGTTATATTTTTGAATAATGCATTTGATACGATCTTGGAATATCTGTTGCATTCTAATTGACATTTTTATATTAGTCATCATCGGACTTCTGAAGAAAAACTGAGCATCAAAAGCGTGTCCAATTTCATGTCCCAAAACATGACCAAGAGTCGGGAAAATGTTCCATTCTGGTAGATTTCTATCGATGAATGGGAAGTTGAGGAAAAGTGGACCAATGGCTGAAATTTTGAAAAAAATTAGTCAAGGGGTGTTTGAACCGAGTCCACCCACGATGCCTAAACATCAACCCGAAATCTTACATGTTCGATGATTCAATGACATATAGTTAGCATTAATACCAATCGTTCTTCCATGATATGTGATTTCTTCTCTTCTCGAAACTCTCAAAAATGTTTCTTCACTATTCATTTTCAGAAGATTCTGGACAAGTTCCAAATACAATTGATTTTTGAAATCATCCGCAATTCTTTCATACATTTTATCCATATTTTCCGGATTCTTGTATTCGTCTGGATATCCAATCGATGCTTTTATATCTAAAACCTCTTGTATCAAAACATCTTTCAAACTCTGATCCATCCAATCATTATCTTCCATCATCTCAATAAAAACCTTCTGAAGATCCTTGAATAATTTATTGGCTCTGTCTAGATCTTTGGGTTCAACGAAGTGTTTCATGAAAATTGTTCCTAGAGTTCCAGGAAATAGTTTTTTCATTACTTTGAAACATTCTCCAAATTCACGAGTCACCAAATAACTGTTCATTGTTGATTCCCATTTCTTTCGAATAACTTTTTTGACTTCTTCGACTCCAAATTCTTCAAAAATTCTTTCTAAGATCGCAACCGAATTCTCTTCAACAAGCCATACTCCGTTATTTTCCACATTTCGATATTCTTGTGGCAGCAAATTCTTCACATATTTTTCGACATCAAAAAACTTGATACGTTCTTTGACATCATTCAGAAACACAAGCGATTCTCCTTTCAAATGAGGATTTACATTCAGGATTTCATTATAACGATTTTTCATTTTCGATTTTGTTTCGAGTCCTTCCGTTATTGCAAAGAAAAGATATTTCGAATTCGTAGCTGGATTATGTTCCATACCCACATAATTTTTCAAAAATCCAGTGTTGATTGGATTAACTTTTGAAGCTTCGATTAAAACATCAGTCAACGTTTGATTTTCCAAACTGTTCCAGAAACTCATATCAATTTGATTTCGATATTCTGATTTATCCATACATTTTTCCAAAACAGTCATTGCAATTTTCTCAGATTTCGTGGCTGGTTTGTAAGTTTTGATAAATGTTGATAAATCATTGTTGTCTTCGTCGTAATATTTTAATAGTTCTAGACTTCCATTTTTTGGATAATTTCCACAAACTGATTCATAGAAATCATCACATGGATTGATTTTTGGGTTCATAAGAGATTTCTGAAAATAAAACAGGATTTTTTTCTGATAATATTGCAAAAAGTCTCACCATTCTTTTCGCAAGAGTTTTGCATTCTTTAGTTTTGCAAACATTTTTGTCTTCATAAATATCTGGTCTCGAATTTGGAACACCTTCCAAACCTTCAATCCATTCTTCATTTCTAACGTACAAAAGTAAAACAATGGCTAGAAATATGATTACAACGATAAGCGATTTTTTGAGATCTTTGAAATCGAATCCCTTTTTTGGTTTGGTTATTGGACTTTTTTCTAAATCCATTACTTTCAGAAATACCACAATTTTGTGTTTTGAGAGAAAAGTAGTTTTTTCTGTGAGTGAGTTGGAAAAAAACTGGCACACGTTTAAAATATGTTTTTTTAACTTTCGAGTTAAAAAAATTCTTCACATTCTGAAGAAAAATCAATTAATTTGCTTCAAGAAAATCGACAAAAAACATGATTTTTTTCTTTTGAAAACATGAATTTTCAATAGAAAATATCATTTTCCAGTTTTCGCGTCATTTTCTATGAAAAATAATTGAAAAACTGAACGCTCAACTTGTCATCTAAGCTTAATCGTTCAATACGCACTTTATCATGAAAAAACAACATATAAAACCTTCAAAAACACCTAAAAACTGAAAAACTGGGAAAAACGAAAAAAAAAAGAAAATTCGAACGATGTGCGATAGAGCGCGTTTGCTGATTTCTCAATTTTTCAAAAAAATTTCACTCGAAACTTTTTCCAACTAGTATTTTTTCCTCGCAGCTGCGAAAAGCGGCGAATCACAGTTTTTCGTGGTTAACACTTTTTTCAAGTTTCAGATGCTTAACATAAGTTCAGCTAAAAAAATCTTCATTCATTTGAAAAGTGGACACTTCTTTTCTGGATTCATTGGGCTATTTTTCGGGCAATTGAAGGCTTTTGCAAATTCTTCAAAATTTGACATCATTCCATTTATACGAAATTTCGGTAGACTATGCTCATCTTCTTTCACGAGTTCAATAAATTCCTCATCTGTTGTCGAGAAACACCAAAGCTGAAATTAAAAATTTTCAAAAAATGTTTCGTTTGAGCTCAAGAAAAACTCACATAACCCATTCTTTGAAAGTATTGTTGCTCTGCACTATATTCATCAAGATATGGTAATTTTTCAAGTTTGTCCAGTTTTTTGAATAATCTGTATGCCAAATTAAATCCAATCATATCTGCAGAATCTTCTTGTTGTGTAAAAGTTCCATTCGACTGAAAATATTTTTTATTTTAGAAAATTTGAAAATTTTTGAAAAAACATAACTTACAAAAGTTCCATCTGCGAATTGATATTTGTTATATTTTTGAATGATGCATTTGATACGATTTCTGAATATTTCTTTCACTCTAATTGGCATTTCAACATTAGTATCCATTGGACTTATAAAGAAGTATTTCGAATCAAAAGCATGTCCAACTTCATGCGCCATAACATGTCCAATTGTAGCAATTGTGTTCCATTCCGGTAGATTTTGATCAACGTATGGATAATTGAGAAAAAGTGGACCAATGGCTGAAATTCAAAAATAACGGAGTAGTTTTTTTGAATAAATTCAAAAATAACGAAGTAAATAGAGAAACTTACATGTTCGATGATTTAAAGGAAGGTAGTTAGCATTGATATCGGTTGTCTCTCCAAGATATGTGATTTCCTCTCTTCTAGAAACCCTCAAAAATGTTTCTTCGCTATTCATTTTCAATAAATTTCTAATCAATTCCAAATATGGTTGATTTTCGAAATCTCCGATTCTTGAATACATTCGATCAATATTTTCCTGGTTTCTGTATTCATCTGGAATGCCAATCGATGATTTGAGATCTAGAACTTCTTGTATCAAAACATCTTTTAATTTTTGGTCCATCCAACTATTTTCCTCGATCATTTCAATAAAAACCTTTTGAACATCTTTGAATAACTTGTTGACTTTGTAAAGATTTTTATCACCAACAAAGTGTTTCACAAAAATAGTTGCTAGAGTTCCAGGGAACAATTTGTTCAATCTCTTGAAACATGTGTCGAAATCAGCCTGGACCAAATAAAACTTAATTGTTGATTTGTATTTATCTCGAATAGCTTTCTTAACTTCTTCAACTCCAAATTCTTCAACAATTTTTTCAAGAATCACCATTGAATTTAATTCAACAAACCATTCGCCATTATTCTCCAAATCTCGATATTTTTCTGGCAGCAAATTCTTCACATATCTTTCGACATCAAAAAACTTGATATTTCTTTTTGCTTCGTCTATTGGTATAGATACTTCTTCATTCAAATGCTCGTTTTCACTCAAAATAGTTTCAGTACGATTTCTCATTGTTGTATTTTTCTCAAATCCGTGGATTATGTCAAGGAAAAGATATTTTGAATTGGTAGTTGAGTTTTGAATCATAGCAACATAATTTTTCAAAAATCCAGTGTCAATTGGATTAACTTTGACAGCTTCAATCAAAACATCAGTTAAACTATGACTTTCCAAATCGTCCCAAAAACTCATATCAATTTGATTTCGATATTCTGATTTATCCATACATTTTTTCAAAACTGTCATCGCAACTTTCTCAGATTTCGTGACTGGTTTATAAGTTTTGATAAATTTTGACAAATCGTTGTAGTCTTCGTCGCTATATTTAAACATTTCCTGACTATCATTTTTTGGATAATTTCCACAAACTGATTCATAGAAATCATCACATGGATTGATTTTTGGGTTCATCATGGATTTCTGAAAAAAAAAGTGATAGTTTTTCTTTACAAAGAAAGCATCCCACCATTCTTTTCCCAAGCATTTTACATTCTTTGGTTCTACAAATATTTTCGTTCTTTTGAATATTTGGTCTTGAATTTGGCACATTTTCTAATCCTTGAATCCATCCTTGATTATTTGCATAAAATATAAAAACAATGGCTAGAAATATAATTCCGACTATGATCCATTTTTTGTACTTTTGAAACTCAAATATTTTATTTGGTTTTGATATTGCACTTGTTTTTAAATCCATGATTTTCAGAAATACCTTAGTCATATGAATTTTAAGTGAGTTAGAAAAAATTGGCACACGTTTATAACATTCAAAAAAAATATTGTTTGGACCAGCTCAAATTTATTATTTTCAAATAAAATTTAGGATCTTCTAACAAGAGTTCACATAACTTTTCAAGGTACAACAAGAGTTCACATAACTTTTCAAGGTACATCTGCAGTCAGACAATCAATCACTCTTGCAGTTCGAGGCACATTGATCGTTGCAGTTTCAGTATTTTGGAGTTACCATAACCTGAAAACCTTGAAGTTTGCATAGATTTTCAGAGTCCAGTACTTTATGTAATCCAGAATAATCACAAAAAAAAAATTATTTTCTAAGTAAGTGATTGTTCAGTTTGCCATCAAGAGAATTTCGCAAATCTGGAAGATACAGTTGTGGAGTAGAAAATCTTCAAAAATCAATTCCCGATTTTATCACATCATAATCTAGACTTACGATTAAAACTATTGGTTTTTTGTCATGAAATTGTCTTTCAAAATTCAAATTTGAACAATGAATTTTGACGTGAACTTTGGCTTGATAGATAAAATAAAACTTGATTTTTTTTCTGAGATGACTACTATTTCTAGATAGCTCCGTAAAATGAAAATGTGAGTTTCCAAAAATTTCTCTCTTTCTAACCCCAGTTTTATGATCTTCAGGAAATCGAAAGCCCCAAAAGTTAAATCAAAACCTAAACCAGCAAAGGCTCTGAAGAAGACAAAACCCAAAAAAGCTGAGAAATCGAAGCCTAAGCCTTCAAAGAAAAATAAGAAGTCTAAAACTAGAACTAGATCAAAGACTCCTACGAAAAGTTCAGCGGACACAAAAACCGGATCAGCGGAAAAAACTGCTTACACACCAGAGAAATCAAAAAAAGGAGCAAAATTAAAGTTCATCTTACTGAGCCTTGGAATTTTTGTTATTTTTCTAGCGGTTATAGCAGGTGTTTCGTTCTTGGATTTTGTTGGAAATGATGATGAAGAACCAAAGGAAGAAATAAAAGTTTGCCAAACAAACGAATGCGCGAAATTGGGAAAGAGAATGAAGCAAATAATGAATTCACAAATCGATCCATGCCAAGATTTTTATGAGTATAGCTGTGGGAAATGGCAGGTGGAAAACGATAGGCAGTCTCAGCTAGCCATTCAATCATTTGAAGGACGCCAAAAAATTATGAAATTATTCAAAACCTATCAACCAGTCACAAACTCCGAAAGAATTGCCAAAGTTGTGCACAAAAAGTGTCTGGAAAACAAAGGAAAGGATTATACTGGAATAGATCAAAGTGTATGGAATAGCAAGGATCTCACTAAAATATTAATCGAAGCTGCAAAAGTGGATCCAATCGATACTGGTTTCTTGATACATATTATCATTCCATATCATAAAGAAGATGGTGAAAATAAATTGACTCTTATTTTTGCCAGTAGAATGGGCGAATCAAAGGTTTGAGGTCGCTTTTTGAAAACATAAGTGAGATATAAAATTTCAGGACGATAAAAATATACCTGATTTATCGCCAGATGATACGACAACATTCACTTTCATGAATCTTCAAGAATATTTGAAAGGATTACTTCCTGAAGAATATCGTGGAACTGAAATGAATTGGAAATTGAAAATTGTGAAAGATCCAATTGCAAAGGTATACTCTTATAAGACATAAAAAGCCTTTTCTGAAAAAAACCACTTTTTCATTTTTTCAGTTGAATCAATTTGCAAAAGTTAACTCGACTGAGAATATTCGACAGACTATCAAAGAAAAATGGCAAGAAAAATTGGAATCTTATCTTCTCCATTCTCAGGCTGTAGATAACTATGCATATTGTTTTTCTCAACTCGAAAAACTGTTTCCTGGAACATTAGCAATGATTTTCATCAAAACATTTGTTCCACCAAAACATTTGCAAAAAGCAAACCAAATTTTCCTGCAACTTAAGTACGTTTTCAAAGAAATGATCGATGAGAATGATTGGATGGATGATAATTTGAAGAAGCAGTTGAAAAAAGAATTGAACGCATATAAAGCATCGCTTGGTGAACCAGATGAACATAAGGATATAAAAAATATCGATCAAATGTATAAACGAGTGGAGAAATTGAAACCAGCTGAACAACAAGGATATTTGGAACTTGTTCGAAATTTATTAGCAATGAATAGTGAAGAGACATTTTTGAGAGTTGCCAGAAGAGATGTGATGACATATTCCGCCCATCCATTTCAGGCTTCTTTCCATTATATCGGTGTGTCCCATAGAACCTGTAAGTCGCATAAAACCTGTAACTAATGCAAAAAAAAAATTAAAATGATGACTGGGGTGACGCTTTTCACACTGATATTCATCACGCACCCACTGAAACTCAATTCCAAATTACATCTTCATGAGTTTAGAATCAAAATGTTTTCAACAATATCAAATAATTTCTATTTAGCATTCCCAGCGTATTCCGCATTATATCCATATATTGATGATAATCTTCCTGTTTGGAATGTTATTGCAAGTTTCGGATTAATTTTGGCGCACGAAATTGGACATGCTTTTGACGCGGGTGCTTTTTTGAAAAATCAATTTTTGGAAGATTATGAAATTAGTAGTTTGAATAGGGAAGAGTTCAAAAATCGTGTCAGATGCATCAGTGATAAATATTCCAAATATCAGTTTTACGATGGACGTCATGTAAGTTTTATTGTTGTTCTTTGTTGCATGTTTTAATATTTTTTGCCATTTTCAGTCAAATGGAACTCATACGTCTGATGAAGATACTGCTGACAAATTAGGTATTGATTTATCCTACCGACTTTTTAAAAAATTTCGAAGTTTTGAGAAAATTCCGGGGTTTGAGAATAAAACAATTGACCAACAATTTTTCCAAAGAATGGCGATAGTAGGTTTTTTACACCAAGTTTTTTTCAACAACATCTTTTCTTGAAAAGAATTTGTGAAAAAAAAAACTTTTTTTTCTCAATTTCAGGTGTTCTGTGGGATTAAACTAACAGAACCAAGAGAAGTTACGGAACAAATTGTTGATGTTCACAGTTACCGCAAATTTCGAATCAACGGAATTATGTCAAATTCGGAAGCATTTGCCAACGCGTATAGTTGTGCCAAAAATACTCCAATGAATCCAGATCAAAAGTGCCCGTTTTTATGAAAAAGAAATAAAATTTGCTTCAGTTTTTTTCGGAAAATTTACAGATTACTGTCATTTTTCACAAATAGCTTCAAAAGAAACCGACCACTTTGATTACTTTATTACTTCCCAAAATGAAAAAAATCATAACTATTCAACTGTATAACCATAATAATAACTATCCTCCATTAGCGAACTCAAATAAAAACTTTTCTTAATATTCACAACTCCATATTTCTTTGCAATTTTCTTATATCGAAATGTAAAATTCCATCCAGTAATTTTGATGTCAGTTACACTATCTTCAATTATTTTCCGCTCTTCTTCATTCATAATTAAACCACTTTTGTCAACCCATTCATTGTAATATTTTTGATCATATTTGTTGAATGTATTGTTGAACAATACTTCGTCGCTTCGTTTTAACGCTTTGTAAAAAATCGCTCTTCTATCATTATAATGTTTTTCGAAACGATGTTCTAACATTGGATCATCTAGATGTTTTGCATTTTTCTTTGTTTTTTTGTATCTTTTGAGCAATAAACTTAAAGGTATTGCATAATCATTCTCTCTGAATGGATCTGTTATTATTTTTCGAAGATTTTCATTAGTTGGCTTGGAAATTGCTAAATCTCCCAGCAAACTGAAAGCGATGTATTTGGCTTCAGAAAGTTCGAGTGTAGCTTCATTCGAAGTTTGTGCTTGAAATATTATAAAAATCAGAACTGTACATATTATCATTTTTTATTCAAAACTGATTTTAAAAATTTTCAAGAATTTTCTCATATTGCAGACCAATAAACCATCCCTGGGAAAATTGCAAATTGTTTATTTACAGACAATTTTTTTCTTCAAATTTTTGTCCCACTTCGAAGGTCAATTTTGTGACGTAGAATTGTTTTTCACTCACTCAGCGAATTACAGAAAAAAAAAATGATGCACTTGAAAAAAAAATGTTTTTCTCTTGTCAGATTTTTCGAGTTGATTATTCATTTATTTATAACATGAGTCATCAAATTAGCAAAAATATCTTCTAGTATTTAATTAGCAACAAGCGATCAGAGATTAATTAATTGGAGGAAAATGTGTAAGATGTGGTTTTGCTGATTTGAACTAAATAATGTATATTATTTTTCTGCGTAGAAAAATATTTTTAACTAAAAAATCTATGTTTTGGCTAGGCTAGAATAGAAAGTACATCAAGATATGAGAAAAATTGTGATTTATGTGTTTGATTTTGTAGCTGATAAGTTTAGCGAAAACGGATTTTGCCCGAAGGTTTTGCAGAATTTTGAGACCCGATTATGAGAATCTTTTTCTTTTTTCAGGTTGAAAAATCTTTGATCCATTAATTTCAAACTACTTTGTTACGTCACAAATTAACTTTTCTTCTTCCTGGTTTTTGTAAACAACATGGTTTGATGCGAAAATTTTTATCTGATTCCAAGATTTTTTCATGGCAAACGTTTTCCACGTCATAACTCAAATCACAAAATAAATATGTATTTTCCAAAAGTGATTGATAAGTTTTGTCATCATTTCCGAATTCTGCAAAAAACATAATCTGGAAGGACAAATTGTGACGTGGTGAATTTTCAAAAATCAGTTCCTGATTTTGCCACGTCATAACTACTAGACTTCAAAACTACACTTCTGATGATCAAAAAAGATTGGTTTTTTGATCGGGAAATTTTGGAATTGAGAAAAATGCAATCTGAATTCCGGTTTTGGCTGAAATTGTGACACATTTGGAAAGTGTCTAATAACTTTTTTGAATTCGAAATTGCAGATTATTTTTGAAAAACATGTTCAGCGAGTTATGACGTGGCAAAAATCAAACATGAGAATTTTGTATTTTGAAAAATCTGATGGAGCTCAAAATCACGTGGCAAAATGTATTTAAAAATTCTCTAGTTTTATCTAATAAGTACCTTAAGATGCTACATAAGTACCTTCCTAATTCTGATAAAACTTTTCAAAACCTTACGTCATTTTTTGTACCCTAATACTTATTTCATTCTTCTCTAATCCCAAAATTTCACTCTATCGATAAGAAAACTTCACTCACGTTTTTCATTTGACAAAAGTTTTGTCTCTCTTTCTCCGCCTGATATCTATTGTCTCTAATCATTTACTATAATAACCTGTTTTGTTTTTTTTTGGCCATACCGCCAATATTTTCTTCATTAGAGTTGATTTTTTTGGTCAAAAGTCAGTTGTTGTTTTTTAAATGGCATGGGGGATTTCTAATTTTTTTCGCTAAACTTCTAATTTTTCCCGACTCCGCCCACATTTTCCATTTCATCTCAAATATAAAACACTTTGATTTGATTCAGATTCAAATCAAATCACTCACATCGGTTTTTTTCTCGGGTTGATCAAATTAGTGACTCGCTTCGCTTGTTAGACCAAATTAAAAATGATACCATCTTTTCTCATTCTTCGCATTTTTTCGAAACAAAAAAGTTTCTTATTTTTCTAAAAATGAAATATTTTTTTATAGATTCAGTAAATGTCAAAAACGTTCATTTCTTGGAATTTCTTCATTGAACCTTTGGAAAAATATAAGTTAGAGAAACTTCCTGAAATTAATTCTTGCTGAAAAATGTTTCTTAAAATATTTGTTTTACTTCTTACAACGTCTGAAAATCCTCCAATTTCACAATTTTTTCTTGATCTCATAAATCGTCCTAAAAAGTTCAATGTACCTCCAAAGAACTAAATTTTTTCAGCAACCGCAAAACTTTCAAAAAATGTTGGGAATGATGAATGCCCCATCGGAAGGTGTCGATTTCTACGCCGTCCGACAAACCCGCAAGATGTCCGATCCAGAAACATCGGATTTATCCGAATTCAGTGAGATGAAGCAGAAAGACAAGGTTAGCTATACATCAGATGGGAGAAAGTTGATCAATGGAAAACCGGTGACAATGGAAGAGCCGGCAAATTTGTGGGGAAATATGTTGCTCCGCGGAAGAATGCGAGTTTCTTTGCCGACTACACCGAATAATGAGCCTGCTGATAAACAAGACTCAGAAACTGAAGCTGAAGCTGAATCTGGAGTTGTTGCGAAAAATGAGAAAATTGAGATTACTGAAGTTCCAGTGCTGGCAGCTTCTAAGAATAAGTGAATTCACGAGCCTTTCTAATGCAACGCTACATTTTTTGTACATAACTTCCCCCATTTTTCTTTGGCAATATAGATCTACTCGAAATACTACGCTTTATTGATTTTTTTTCCGTTTTTATTGTTATTTTTATTGGATAAATGATATTGGTCTTGTTCTTTATTATGTGAAAAAGATAGTTTTTTTAAAGAGAAAAAACGGAAATTTGGGTTTATGACAGTCTACAAGGAAGTTTCGCAATTTTGCTACATTTTTATCGATGAAATTTTTTGAATTTCCAAATTTCTACGCTATGAATAACATCTAAACTTCAGATTCAATTTCAAAAATAAATATCTTTCATGGTTCAAAAGATTATCATGGCTACAAGACACAATTTAGCGAAAATAGTGATTTTTCTTTGAAGTGATTTTTGATAGATCACGAATATTATGACACACTTTTAAAAATTCTCGATGAATTTTTGGTGGTCCGAAAAATTAAGTTGAAAAATTGAGGCCGATAAAAAATAGGCAAAAATATTCTCACGTGAAAATGCGACGGGAAAACACATTTTCATTTTCTTAAAATAATGAGAAGGTAACCATGCGTTTTGAAATCAACTCACAATCAAAATCAAATCATATTTTTTTCAGTACAAATTTGACACCCACTAAATCTAAAACTACCATCGGCATTGTCAATAATAATGAAAAGAAGAAGTCGAAATTGAAAATGTTATTATTGTCTTTGGGAGCTGTTATGGTTACAATTTTAGCATTTGCTATAATTTCAGTAGCTATTTATTTTTCAAAAGCCGAAGATACTATATCTAGTCAAAATCCAACTATTGGAAGTACAACAAGTTCAAAACAACACATTTCATCAACAGAAACTATTCCCAAATCATCCCTTCCAGTAGAGACTATTTGTGAAACTGTAGAATGTCAACAATTCGCGGATCACATGGTAAATTTTTGAAAGGCATTTGGGTAGCTGATTTTTTTTTGAATCGAGAATAATTGTTTTTCACAAAAAAAAAGCAAAACTAATTGTCCCTAATACTATATTCCAGAAGTTATTTATGAATCAAAGCGTCGATCCTTGTGATGATTTTTATGAGCATATTTGTGGAAATTATCCTGATTCGTGGGCTTCTTCAAATTTAGGTCATTACTCATATAAAAATCGAATACAATTGTATAAGTTTGTGAGAAAATTCAAAGGTGAAACAAAATCGGAAAAGATTGCGATGGCGACATTTAGAAAATGTAAAACTACAAGAAACGATTCGGAATTGGATAAAAGTTTCTGGAAGCAGAAGACTAATATTGATTTGACAGATATGTTGATTGAGATGGCAAAAGTCAAAATACACAAAAGCGGATTTTTGATAAACAACGTAGATTATGGAGATGAATTGAACAAAAATAATGAGAAGTTTTTTACATTGACAATTGAGAAAGGTCGAAGAGGAAGAAATGACAGCATAGTGAAAATTGAAGACATAGCTGACGAAATCAAATCATTTGATTTGAGAAGATATTTGAAATCATTGCTACCTGAAGAAAACAGAGATGATAAATTTGATTGGGTTGTTAAAGTTAATGTTAATCATATGAAATCGGTTAGTTTATTCAGAAAAGTTTTTTTTTCGTCAAAACTAGAAATATGTTTAGTTAGAGAAAGTGGTCAAGAAAAAAGGGGTTTCGAGAATACGCAAAGCGCTTTATAAAAAATGGAAGGGAATTTTGAATGCATTTATTATTGGTAATTCAACAAACGTCAATCTCAATTGGTTATGTTTCCTTCAAATGGAAAAACTATTTCCTGGCACACTTTTGACAATGTATATCAAACATTTTGTTGGGGCAGAAATTCTGAAAAGAAGTAAGAAGCTTTTTGAAACAGTTAAAGAAACTTTCATCAAAATTATCGACGAAAATGAGTGGATTGATGAAAACCTTAAACATTTATTGATTGAGGAAGTGAGTCATATAAAAGCATCGATTGGAATTCCAGATGAACATGAAAATCAAGAAAATATTGATAGAATGTATGCGAGAATTGGAGAAGATTATAAAAATCAATCATATTTGACACTTGTTAGAAATTTATTGAAAATGAACAGCGAAGAAACAATTTTAAGAGTTGCCAGAATGGAGCAAATTACTTATACATTAAGACCAAAAGGAAGAGTGTCACCCAGCTTCAATCAAAAGCACCATCGATTACGTAAGTTCAAGATTTAACAGAAAAGTTCAAAGATTAGCACCTAGATGGTCAACAATGTGAGAAACCTCCGAACAGTTAAAAGTTGGTCAAAAGTACAACCCTCGGAAACCAACCCTCGAATGTTTAACCCTCGTCATTTTGTACAACCCTCGGCGTTTTCAGATTTACCCTCGTCATTTCAAAAAATTTTTTTTTCAATTTCAGTTGTCATTTTTTGAGGCGATCAATCCTTGGATCTAGTTTTTAGGAAAAACTATAAATTTTCACACAGTGTCAGAAATACTTGTTTTTTCATCTGAAACATCGAATTTTGTTGAAAAAACATTTTTCTTGGGCGTTCACTAAGCCTAAGCTTTATAAAGAGAAATGAAGTTTTTTTCCGAAAAAAAATCATTTCGAAAATGAAAAAATTAATTTTTGAAATGCCGAGGGTTGTACTTATGACCTAAAAGTTTTCTTTCAGTTTTCCCGACTTTCCGAATGAATCTTCCTCGATTACATGAAAGTTTACCCGAATGGGTTATGATTGCATCATTTGCGTCAACTCTCGGACATGAAATGGGACATTCATTCGATACAAAACGATTTGACAAAAATCATTTAATGCAATCATATAATTTGACAACGAAAACCAAAAATGAATTTGAAAAACGTTTGGATTGTATAAAACAGCAATTCAGCTATTTCAAATTTCCAGATGGTAGTTTTGTGAGTTTTCCAAGTATCGTAAACATTTCACATATTTTTTTTATAGTCGAATGGATCTCGGACAATAAAAGAAGACACTTGTGATTCAATAGGATTCGATATCGCTTACAGAATTTTCGAAAATCTGAAACCCGATGCAAAATTCAGAAAACTTCCAGGTTTTGAAAATTCGACAACGGAGCAACTATTTTTTCTAGGAAAGGGTCAAATTTTGTGTGCAAAAAAAATAACACCAGCAGGCATCGAAGGTTTCAAAAAAGATGTGCATAGTTATGAAAAATTTCGTGTAAATGGAGTGATGGCAAATTCGAAGGAATTCGCAAAGGCTTTTGGGTGTGAAATTGGAAAACCGATGAATCCTGAGAAGAAATGCAAGCTTTTCAGTAATTAGATGTTTTTGAAATGAAGATTTTAGCCAGAAATATATTTTTTGAGTCGGGCCGGTAATTTTTCAAAAAAAAAATTCCATTCCGCGAAACGTGAACTTCAATTTGTGATGGTTATTTTTAAATTTTAAAAATCTGCAAAATGCAAGAATCTCAAAAAGATGTCGAATCGAAGAAATCATCGTTCACGGAAAGAAAGTAGGCTGATTTTTTGAAACTAATGATTTTTCATAAGAATTCCAGTGAAAGTTCGCAGAAAAAATCGGAATTTTCGAAGAGAACAAAAATTATTTTGGCAATTCTAATGGCGTTTTCAATAGTGATTATAGTTTCGATTTTTATAGCTATTTTTTATATTTTGCAAGGAGAAAACGAAGGAAAATTGGAAACGGCCGCATTAGAAAGAGTTGAAACTTCAAGACAAGCTGAAATTTTCACTACACCCTCTTATTTTGAAACTTCAACACCAGCTACAATTTTAACAACATTCGTAACTTCAAAATCTTCAATATCAGTTCCAACTTCAAAAATTCCAGTCGCCAAAGTTTGTCGAACTGACGAATGTCAGAAATTTGCAAAAAGAATGGTAACATTTGCTTCCTCAAAAATTGTTCTGGAACTTTAAATTCAATTTTTTTCAGAAATCAATGATGAACCCAAATATCGATCCATGTCAAGACTTTTTCGAAAATATTTGCGGAAATTATCCCGAAAGTAGCACACAATTTGGAATTTATGGTGAACAATTGTATGAAAACCTAATCAAGTTTTTGAAAATGCTTAAAACTTTCAAACCCGAAACAAAATCGGAAAAAATAGCAATGGTGACATTTGAAAAATGTAAAAATACAAGAGAAGATTTGGAATTAGATGAAAGTTTTTGGAACCGAAATGATGAAGATCTAACAGCTATATTGATTGAGATGGCGAAAATTAATTTGAATAAACCAGGATTCCTCAAAAATTATATAAATTATGGGAAAGAAATCAAAAAAAATCAGAGATTCCTAACTCTTACAATAATTAAAGGATTTGAATTTGGAACTGAAATTGAAAAAGCCTGGAATTCTTCAACATCATATTATTATTTGTCAGAAATGGGGAATGCGATTGAATTAGCGGCTGAAATTCAAAGTTTTGATTTGAAAAAATATGTGAGAAACTTGTTGCCGGAAGAAAATCGCAATGATAAATTTGAATGGAATGTTCTAGTTTCAAAACATGATTTAACTCGATTAGATGCAGTTGTAAAAGTTTTAGGTGAGATTCAGAAAATTTAGAGACTTTCAAAGAGTATGCTGAAACTCTGAACAATTTTAAGGTGTCCCGAAAATTCGCCAAATTTTGCTTAAAACTTGAAGACGAACTTTGCAGTCGTTTATTGTTAATCCAAAAAATCAGAATTCAAATATCAATTTGGAAAATCAATGTTTTATAACAATCGACAAATTATTTCCTGGAACATTTCTAACAATGTTCATCAAACAATTTGTTGGTCAAGAAAATTTGCAAAAAGCTAATGAACTATTCGAGAAAGTTAGGCAAAGTTTAATTGAAATGTTCCAAGAAAATACATGGATCGATAAAAAACTTATACCATTTTTAATTGAAGAAGTGAATGAGATGAAAATATCGATGGGAATTCCGGATGAATATAAAAATTTGAAAAATATTGATAAAATGTATGCGAAAATTGGAGAAGATTATAAAAATCAATCATATTTGACACTTGTTAGAAATTTATTGAAAATGAACAGCGAAGAAACAATTTTAAGAGTTGCAAGAATGGAACAAATTACCTATGCAAAATCACAACCAAAAGGATTGTCTTTGATGCAAACTGCACATATATCACATCCAGGTCATAGAATAAGTAAGTTTTATCTGACAATTTCATGAAAATATTGATTTTTATGATTGTTTCAGCATATCCGGCATCCCGTTTAAATGTCCCAATAATGCACAAAAGTCTACCCGAATGGGTTAATATTGGATCAATTGCTTTCAATATGGCACATGAATTAGGACACGCTTTTGATTCAAATAGATTTTTCAAAAATAAGTTTCAAACAAATTATAATTTATCGATTGATTCGACAAAAACCGAATTTTCCAAAAGATTGAAATGTGTGGAAAAACAATTTGATCAATTTCAATTTCCAGATGGAACTTTTGTAAGTTTGAAAAAAACTTATGAAATTCTTGAAAACTAAAATTTTATTTTTTCAGTCGAAAGGCTCCCGTACAATCAAAGAAGATATATCTGACAAAATCGGATTTGATATTGCTTTTCGAATTTTCAAAAAACTGGAATCAAATTCAACATTTCAACAACTTCCCGGCCTCGAAAATTTCACTCCGGAACAATTATTTTTTCAAAGATTGGGACAAGTTTGGTGCACGAAAAAAATGACAAACGAAAAAATTCGGAGTTTTGGAAAAGATGTACACAGTGCTCCAAAATTTCGGACTAATGGAATGATGCAGAATTCGAAGGATTTTTCGAGAGCTTTTGGTTGTGAATTGGGAAGTCCGATGAATCCGAAGATAAAATGTCAAATTTTTGATGAATAAAATGAAAATTTTGATTGAAATAAAAAATTCACCTTGATCCAAGGAACAATTTTTTTTAATCAATAATTATTTCACGTCGTGCCACCACACAAATTCGAGGAGACGCAGACATTAATTTTCGGTTAGAAAGTCGCTGCGAGACCTCAACACATCAAAGGGCGACGCCGATGTGGTCTATAAACGCAGCGACAGACGAAAAAGCGGCGCGGCCATGCGCTATGTTTTGTGTGTGTGTGTCTGCTTGTCTGCTGTGTCTGCCAACAGCACACTGTATCGCCCGAGGGGGAAGGAAATGCGAGAGATGTCTCTGCCTGTGTTAAAAGTCTGCGTCTCCCAGAAATTTAATTTTTGTATCGGCTGGCATAGCGTGATTTATGAGACGTGATCCATATATTTCACTTTTTTTTCGAAAACTCGAAAAATGTCACATTTCTAAAAAGATGGATCGAAGTGGCTCCAAAATTTTCGCTCAACTTTTCTTTGGTCAAAATTTGTAAAATTCCCTCTCACAAAATTTATTTATCAAGAAACATTCTGTGGAATTTATAATCAAGCAAAGAAAAATTACTGTTGCTGTTGTTGTTGATAACTCAACCCACTCGATGCACCAAATAATCCTCCGTCGAACACCGAACTCAGATAATCCTCACTTTCCTCTCTCATCAAATCCGCCAATCCTTTTGCCGATTCAACAAACGGATCGAAGCCCAATTCATCTTCTAAACCAAATCTGGAAAGTCGACTTTTCGGTTCTTGTTGATAAGAAGAAAAAGTTTTTTGTGTCTGTGGTGGTGCACATTGTTGTGTTTCCTCGATTCCTCCACTAATTCTAGTTTGGTTTTCCATAGGCATCGGATGTTCCCCACTACAACCACATTCCGAGCTAACATTGACCAATGATAGTTTGTCGATACTTTCGTTTTGTCGTTGTTCGTGTTTTAAATTTTCTGACCTCAATTTTAATAATTCATCTTCAAGTCTGCAAAATCAATTGATTAACTAACAAAAAAAATCAGGAGTTTTTGTTTAGAAAACGCTCACTTTTTATATCTCACTTTCGCTGCATGAAGTTGTATTATAGCTGTATTTATTCTCTTTTTCAATCTGACATACTCTGACCGCGTAATCACTTCAATTTGATTCTCCATGATACATGTAGTTAGGATATTGTTAGATATATTTATAAAAAGTATAAGAAATTAGTAGACGCTGTTTTTATATCGCATTCCACCTTTTGGTTATGGTCCTTCTCGTTTTCCCTCTCTCTTCATTCTATACACTATTTCTTTTTTGCAGCGTCTACTAACAAGTTTTGATACCTTTTGTTTAGCGTTCTCTTTTTTTTGGTTCAAAACGCACCAGATTTTTTTTACGCTTTACGGGTTTTTGAGCAGAATTTCATTTCAAAATTTTGGGAAATAATTTCTCGAAATTCACAAAACTTCAGAAAAAAAAATTTTTTTTGCTCATATTTCGGATAAAATTAGTTCGAATCCAACTTCTTGTTCAATTTTTACACCATTTGTGGTTAATTTTCAGTGAAGACCCTAAGCACGCATTTTTATGGAACATGGCATGCTCTGAAAACTTTTTTTTAACGAAATTTCGGGTTTTCTAGATTTTTCCTGGGCATGTGTATCTATAAAATTAATATTGTTTGGTTGGATATTTGTGACAGAATAAATGAATTTTTCAGATATTATGGAAAATGAGCAAATTTCGAAGTTCGAATATGCACATCTCGAAAAATGCATGATTGAACTTGAAAGGCAAGCTGATGAACTGCAAGAGAATCGACGAAGGTTCGAAAAAAACTCCTGATTTTAGTTAATCAATTGATTTTGCAGACTTCAAGAAGAACTAGTAGTAGAGAGAATATTAAACGAACTACGTATTGAAGTTGAACTTTTGGAGGGGTTTTATGAAAAACAATCGGAATTGGATGGATCTGGGGAATGTGATGGTAGTGGTGAATATGATCCGACGCCTATTCAAAACCAAACTAGAATTAGTCGAGAAATCAAAGATGCGCAACAAAGTGCATGCAGTTTTTTTGAAGTGAGACATGTGAGTTTTTTGGTATTAGCACTGAAGGTTTGCTTCAAACTCTGAAAGTATAATCGGCCCGAGTTTTTTCAAAAAAAAAATCGGTCCGAGTTTTTTCAAAAAAAAAAAAGTCGGCTCGAGTTTTTTCAAAAAAAAATCGGCTCGAGTTTTTTCAAAAAAAAAATCGGTCCGAGTTTTTTCAAAAAAAAAAGTCGGCTCGAGTTTTTTCAAAAAAAAATCGGTCCGAGTTTTTCAAAAAAAATCGGCTCGAGTTTTTTCAAAAAAAATCGGTCCGAGTTTTTTCAAAAAAAAAAGTCGGCTCGAGTTTTTTCAAAAAAATCGGTCCGAGTTTTTTCAAAAAAAAGTCGGCTCGAGTTTTTTCAAAAAAAAGTCGGCTCGAGTTTTTTCAAAAAAAAGTCGGCTCGAGTTTTTTCAAAAAAAAAATCGGTCCGAGTTTTTTCAAAAAAAAAATCGGTCCGAGTTTTTTCAAAAAAAAAAAGTCGGCTCGAGTTTTTTCAAAAAATCGGTCCGAGTTTTTTCAAAAAAAAGTCGGCTCGAGTTTTTTCAAAAAAAAGTCGGCTCGAGTTTTTTCAAAAAAAAATCGGCTCGAGTTTTTTCAAAAAAAAAAATCGGCCCGAGTTTTTTCAAAAAAAAAAAATCGGCTCGAGTTTTTTCAAGCATACCTACTATTTTAAAAATGAAAATCAGGATTTCAAGTAGAAAAATGTTTCTAGTTTGATTTAAAAAAAACAATTTTTAATTGATCTGAAATTATTTGCACGTGAACCGTGAAGTTTTAATTTCTAAAAAAAAATCAAATTCCGATATTTTTGCAGGGACATCGACATGCACAAAGAGAAACACGAAGTCATTCACCACAAACTGATCCTGAAGCTGATATTGATTGGTTAGATGATATGACGTCACACAAAAAACAATCTTCGTATCCACAAAAATCTAAAAGTCCAACACCGGGATTTTCCAGATGTGGTTTAGATGATGAATTGGGTTTTGATCCGTTTGTTGAATCGGCAAAAGGATTGGCAGATTTATTGCGAGAGGAGAGTGAGGATTATCCGAGTTCGGTGTTTGGCGGAAGATTGTTCGGTGCATCGAGTGGGTTGAGTTATCAACAACAACAGTAGCAGAATCAACAGAATTCATTGTCACAGTGAGTTTTTCATTGTTTGATTATCAATTTTTTAAATTCTCGAAATCATCTGAAAAATCTAGAGCCGAAATTACGATTTTTTCCACACAAGCCAGTTTTCAGACAAATAATAAATTAAAGATATTTTTCAATTATTTTTTCGAAATTTATATGTTTTCTGACTGAACTTTTCAATAATATTGAAATTTTTTATTTATGGGGGATATTTTTACAAGTAAAAATTATAAATAAAAAATTACAATTCAAATCTCTTGGCAGAAAAAAAAACAAAAAAAAATACTTTAAAAAAAAAACTTTCTGAACTATGATACTGTGAAATCTAGAACTCATGTTCCAAATTTTCTAGATTGTTCAACCAACAACATCAACAAGCTGTAGCCGCGTCCGCTGCTGTTTCTCAACAAGAATAACAACACGCGCATCAACAGCAGCAACAATTGGCTGCATCCTCATCACTTCGGTCATCATCTCCAGCACATTCTCCCCTTCAGAACTTTTAAATCCCCTTCAGAACTTTTGGAAATCCACAGTAGTTCATTTTGGTAAAAGTAATTCAAAAACTAAATATTTTGCAAATAAAATTGAAATACCTAGTAAGGAATTTGTTCGTGACTGAGACCCGTTCAACCTAAAATTACTGTTAAAACCATATTCTGATCAAAAAACAAATTTTCAAGCATTTTTTCTTTTCAAGCAACCATACTCAGAAGCTGAAACTGCATGGCTAAATTTTTTCACAATCCAATTTTTAGAGCTAAATGTTGAAAAAAATATAATCTGCAAGTTACTTCAAGAAATGAAAAATACGGCGGGGAAATGGTCAGGAAAACGTTTTCAAGAATCAAACCGTCAAAAAACGTTTTACCTAAAGAAAACTACGCGCCAAGCCGAGACAATCCTGAAGGAGGAGCCGGCGTTGGCCGGCGGAGCCCTTCTGGTTTTGATTGAAATAAAAAATTCACCTTGATCCAAGAAATTTTTTTTTTAAAAATCAATAATTATTCATGAGACGTGACCCAAATATTTCACTTTTTTTCGAAAACTCGAAAAATGTCACATTTCTAAAAAGATGGATTTAGAAACAAGTCCAATTTCAAAACCCAAAAAGAGATTTGATTTCAAAGATTTCAAAAAATCAATAATCACTGTTATTATATTTCTAGCTATCGTATTTCTATTATACGCAAAAAATCAAGGTTATATTAAAAATGATCAAGTTACGCCAAGTGTAAGACCACATATTCATGAAGAACCAAATACAAATCCGGAGATTCAAGATGAAATAAAAATAGAACAAGAAAAATCAAAAGAGGAAACTGTTTGTAGAACTAGAGAATGTATAAGACTTGGAGATCTAATGGTAAGAATTACTTGTAAATCAAAAAAAATTCCGAATTATTTTCAGAAATCTTTGATGAACCCAAAAGTCGATCCATGCAATGATTTTTATGAATCAATTTGTGGAAATTATCCAAGAAATGGTGAGACAGAAATAATCGAACGAGAAAAAAATGACTATAACAAATTGTTAAAATTCATGACAAGCTATAAAGGCAAAACAAGGTCCGAGAAAATTGCAAAGACAGTTTGGGAAAAATGTATGGAAGATTCAGAAAGTCGTTTTCAACTTGATATGAGTTTTTGGTCTGATTCCAAAAATCATAGCTTGACTGATTATTTGATTGAGGCTGTGAAGGTTAATCCAATCAACACTGGATTTTTGAAAAATAAAATTTACATGCGCCGAAATACAGCTAAAAACTCAAAATATCTTTATCTTTCTATATCGCAAGATCTTGAAAAAAATTCAAGAATGGGAAAATATTTCGAAATTCTTTATGCGCAATCCAAAATATCGGAGAGATCCAAAATTATGAAATTGAGTGATGCCAAAAAAATAATCAAGTTTATTGATCTTGAAAAATATGTGAAAGGTTTGTTACCTGAAGAATATCGTGGGCAGAAAAATGAAGGGGAATACGAAGTTGAAATAAATTCACTGATTATTCTTGAAAAAATTGTTGGAATGGTTGGAATTGATCATGTAAAACAAGTTCTTCGAGACAAATGGAAATCAACAATAAACAAATATTTGGTGAATCCGGAATTTGAAGAATGTTTCAAGGAAATGAACAAACTATTTCCTGGAACTCTTGCCACAATTTTTGTCAAAGAATTTGTTGGCGATAAAAACCTTGAAAAAGCTGATCAATTGTTCAAAGATCTTCAAGAAGTATTCACAGAAATGATTAATGAAAATACTTGGATGGATCAGAAATTGAAAGATGTTTTGAAACAAGAAGTAATGGAGATCAAATCATCGATTGGAATTCCAGATGAACACAAAACTCAAGACAAAATTGATAAAATGTATTCGAAAATTGGGGAAGATTATGAAAAGCAACATTATTTGACTTTGATTCGAAATATTTTGAAAATGAATAGCGAAGGAACATTTTTGAGAATTTCAAGAAAAGAGGAATTATCATATCTTGGATCAACAATGAAATTCAATGTAAACTATTTTCGACCAAATCATCGAACATGTAAGTTATCATAACTATGTGGGTTCTTCTCATACAGTAGAAAAATTTCAGCCATCAGTCCCGTTCTTCTCAAATTTCCATACCTTGATGAATATTTACCAGAATGGAATAACTTTGCAACTCTTGGTTATCTTTTGGGACATGAAATTGGACATTCTTTTGATGCTGAAGATTTTTACAAGAATCCAATGGGAACTGATATCAAAATTTCATCAAAAATCAAGAAAATATTCCAAGAACGTATTGATTGTTTAATTCAAAAATATAACAAATATCAATTTACAGATGGAAGTTTTGTGAGTTACAATAACTTTTGTTTTTTTTAAATATTTCTTTTAGTCAAATGGAACTCTAACTCAAATCGAGGATTCTGCAGATATGATTGGATTCAATCTTGCTTATCGTTTGTTCAAAAAAGCGAATAATAATGAAAAATTGCCAAGTCTTGAAAAATATAGTGTAGAACAACAATATTTTCACAGATTGGGTTATGTACGTTTTTCTCTATCACAGTTTTTTTTTCAAATGTTGAAATTTAGATTTGGTGCTCTGCGGAAATGTCAAAATCAATTGAGTCTGCGAAAAAAGATACGCATAGTCTTGGAAAATTTCGTATCAATGGAATGATGTCAAATTCCAAAGAATTTGCAAAAGCCTTCAATTGCCCGAAAAATAGTCCAATGAATCCAGAGAAGAAATGCCCTTTGTATAAATGATGAATTGAATTTTTTATTTAAAAAAAACGTGACCTAGTATTCACTTTTTTGAAGATCCGAAAAAAACCACATTTCTGAAAACATGGATTTAGAAACAACTCCGCCACCCAAACCAACTGAAAAATTCGATTTTCGAAAATTAAAAAAAATCGATAATAATTGCAATTGTATTACTAGCTACTGTAGTTTTGTTGTACGCCAGAAATCAAGGTTTTATTGATGATCAAGTTTCGCCAAATTCGAAACCAAATGTTTATGAAAAACCAAAACCAAATGCGGAAATTCAAGATGAAATAAAAATAGAAAAAAATAGTACTAATCAGGAAAATATTTGTAAAACCATGGAATGTCAAATTCTTGGAAAACGAATGGTAAGTTTATTTTTAATTGTCATCGATAAAAGTTTCGAACTATTTTCAGAAATCATACATGAACCCAAAAATTAGTCCGTGTGATGATTTCTATGAATCAGTATGTGGAAATTATCCGAAAGATGGGAGTGGTGAACAAGATGAAGATGAGGATGACGATATTGCAGATCTAGCTAAACTAATTGTAACTTATCAACCAATTTCGAAATCGGAGAAAATTGCGATGAAAGTATTGGAAAAATGTATGGATAAATCGAGAAATCGGAATCAAATTGATAGGAGTTTTTGGGACAATTTGCAAAATCATAGTTTGACTGATGTTTTGATTGAAGCTGTCAAAGTTAATCCGCTTTACACTGGATTTTTAGAAAACGATGTTTATATGGAACAAAATTCAAGTACCAATTCAAAATATCTTCGTCTTTCTATAACTGCAGGACTTGCGGAAAATTCAAAAATGGAGGAAGTTTTTGAGCAAATAAAAAGTGAAAACGAAGATTTGGAGAAGAGAATATATATTTCATTGGACGAAGCCAAAAATCAAATCAAATTCATTGATCTTGAAAAATACGTGAGTAGTTTGTTACCGGAAGAATATCGAAAAATCGAAAACGATGGTGAATGGAAAGTTGACATAAACGCTATGATTATTTTGGAAAGAGTTGTGAATATTACTGGAGTTGAGCATGTGAAAGAAGTTATACGATATGAATATCTTTCAACTTTGGATAAATATTTGGTAAAGCCGAATTTTCCAAGATGTTTCAAGAGATTGATGAAACTATTTCCTGGAACACTTGCCAATATTTTTGTGAAAAACTTTGTTGGCGACAAAAATCTCGACAAAGCAAATCAATTATTCAAGGATCTTCAAAAGGTTTTCATTGAAATGTTGAACGAAAATGATTGGCTCGGACAACACCTGAAAAATCTCTTGAAACAAGAAGTTTTGGATATGAAAGCATCCATTGGAATACCAGATGAGTATAAAGATCAGAAAAATGTTGACAGAATGTATTCAAGAATTGCGGATGATTTTGAAAATCAATCATATTTGACTTTGATTCAGAGTTTATTGAGAATGAATAGCGAAGAAACATTTTTGAGAGTTTCTAGAAAAGAGGAGATCACATATCTTGGAAAAACTATCGGTACGAATGCCAATTATCTTCCAGAAAATCATCGAACATGTGAGTTACCCTAACTATTAATCAATATTGTATCTTTGAAACAATTTTCAGCTATTTCTCCAATCTTCCTTAATTTCCCATATATTGATAAGAATCTGCCAGAATGGAATACATATGCCACAATTGGTCTAATTTTGGGACATGAAATAGGACACGCTTTTGATGCAATGGATTTTTTCAAGAATCCAATGGGAGAAAAAATTAAAATGTCATCCAAAATGAAAAAAATATTCAGACAACGCATCAAATGTATTATCGAAAAATATAACAAGTATCAATTCCCAGATGGAACTTTCGTGAGTTCTAAAATTATTTGTTTTCGTTAAAAAAAATAATTTTTAGTCTGATGGAAGTCTCACGCAACAAGAAGATTCTGCAGATATGATTGGATTCGATTTGGTTTACAGATTATTCAAGAAATTGGAAAATCCTCAAAAATTTTCAAGTTTCGAGGAGTACACCGCAGAACAGCAATATTTTCAAAGAATTGGAATTGTGAGTAATGAAATCCTAAAAGCAATTAGATTTCTTACAATTTTTTAAGCTCTGGTGTTCTGGAGAAACGAATGAAAAACAACTTGAGCGCATCAAAGACGATGTTCACAGTTTTCACAAATTTCGTATCAATGGAATGATGTCGAATTCCGAAGAATTTGCAAAAGCCTTCAATTGCCCGAAAAATAGTCCGATGAATCCAGAAAAGAAATGCCCACTTTTCAAATGAATGCATTATTGAGCCTAATTTAAGATATTTTTCAGAAAAAATAAACATAAAAACATCAATGATAAAAAGAGGAATGGCGAAAAAATGACTGGAAAAGCACACATTCTTCCAGCTTGTTTTCCATAACTAGAATTTTCAAAAGGTTTTGACGAGTTTTCGAAAAGAAATTCACGAAGATCGGTAACGAAATCCGAGCTGTATCGAAGTTCAAAAGCGTTTCATCAACTTCACAGTAAAAAACCACCAAAACCCTCAAAAACAACAGAATTCTTCTGCAGAAAGTGACAAAAAGGGGAAAAAAACAAAAAATGAAAATTCAAAAAAAAATGGGCGCGAAGTGTGCAATAGAGCGCGTTTGCCGTTTTCTCTCAATTTCCGAAAAAAAAATAAATTTCTAATTTCTGAACAAAAAAAAACACGTGACTTACCCACTTGACCATTTCTGACACAAGAAATGACTATCAATTTGCTTATTGTTAGAAATGTTTTGCTCCTCCCTCCTCCCAAACCTCAAAATAAACTAACTTGACTGGTCCTTTCCGTGAAAAGTTGTTGATTTCTTTGAATTTCCTGTCCAAGCGATACATCTTCTTTTTCGAAAGCCTGAAACATCTACATTCTCTTTCTCAAAATCTTCGCTCATTCTCAAACTTACATCAGAAAATGGCAATTGAGAATTATATGGGACCGCTGAATTCTGTAATGGTTGTCTCTGAAAAAATAAGAAAATTAAAAAATATACCAAATCACCCCATTAATAACACTTTCTGCGCAGAAAAAACCACTCAAAAACCAGAAAAAACGCAAAAAATAAAGGTCGTGAAAAAAAAATAAAAGAAAAACAACGATACTCCGCGTGCGCGTTGTTTAGCGTGTTTATTTTTTTGTTGTTTTTTGCAGGGCAGATGAGAGAGTGTGGGAAATGGAGAGAGGGTTAGAGAGAGAGCGAGAGAGATGTTTCTTATTTGAAAAGAAACTATTGATTGAACGTTTTTTTTCTAACTGAATCATTTTTCTGGTTTTGTGTGATTTGGTACATTTTTTAATTGTCTTATTTTTTAGAGACAACCGTCACAGAATGCAGGGATCCCATCAAATCCACAATTGCCATTTTTTGATGTAAGTTTAAGAATAGGCGAAGATTTTGAGAAAAAGAATGTAGATGTTTCAGGCTTTCGAAAAAGAAGATTTTTCATTTGGACAGGACATTCAAAGATATCAACAACTTTTCACGGAAAGGACCAGTCAAGTTAGTTTATTTTGAGGTTTGGGGGGGGGGAGGAACAAAACTAACAGGTGAGATTTGAACTTCATTGAAAAATATTGGGTAAAGTTTTTTATTCATAATTACTATTGATGTTAAAGGAAAGTTGTTTATAAATTACTATGTTTAAATCATAAGATGAAGCTTTGAATTACACTTGATGGTATAAGATCAGCTTCCATATTTTATTGAAAAACAAACTATGAAATATTTCATAGGTAGGTTAGTTTTTTCATAGTTTTATGCATGCGATTATCCACAAAACTGTTTTTTTGTCAAAACAAGTCCAAACATATTTTTCAAAAATCTTTATTTCCACTAAAAATCTTTATTTAAAAAGTGGACATTTCTTTTCTGGATTCATCGGACTATTTTTCGGGCAATTGAAGGCTTTTGCGAACTCTTCGAAGTTTGACATCATTCCATTGACACGAAATTTCAAAGCACTGTGAATATCTTTTTTTCTTTCGTCAATATATTCCTTATCCATATCTCCCTTGCACCAAACCTGAAATTAATTGATCTTTAATTATTCAACATATTTTCTGAAAAACTCACATATCCTAATCTTTGAAAATATTGTTGTTCAACAGTATATTTTTCAAGACTTGGCAGTTTTTCGTTATTATTCAATTTCTTGAATAATCTATAGGCTAAATTAAATCCAATCATATCTGCAGAATCCTCTTGTTGTGTAAAAGTTCCATCAGACTAAAAATGATTTTATGAAAAAAATACAACAAATTTTCTAGAACTCACAAAAGTACCATCTGGAAATTGGAACTTGTTGTATTTTTGAATAACACATTTGATTCTTTCGTTGAAAATCTCTTTCAATTTTGTTGACATTTTGATTTTTTCGAGCGACGAATTATCGAAAAAGTTTTGAGAATCAAAAGAATGCCCAATTTCATGTCCCAAAACATAACCCAATGATGCAAAAATGTTCCATTCTGGCAAATTTTCATCGATATATGGGAAATTGAGGAAAATTGGAGATATGGCTGAAATATTCTTATCTCTGATATTTTGGGTTTCATTGAAACTTACAAGTTCTATGGGATAATCCTTGATAATTTGCGTTAAATTGCAAAGTTCCACCGAAAAATGTCATTTTTTCTTTTCTGGCGACTCTTAGAAATGTTTCCTCGCTATTCATTTTCAATAAATTTCGAATCAGTTCCAAATATGATTGATTTTCGAAATTTCCGATTTGTGAATACATTCTATCAACATTTTGCTGATCTTTATGCTCATCTGGAATTCCAATCGATGTTTTCATCTCTAAAACTTCTTTCTTCAAAACTTCTTTCATTTGCTTATCCAACCATTCATTTTCATCCAACATCTCAATAAAAACCTGTTGAAGTTCAGAAAACAATCGATATCCTCTCTCATAATTCCGTTTTCCAACAAGTTTATTCACGAAAATCTTGGCAAGAGTTCCAGGAAATAATTGAGTTGTCTTATCCATACATGGTAGAAAATCTGGTTCGACTAGATGCGATTTCATTGTTGACAAAAATTTATCACGCAAAACTTCTTTGACAGTTTTCTCTCCAACTATTTCAACAACTTTTTGAAGAACTAATAATGAATTGACATCAACATAATATTCTGTGTCTTTATTTTCGTTGCGATTTTCGAGTGGAACTAATTCACTGAAATATTTCTTAAGATCAATGAAATGTATTTGTTTTGTTGTAAGATCCCATCGAATATAATCTGGCGTTTTCAAAGAATCATTTTCTTCAAATATCTTATTCGTAATACTTTCCAAACTTGAATTCTTCTCAACACCATTTGAAACCATTAAAGTTAGTCGCATTCCGCCAACATTCACAGTATACACGAAATTTTTCAAAAATCCAGTCTCAATCGGATTAGTTTTGGTAGCTTCAATCAAAACATCAGTTAAACTGTGCTTTTCTAAATCGTCCCAAAAACTCATATCAATTCGATTTCGATATTTGGTGTTTCGCATACATTTTTCGAAAAGTTTCTTGGCTATTTTCTCAGATTTCGTGACAGGTTCATATTTCATAAATACTTTATCAAAATCCACCATGTCATCTTCAAAATGATTCCAAGATTCGAACATTGTATTATTATTCGGATAATTTCCACAAACTGATTCGAAAAAATCATCGCAAGGATCGATTTTTGGGTTCATCAGGGATTTCTGAAATTTAGAAAGTCTTGGTGAATTTTTCATCTGCCTAAGCTTACCATTCTTCTCCCAAGAATTCGACATTCTTCAGATCGGCAAATATTTGTCTGATCTTGAAATTCTGATTTTTGAACCCAGCCTTGAGTTTTTGCATACAATAGAAATACACTAGCTAGAAAGATAGTTGATGATATCATCCATTTTTTGAAACTAATTTGTTTTGTTGTTGGATTTGTTTCTAGATTCAGCATTCTCAGAAATAAGGTGGCAAAAATAATAGAAAAAAAAGATTGTTGGAAAAAAATGGAACACGTTTTTATTTTTTTTTAGTCAAAAAAATTAGGTTTTGTTGTAAATCTCTGATTTTTTGCTTATAGCTCCAAATTTCCGAAAAAAACGAAAAATATTTATTTATCCTCAAAACAAAGTAGACATATTTCGAGTTTCTGTAGCCTGTTTTTGTTTTCGAGAAAAAATCCATTTCCGAAAATCAGTGTTGACCAAAATAATGATAATCGGATTCATAATATGAATTAAGTTTCCGGAAAATGTCGAAGTCCAAAAAATGCGCCAATCCAAGCTTATTTTTCGGGGCAAAACGAGATAACCAAAACTATACCAAAATCGAATGAGCACAATTGTTAAACCTTGGAGCAAAACTTGAATTGCAAATTTTGTGTCTCGATTGTGATTTGAGGAATTAGACGAAGTTTTGTTATGATAAAAAATAAGAAGGATTAAGGTTACAACATCTGTCACCAAATATATAGATGCCATTGTTTGCTGGGTGAAAACCACAAAATATAACAGAAAATTTGCGCATTTTTCAGTCGGCGAGAAGCTGAAAATCCATCCAAGATATGAAAAGTCATAGCGACAATCATTTAGGAAAACTGCGTGAAATTCAGGAACTAAAAACGAAATCCATCCGAAAATTATGAAAAAATAAAAGTTTCAGAAAATTTTCGAATACTGAAAAGGGAATAAAATTGAGAATAGGCGATTGAGAGCTAGAAGTACGTTAGAAAATATAATAATTGGTAAGAAAATTGAGAGAATTGTGCCGAAAATATAGGATTTTTCAAGGATCCAAGGCATTTCGAGGATCATTCCAAAGAGGAAAAATATGAAATTCAAGGCGCCCGCCAAGATTTCCAAAGAGCACGCATGAATTACTAAATAGCCAAAATAAGTTCGCATTGCTGGAATTTTCAAGCATCCGAAAACTACTAGAAATTGTAGAATTAGTCCGATTAGACAGTTGGAACAAGTCAAAATTCCAACAAGAACATTTTCTTGCATTTTGTATTTGTAAAGTTTAAGGAGGAAATGAAAAGAAACTAAAAATAAACATTTTATAAAAAAGTTCTCACAATTATCTTTGGTTGATAAAAATGTGTATACTTTTATCAACAAATTAGGTAGAGAGGAAGTATTTTGTACCTACTGAATAGCAAAATAGTTACACTTATTCAATAATATTTTTCAAAGACAACAAAAATCTTCTAACAATAATTTTCATGTCCAAGAATTGCGTAATCTCTGAAAATAAACATCACTCTCCAAATTTACATTAATTCTCGATTTTTCGACTGGGAAATTATCGATTTTTTGTCCGAAAATATGAAGGCGAACCCATAAATTCCATCGATCAATACTATAAATCAGCAAAGGAATTATGAGCAGAGGATTTCTGAAATGATTGTAAATCCAGTCAAAATTTAAGGCAAAAAAACTCACAAATGAATTACACACTCCACCCAAAATAGAAATAATTCTCGAAACGCCGGGAAAATTTCAAAAACTATCAGCGGAATGAAAATCAGATTTATCCCACATAACATTGTGGCGCAAAAAATCACCCGAAAAACTAGCTGAACAAATATTTGCCTTTTTAACAAAAAATTTTGGAGTTACCTTAAATACCCTCAAATTTTCCTTTGCCTGAAATCGAATAGCCAAAGTATATTTGGTTTTTGGTTTTCCGAATTTCTTCAGAATTTTTGTGTTGTACTTGAAGATGAAGAGAAATGTCTGAAAAATTCAGATATTTAGAAGAACGTTTTGTTTTTGTGTTTACCATTGAGGCGATGAAATTTGGGATTGCGCAAATTATAATGGTCCATTTGAAAGATACTTGATTGAAGAAGAATATTACTGTAGTTAGGAGTACTGTAGATTTGTAGATCACGATGATTAGAATGAATATGTGCGTGTATTTTCGTTTTTCATAGTCGCTAAAAGATTTTTGAATTTTGTGTGAGAAAAGTAGAGGGAGGCTAATGCGCTCTATTGAACATTTTAAAAACAACCTAACTGTATAAACCAACAAGCGGCAGCTCTTTCCATCGAAAATCCCCACAAAATCATCATCATAGAAATCATATAATGCCAATTCAAAAATCCGCCCAAAAATAATTGAAAATATGCCGAAAAATCGTGAATTTTCACCATTTCCTCGAAATTTTCCGTATAGATTTTATTCATTTTCAAAGTGATATTTGGCAATTTCGAATCTTCATTGATAAATGGATTCAGTAGAAGTTTAGCCAGAAGTGATTCAAACCAGAGAATGATCAAAATTCCCAAGAAAATGGTGAGATTCCGATGGAAAACTCGAATTTTCAGAATTAGAAACAGGGTTAGAAAAGTTAGAGAAAGTACCAGAGTTGTGGATAAAAATTCGATGAAAATCAGTGATTTTTTGATTTTCAGAATTAAGAGTGGAATGTAGATTGTTGTGTTAGAAGATTCCATGAAAAATATCATCTGAAAAAAATTTAGAAGTATTTAGATGTTACATTCAAAATTAGAATAATATGTTTTTGTTTTGAAAACATAAAGTTCATTTTGTCTTTGCAAGTCAAAATAATAACATTTTTCAACGAAAAAGCCACATCATTTTTTATTAAAAAAAAATAAAACAAAACTTGATCCAGACCAGAAAACTATAAATTGTTTTTTTCTACAGAAAAATCTAATTTCCTATTTTCTACTTCTACATACTAATAGGTTTTTCACCAAATCACAAAAAAATGAATAAAAACACCCACGAGCACAATAAAATATGGCTCATAATTGATGAAAATGCTCGTTGCTCAGTTTAAGGACATCCTCTTTTCCTTGTTTTTTTCCTGTCACAATGTGTGTTGGAAAATGAGACACTGAATAATGAGAGTACACCAAAATGAGACAAAAAAAAACAGATTTTTGTTATTGGGAATTTTTTCACTTCATCCAAGACATTTTTAAATTTTCGAAATGATCATTCTGATTTTCAACTGAAAATATTGTTGTCGGTTTTTCCGTGGAAAATCCTAGAAATCTGCGAATTTTCGAATTCCGGAGAAAGAAAAACCATGGGAAAAATGAGGCGTCAAAGTTCCAAAACTGAAAAAAATAGGCTTGTCTTAAATATATTATAAATCTATCAAACTCACCAAATTCAAAAGCAAATAATATTGTTCATTTTCAAATGCCAAAAAGTTTTGCATATGCAAAAATGCAAAGGTAAACACCAGAAATTTCACAATTATTCCAGTGATACTTGCAAACATAAATGATTTGATAATTTTTTTCGATGAATATAATTCAAATCTTCCATTTAAATTTATTTTTCCCCGAGTTCGTTGAAACACTTTTTTGGATAGATTATTCAGTTTGATTTCCAGGAAAAGGTTCAGAAAGTTTAGAGAAACAATTGTAATAAATGCATAAACTTCTGATCCAGGTGTTTGAAGTGAGTAAACATAAATGACAGAAATAATTAGACCAATTATAGTTATAAATAGAGACCCGATTTGATGATTTTCAGAATTTTGAGGGCGAATCATAATTGATAAACGATCTAGAAAAATACTAATATTTCTGAAAAAAAAAACAAATCTCTAGCTCACTTAAGTTCACTAAAATATGCAGAATGAGCACAGAAATCTCTGTTGTATGATGTACGATTAAAGTTGGGAGTTTTGGATCATGACATTTCCCAACTTCAAAATAATTTCCATGATCCAAAAAACAATGAAAAGTTGTAGCCAGAAATGTAGCTAATAGCAAAATATAACAAATCGATAAAAATGACAATAAAATTCGGCCGATTTTATTGATTTTCCCATAAAATCCAAAAATATAAATGAAAGCAAAATGTGAAACGAACCCAAAAAAGCATATGAAAAGATGTAAAATGAAAATAGAATTCCAAAATGGGGTAGTTTGAGAAGAGGACATTTTGCCAGTGTTTGAAATCTAGAGAAAAAAAATGTGTTAATGACTAACGATTTTCAGTTTAAAAAAGTGCATATTCATCTAGATATAGATGAATTAGAACCGGCTCAATGAGCAAATTTATGTGTATTTTAATCAACTGAAATCTGAAAATTTGTTACTTATAATATGAAAACGCTTAAAAAACACCAAAATAACATTTTTCAAATATAAAAACGTGGAATATGACGTGGCACTTTGAACATCTTCATTTCGAAATTTCTAGTATTTAAAAAAATGTGTGAAACCCACGTGGCGGAAACAATCAAATTTTTTTGAATATTATGTAAAATCCCTGAAAATAATCTTCAAACTTTAAGTTCCAAATTCCAAGAATGCCAAAATCTACGCATTTATTTATTATTCTAATCTCACCTGCTTCATGTTCCGCTTCTCATTCTATTCTCTATTTTATTTTCCACATGATATTCTTACTCCAAAATTCTTCTTCTTCTCAAATATTTCTGCCATTCTACCTGTTCAACACCGGCGAAAACAATCCATTGCTCATTTTAGAGGTCATCCTCTCAACTGTCACTCTCCTCGAAATTTCAGCCACAATTCTAGTTGTTCTGAAAATCCGGATTTTCCATGTGAACGTAACTATAATTCTTTTAGTTTTCCTGTTTCATTTATTTGAAAGTTTCATAGCCAGATTATTATTGAAACCTTGGATAATTGGATGTTTTCGAATTCCTGGACTGTTTCCAGAAGAAAAAATGATTGAATCAATGTGGACTGAAAATATAAGTCAAATGATAGTTATCGAAAATTCCGGAAAAATTCAAAGTTTATTGATTGGTGGATTTATTGATTGGCATTATATGATAAGTCTAGTATTGATTTTATCCATTTTTGCGTTAGAGCGAATATTCTCCTGTGTATTTATCAGGTATTTTTTATGATTGCAATTTTTGAGAGAATCAATCAAAGAGTCTTGTAGAGATTACGAAAAAGTTGAGCGACTTTATATCATTTTTTGTCTACTAATGTTCTATGAATCTTTCATAATCATAATTTCCTATCTATTTTTCAATAATATTATTGGTTTTTGGGGATCGATGGTAATTTGTGCTATACCGAATATTTTCGCAAAAATAGTAAGCACTTGAAAAATTTAACAAAACAATTTGAAGAGAATTTCTAGGTCTTCGGGATCACGAATTGTTACAATAATCGAGTTTTACGAGAATTTCCGAGATCCGATTCCTATACATTGTGCTCCAGATTTCAAGCCAAAGAGAATTTGAGAATTATGAATGTAGGTTTTAAAATTGAATTCAGAAATTGTTCTAAAAATATTTTATGCTTCTCCAATTCCAGCTAGTTTTCCGAGTGTTAATAATCGGCCTAATTCTAATTTTCATCGATCTAGCCCTTCTTATGATTATGGTCTTCGGACTTCTCCCGGATTACGCAATTCCAATCAACACTTTCATCGAATTTATCATACATTTGTGAATAAGTTCCGCCAAAATTATCTCTAATTCATAGATATTTTTTTCTAGAAATCCTTTGCTAATTTGTCCTATGCTAATCTATAGTGTTGATCAATGGTTCGATTTTTATTTGGGATTTTTAATTAAAAAATCGGAGATAGCGAAAAGGAAGAGAAAAAATACGAAAATCGAAAATTATGATAATGAAAAGGAGCGCGATTTGTATTTTAGGCAATTGGAAATGTCGTGGATGTGATTTAGAACAAATAGTTTCAAACTCTTCCACGTCATAACCGATTTTCAGACTTGAGTTGAGCAAAATACATACATGAGCTCATTGAGCCGCACCTAATTTTTTATATCTAAAAAAATCTACTTTTCTTGACTAAAAATCATAGTTAGTCATTATCAGAAATCTCTCACAGAGACTCTTAAGAATTCTAAATTTTGATCAAAATGTCCTTCTCATCTCCTACCACTTCATTTTGGAATTTTATTTTTATTCTCCATCTTTTCATTTGCTCATTCGGATTTTTGTCACATTTTGTTTTTATTTATGTTTTCGGAATTTTTGGAAAAATCAATAAAATTGGCCGGATTCTCTTGTCATTTTTATCAATTTGTTACATTTTTCTTCTGGCTACATTCCTGGCAACAACATTTTATTGTTTTTTGGAACATGGAAATTATTTCGAAGTTGGGAAATGTCACGAGCCCACAGTTCCCAGTTTAATGTTACATCATTTAGCAGAGATTTTAGTGCTTCTCTTGCATATTTTTGTAAACCTAAGTGAGTTTTAAAGTTTCTTCAAACAAATATTGGTTTGTTCAGATCGCCTATCAATAATGTTACATCCTCAAAATTCCGGGAATTGTCGAAAATCTAAAATTGGTGCGACATGTTTTATTATAGTTAGCCTAATTATTTCTCCACTTTATCTTTATTCACTTCAAAATTCCGGTACTGAAATCTATGGCTTTCTTACAATTGTGTTTCTGAATTTTCTGAACCTATTTCTAGAGATAAAATTAAATCGATTATCCAAAAAAGTGTTTCATGAAACTCGAGGAATAATAAATTTGAATGGAAGATTTGAATTATATTCATCGAAAAAAATCATCAAATCATTTATGTTTGCAAGTATTACCGGAATTATTTTCAAATTCTCGGCTTTTTCATTTGGAATTTTGCAAGCAAACGATGTTTTTGATTTGAAAGATGAAAATTCATATTTGCTGTTGAATTTGGTGGGTTTAAATATGTTTCTGTCATGAAAAGGTTAAGAAATTTTTCAGTTCTGGAACTTCGAGGCCGCATTTTTCCCTTGGTTTTTCTTCTTTCGGCATTCGAAATTTCGCAGATTTCTTGGAATTCTGCCAAAAAAATCAGCTGATAAATTCACTATTGAAAATCAGAATGATCATTTCAAAAATTTGAAATTATCTTGGAGCTGATTGTGAATTTGAAAACACACTACAATTTATTTGTTTTCCAAACTTTCGCCTTAAAAAATGTGACTAAAATACATTTTCAAAGTCATTGAAGCGATTCTAATTTTTTTTCAAATCTGAAAAATGTATACGTGTGCTATCAAGTTAGTCATAAAGAACATTTAGAATATTTACACAAAATATGAAAAATGCCCTCTTCTCCAACTACATCACTTTGGAACTTTATTTTTGTTCTACACATGTTCATTTGCTTCTCCGGATTTGTTTCACATTTCATTTTCGTTTATATTTTTGGTTTTCATGGGAAAATCAATAAAATTGGAAGAATTCTCCTGTCAATTTTATCTATGTGTTATATTTTGCTCTTATCCATGTTTCTAGCAACAACTTTTTATTGTTTTTTAGATCATGGGAATTATTTCGAAGTTGGAAAATGTAGAGATCCTACACTTAAAACAGTCATGATTCATCATTTGGCAGAAATTTTTGTGGTACTTTTGCATATTTTTGTAAACCTAAGTGAGTTACAGAATGTTTCTAGAGGTATATAGATTTTTGTTAGATCGTTTATCAGTTTTGCTTTATCCTCAAAATTCTGGGAATCCAGAAAACTCCAAATCCTTCTCAATATTTTTCTTTTCGACTGGCATAAGTGTTTCTGCATTTTTTGTTTATTCAATCAAAACTCCTGGATTAGAAGTCATTGGATATTTTATTCTAATTATTCTGAATTTCCTGAATCTATTTCTAGAAATCAAACTGAATCAATTATCCAAAAAGGTATTTCTGAAAACGCGGGGAATTATAAATCTTTCAGGAAGATTTGAATTATATTCATCGAAAAAAATCATCAAGTCTTTTATGTTTGCAAGTATCACTGGAATTATTCTCAAATTCTGTTTGTTTTCCTACGGAATTTCGTACATGAAAAATTGGTTGCCATTGGAAAATGATCAATATTTTTTGGTATTCAATTTGGTGAGCACGCGCAGCTTATTTGAATTTAGAAATAATATATCAAAAATTTCAGTTCTGGAACTTTGATGCGGCATTTTTTCCATGGTTTTTCTTTCTGAGGCATTCTGCATTTTTGCGATTTTTTGGATTTTCGAGAAAAAAATCAGAGAGTGTTATAAACTTGGTTGAAAATCAGAATGATTATTTTAAAAATCTGAAAATCTCTTGGAGCTAACAATAACGAAATTTCGAACTGTGAAGTTCAAACTACAGCACAACAAAATCGTTAATCAATTGTGGTTGAGTCAGTTTATGATTCTTCATGTTCAACGTATCAAGATTTCAAATTGTTTCATAAAACTTTACAAAAAAGATGAACATTTTCATTTTTCAATAAAGCATTTCTCTTCTATTCTTCTTCTTTTTCTCAATACTCGCTTTATTTTCATTTTTTCCTTTTCTAACAATTAAAAGCATATCTTCACAAGATGAAACTCTTCTCGGTTTTGTAATTTCCACTCTCTCATCAGAATTCGATTTGATCAAACATTTTGATGTTCCTTTAAATGGACCTGATTTTGATTTGATTTTTCTACAAATTTGCTCATCAACTGACTTGTCATCGGACATTGTGTTTTTGTTTGATTTATTTTTCATTTTCTCAAAAACTTTAACAAGTTTTGACGAAGTAGGACGTTTTTCTGGATTTGTGAGCCAACATCGTTTCTAGAATTAGAATTAATAATTATTGGAAAGATGTAGAGACAAGACAAATAGTGGCTTTTTTGCCTTGAAAACTTACAATAACACACGATATTCCTAGCGGTGTTTCCGGTCCAAGACTCATTCTATAATTTTCTTTCGTCACTTTTGAATGAACTTCATGTATTGATAAATCAGGATAAGGTATTTGCCCATTTTCCATAACTTCCCAACAAAGAATACCAAATGCAAAAATATCAGAAGCCCGTGTATACAAAAATGAGACCAAAGTCTCTGGCGCCAACCATCTTATCGGAACTTTTTGCGTTGGATTCATTTGATAAGATGATCCACGTCGTGATAATCCAAAATCCGAAACTTTCACAATTGTTTTTCCATACAAACAATTTCTCGCAGCAATATCTCGATGTATTATTTCATGTTTATGGAGATATTCAACACCTTGTGCAACTTGCCACATAATATCTACTTTTTCATCAATTCCAACTCTAGTTTTCTTCAAATATGAATCTAATCCACCACCTTCAACTAATTCCATAACAACAAATAATGGTTCTTGTCCAGCCGCTGTTCCATAACATCTTACAATATTTTTATGATCAAAATTTCGCATCAATCTTGCTTCAGCCATTATTTCTTTTATCTGTTCTTTTGTACAATTTTCCAATTTCGCAACTTTCACTGCAACTTCAAATTCATTTGCTCCACCATTAATTCTCAAAATTCCCCTTTTCACCTCTCCAAATGCGCCTTCTCCCAATTTTTTTGTCAAAGTTATATCATCATGAGAGAGTTCCCAAAATTGGCGACAAATTGGATTTTTCAAAATACTGTGAATATCTTGATCGTTTATAAAGTGGTTTTTATAATATTCGAGAAGTTCGGGAACAGATTTGAAACTTGTATTTGCAACCACGGAGAATTTATAATTATCTTCACGAATTACATAATGTCGCGTCTAAATTAGTTTGTTTTTTTTCAAATTTGAAATTACAAAAGTGTCTCTTACTTACCCCATCTATATCATGTTGATTTTGTAAAACTGAGAGAATAAGATGTCTCGATGTTCCAGCTCCAGGTTCCGAAGTTCGAACTAAAAAGTCGCCGTTCATCTTTAACATTGTTATCACATCTTCTCTTGGTAACAACCCGTGAAACCATGGTTCTTTGAAAATTTTGGAAATCATCTCTATACTTTTGAATAGGAAGTTGTTTTAGTCAAATAGAATAAGAAGAAGTGAAATTGCGGAAAAATTGAAAGTGGGGCATAGCGGGAAATGGGTCACGCGAGTGATTTAAAAAAAACACTTTCGTTGATTTTTTTTTGCTTCTGACTAGAACACATCGTCAAATTCATTGAAGCGGTTATATATTTCTTCGAATCTGCCATAAATCATGACTTTTCTAGTTCAACACTCAACAAGATGTCCTCTTCTCCTACAACTCCAATTTGGAATTTTATATTTCTCCTACACATTTTTATCTGCTTTTCTGGATTTGTTTCTCATCTCATTTTCATTTATCTCTTTGGCTTTCATGGGAAAATCAATAAAGTTGGACGAATTCTTTTGTCCTTTTTATCGATTTGTTATATTTTGCTATTAGCCACATTTTTAGCTACAACTTCTTATTGTTTTTTGGATCACGGAAACTATTTTGAAGTTGGGAAATGTAGAGACCCCACACTTACTACAGTTATGTTACATCATCTCGCTGAAATTTTTGTGGTTCTTTTGCATGTTTTTGTGAACCTAAGTGAGTTAGAGCAGTATTTCTCGATTTGAATATCAATTTTCAGATCGATTATCAGTTCTTCTTTATCCAAAAAGTTCTGGATATCCGAAAAATTCAAAATTTATTGCAATGTTATTCATAATTTTATCCCTTCTAATTTCTGCATTTTATGTTTATTCTTGCAGAACTTCTGGGATGGAAGTCATTTCATTTCTTATCATTATCAATCTGAATTTGATGAATCTGTTTTTAGAGGTTAAATTAAATAAATTATCAAAAAAAGTGTTTCAAGAAACTCGGGGAATTATAAACTTAAATGGAAGATTTGAGTTATATTTATCGAAAAAAATCATCAAATCATTTATGTTTGCAAGTATTACCGGAATTATTCTCAAATTCTTGGTTTATACATTTGCTATTTTTTATGGCGCGAAATTGGTGAGATTGGAGAATGATCAATTTTTTCTGGTGTTAAATTTAGTGAGTTTCCTAATTGTGTTTCTGACAGAAAACCAAAAACCATTGAAATTTTCTAGTTCTGGAACTTCGACGCTGCATTTTTTCCATGGTTTTTCTTTCTCAGACATTCTTCATTTTTGAGATTTTTTGGATTTTCAAAAAAGAAATCGGAGAGTGTTATAAACTTGGTTGAAAATCAGAATGATTATTTTAACAATCTAAAAAGGTCTTGGAGCTAAATTGTTTGCTTGTTTGAATATTTTTCACGTCAGCAATACTCTTATAAAATTCACTATAATTTTTGAAGTCTGCCCAAAATACATATAAAAAACTGCGACCAAATTCAGTGATCCGTTTAATTTTTCATAGAAATTTACTCTAGTTGGTTAAAAACTAGAACTTCTACTCAGTTAGTCATTAAAAATTTTCTTTCAATTTTTCTAAACAAAAATGTCTTCTTCCTCTCCAACTACCCCATTTTGGAACTTTATTTTCATTTTCCACGTTTTTATTTGCTCTTCTGGATTTTTGTCACATTTTGCTTTTATTTATATTTTTGGAATTGTCGGAAAAATCAATAAAGTTGGAAGAATTCTTCTATCATTTTTATCAATGTGTTATATTTTGTTATTAGCCACATTTCTTGCTACAACATTCATGTGTTTTTTGGATCATGGAAATTATTTCGAAGTTGGAAGTTGTCGAGATTCAACACTTCCAACTAATATGTTACATCATTTAGCGGAAATTTTCGTGATTTTTTTGCATGTTTTTGTGAATTTAAGTGAGAACATCTAGAGTAGTCACGTGATTTCATTTTCTGTGAATTTCAGATCGATTATCAGTCCTTCTCCATCCTCAAAATTTCAAAAACCCTATAAAACTCAAACTTGCTTCATTTCTCTTTATTCTTATTGGCCTAATAATTTCAACCCTCTATGTTTATTCCATAAAACTTGTTGGAACTCAAGTTATCGCTCTGATAATTTTTCTAATTTTTAATTTTCTCAATTTATTTCTGGAGATAAAATTGAGAAAGTTATCGAAAAAAGTGTTTCATGAAACTCGGGGAATTATAAATCTTTCGGGAAGATTTGAATTATATTCATCGAAAAAAATCATCAAACCTTTTATGTTTGCAAGTATTACTGGAATTGTTATCAAATTTTTAGTATATATTTATGGAATTGCGTACATGAAAAATTGGTTAACTCTAGAGAGTGATCAATTTTATTTGGTATTCAATTTGGTGAGCTTGAATGTTTTTAGAGCTTTAGAAATGGCAGTTTTTCAGTTCTGGAACTTTGACGCCGCATTTTTCCCATGGTTTTTCTTAGTCACACATCAACCAATCTCAAAATTCTTTGGATTTTCAAAAAAAGAAACTACAAGTGTCGTAAACTTGGTTGAAAATCAGAATGATTATTTCAAGAATCTAAAAGTGTCGTGGGGCTAAATTTATTCACTTGGCTGAATTTTCGTCATAACTTTGTCTCAATGATCGGATATCTTTTTTTATTATTTCCAATTTTTTATTCACATCATTTTGTGCTTTGATTGAAAAAATTATGGCACCAAAAATGACTCTTTTTTGGAATGCTATTTTTATTTTTCAAATTCTAATCTGTATTTTTGGATTTTTCTCGCAATTTGTGTTCATCAAAATATTTGCAATTCATGGGAAGATCAATAAAATTGGCAGGATTTTATTCCTAATTTTATCGATTTGTTATATTTTGCTATTGTGTTCATTTCTAGCAACAACACTCAATTGTTTTCTGGATAATGGAACTTATTTTGAATTTGAAAACTGTAGAAATCCAAAATTGCCTGGGCTAATGGTTCATCATTTGACTGAAATTTTAGTGGTTCTTTTGCATGTTTTTGTGAATTTTAGTAAGGTTGACAAAACTAGAAATTTTAATTTATTGTTAGTAAAATTTTTAGACCGATTATCAATAATGCTCCACCCACAAGATCTAGAATTAACTAAAAAATCCACATTTATTTATTTAATTTTATTTATTTTTTCCCTGTTTATTGCTATAACTTATGTTTTATTCAATCAAGATATCGTAACTCAAAAAATCGCATTTCTCTTCATTTTATCATCAAATTTCCTTGACCTCTTTCTAGAGATCAAACTTAAAAAATTATCGAAAAAAGTGTTTCAAGAAACTCGAGGAACTATAAATCTCCTTGGTCGATTTGAAATATACACATCGCAAAAAATCATCAAATCGTTTATTTCTGCAAGTATTTCTGGAATTTCGCTGAAGTTTATAGCATTGACTTTGGCATTTTTGCAAAATGCAGATTTTTTGGGGATTGAGAAAGAGCATTATTTTTTGCTCATTAATTTGGTGAGCAAATTTTGTGGTACATGAATCACAAGAAATCTTGGATTTTTTAGCTCTGGAATATCGATGCCACATTTTTTCCATGGTGTTTTTTGGTGGAAGATCAGGGCGTTTTGAAGATCCTAGGATTTGCGAAAAAAGAATCGACAAGTGTTGTGAACTTGGTTGAAAATCAGAATGATTATTTTAATAATTTGAAAATTGCGTGGGCTTAGGGTAAATGAAATTTTTTGAAAATGTTATTGTAATAAAATTTCAGAGAGATTTTCAGATGTTCTAGTTGCAGTTCAGAAAAACAAGAATTTGTAGTGAACTACTAACTATTTATTTTTTGAGAACTACATACTTAAGTTCAAATAACTAGACATCTTGTGATGTTATTTAGTTCAAATTATCACTCCTTCACTGATTTTTTGCTTTTGTTTTTTTCAATTCAAATATTTTGTGACCAAAAATATGACATCAGCTTTATGGAACTCAATTTTTATTTTACAAATTCTAGTCTGCATTTTCGGATTTTCATCGCATTTCGCATTCATCAAAATCTTTGCAATTTCTGGAAAAATCAATAAAATTGGGCGGATTCTTTTGCTATTTCTATCAATTTCTTATATCATTTTATTGGCTTCATTTTTAGCAACAACTTTTTATTGTTTTTTGGATCATGGAGATTATTTTGAAGTTGGGAAATGTCGAAATCCTGAGATTCCATCATTAGTAATTCATCATTTTGGGGAGATTTTTGTGGTGCTTTTGCATATTTTTGTAAATTTCAGTGAGTTTTCTAACTTGAAACAGACCCACTAAATCTAATTTCTAAAATTCGTAGATCGATTAGCAATCACACTCCATCCTCAAAATCTGAAATTATCTGGAAAATCAAAAATTGGCTATTCAATTATTTTTGCTCTATCAATTCTGATTTCAATAATTTATGTTATCACAATTCAAAATCCTCAATCTCAAGGAATCGCATTCCTTCTAATTCTCTCATTCAATTTACTCAATCTATTTTTGGAACTCAAACTCAACAAATTATCGAAAAAAGTGTTTCAAGAAACCCGGGGAACTATTAATCTACTTGGACGATTTGAATTATACACATCGCAAAAAATCATCAAATCATTCATTTTCGCAAGTATTTCTGGAGATTTCAGTCAAGTTTATTGCTTTGACAGCGGCTGTTTTGCAAAAAGGAAAACTGTTGGGCATTGAAAATGAGCAATATTTTTTGTTGGTTAATTTACTTTGGAACCTGGATGCCACGTGTTTTGCGTGGTTTTTCTTGGTCAAACATCAACCCTTGATGAAGTTTCTCGGATTTTCGAAGAAGGAATCAAGAAGTGTTGTGAATTTGGTGGAAAATCAGAATGACTATTTTAATAATTTGAAAATTGCTTGTGGCTAATGAAAATGTCTAATTTGAATAAAATGTATTCTCGTTCTCAACTTTTTCATTTTTTCAATTGATTTTATTTTGAAAATGCCACAAAGTTTTTTTTTTTGAAGTTTTCCCCACTCGACAGCTGATTTTGTTCTATGAAGAGAGTTACCCCTATTTTTTCACAACAAAAAATCACATAACATCATCTCACATTCTCTATTTTCTACCCGAAAAATATGAATTTCAAAATCTCATTCTCAGATTCCTCCTATTACTTCTGGGTGCCAATTTATCAATTCCATCAAAACGGCTTCAAATCCCTATTTTATCTTCTAACTTCTCTTATCTATCTCATATTGCTCATGTTAAGTGGCTATTTTACAATCTGTTTTTTGCGAATCTCTTGGAGGATTCAAAAATTTCATCGAAATATGAAAACTTGTGTAAACGTGGCATATTCCATGTGGTTTGAAATTGGAGCAGCAATGATTATGACTTGGCCATATGAGGCTGGTTTGGTGCGCATTTTTGATGGTGAGAAGAAAAAATTGAGATTAACAAAAAATATTTAAAATACGCTTGACAAGAGAGATTTTTGACAGAAAATGCGTAAACTTTTCAGAGATCAGAAGAAGTTTGAAAAAATCACGTAGACTGAATTTACCTCCACAAAAAACCTGTTTTCTCCAGATTCTTCCAAACCCCCAATCGGCCTAGAAACTCCAATTTCCGAACTCGATGACACCTCCCAAATCGCTCCTCTATTTTTTGCCTCATTTTTAATTTGGCACTACATAACAACATTAATTGGTGGAATGGTGATATTTGTCGTGGAGCGAACAATCGCTTCATTTTGTTTCAGTGACTACGAGAAAAAATCGCGGCGATTCATCGCGATTGGATTACTCGCGTCATCGCAAATTGGTGCGATTTTCTTCGCATCTCTCACTTTTTTCTATTTTATCAATTTACGAGAAGCTGTCTTCATTGGCTCACTTTTTGTGGCTTTTGTCATAATTCTCTTTATTTTTCTCTATTTTTATAATACAACTCTTCAAGCAAAATTAGATTTTGGATCGGCGAATTTTAAGAATAGCAATTTTTATCCATTAGCTTCTAAATTTCAAGCAGCTGAAAATGCGAGATCATTGAAGGTTTGCTGGGGGGAAAATTATGGAAAATGACATCATTTTTTAGCTGGCTTTGAATGTTGTCTCTTTGATTTTTGGATTCACAATACTTGCAATTATAATGGTTATAATTAATGCTTTTCATTTATTTTCCAAAGATGTTGAATCGCTGGCCATTTCAGTTTTCTACGCAATTTTAACTTTGTAAGTGAGGTCGGATGTTTAGCACCGCCAAAAAATCTACTTCTGAATTCTGAAACCTTCTACAGTACCTCAAATTTTTTTTTTTTTTTTGAGAAATCCGCTCTTCTTCGTTCCGACAGCAATGATGAGTATTCCTGAATGGCGAAGCGCATTTCTAAAAACAATTCCTCTCCTGCGACATCGCGTGAATCCAGCGACGAGTCGCGTCGTCGCATTTCGCCGAATGTCGCAAGAATCTGAACTGTATTTTGTGCAACTTCGAGAAACTTGGGGTTAAATTTGGCGATCAATAAATAAATGATTTATTTTTTGATGTTTTGTTTTTCACACAAGAAAAAATAATTTGATTTGATTTTGATAGGCACAAATATTTATTTTCCGGAAAATTAATGATTTTTCCAATTCTTGTCAGTTTTCTGATTTTAAGAGTGTATTGCGATATTACCTGTACAAATAGTGAGTTTTTCTAGGAATTTAAGAGAAACTGAAAATTTTGAATTTTCAGAAAATGAGCCGATAATGATTAGTGGATCGCTGGAGAAAACATTTACAATGAAACCGGCGGAAAATGCGCGAAAATGCAATGGATACTGTTTTGCGTAGGCTTGTTTTCAGAATTTCCAGATGAGTTCTAGATTTTCGGAAAATTTCAGATCTCAAGTTATGCTGGATGCGACGCTGAAAAATGGAAAACAGGCAAATATTCGAACGATGCATTTTCAGTGTTTGCCAGCAGTGGAAAAAGCTGAGCTAATGTGTAAGGTTTGTAGGGAAGTTGGGATGAGGAAGCGTGGTCTAGTGGTTAACATCTTAGATTTCAAATTGACAAACCAAAGTTCGAATCAACCTGGGATCTTTAAAAATTTCCTGGACAATTTTGATTTCTTCAATTTATTTTCTGAAAAGTTTCCTTATTTTTTTGAGAACACCTAATGTTTAAGCTCAAATTTTCTTTCAAAAAAAAATCCCAGCCTTCAGAAACCATGCACTACAAACATGTTTGATGGTATTTTTGCAAATCGAACAATCGACAGAACTGTTGGAGCGATGAGAAGATTATTGAAGCCACAAATTGGGGTAGGACTCTTTTTTTTTCTTCAAAAAAATAATTTATATCCCAAAAACCCCATTTTCCAGGATTTCTCATACGAAAAAGCTTTTGAAAAACTGTGTTGCTGTAAAACCAGTGCGTGTGCCAGAAAAATGGATGCTCGACTTCGTCTCTCGCTTCGAAGCTCTTTTAAAATTTCGAAATGAGATGATTTTTGAGACGAAAAATGAATTGATTTATTTTAAATATTCAACAATTGATTCACTTCTAAAAAAATATATTTTCTGAGGAAAATCATTTCCCGCCACTCACCTTTTACAGAAGCACGGCCTCGTAAAAAACTTTTGGCGCGATTTTTCTAAATTCGAAAATTTTGAGCGCAACTCGTTTAGGGTAGAAAAAATAATTATCAAAAGAACAGCGTGCAAAACTTGTGAAGGTGGTAAATCTGAAACTTTCTGGATTTTAGGAAACCATAAATTTTCGAGAAATATTTTCCATGGTTTCTTGTTCCAAAAATTTGACTTCTTCCTTGCATCGCAGCTCCTTAAAAATTTCCAAAATGAGATAATTTTCAAGACAAAAAATACAAGAAATGATTTATTATTTTAATCAAATTCATTTTTTGGATCCAGGGTCCCATAGTGCTATGATTCTCATATTTCGATTTTCAAATTTTTGAGCAATATCACTGTAGTGTGGATAGATCTGAAAAAATGTAATGCTTTAATGAAAATTTTTTTCTAGAAAAACTCACCTCAAACTTCTTTTTTATTGTGGAAACTATCCGAGCTTTCTTTCTCTTGATTATGAAATGATCCCAAATTTTCAAATTCATACATTTCGAGTAAGATAACTGTAGTGTAGATACAGTTCTGAAAATATAAGAATTTTTGAGGAACGTTACATATTTTCAAGCAAACTCACATTTTCAGATTTCAATTTTTTTCCGATCAGGGCTTCATCGAAGTGAATGATTTTACAAATCCTGAAAATATTTGTTTTTTTTCTTTCAGAGCTGAAAATTGTGGAAAAAACTCACTTAAATTTTTTTTTGGGGTATTGCTTACAGAGTTCTCGGATTTCAAACAATACTCCTCCAATTACACTGGGTATATTGTCAAATCGAATTGTGAATTCACGAATTTTTAAAATTTTCCGAGCAATATTACTGTAGTTTAGATACAGTTCTGAAAATCAACAGTTTTTTTTTGTTTTGAATAAAATTATTTGAAAAATGAAAACTCACGTTCTAGATACACATTTTTTGAAAATGCTTCTTCCTCTAAGTTAGATTCTACAAATTCTGAAAAACAAAAAAAATTGAAACTTGAAATTCTATTAAAAAAAACTCACTAAATTTATTTCTGTCGAAAAAGCAAGTTGATTCCGCGTATATTGGCGCGTTTTTTTTAATGAATTCACAAATTTTGAAAATTTTTGAGTAATATTACTGTAGTGTAGATACAGTTCTGGAAAAAAAATGAAATTTTTGAGGAAAATAAATTCTATAAAAACTCACTTTTTACACATTTCAATTTTTTGTATCAATCCTCGCCAGGATTCGTGAATTTATAAGTGTAAAACTCTTATTTTCATCGAAATACTCATAGAATGAAGCGACTTCAAAAAAAACATTTTTTTTTCTGACTCGATCTACAAGATTTTGGTAGAAGTCTAGCTGAAAATTTAAAAAATTGAATTGAAAAACATTTCTGAATATTAACCTACTTCATTGTGATTTGAATATTATTGAAATTGACCATTTGGAGTAGAGTACTGTAGTTTAGATACAGTAATACCTGAAAAATAAAATTGAAATATGATTTTTAGAAAGAAAAAGAAAAGTGAGTGTTTACAAATGTGCAAAAGAGGATGAGAGAGAGAAATAAGATAGAGACGCAGAGAAAAAAAGGAATAGGTTATTGATTTTGGAAAAGAGAAAGGAATAAATAGAGGAAATTTGAATTTTGGATTTTTGAAAAACTAATTTTTCTCCTCCAAAAGAACTACACAAAAAAAATACAAACACACCCTGGCCGAGATTTCTCCAAACCTCGGCCACGTCCAGCTTTTCACCCTTGTTATTGTTATTTTCATCACTTATCTCCTCAAATGATAAGCAAATACTGGATTTTGCCCTCTTTTTTTCATCCACAAAACATTTATTCCACCATTCTGTTTCAACATCTCTTCATGTTTGAGTCTCGTCATGTTTGAGTCTCGTCATGTTTGTCGCCTCCACGTGGTTCGAGATGGAAACATATTATTGTCACGTGCATTTCGATCAATGCAATCAAGCTCTACAATATTATGGCCAAAGGACAACAAAAAAGCCCACAATCTTCGGCCGGAAAGATCGAATGAAGGTGCTGATTGGCCAAAACCGGGCTGGAAACCCGTGTTACCTGGATTTGGGCATCAATTTCCAAAAGACAGCTAAAATATAGAAAATTGGATGGATCTTACGCTGGCGATCAACCTCCGAAGGGCTCAAGGCATCCAGTCCGAGGAGGCGCCAGTTGCTGCCGGGGTGCCGCTGGAAACGGAATAACAGCCAAAACCTCCAAAAAATCGAGTCTGAAGTTAGGATCACACAACACCAGATCCTTGGCAAATGAATCGAAAAGAGAGGCTGAAAACAACTTGGCAAACTACTCTAGTTGTGATTTTATCGCACTGCAGGAAACTAGAATGAGCAAAGGATGTTCACTGATAACAGAAGATGGAAATGAATTTATATTCCTCGAAATGATCAACAAAAAAGTCGGAGGTCTCGGGTTCTGGATAAAGAAAAAATTCAGAAGATCAGTGGTAGAGGTTGTGAGCTGTTCGGATCGAGTAGCCATTCTGAAGCTAAAAATCGGTGAAACAAACCTTGCTTTATTCAATATGTACTCACCCACTAACAACGCCAAACAAACCGAAGTCGATAAATTCTACAAAATGGCGTCAAAAGCCTATAACAGCGTAGCAGATAACTGGGTTCGGATTGTATGTGGCGATTTCAATGGAGCAATTGGGAAAACATCTACCCAAGAGCACCCAACCGTTGGAAGATATGGCTTGAAAACCATCACAAGAAACGACAATGGTGAATCGCTTATTGATTTCGCGAACTCAAAAAGATTGGCGATACTAAACACGCATTTCAAAAAGAAGAGATCAGCATATTGGACCTGGAGAGGCCCAAACGAGAAGTCCAGATCGATGATTGATTATTTCATGATAAAAGAATCGAGACGGTTTATGATCCGTGACATCAACACCTTCAACTCCAATTACAACCTATCCGACCATCGATTGTTGAGATTGACTATAAATGTAGCACATCGAGACATATCCAGAAAATTGAGACGACCACGAGAAAGAATGGATCGAGTTGTGAAACTAGATAAATTGGAATATTTAAGATCTCTCGATTCAAATCTCGATTCAAACTGCGCAAACTACAGTAACCTCATCAAAACTATGAAAGAATGTGCAAAACACACTTCAATTCCGACACCAAAAGAATCAAGGATTTCTCAAGAAACTCGTGAATTATTGGAGAAAAGATTCAGAATCTTGGCGTCAAACCAAGCAACCGCTCTTGAAAAACGAGAAATATGTAAGATCACTCGGGAATCCTATCAAAAAGATCTGGAAAACTGGAGATGTCGCAAAATTGAAGAAGCAGTGGCCAAAAGAACCAGCGTGAAAAAGATGAAGAAAAGAATCGAAGAGAAGTCGGAATTGTTTCAAAGATTGACTCTTCAAGATGGATCAAGAACTTCGAATCGATCAAAAATCCGTGAAGCTGTTAAAAACCACTTCAAAAAACAATTCGAACGCACCGGTCCAAAAACAACAAAAATCCAATCAACCACCAGAAATCCACTACCAATTTCTAACTCAGAAGTTATGAGAGCAATAAGCAGTTTGAAAGTAAACACGGCCAGAGGCCTGGATGGAATTGGCGCGGATATGATAAAATATGGAGGAGAATTGGTGGCAAAATGTCTGACTAATTCGTTCAACAAAATAATCGACGACGATGAAATACCAGATGATTGGAACAACATCAGATTGAAATTGATTGAGAAAAAGCCAAACCCAGAACATCTAAAAGACGTCAGGCCAATATCGATTTTATCGATTCCTGGTAAAATCTTCACAAAAGTTATGACTTCAAGATTAATGGGCAAATCAGAACAAACCTTGGATGAAAGTCAACACGGATTCAGACCACGACGATCATGCAGTGACAATTTGCAATCGATTTCAATCTTGTGGGAAAGAAGTCATGAGTACAAGCTTCCATTGATTCTGACGTTCATCGATTTCAAGGCGGCTTTCGACTCAGTTGATTGGAATTCGGTGCAAGAAAGTGTAATTGAAACTGGATTCTGGCCACAATATTTGGAGTGTATTAAAGGCGCAAATGAAGTCGGAATCGGAGAGTTAACAGTACTCGGAGAGAAGATGAAAATTGCGATGGAACGCGGAGTCCGTCAAGGCGACTCATCCTCACCAGCACTATTCTCAATCGCGTTGGATCATCTGTTGAGACAAGCTGACCCGATCCCGGAAAACGACCTTGATGGAAACTATGGGTGCAAAATCCACGGGCAGTATATCTCAAGACTTTTATTCGCAGACGATCTGGTGTTGATCGATACATCGAGCAAAGATGCCCAAAAACGCGCTGAAAACATCGCCAAGAAATGTGAAGAAGCTGGATTATTATTCAACACTTCAAAGTCAAAAGTGTTGCGAAATGAAGCAGCTGACAAGAGGTTCATTGTGGTCCGGGGAGAAAGACTGGAAGACGTTGATCAGATAAAATATTTGGGCCGCATTTTCATGAAAGACGGATCATTGGACTCCGAAATCGCAAATCGGAAAAGATCAGCGTGGGCTGCTTATCACGGAATAGCCGAAGCGTTGAGTGGAATTGGAATGACCAGAAAAAATCAACTGCTGAAACAAAGTGTTGTTGCAGCTGCAATTTATGGTGCAGAAACTTGGAACACAAAGGTCAAAGATGTCGAAATCATTCAAAGAACAATCAACCACATTTGGGTGCAAGCTGGAGCCGGTAATCCGCCAGATATGACAAATTTGATTATGAAAACAAAAATCAGATGGGCAGGCCACGTGGCGCGCATGTCTCCGACTAGATATTGCAAAATCATAACACTGTCGGACTTCCCAGATAAGTATCCAAGAAGGAAAGGCAGACCAAAAAAGCGCTGGGTGGACGACATCAAAGAAGCAGCAAAAGTCCACAATCACAACCAAAATTTATTGGGTCTCGGTGGAGACAGAAGAAGAAGAAGGATCGGGATAATATCCAGCAAAATTCCCTGGTCACGAATGGCTCAAGATCGTTCACAATGGAGCTGTCTGGTTCACAGTTATGATCAATGATTATGGCTTGATATAATGGACCATCAAAGTATCAAAGTATCAAAGTAAGTATATTATTGAAATTGACCATTTGGAGTAGAGTACTGTAGTTTAGATACAGTAATACCTGAAAAAATAAAATTGAATTATGATTTTTAGGAAAAAAAAAAAAGAAAAGTGAGTGTTTACAAATGTGCAAAAGAGGAAAAGAGAAAGAGAGAGAGAGAGATAAATAAGATAGAGACGCAGAGAAAGAAAGGAATAGGTTATTGATTTTGTAAAAGAGACAGGATAAATAGAGGAAATTTGAATTTTGGATTTTTGAAAAACTAATTTTTCTCCTCCAAAAGAACTACACAAACCTTGGCCGAGGTTTCTCCAAACCTCGGCCACGTCCAGCTTTTTCACCCTTGTTATTGTTATTTTCATCACTTATCTCCTCAAATGATAAGCAAATACTGGATTTTGCCCTCTTTTTTTCATCCACAAAACATTTATTCCACCATTCTGTTTCAACATGCTTCTTCATCCAACAATTTTTGTAGTCTTCATGATTTTCAGGTACCATTTTTTTCCAACCGAAATTGCGTTCCAGAAAAAAAAATTTTAGCCAAATCCTGGCGAAATCTGCGAATGAGAAATTGCAAGCTTGTTGTGCTCATGATCCTGGAATTGATAGACATTGTGCTCAGAAATATTGCAATTTTGTTAATATTAATCAATTTCAGGTGGGAATCTAGATGAAAATTGAAATGATTTTTGAAATTTCTAGATTTTCCCATTTATTGCTGAATGTAAGGATAAAGGAAATACGATTTCGAAGATTTGGGATTGTATAAGTTCAAAGCATAATCATGTGAAATGCTGTGAAAATCAGGTAAAACTGAGACACGTGGTCAAGTGGTTAAGATCGAGGAGTTCCATTCAAGAGACCAGGGTTCGAAGCCACTTGGGAGCTTCTGGCAAAGTTACCTGATGTTCTTTTTTCTTACCCAAATCTAACATTTTTTGCTGAAAACTTTCTCAAGGTCGTTGTACTTTGATCTACGCTTTTCGTCAAACGTCATTAAACCAAACTACTTTTTCTTCTCCTTTTTTCGGACAATAACCAATCAGAAATAAAATCAGATGTAACAATTTTACACATTTCTTCTTTCTTTATATTTTTCTTTCAGTTGAAACCAAAAGATGACTAATTTCCCCGACTTTCACTAACTTTCAAGCTCCGCCCATTTTTCAAATGTTTTCAGGGAGTTCTTCCACTTTGCCGCGAATTCTGTGATGCTACAAAAGCGGTGCCAACCGATATTTTGAAATATGGTTTTTGTACGGCTGAATTTGATAAATATCGAATGTGTTTTAGAACTTATTTGAAACACAATAATGCTATTCGACAATAAATTTTTTTTTGAATTTTAGAGATGATTTTGGGGGGAGGGGGGTTGACTAAGGTACTGTAGTTTCAGAATAGTACTGTAATTTTGTAGTAGTTGAAGTTGTGTTTTTTTTTTGAAACTTTTGTTTTCTAAATCTTTCTTGAAGATTACTGTAGATGAGCACTATTTTTGCTGGTATTTTTGAACTACATTTTTGTCATGTCATAGTTACTGTATAGTTTTAACTCCTCCTAAAATCCTTCTAGATTACGGTAGTTTTTTCTAGTCAGATTTCACTTGATATTATTCTTTTTCAGTTTCAGTTTCAGTTTCACTTAATTCCAAATCAAATCCTCTTTCTCTCACTTTTTGTTTCAAAAACCCACTGAAAAAACAACAATTATCTGTATAATAATAATAATGATTGCCACATGAAAAAAGGAGAAGCAAAAATCTTTCGAAATCTTCTTGTCCGAAAACCAGTTCCAGTTTTTTTCTCATCACAAAACGGCTTCAGCTTCTTCTTTTTATATTTTTTTTCTTGTTATCATTGCGCGACTTATTTTCATTTTTGTTTATTTTTTGTTTCCTTTTTTCTAGCCTAGCAGTTTAGCTAACTCTGAATGGGGAATTTGAGCTCTTTTGTTTATTTTTCACTGTTTCAAAAATCTTTTTCTCTTCAGAAATGCTGCCTGTATTATTCCTTTTACTGAATATTGGTGGAAGTTTATCTCAAGGTTGGAACAATCAATGGAACCCGTTTCAACAATGGCAACAACCTGGTTGGGGACAACCACAGCCTGGATGGGGAGTTGCACCACCTCAAGCTGTTGTTCAACCACAACCACAACAAGTTGCGGTGCAGGGTGTGAAAAATGCTGTGCAGGATAGAATTCAACAGATGTTAGTTGCTTTTTTAGATGATAAAATTTTAAATATTCTTCAACAAACCTATGATTTCAGCTACGGAGTTCCTGGCCGACGAAACTCCAATCAAAAACTTCGAATTTGCTGCCGAAGTTTGAAAGAAGCCGACGTGGATTGTCGTCGGAAATATTGCGATTTCGAAGCCTTCAGACCAGATCAAGTTTTAGGATTCTTGGGAGAATGTGCACCGAAAGGTCCAACAGTTGGACAAATGTGGGATTGTGCATCATCGAGAGCTGATCATACACCATGTTGTCAAGCACAAGGGGTAAGCTTTGGGTCAAAAGGAAATTTTTGGGCCTTCATAATTTTTTTCAACAAAAAATAGTCAAATCAAAATCTATCGATTTTTTCTAGGTTCTGCCAGCTTGCATTGCCTATTGCGAAACTACCAACGGAGTTCCTACTGATTATTTGAAATATGCGATTTGCATTGGACAATTCGACAAAATTCGATATTGCTTTAGAGATCATTTGGAAAAACACCCAAATATTAAGGGGGATACTTAAGAATCTTCAAATTTTTTCTAAAAAAACATATATTTATTGCTTTATTTTTGCTCTCGAAAATTGAAAAAAATTATTGTCATTCCGAAAAAATAAGAACCTTGGAAGAGAACCGAAATGGCCTAGAAAACCAAGACCACAGTAGACTTCGCAAAATTTTGGAGTCTATTTGAGAAATAAAATGCGAAATTTACACGTTGGCTATTTGCCAACCAGTTTGATATGCATGTGTCACGTCATTTTTAGTCTACTGTACGTGAGCGCCAATTCAAACGGGGGTTCTTTTATTTTCGGAATGACAATAGCTAACCTCGTTTTTGTTTGTAATATTTTGTGTGAATTTGAGAAAGAAAAAACATTTTCATTATCAAATAAAATTATTTCAAACTTTTTGGATTTTCCAAACATTCCCAGTTTTGGTGTATTTGTAGGTCCCCGAATAACTTGAAAAATAAACTGAGGCCAAAGAATTTGAACAAGTTGTGATGTTCGTCTGAAAAATGTTCTGTTCTCTGTTAAGTTTTTGGGCAAACCTTGAAAGATAATATTTCCGTCGCTGGAGAAACAGTCACGGACAGCTGCACAAATGAACTTATTTTGGTATAATCATAGGTAGCACAAGTCATGGCCGTTTTATTGAAAAAATATGCCTGAAAAAGTTTTTCCTCTATCACTTTCACAACAATATATGTAATTTGAATTACCTGACATGCTGCATAAGTATCACACTGACATTGGCAACTTGCCATGCTCCCTATGTTACCATCATAACCCGCATTTAAAAAAGTTTTCGGGTTTCCGGAAATCGAAACATATACAGTTAAAATTGTAGGAGTCACGAGAAATGCGGAAAATAGACGAAACATTTTGTATGTGAAACTGGTTAGACGTTTTTTATTTATGTTTTGTCATGGCTACATGATTTACAGACTCTGCTCTTGGATTTATTTTTCGAAACTAGTAAAGTCTGCAGCCAAAAATTTTTGAATATCGATTTGTGCGAGTTCAAGGGGTCACACTTTTCTAAGGTTTTTTTCGAAAAATTTTCCAGAAATTCGATCATTCATTCATAAAAGCGATATGTATACAAATATGTGCAAGACCAAAAAAAATCAATCAATCTACAGTACTTTCACAAGAACTGTAGATCTCTCTCAAAACACCAAAACTTCAAGAAAAGCAAAAAGAAATGGTATTGAATAGGACAAATAATTGGTGAGTTTATGGAAATTGTGAGCAGCTCCATTACAACGATCACCTAAACAACTGCAGACTCGAAGTGGTGACATTTGAAGATCGGCGTGGGGAAACATTTCATTGGCGGAGACGTTTCTGGAAAAAATAGATGGTTTGTGGGTGGACAAAATTGATTTCAGGTACAACGATGCTCCGCTTTTGCAGCGCCTAAATTCTCAACAAAATATTTTTGATCTACTCGAATATGTTTTCAAAAATTTGAAGCTGCCTTGACTTAGGCTAACTTCTAGACTCACCTGCATCGATCATATCTATCAAAAAATGCCATCGTCTTATTCGAGATTCCTCTTTTCGTCATTGTCAATGCGCAACCTCTCATAAATAATCGATCACCAGTGGGTTTACCTAAATATTTTCAGAGTTTCTCGAATCAGCTAAAAATGTACCGATTACCTAGCATATGAAATTCCTCAACTATCGTTAAACAAATTGATCTGCATTTGACGAGTTGAAGTTTGGAAGTGTCTGGATTTTCATCACAAGCAGAAGTGAAGTTTAGGGGTCGGTAGAGGTAGCTAGAAAATAACAGGTGAATTTTCAACTCAAAGAACTTCAGCCAAAAATTCCAGACCAACCTGCTCAAAACCTTGTCAAAATACATCTCATACATTTTCGACATACAACTAAAACATCGATTTTGCGGAAAATCGTAGCGATGTTGTTGAATATGAATTGGCGGCGGACTTTGTGGATCAATTTTTCGAACTTGAGATTCGGAAAACCTTGGGAGAATCAGAATCAGAATTGATAGGAAACAATAGAGAGCTAGATTTGATGGCATTTGTCTTTGAATTTGTCATCTCATCTCATTTGGCTGAAATCTGGATGTCTGAAAATAGAAATTGAAAATTGAATTTGAATTCGGAATCAAAGAAGAAATTATGAACAAGAAAAAAATATATTGAAAAAAGGTCAGAATTTTTGAGAAGTATGGGAAAAAAAAGAAAAAAAATATTTGGAATAGACATTTTCTAGGTTGGAACTTAAATTCCTGATTAAAAATTAGAAAAAAAACCTTCCAAAAATTAAATTTCCAAATTTTTCCTTCTCAAAAAAAGCAAAAAAAAATATCCTGGCCAGCTCTCCAGGAGAAAAAAAAACGTCAAATGAGTAAAACATACATGTTGTGTCGAATTTCAATCAGCTGCTCTTGCTCTTGCTCCACGAAATTTTAGATTCTTGTCTATTTTTTGTGGCGTGCTTTCTAATGAAACCTAATATTTTGACTTCATTTCTCAAAACAAAACATGCAATCTAACATGAGCAATAAAAGAAAAATCACGAGAAAAATAGTTATTCGAATTGACATCATTGCTCATTTTATGACCGAACCAGAAAATAGTAAATTACCCATGAAAAGAGCATGTAATCCTTCTCGTGAAGTGCTCATTTTCCTGTCTCCTGGAGCAAAATAATTCCACTCGTATTTCGTTTTTGAGGAGGAGAAATACTAATTAATTGGATGTTTTGTTTTTGTATCGGATTTTTTGCGCGCAATTTTGTTTTGAAAAAGAGAAAGAAAAGAAAATTAGAGGGGGAAGGAGGATAGGGTTGTACTTTTTGGTTCTAGACTGCGATTTAGAAAAATGGTACTGTAGGTTTCAAAGGAACATAACACAGGGAATTAAAAAATACTTCAGAGTTGAAAAAAAAAGTTCCATGAAAAATTTCGAAAACAATTTTTTTGCAGTTTGGGTTACTGTAGACTTCCACAGCCTGCGGGTTGTAAAAATTTAAAGCTACAGTACTCTTTGCAGTCTAGAGTACTGTAGACTAACCACACTTTTTTTTCAATCGAACATTTTTGAACAGCATCTTTGTGAGAAATTTCAAATTTCCAAAATCAAGTTCTGACACTAAAGTTCAAATCCAAAAATTCTGAACATTTTCTTGAAAATTCGAATAAATCCCAAGTAACTCTCTCAAACAAACAATCACATCCAAATTGAAAAAGAATGAAAAGGCAACACGACAAAAACCGAAACGACAAAAAAAAATAAAAAAACGAACGAGAGAGAGTGCGTGAAAGTAGGAGAGACGCAGACATTGCAGACAAAAGACACACTACAATTTTCATCACTTCTGATTAACTTTTGCCTACTACTCCTGCTCGCCCCTTTTTCCGTTTGTGGTTTTTTTTATTTTTGTTAGTGGGGCTCCGAGTGTTCATTATACAAAGGTGTCTTGGGAAAATTGCAGAAAATTGGACTTTTTTGGAGGAGAGTTAGACTAATTTGGAAACAAAGATCTGAAAATTGAAAACTTGCAGAAAAATTACACTAAAAAAGTTCCATTGAACATTTTTTGAAAGAATGCGAGAGATTCTGTCATGAATTATTCTGGATTTGATTTTCTAATGTAAGCTGGAAATTTCAGATAGCAGAAGCTTGAATAGAAAATTTTTTTCAAGAACCAGCGAGCCTAAATTCCAAAATTCCCAAAAACTTCTGAAAACTTTCCAAATAATTTTTCAAAATAAACAAGCTTATTCTTAAGCCTAAGCCTTCGCACCAAAAACATGAAAATAAACAAAAAGGGTACTTCTGGCTATTTCTTTTTCAACACAATTTCATGTTAATAAAATTAGCGGCTATTCAGGAGAAAAAAGAAAAAATAAAAATGTGTAGATATATTTTATTTTCTCTATATATGAAGAAAAGTGCAATTTTTCTGGGCCTCTTTTATTTTTTTTTGCTTCTGCGGCTCCACAAGGGAAAATATATATATAAATATAATTGGTGTATGTATTATAAATCATATCTTTCATTCATTTTCTCAGAGCTCTAAAAAAATGACAAAAAATAGACGGGGAGCTGGGAAAAATAGAAATAAAAATAAAGAAATATGGGTGAATTTTTTGTGTCAAGTGGATTTTTTTTGTTTTTTTTAGGGGAAAGAGATTTTTGAGAAAAGTTCGGAATTTTGAAAATCAAAGTTCACGTGGCAAGCCTGAATTTAAATAATTTTGGCTCAAAGTTTTTTGAGCACAATTTTCACTGAAAAAAAATTTAAAATTTTCAAATTGGACTCAGGCTAACTCCTAAGCTTTTTTCTCTTTTAATCTACAAAAACATAGCTTTCTGAATATTTACAGTAATCTACAGTATCCCACGAAAATTTTCTCAAATTCTTAAATATTTTCAAAATCAAAACCAAACCTTATAAATCCCTAAGCTCCGCCTTTCTCTCAAACTCCGCCCACTTTTTCGTCGTTTCTTATTTTCTTTTCGCGAGCAAGAAAAAATTGGTGGTTTTGACTAATTACACGTTCCACACGTCGTTCCTTTTAGCCAAGCATAAATACATCTATCAAATAGTCCTCGAGAACTACACGAAAAAATGTCAGCAAAAAAGCGAATAAATGAAAAAAAAAAAGCAAAAGCAACTAGAAAAACGGAAACAAAAATAGATTGACTGACAACACCAAGAGGAAGAAGCGGACGAGAGATGTTAGATTATAATTTTTTTGGACTTTTTTCCAGTGTTTTTGAGTGGAGATGACCACCCGGGATATTAATTATGACGTGGCATTTTAGGGGGAGAAATTTAGGCTGGAATTTCTGTGCGGCTGAAAAGTTGGATTTTCGTTAGATAAAAAGTATATGAGAGTTTGAATACTACAGTGTAGTTTGATCTACAGGAAATTAATAAATTTGTTTCATATCATGGCATAAATCATGTGCTTTTAGGTGCACCTAAAATTAAACTACATGGACAATCTTAGTAGATCAAAAATTGAACTTATCATTTTTATAGATTAAATTTAGGCGCTAAAAGTTCTTCTAGGCTTAGGCTTCTAGGCTTAGATTAGGTTCCTAGAAAAAAAAAGTTTTCAAATATGATTATTTTTTTGGAAAAATTAAACTTTCAGGATTTTATGGACCTATTTTCAAGACAACCTTCTTGGAAATTATATCAAAATAGAAATTTCAACAAAAAAATTATGCACAAAAAAGAGCACACACACTGCCACCCATCATTTGCACATTTGTCTCCTGCATTTTTCAGACAGGTCGCCTTTTTCTCCCACACTCTCTCATTTCGTCATACTCTCTCGCCATTTTTCACCCTGGTTTTTTTTTGTTTTTGCTTCCCTGAAAAGCACATCAAATAGCTAATTAAAATTGTTTTTTTTTCGGGCGCGGAAGAGGGTCAGAAAATGCTGAAGCTTTTTTTGGAGAAAAATATAATTTATGGGCTTTTTTTTGGAAAGGCGCCAAAAAGCAAAAGGTTTTTGAGAGATGAAACTGGAAATGGGATTTTCCCAAATTTAAAAATAGGCTAGGAAATTTAGCTTCGAAGTCTAGGCTTTTGAAATGTGAAATTCTGAAATAATTGGCGCCGGAAATTCAGTCAAAAAATTTTAACCAAAATTTAATTTTCAGAATTTTCGAAATTTTTTTGCAGAAAATTTCACGTGGCTTTTTGAATTCAAAATGTCCATGTGGAATTTTTCGTTCAAAAAATTTTCAACCCAAATTTTGGCGCCAAAAATCAGCCCATTTTTCACCTACCGTACCCCTCATCACTCATAAAAATCCTCGAAAAAAAATGAAAAATCTGAAACCATCAATTTTTTTCAAAAAAAAAAAAAATAGAGCACCCAATAAAAAGCGATGGCTTGCTTGAAAAAAAATATGAAAATTTATATATTTTTTCAAGCCATAAGCCATAAAGTGAGTGTGTCACCTATAATTAATCATCCGTTTCGAGCTGCTCAAAAATGAGCCCTCTGACAAAAAATGCCCGTTTCCATAACAAAATTTTTTATTTATTTTATTAGTGCTTTCACTCGAAAATTATAGGATGATGAAAAATTGTCACGCAAAATGGGAGCTTTGGAGCCGAGAAAAATACGCTTCACAAATGTTATATCTTCAATTTAAAATCGTATGAAATCGATTCCAGTTCGCTATTTAATTCAAAAAAATCAAACAATTTTTCGAACTCCAAAATTATCGATTTTCAAAATTTCCAACTTGACTGGAGAGTACTGTAGATCAAATTTGAGTTGCTGCAGGTTTTTGGAATTTCTTGGGTACTTTTGGATTTGAAAGCAATCGTGATAGATTGAGATGTATGTTGGCTGAAAATTTCAGATTTTCGGGGCGAAGATTACAGAATTTCTTACTTACTCTTTCAACCAAAGGTCCCTGAAGTTTTCCTTCAACAATCGAAGTTTTTGAATCGACATGATAACTTTGATGAATTGACTGATTATTCAAATCCAAAAAATCGACAAAGAAGTTCCAGGATTTTTTGAATGACAAATAAATGTGAAATTCAAATCGTAGGAGGCCAGAATTTGATGGAAAATTAGAAATTTCAGCAAGATTTTCAGCATCTCTGACTTTTTTTTGTGATAGAAAAATGAGAGATGGGAGAAAAATGAAAAGAAAAAATGGATTTTGTTTTTTTTTTCATTGTTGTTGGGAGCAAATTGATTTTTGATTTTTTTTTCTGGAAAAAAATTGTGATGAAAATTATTAGAATCATGAAGTCGATTTAAAATGTTTTTTTTTTTCACATTTTCTTCAGAAATGTTAAAAATCATACCTAACGGATATAGGAAAATGCTTCGACCGGGAATCGAACCCGTCAAAAATGCTTAGATTCGAAGGCAAAGTCACGTACCACTTGACCACGTATGCCTACGTGAAAAACTGTTTATTTCTTTCATTTATAAATGATCAGTTTAAAAATGCGAAAAAATGATATTTCTTTGAAATTTGGAATTTACTTGTTTTTTCCACATCTTCCATTTTTCAGTTTGCAAAAAAATATAATTAGAGCACTTGCAATCAAAATGCCCGATCACCGAATGCATGACCAAATTCACGGGCGAAAAAAAGAAACAAAATTTGTGATTGCGGACCGTTGCCACGTCAGTGAAACGTGTCACTCATTTCGAAAAAAAGAGCGATTTCACCCATCGCAGCCAATCACGTAATTACACGTAGCTAAAAGGTACATGACACGCCCCTTTTTTCTGCCAAGTCCGCAGTGAGAAAAGTGTCCTTTTTTTGTTTTGTTTTTTCGCCCGTGAAATTCAAGAGCAGACAGATTTGAGCGGTGACAAGATGTAAGTGAATTCTTGTCATAATTTTCTAATCTAAATTTTATCTTCTTGCAGAATTGGTGAATTTAGAATTGTATCGAAAATAGGCGAAGGCGGCTTTGGGAAAATATTTGAAGTGAAAAGAGATAGCGAAATATTCGCGATGAAAATCGATTCCATAAATCCTGTTGGAGGGCTCATGATAAAATATGAGTACGAAGTTTTGAAATGTCTCGGTTCAAATAAGTTCAAAATGTTCCCATCCGTGATTGCGCTCGGAACATTCTCAACGCATCATTATTTTGTGATGGAATTGTTGGGCGATGACCTTGGAACTCTCAAATTCAGATGCAAAAATTCGGACACAATGACAACTGGGAGTTGGACGAGAATTGGAGTTCAATGTTTATACAGGTTGGTTTTTCTAAATTTTTGGAAACTGTGTTTTTTTATTGGGTTCATTTCAATTTTTGTCGTTTTTCAGTATCAAATTGACTCACGATTGCGGTTATCTTCACCGTGATATAAAACCCAGCAACTTCGCCCTTGGTCCAAAAAGCGACTATCTTAAAAATCGACTCATTTTCATGTTCGATTTTGGCTTAGCTAGAAAATTCGTTGTGAAACGAAAAGATAAGAAAATCAATGAATCGACAGTTCTCGAAAGAATTCAAAAATCAGCTCTGCGAATCACGGATCACAAGGATTATGTATGGAGAGCGCCACGACGAGAAACCGAATTTAAAGGAACAGAAATGTATTGTTCACCAAACGCACATTCTCTGAAGGAATTAGGTAGAGCAGATGATGTTTGGTCTTTGATGTTCATGCTTGCAAATTTGATAGGACCACTTCCATGGGCCAATGAAGACATTACTTTGGCGAATACCAAACAATCAACAAGCTTTTGTGAATTGTTTAAATGCAATGATTTCGATAAATTGGAAATGAACCTCAGAAATTGTTCTTATTATGATGCGCCGGATAAAAAACTAAAAAAGAAGTGGAGTTGGTTGGGATGATCCTTATGATTGGGAATATGGAGCGAAAGAACTAGTCGATTATCATGCTTGGAAAGGATTGAAAGCTGATAAGAAAGCCACATTCGAATGGGAAAAGCCAACAAACTTTTTTACTGCAGATTGATCTGCAAAAAATAAAAGAAGGAAAAGACCAGAAGAGAAGGACGAAAAGAAGGACAAATATCATTGGGAAAATATCTTCTGAAAAATGCAAAAAATGAGAGAAATCGAAAAAACATGTCGTGCGTATATCGCGGTCATTTATCCCAGCAATTTCAATTTCAGTTATCGAACCTGTGTTCTCATCAAACTTACCATCTTTCCTCTCTTTTTTTTAATAAATTGTTAATTAGACAAAAAAAAGACAACTTATTGTTGAATAAATTATTCAACATTTTCACATTCCAGCCGATTTTTTTTTGAAAAAACTCGGGACGATTTTTTTTTTTGAAAAACTCGGGCCGATTTTTTTTTTTGGTAAGAAATGTTTTCATCAAAAAACTTTCAAATTTAAAAAATTCCTCACCGACGCTCGAATATTGGTAAATCGCGGTGTAACCATCGTAATCGATACATCATTTTTATTTCCAAAACCAAATTCGATGTTTCCGCATCCGTATAAAAATCAGCATCATTAGCCAACTCAAACTTCTTCTTCGCCTTATTTTCATCCTCAATTTTAACATCTCTATAATCCATCGCATTTTCATCATTTTCTTCCTCTCTAATCTTATTAACTATATCCACAACTTTTTGCTCGGCTTCTGAAATGCCAAACATGTTCGAAATTCGATGATCGGAAGCGCTGGTTGGTATGCCATCTTCGAAATTGCCTTCAAAACTCTTCGGATTTTTTGCAATAGAAATTCGATAGATTTTCAGCCGGGAATTAGGAAATCGTTCTCATCTGGCACATCATTCATCCCCATTCATCATTTTGATCGCTGCCAAGGCTTTTTCGATGTTCAATTTTCGGCCAGTAAGTCGTGGTTCTCGATAGGAAATTGTTGTTCCAACAATGACAGTAATTGGTTTCGAAGTTGTTTGATTTTCTCCAATTGGGGAAGAGGTTGTGCTCGATGAGACGAAATCATATCCTCCAACTGTAACATCGGCAGAAGTTGAAGAATTTCCAAAAATCGGAGAGAAAGAGTTGATTGTGGTGTCGAATTGCTCGCCAATTAAACAAGCAGCAAACTGAAAATTATATAAAAATATTTGAAAATATGGTCAGAGAAGAATTATTGACCGAAAATATTTGTTTTTGGTGACTCACTTGATCCTACTACAATAGATAAACTCATCGAAACATTGTCCCAAGTTGAAAAACTGTGGGATGATGACAGCTTGACAGTTTTAGTTCTGGAAAAAAGTTTAGAAATTCAAGATTTTCGATTGACAAAATAAAAATCTCACAACTTGAACTTGCTTGTCTATTGTTTTGTTGAATGTTGGTGTATGTTGTGGTTGTTTGAGTGGAATAAGTTGTTGGTGCACTGACTGGAGCATATCTCTTGCGGCAAACAAGTACTCTCTTTTCTGCTCCTTCGTCTTCCACAAAATGTGGCTCTTCGCGATCTTCAAAACCTTTCTGCGGATTGTAACCAGATCCTTCGATTTCGAGTTGAGTTTCAGATTTCGGGAAAACATCGTTGATATTTGAGTGAAAGTCAAATCGACGAGCACCTTTAAACGCACCATCAACGACAAAAGTACGATCTCCTTGAGCAACTCGGCTGTTTCCAAACTCGATTTTTCCTTGATCGGTACGTTTGTTGTCAGAATAAACATCAGAAACAAATGCACGGCGGTGGAATGGAGCAGCGAAAGCCGAGTCGATTGATGCTGAAAATACCATAATCATCAGATTCAGAAGTATGAAAAATAGGCGGGAAAATTGTTATTTATTGTGATGCACAAATTTTAGAAATGCCAGAAATTAAGAACGTGTAAAACAAATTGTATTATAGATCTAAACACGTCTCATTTTTGTCAGACTTAAAAAAACAGTAAAAACTCACGTCTCAAGAATCTTCTCGGTTGACGTCTTTCCACGACGACGATATTGAGATTTTCTTGGTGGAACAAAGAAAGGATTATCAATATATTGTTAATCATCGAATCACTTTGTTGGTAAATGAAATGTTGAATTGGTGTGACAGTTGGTTGACATTGTGGAAGATCGTAAACGCAAAGAAGAAGAAGAAGAAGAGCATTTCGAATAATGTGTTGATTGGGCATTGCTTGTTGACAACCGAATTGTTTCGACATTTTGAAAAACGAGAAGCACATGATCCAAAGCTGTCCGTTTTGGCAAACTTGATTGGAATTGACCGAATATCCAGATGTGACTTCTGAAATTGATTGAACTGTTGAAGTTGCAACTGGAACTGGAACATCATCATCAGCAACTTTTGAAGTAGCAACTGGTTCTTCAAAAGATAATGTATTTGGTTCTTCGGGCGAAACTTGGAATAGGCTCTTAAGAAGATCGTTGAGGAGAGAGTAGAAGGCCTGGAAAATTTGGATTTTCATTCATATGTTGAAAATTGGAAAACTGTCGATCTTAAAATGAGCTATGTTGGCTCAAAAATGGGAATTCTGGCACGGAAACATTGATGATAACATGAGCAATACTGAAAAATATTGCTTATGTTACGACAAACGTCTTTGAGCCAGAATTGAAAATTTCCCAGCCAGGTATTGCTCATATTAAGATCCACATTAGCAACGCAAAAATCAGACAATTTTGAGAATTTCTCATGTTAAAAATAATATTTTCCACGCCAAAAATGACTTTTATTAGGGGCCTATGCAGATTAATATTTTGTAATAACATTAAAAACATATTTTTTCCTATGCAGAAAAATGTCGAAAAACAAAATATACAGTTTATTATTTTCGAGAGGAGACAACACGAAATTGAGAGAGCGCAGACAATTTTTCGAAAAAAAAATACAAGAAACTACTTTTTCTGTCTGGGCTCTCTCAATTTCGTGTTGTCTCCACTCGAAAATAATAAACTGTATATTTTGTTTTTCGACGTTTTTCTGCATAGGAAAAAATATGTTTTTTTATTACAAAATATTAATCTGCATAGGCCCATTAGATTCAGAAAATGTGAGAAATGAAAAAAATAGGTTGAATGAAATTTCTGAAAAATGGTACAGATTACGTGTCGGCCTTCTATTGGAACTAAACATTTCATATTTCTAGAAACGTGACGCCCAACCGCAGTGCGACTGAAAACTTAAAATTTTCAGCAAAACTTCCCCTCTTCCCAAAATTTCACTCACCAAAAAATGAATATTCCAAATCGACAACGATTGCAAATCCAAAAGCCGATTCTTAGCATGTCTCAAAACTCGGATCAAACTTCACAATTCTAAAAGTGTAAACGAATCGACACTTTCAATAACTTCTTGGAACAATTCAGAATGGCGAATTGAAAAATAATTGATCATCAACTTCTTTTCCCACAAATGCAAATCTGGCTCCAATTTTTCTGAAATTTCTGGCAAAATTGTGACAAGAATTCGAGATTGGGCATTTGGCGTCATTATACAACATCCGTAATCATGATTCACTGCAGTTATCACATCTTTGAAATTTGATTTTTGTTGGATATTTCCGATTACTCGCTTGCTGATCGTGGAGAGGGTTTTAACTGAAGTTTATCAAATGTTCAGGAAAAAGTATTCATAAAAACTCACAAGAAGGCAAGGTGCATAACTGAAGTGCAATATCAGATTTAGCGGAAGTGTTCAAAGTTGTATCTGTATTGAAACTTCCAACTTTAGCCACATGATTTATCACAACATCCGCTAAAGCTTTCTCCTCTTCTTCCAGGTTTAGTGCATTGATAATATGCTCTTTGAGCTCGCCAATTTTTGTTTTCACAACTGATGTAGGTTGACTTCTTCTTCTTCTTCGCTTTATCAATAATCTCCTTTTCAAACGCGGCATCCAGGTTATTCTTAGTTCCATCAAACGAATCATGCAACATCACCACGTCGAAAAATGGGGGTTTTATGGGTGCTTGGGCTAATGGTGGATAGATGGGCATTGGTGGTTTGCGTTTGTTGATTCCTCCGCGATGCCGACGACCACGTTTTCCAGACATTTATAGGTTGAAAAAGAGGTTGACAGGAAAAAACACAAAAAATAAATAAAATTTTTTTTTCAAAAAATAGCATACGGTGATTGGCAAAGTCCGCAAAGTGTTTGCACACAAAGCGATTTTTTTGTAGTTCTCTCGGAGAATTATTTTATTTTTTTCGTTTTTCACACCCGTTCAAACGCTCAGCAAACCAGGGCGTAGCTACATTGTCGGAATTCTGGAAAGAGAGCCTGACAAGCTACGCCCTGGTTTTCTGAGCGGTGCAATGAGTCTTACTGTTTGCAAACACTCTGCGTATCTGTGTGTATGCAGATTTTCCTTTTTTTTTCTCTCGCACTCTCTCCGTGTTTCACACTCTTTATTTGTCATGTTACGGTAGAATTTTAAAGGAACATAATGTTTTTTACGAGCGATATCTCGAAGCGATGGTGACTTTTTTCCTAGGGTGTTTGGTGAATCGGCGCATAGTTATTCAACTAGATTCGAATACGTAGATTTCGAATATCTAATCATATTTTTTTCGGTTAAGCCATTTTGTCATAGCAGGCGACACCGATTTCAGTTTTGTTTAAAGGCGCATTGCATCATTTTCTTTTTCTTGAACATGTGTTAACAACGACAAAAAAAATAAAATTTTATAAATATAAGTCATCATATTTGCACGAGTTACTCATCCTTCTTATTATCATATTTCATATTATCCGTCTTGTCATCGGCTTTCGTCTCATTCTTTTTCTCGTCATCAAATTCAACAAAGATCTGAAACCAGAGATGAGTCTTTTTTTATGTTTTATGATTTTTTTTTAGTTCAAACTCACTGAATTAAGAGCCACAAACGCGGTTTGTCTCCTATCCAGGAAAACTTGAAGAGACCATTCGAGCTTCTTTTCTTGCTTGACTGCCATATATTTCATGATTTCCTTGCTCAAACTATATCCATTTCCGCGCTTAACTGATCTCAAAACAGAAATAAACAAATCGTGAATTTTTAGAGGAAGAGATGCCATCTTTAAAATCCACAACTTCTTAGAATCAATACCAGTAATTGCCAAGCACTTTTCCAAATTGACATTTTCCGTCATCAAAACTTTTCTCAGTTCGGTGATCTTGAAAAAAAAAACATTAAAAAATGATAGAAGAGAAGCCTGATATAAGAGCAGTCTCTAACGCAAATTTTTTAAATAAGACTGCTCTCATAAGTAGATTGTTTACTCACCAACTGAATTGCTACTATTCTGTCCAACTTTTCCAACTCTTCTTTGCCCAACTCTTCTTTTCCAATCAAGAATTCATTTAATAAACGACTAATTTTTTTCTTTTCATCTTCCTCATCTTCCTTTTCGTCTTTCTCTTCCATCTTCTTATCCTTCTTGTCTTCATCCTTTTCCTGCAAATTTTCAAATTTAAAATTCAAATAATAATCTCAATATGAAACTTGTAAAAAGCGTCTTCTTTTTTTATTTTTTTTGTCCGTTTAACACACTTCAGCTGAACACTTGATTTTAAAAATTTGGAATTCAAAAATAGTGAAATTTTAGAATTCAAAAAAAAAATTTGGAATTCAAAAAATTTTCATGAATTTTGAAACTCTAAGAAACTAAATTTTTGTTATTTTTTTCTCAAAATGTTTCCCCGGCACACAACGCGTTGGCTGAGGTATGTTTTCAAGTTTAAAAAACCTCAAGAGTTAATATATAAGATAATTATCTCAATTTATTTCATGTCAACTTACACCGCCTTTTTTCTTCTCAATCTCAATATTCTCATCGATTTCCTCGCAATTTTCTTTCTCCTCCTCTTTTTTATTCTCCTTTTCCTCTTCCTTCTTTTCCTCCTCTTTCATTTCCTTCAGATTTTTCTCCTCCTCTGTTTCTTCCTTCTTTTCCTCTTCCTTCTTCTCCTCTTTCCTCTCAACATTTTCGATCGCATCATCCTTGTCATTCAATCTTACTTTTCTTGTGGACAATCCGATTGATGTCATTCCAAACCGATAACTTCCCATCAAAGACGAAACATTCTGTAATATACACAATTTATTATAACCTCAACGATTCTTATCTTTCGATTTAGCAACCCTGCTGCTCCAAAAATGTTTTTTTTTTCGCATTTTTGGAGTACCAGAACTTTTGAAAACATAAGTTTCTGGAATTTTTTTTGGGGATATGGTATAAATAATTCAGAATAGATTTGAAAGTGGTTTTTTGATTTTGTAAAACGTTTGATCTGGAACTTACTCTCACCGTTCTGCTTTCAATGGTCTCTATGCCAAATAATGTCGAATTTACGGTGTTGTTCGATACTTGATTTGAATACTGCTGAAATTGTTTTAGTTTTTAGTGTTTCACCTTAAAAACTTGTAAAAATTTGTTCTGTTTATTAGATCGAAGGGAAAATTAGATGCTCAAATCGACCGCACAGCTTAAAGTGGGAGAGGGGGGATAACACCAGTTAAAGGCTTCCCAAAAATAGCAAAACTTTCAATTTTTTTTTTGGAACAAATAACATTAAAAAAATCTAATTATTTGACCACGTATATTTGGAAACAATTCATGAAGTATCTTTTTCGAATCGTTTTAGGCCATTCAAGAAAAAATCGCCTGAGGCGAGGCTTTTTCTATTCAAAATGGGCCCGATATTTTGAGCAAATAAAATTTTTTCTTCCCCCCTCTTTTTTTTTAAGAAAAAAATCATCAAACTGGGATGGAATGATGAGCTCTCACTTCATCTTTCCCTAGTATTATTTTTTTATTTTTTAAACATTTTTTCCCTTCATAATAAATAGGTGGACTTACAGTTCTCACAAAAGTAGGTGACATCGCTTCAGAACTTGCCGGTGAAACGGTTGATTCATCATCAGAAATCTGCAAGTTCACAAATTATTGAAAAAAAAAACACGTTTTCTTTCTGTTAAGTTTTTTCTAGATACATCCCTATATTCAATAAAGCTAACTTGACCAAAAATTTATCAAGTTTTGGCCAAAAACGAAAATTGGTCGAAATTTGGTCAATTTTTGGTCAGAATCAGTGCAATTAAAAGCATGAACTACGTGGCTGCCGTTTCCGCTTAGGATCAGGTATTTTCTCTGCGTCTCTTTCACTCTCGCCAATTGCTCTCTAAACGCGATTTCTTACTGGTTCACCTAATTACATTCATCTAGCTAAATCCTAGGTTTACTACTATAGAAAAGATATTCAGATGAAATTGTGAATCTTGTAAAGAGCGTTCTCGGACTAAAGTGTTTTGCACTTCTACGTGAAAAAAGGATACTAAAACGTTATTTAAAAATCTGAAAATTTTGGAGCACACATAAAAAATCTTTCTCCATCTAATGATATAACATATGATATAAACTTTTAATTATCCAGTACCCCCTTTAAAAAAACTTCAAGAGTTAATATATAAGAAAGATAATTATCTCAATTTTTTTCATGTCAACTTACACTGTCATTTTTCTTCTCAATCTGAATATTCTCATCATTTTCGTCTTTCTTTTCCTCTTCTTTCTTTTCCTCATCTTTTTTCTCATCCTCTTCTTTCAAATTCTCTTTTTTTTCTTCCTCTTCTTTCTCTTCATCTTTCTCTTCCTTTTTCTCTTCCTTCTTCTCTTTTTTGCTTTCTTTCTTGCTCTCTTCTTTCTTTTCCTCATCTTTTTTCTCTTCCTCTTTTTTCTCATCCTCTTTTTTCTCTTCTTCCTTCTTCTCTTCTTCATTTTCCTCCTCTTTCTTTTCCTTCCTTTCGTCCTCCTTCTCCTGCAAATTGACAGATTTTAAATTCGAATAATTATCCCAATGTTTGCCTGATAGTTTTTAAGCATTACCTTCATAATTTCTTGCAATAATATGGTGGTCATTCTTCCAAATTCCATTTTCACTTTGACAACTTCCAGTAAAATATTATCCAATTTTTGGTTTAATTCCATAGACATACTGATGAAACTGAAAAAAATTTGTTTTCGAAATGACGAAAAATAAAAAAAGAACTCACTTCTCAAAACTCTTTGACATTTTGCAATTATTGGATGTTTTTTGTTTGATCTGAAATATTTTTTTTGAATCCTAGAGCGAATTTACAAGTCTTTGGTGAAATTTGCTCCTAAACTGAAGCCAAAAATCATAATTTCACTACATTCCTAGGTCTATCACCCTCGGAGCTTTCCAATAATGTGGGAATAAAATCGAAAAAAAGATATCTTATTATTTTTTCTTTAGCTTCTAACTTCAAAAGATTGTTTTACTCTTACAAATGCGAACCATCTTTCGATAAACTCACATGCTTTGCAACAGCTTGAAAAATATAGCTAATTTACATAATAGTTTAGTCTTTATAGCTAATTTTAGTCTTTATAGCTAATTTACAAATACATCTAATTTACTACCTGATGATAACCCGAAAAGAAGCCGAAAAAATAAAAAACATAATGAAAATCCCCCCAAAAAATGTGCAACGCAAAAAAAACTGGGAGGAACTCCACACAAAAAAAAATAATGAAAAATATAGGCGGTTTGGTCATCGCCACGTCACACGTTCACGTGAAATAATTTAAAATAATTATCTCTTTTAGTTATTTTTTTTCAAAATTCCAACAATAATTAGGTTCAAAATATAATTACAGAAAAAAGTGAGACTGAAATCCGCAGAAAGGTTTTGAAGATCGCGAAGAGCCACATTTTGTGGAAGACGAAGGAGCAGAAGAGACAGTACTTGCTCGCCGCAAGAGATATGCTTCAGTCAGTGCACCAACAACTTATTCCACTCAAACAACCACAACATACACCAACATTCAACAAAACAATAGACAAGCAAGTTCAAGTTGTGAGATTTTTTATTTTGTCAATCGAAAATCTTGAATTTCTAAACTTTTTTCCAGAACTAAAACTGTCAAGCTGTCATCATCCCACAGTTTTTCAACTTGGGACAATGTTTCGATGAGTTTATCTATTGTAGTAGGATCAAGTCAGTCACCAAAAACAAATATTTTCGGTCAATAATTCTTCTCTGACCATATTTTCAAATAAATTTATATAATTTTCAGTTTGCTGCTTGTCTAATTGGCGAGCAATTCGACACCACAATCAACTCTTTCTCTCCGATTTTTTGAAATTCTTCAACTTCTGCCGATGTTACAGTTGGAGGATATGATTTCGTCTTCCACAATTGGAGAAAATCAAAAAACTTCGAAACCAATTACTGTCATTGTTGGAACAACAATTTCCTATCGAGAACCACGACTGACTGGCCGAAAATTGAACATCGAAAAAACCTTGGCAGCGATCAAAATGATGGATGGGGATGAATTATGTGCCAGATGAGAACGATTTCCTAATTCCCGGATGAAAATCTATCGAATTTCTATTGCAAAAAATCCGATGAATTTTGAAGGCAATTTCGAAGATGGCATACCAACCAGCGCTTCCGATCATCGAATTTCGAGCATGTTTGGCATTTCAGAAGCCGAGCAAAAAGTTGTGGATATAATTAATAAGATTAGAGAGGAAGAGAATGATGAAAATGCGAAGGATTATAAAGATGTTAAAATTGAGGATGAAAATAAGGCGAAGAAGAAGTTTGAGTTGGCTAATGATGCTGATTTTTATACGGATGCGGGAACATCGAATTTGGTTTTGGAAATAAAAATGATGTATCGATTACGATGGTTACACCGCGATTTACCAATATTCGAGCGTCGGTGAGGAATTTTTAAAATTTGAGTTTTTTGATGAAAACATTTCTTACAAGGAATGATCGACAATTTGACCCCCTGGATTTTGATTATTATTTTTGAAAATAGTTAAAGTATAAAAATGAATAATCTTACAATTTTCATCTGAACTTTTGTAGCAAAGTTACTTGTGTCCCTAAAATTGTATTCAGATTTTCAGTTCTTAGTCTACTTCTTAGTATAAATCAGTTTTTCAGTCAGTTTTTCAGCACTGCTCTTCAATCAGAATATAAATTGATGTTCGCAAAAACCGAAAAATGTCATTTCTAACTGATTTTGTCTTCTTTATTTATCAAGAAAATTCTTGAGCTAAGAATTCAATATAAAACATCCCAGTGCCCAGGAAAAAAACTCACACCTGTCGAATCGCTTCGATTTAATAAATAGGCAATAATCTGATCCACGAAAAACATGATATTTGAAAAAAAGGTCACGTTTTATTTTTTTTTTTTCAATAGCTTATTTTCTGAAAACCTTTTTTTTTCTATTTTCAACGTTTTTTTTCCTTTGAGAAGCTTTGAAAAAAGGAGGATCACTGATCAAGATGAGATTTCGCTCGGAATTGAATGGATGAGGTTCAGTCCAAGAATTGGAGAAAAGAAAGGATATATTTTATAGAAGAGGAGATCACAATTTAACGATTAGAAATATGTGTAAAAATATAATTTGAAATAATTGTTGATCAATAAAGATACCCTAATCTTTTGAAAATTTATGGTAACTTTACAATTTTCACACTCAAAACTTCAGCGCACAATTTGGATTCTTCGGAACCACTATGTAGGCCGAGGTGTGTGTCCATTTTGGAATCCTATTTTAAGAAAGCGAGATCCCAAAAAATAAGAAATTTTTATGCAAAAAAACACCTAACGAAAAACATAGAGACAAATTACCGAATAAGGATTACCACAGTAATAGAAAACAATAAAACAAATAACATTTTATCATAATTTCACGAGTTAGACTACTCCTTCTTGTCGCCCTTCTTGTCCTCCTTTTTTTCATCCTTTTTGTCATTGTCTTCTTTTATTTCCTGCAAATTTTCAAATTTCAAATTCAAATAATTATCCCAATTTTTTGGGTTGGTCTTATCATTTAGCCTTACTTTTGCCGTTGATACATCAATTGGTGAAATTGGTGAAATTGCTGATTCCATTCCGTACCAAGAACTCATTACCGAAGTGTCATTCTGTAATATACAAAATTTACTAGAACCTCAACAATTTTTTTGTTTTGAAGAAAAGTTTTTTCTGAATTATTCTTTGGGAATTAAAAAAATTAATTCAGACTAGATCTGAAGATGGTTTTCTGAATTTGTAAAATGTTTGATCTTGAACTTACCATTCTCACCGTCATTTCTTGAACACTTTCAATACCAGTTAGAGTGCGGTTTGATTTATTATTTGGAATTTGATTGGAATATTGCTGAAAATGTTTTTGTTTTTAGTGTTTCTTCTTAAAGAACTTGTAAAATTTGTTTTGTTGATCACACATAAAATAGGTCCCCTGAGCCAGTTTTTTCAGTAAATCATTAGCAGAACATTGGCCAAGTTAGGCACCAATTCCTTCAGATGTTTGAAAAAAGTTAAGCCTCTCACCCAGATTCTGGGGACCAGACTGGTGCCGGAAAATTGAAACCCGGAAAACGGAAAGCCGGAAAATTTCCGCATTTTTTGAACCGGAAAATTTTTCAAGTTCTGAAATTTCGAATTTCAGCCCTAACAATTGTAAGTTAACTTTAAAAACTTATTTTTATCTACAATCCTCCTGTTCACTGGTAATTTATTAACTATTTGGGACGCTTTATGTTCAAAAAATCGCAAAATTCTGAAAAATTGAAAAAAAAAAATTCAAAAATTTTATCACCTGGACAAATTTCTCAAAATTTAGGCAATATTAAAGATTTTACTATTAAAAATCATTTTCCGGATTTTCCGAGCACATTTTTCGGAAAACCGGAAAATTGATTTTTGCTGGAAAAAACCGGAAAATCCGGAAATTCGGAAAATTTCTGGCACAGGCCTGCTGGGGACCCATTTTTATGTATGGGAGCGGTAAGACGACGAAATTGTGCTTGCTCAAAATATCGGGCCCTTCTAGCAGTAGAAAAATCTGGAGGGGAACCAGAAAAAGCGAATCTCCGAAGATAGACAGAAGTGGGTATAAATTCAATTGGATCTCGTTGCGCTAAGAGAATTCGATTGGTGAACTTACAGTGCGAGAATATGTTGATGGCATCAATGAATCATAATACGATTCCCCCATGAATGTTGGATCATCATTATCCTCATCTGCATAACTCTCATTGTCTTCATCGCAATTCTGCAAATTCAAAAATTTTTGACCAAAAAACAATGTTTTCGTTCTATTCTGTTTTTCTAAGTCGAATTCTAGATACATTCCTATATTCAAGTATCAAATTTGGCCCAAAATTTGAAAATTGGTCGAGATTTGGTCGAAATTTTGGTCAGAACCAGTGCAATTCTTTCCTACATTTCAAATATAGTTGCAAAAATGAGTGGGTCAGTTAAATCTGTTTTGGAATTAAGAAATTAGCAAAAAAATTTTCAAGATAAATTGAAAAATAAATTGAATCTTGGGCACATAACTAGGTCGAGCGGAAGGACTTTTGTTATATACCATAGATAATTATCCCAATTTTTGTTCAATTCAACTTACTTCGTCTTTCTTGTCGTTCTTCTTATCATCCTTAATCTTGGGCACAATATCCTTGTCATTATTCTCCAAATTGCTTGCCGATTTGCAAATGTTTGACATTTTTGTCTGAAATACGTTGTTATATTTGAATTCTTATTTGAATAATATAACGTGGATCAATTTGTAGAGAAACCATTTGGGTGGCCCAATTATTTTTTTAAACAAGAAGAAGATTTCAGTCAAAAAAATATGAAAAAAATTGTTTTTCTGATTATTATGATAGTTAGAGTCTAAAAATGAATAATCTTACAATTTTCATCTGAACTTTAGTAGCAAAGTTACTTGTGTCCCTAAAGTTGTATTCAGATTTCCAATTCCTAATCCAAATCAGTCTTTCAGCCAGTTTTTCAGCACTGCTCATCAATCAGAATATAAATTGATGTTCGCAAAAACCGAAAAATTTCATTTCTAACTGATTTTGTCTTCTTTGTTTATCAAGAAACTTCTTGAGCTAAGAATTCAATATAAAACATCCCAGTGCCCAGGAAACAAACTCACACCTGTCGAATCGCTTCGCCCTCTCATTAAAATCCCGTAAGGTGAAATTTATTTAGAAATGTTCATTTCTCCCGGTCACGTGAAATTCTGATAAATATATGTTTATCAAAAATATTAATGCTTCATTTCTTACCTACACGTGTGGTGTAGGCGGGGAGAGCGATGCCTTCCAATCAGGCAACCCTCCTTCTTTTGTGGGTTCGAGCCCCACTCGGAAAAAATTTTTCCCTATATCGAGTAATGCAGATTTTCGGAAATTTTGTTCCTTTCTCCCCGAGATTGCGAAAATTCGACATTCCAACGCGGCAAAAAAGAAAAAAGAAGATGGAATAAAAAGAGCTCAATAAAAAGAGAAAATCGAGAGAATATCATGCGTGACCCATGAACGAAAAAGCCTGATTCTTCAAATGCTATTGGCATTGTTCAAGAAATCCAAATTCCTAACGGGACAAGAATATCATTCAAGTCTTCAATACGAAAAAAAATTAAATAAGTTTTTTTTTTCGAAAAATTTATAGATGACGTCATCCATGGCAAAATTAGGAAGTCTTCCAGATTTTGCCACGAGTCATTTTTTGATACCAAAAACTCGAAATTTTCTATAAATTCAATTGTAATTCGTGTGATTTACCTCTTACGAATACATTTAATTCAAAAAAATAATTGTAAAAAAAAATCGGCCGAGTTTTTTCAAAAAAAATCGGCCCGAGTTTTTTCAAGAAAAAAAATCGGCCCGAGATTTAAAAAAAAAAAGTTACAGATTTGGAATAATCCAAAAATGTAAAAAAAAATCGGCCCGAGTTTTTTCAAGAAAAAAAATCGGCCCGAGATTTAAAAAAAAAAGTTACAGATTTGGAATAATCCAAAAATGTAAAAAAAAATCGGCCCGAGTTTTTTCAAAAAAAATCGGCCCTTAAAAAGCGAAACAATACTGATGATCATGCTACTGGTGGCGGAATTTTAGTCCGAAATATTGTTTATAAATCAGCTTTGACTCCGTAATTATTTGTAAATAAAATTTTTCTATTATCTATATTTCTACATTTCAAAAAGTCGGTCGTTTGTAAATTTTAACAAATGTGAAGTTTTACGAAGAATAATTAGAAATATTAAGATTTACAAGCAATTTTTCAATATAGAACAGGTAGTGAAAAAGTTTGCACAATCAGAATACAACAAACAAAAGAACAAATTACAAATACAACTAATTTACTTAGAATGATACCTCGAAAAGAAACCTAATAAAACCCCTTAAAAATGTGCAACGCACAAAAACAAAAAACTGGGAAAAAAGCCACACAAAAACATATAATGAAATATATAGGCGGTTTGTTCGCCGCCACCTATGATACGTCACACGTACACGTGAAATAAATTACAATAATTTTCTTTTTTTTGTTTTTTTATACCATTCCAACAATGATTAGGTTCAAAATATAATTACAGAAAAATTGAAAATGGGATAAATGAGGAGACTGTTACGCCTAGGGGCTAACAGCCCCTAGTCGTTTGAATAAATAGGCAATAATCTGATCCACGAAAAACATGATATTTGAAAAAAAGGTCACGTTTTATTTTTTTTTTCAATAGCTTATTTTCTGAAAACCCTTTTTTTTCTATTTTCAACGTTTTTTTTTCCTTTGAGAAGCTTTGAAAAAAGGGGATCACTGATCAAGATGAGATTTTGCTCAGAATTGAATGGATATGGTTCAGTCCAAGAATAGGAGAAAAGAAAGAGGTTTTGAAAAACTTTTTTTTAACTAGGGTTCAATAAATATATATATGGCGTGGTTCAATAAATAAATATATATATATATATATATATATAACTAGCCAATCTTCCTTAACACAAAAAGCAAGCAAAAATAATACAAAAAAATTACAGAAATAATCTACTTCTGCAAAAGTGATTCAATATTTTTGGTAAAATTTGACAAATCTCCCCAATTTGTTGTTGGATGTTCGGATTTCCTTCGAATCTGCAAACAAAATTTACCAGCACCAAATCTAGAAAAAATTCTATCATGCAAAATCTCTCCATAATGTTTTTTTTAACTCACTGATTTTCTGCGAGATTTCTCGGGTTTCTCAGGAGGCGGTGATGGATTTTGGGGTCGATGTTCATCTAGATGTTCCTCATGTTCCGAATCTTCAATTTCGCTCGGTATTTCAACTTCAGCAGTTCCAGATATCACTGAACTTGGGGGTCGGGAATCTCTGAAATTTTTTTCAGATTTGAAAAATTCAAAAATTCATATTCTCACTCATTTTCCTCATGATGATGTTCTGTAGATTTCGATTTTTTCTTCTTTTTCAGTTTTTTGGGTTTTTCCATAGTGACTGGGATGATGATTTCCTCTTTTTCAATGACAACTTTTTCAGGGTGAACTCTGGAAAAAAAAACGATGCTCCATGATTACACGGGAGGTGTTAAAGCGGAGTGTCGTTTAAGCTTAGCTTCACCGTTAGTGTGGAGTGTCGTAATATTATTATTTTCAAACGACACTCCGCTGTTACACCACAACTCACTTTTTCTTCCTCTCCTTCGATTTCGTTTTCGATCTACTGTGTTTCTCTTTTTCTCTATGTTCTCTGTGCTCTCTGTGCTCTCTTTTCCCTTTCTCTACAGCCACTTTTTCTCCACCATACGCCATTGGCGTAAAATGCGAACTCGATGCCACATATTTCTCATTATCCTTGATTTTTGTGATATCTTTCAGTAGAACACCAGACATTGTGTAGAGTTTTTTGGCGCCATTCACTAGGCCGATTTTTTGGGTGATGACGTCGAGGAGAATGTTGAGATCTGTGACGCGATGAGTATTGATTACGATCTGAAATTGCTTAGGGACCGTTTGGAAACTTTTTGGCTGAAATTTTCAATCACGAGAAAAATTTTTCTAATTGAAACGCTCAAGTTTTCATGATTTGTAATGTTAGCTCAAAGTCCAGGCTCAAAAATCTCAATCGAAAATGTTGATGACAGCTGAAAATTCAACATTGCGCAGTAGAGCTTTTTGGGAAAATATCAAACTTTAAAATTAATTTTAATTTGGAAAAATTGTATTTCAAATGAAACGCTAAAAATAATAATTATTATAAAATCAGACAGTTAAAAAAAAATTCAGAATTCAATTTTTTAAATTCACAATTCCAATCCCAAAAAAACCTCTCACCTGAACACCCTGAAAATAAACATCACCATTCCGAAAAACCTGAATTCGCTTAACTCCAGGATTCGATGAAACCATTGTCGGAACAATCGGAACATGATCCGAACTTCGAGATCGAAAAGATCCTCGTGACATTTTTCCGCCGACTAAAAATTGAGCATTTTGGCTCACAAGACAAAAATGATCCGAAAAGGCCTTCTCGAAACAAAAACCCATGGAAACTGAATACACCGTGTTTCTAGGCGACATATTTATTCATAAAATTAGAAATTTTTGGGGGATACAAAAAATGTATGAAAATAAATAAATAAATAAATAATGGAAAACTGAAAATTGGCGAACATTTGAATTATTTTTTGGCATCTTCTTTTTTGTGATCTTTATCATCATCTTCGACTCCAGATTCGGCGGATCTGAAAAAAAGAAATTTTTTGGGGTTCTTAGGAGGGGCGGGGGGTTTGGTATGAGATTTTTAGATTTTTTTTAAGTTTAGAAAAGAAAAATCTCATAATTCGAATTCTCCCATCATTTTTCCGAGAAAAATCCAAATTTTTGCACCAAATTTATTTCCGTTCAGAACTTACGATGATTTTCTGCTGGATGGTGTATTGACTTCTGAATCAGTTCCTACTTCTTCCTCATCCTCTTCTTCTTCCTCTTCTTCCCCTTCTTCACTTTCAGCTTCATCTTCTTCAGATCCTGAAGCTTCATCTTCTTCTTCAGGTTCTCCATCAGATGAGAATTCTGTCTCTTTATCCTCGTCTTCACTGTGAATTCTAAAAAAAAAGATTTTTTTTTTACAAAAAAAACAAGCCGCAAAATTGCAAAAACTCACGCTGACACAGATTTCGGTTCCTCCTTCTTGTCTTCCGGACTCGGTGATCTTGGCTTAGCTGGTGGAGTCGGTGTTTTATGAATCGTCTCCACATTCACCACCTTTTCGACTTCCGGAAACTCCAAAATCTGCGCAGCTCCAGAATTTACAGGTTGTGGCATGACAGATGAAGCTACCGATGCCGCAGTTTTTGGTGTTTTGCGACGTGGTGGCTGTGATTTGGCAGGTGCGCGAGATTCACGAACTTTTGGACGAGGCATTTCTGTAGCTTTTGGTTTCGGTTTTGTGGAGTTTACTGGAGGCTTCGCAGCAGGAGTCGCTTTTGGTTTTCCGTTTTCTTTGCGTTTCGCAGGAGCCGCTGGTGTAGGCACTGCAGGTTTTCGATTAGAAATATTCTTCACCGATACACTACGTGGCACACGTGCTTCTTGTGGCAAAGCATCTCGCGCAGCTTTTCGTTGCCTTGGCTCTTGACTCCGTGTCCTGGCGGTTTTTATACGATCCTCACCAAAAATTGGGCTATGCTTGCGACTCGGTGGTTTCCAAACTTTTTCCTGAAAATCACCGTAACGCATTGCGATGAATTGTGCCGACGCAGCCACGTAGATCTTGCCGTCTTCGAGTTGTTTGATAGCTTTTATGGGTTTGCCATCGGCTGAATAGAGTTTTTTAACACCGTGTGATAGCTCGATCCGATCATTGATTTGATTCATGAGCGGCTCGAGATCTTTGATGACACGTGGATTTATGACAAACTGAAAGGAGGGCAGGATGAAACATTTCGAATTTCAAAAATTCTTACCTTAACTCCTCTATGAAATCTGTCGCCATTTTTAAAAATTGTGATCTTTTTGGAGTTGTACAAACCAATTCCAGATAGTGACGAGACACCAGATGAAGATAGTGGATCTTGATTGTCGGCTGAGATTTTTTTGGCACTCTTTTTCTTGGTTGAACCCGCGGTTGGCATTCTGAACAACAATGGGATTTTCTTGCATGAAAAGCTATGGATTTTGGTCAAAAAAAGTTGAGAAAAGGTTTTCGTGGGAAAATTAATTTGAAAAGTATACTTATTAGTTTCAGGGCCAAAATATTTTTTTTTGTTTTGAAAAAAAAATCATGCCTGATTTTATTGGAAGAATTTCGAAATTCTAGATTTTTTTTAATTCCGAAATTTTCAAAAAGTATTTTTTTTTGCTCAAATTTCACTCGAAAAGTTGGATTTTTTGAAGTCTTGCGAACTTTTGTGAAAAAAATTTCTGAATTTTCAAAAAAAATTCTAATTAGAAGACCTCTCTAAAATATTTTTGGCTAAAAACGTTTCCAAATCTCCCCAATTTTTTGGCTTCAGAAAATCAAGAAAACAACAAGAAAAAACGTGACAAAGTTCAACATCAACTGGAAAATTTCAAACATTTCCAGATTTTCAGCCAACTCCGAACAAAAAAGAACACAATAAAAATGAAAACCAAATAAAAAGTCGGGAGAAAAAGGCGGCTGGTGATATAATGTAGATGAAAATGCAAAATTTGATGTGAATTTGGTTTCCATAGCAATATTTCCAGCTCTCCTTTTTCCTTTATTCTACTCTATTTCATCCTTCCTTCCTTCCTTTTCCTTTTTTTTTCATTTTTCAACACAAAAAGGTTGAAAGGTATAATTAAAAATGGAAATCAGAGGATAAGAAAAAAAATTAGAGAAAAAGTGCAAATCGAAACTCGCGAAAAAACACATGTTCATGTTCGTATCTTAAAAAAAAGAGTAATAATAAATTAATCACCATGGTGATTTTTAAGCTGGAAAATGGAACATTACTGTAGGGCAAACTGAGTACTTTTGAATTATTTGGGGGGATTGCAAAAAACGGCCCGAAGAAACCCGGGGCCTGGTCGGATTACTGATGCCTGATTTTCGAACCCTGAATTTTAAGGCCTCGACCTTGAACCTTGAATTTTGAAGTCAAAATTTTCAATTTTATTCAAATAGCCAGAAATTGAACTCGATTTTCTGAAGTCCCGAAAAAAATACTCAAGTTCTGGGCCCATTTTTTATTAAAAAAACAACGATCCACTCGTCAGAACACTTCATTTTCCAGCACATCAAAGAAGCTCAAAATTCAAAGTCGGACCAACCGCCATAATCATAATGATGGGTGAAATCCGAAATCCCATGATTGTAGGAATCAATATCCAATTCATCATCATTCTCAACTTCTCCCCTATATTCTTCAGCTCGTTCACGATAATATTGACGCTTTTCCTGTAGTCGAATAACCAACAAGAATGATTTTTGAGTCAATCGAAACTTTGCGTATCTTTCTGGTTTTCCTCGAATGTTCAAATCAAACCAGATAGCTTTATCCCTTTCGGGATCTGTTTCCTTGTTCAAAACATCCACTTTCAACGTGTGCTCTTCAGAATCAGATGAATCGGTCTCAAATATCATTTCAGGATCCCAAGTTTCCTGATTTTTATCGTAGTCCAATCGAATTTTCTTGATATTTTCATTGATTTTTCCATCTCTAACAGCGACAACATAATCCTTCACCACTTTCGGACTCATTTTCACATCATACAACTTCGATTTTCTCGCAGTGATTTTGAGCAATTTTTCAAGATTCAAACTCGACACTGGGGCAATGATGTTTTTCCGAATTTTGGAGAGCTGCAAAAAATTTTGAATTTGAAAATCAACAGTAGATTGAAGGTAAAACTTACAAGTTCAAGATCTTCAAAGCCATTTTCACCCAATGTTTCACGATTTTCTCGCAAATCAAAAATACGAAAAGTTTTCAAATGCTCCAATTTCTCGATATTTTTGAAGTTTTGAAAAATCAAAGTGTCACGAAAATCAAAATCGATTTGTTTCAAATATGTGGAACAGTCTATTAATCGCTGAAAATATGCGACAGCATAATTGATGACGTTTATGCGCTTCAGTTCCCATTCGTCTCTGATTGTTTCGAATCTGAAAAGTTGGAACTTGAATTTTTTGCGTGGGTTTTAGCGCTATAAATATTTTTACTCACTCAAAAAATAAGAACTGATACAATGCTTCGTCATCTTCATCTTCTTCTTGCAGATTGTACAGCTCTATACGATATTCCCTATTATCTTGAAAAAATTCAAATCGAATTTCATAGGTTCGAGCATAGGACTGGCTGAATTTTATCGATTTGAGATAATTTTTCGAGCCCAGAATCTCTTTATAGCATGTTTTGGAGCATCTGGAGAATTTGGCTTTGCTTGGCAGATCCAAATATTCAATGACTTCGCTTCTGAAGTTATTTGGTAGGCAAGTCCATTCGAGATTTCTAGTAGAATTTTCTATTTTTCTTCTTTTTGCTGCTCCTTTTCTATTTTTCATTTTTCGCACATTTTTTTCTAGTCATTATTATCGAGAAATACTGCGATTTCTGATTTTTGGCTCACGTTTTTCAAATTTTTTACGTCTTGACACATTTTTATCTGGGTCACGGATAATTTATTTTCTTTTTCGATTTAAAGAAAAAAATTTCGATGAAAAGAAATACGTTTTTTTGAGGACAAGATTAATTAAAATGAGGAGAAATTGATTTTTCGGAGCTTTCTTAAAAAAATTAAAACTCTGGAATTCCAAATTCATCTTTTTCAAAATTAAAAATTTAACTAGACTCTAGTTTGACACCCAGAAGACCTTTGATCGCTCTTTGCTTCTTTTTTCTCCTTGCCTTTTTTGACCAAGAAAAAATATTGATAAAAATTAATCCGGCCTCAAGAAAAAAGGAGTCAAAACTGTCATTCAACACATTTTTTCTCTTTGCCAAAACGTTTTCTTGTACACTTTCTGGTGTTATCAATCAATCGCTTATTTATGAGATTATTATCGTGTAAAAAAATTGGAGAAAAACTTTGGTGTTATCTTTTTTTGGTCTTTTTTGTTTCGAGAAGAAACATTTCGGGGTTTTTTCACTTTTTCTTTTTTTTATTTCGACTTTGATTTTTCGATTTGCAAACTTTTATTGATTTAATTTTCAATTTCAAGTTTAACTAACTTTTTTTGAAAACAATTGGATTTTTGCATCATTATTGATTTTTAATATCATTTTCCTAATCTTGTTAGGTTTCTAATCTTTTTATTAATTTATTGAAAAAAGAAAAGTGAACTATGATGTGGCGCGCTCAAAAATCACATTTCTGATGAGAACTGAAGATATTTCAGCATTTTTCAGTTTAATTAAATTCTCTAGCTGTAATTTTCAGTTTGAAAGTTATATTTTTAATAAAATTTTTTCCAATTTTTGATGTAATCCATCAAAAATCCAATTTTTCATTGACCACGTCATCACAATTCTTCAAATCGAATCCCATAACCCACTTCAGCAAATATCCTCAAATTTCGATCGTCCAGCCAGAAATCCAATAGTCCTTCTTTGAATTTCAAAACTTCTTTGATTATCTGAAAATTCAACGTTGCCCTACGGGATTTTTATGAATTTTCAGAAGACAATACGTAAAAATCTTACCTGAAACCATTTTCCTTGTTTTTCAGCAAAATCTTATCGATTTTCAATATGTTTTTGACATTCCATAGGTTTTAGATAGTTTTTGACAATCTTAAAACCCTGCAATCGGGACGAATCTTCAAAAATCTCTGGAGAACTGCGCAAAAAAAAGGAAAGAAAAAAAAGATGTGCAAACACTTTTCATCCCGCACACACCGAAATTCACGCGCAACTCGTTGTTTACCGTACACCTCAAATGTTTTTCAGAGATCCCTGGATTTCAGCTAGCTGCAGCTTCCGGTGAATAATCTGAAAACCATCCAAAAAACTGAAAAACATAAAAAATCACTCTTCTCTGCAAAAAATGCAAATTTCTCCGTTCACACATCGTTGAAACCACATTTTTATCTGTTATCAAAACTTGTCTGTCAAACAAAAACCTCAAGTTTTTATATTTTTTGAGCCCATCAACAATAAATCGCAACTCAAATTATCGTGTTTTTTGTGCTCCTTTTTATCATTTTAGTGGTGGTCTTATTATATTTTGTATTAGGTATAAGTTTTTTGAAAAATAAAAATAAAAATATATACATACTTATGATTTTTTGGAGTTGTCTGCGTCTCTAAATAATTTCTCTAGCTTCAGTAGCTTTTTTATGTTCTCTATTCTCGCTATTCTCTCTAGCTTCTCAAGCCTCTCTAGCTCTATACGTCATAATTTTTACGTGATAATTTGCAAATTTCCTACCGTAACCTTACTTATCAAATTTCCTCGAAACTGATAAAAAACAATATTTTATGGTTTTCCTCATTTTTCCTCAACTTTAACTTTGAACTTTTTTTTCTGATTGTTTTTTTTTGAATAAAAAAGTTCCAAAATTTTTCAAATTCTTATCATCACTCTTTCTTATTTGTCATCAAATTTTTAACTATTAAATTTTTAATTATCGATCGATCGATTCAAAAAAAATTTCACCTATTTTTTAGAATCATTTTTTGATGCATTTTCGGGACTTGGCACAAAATGCAACCTGCTTATGATGCTGACGATTTTTTTAGTCGCGGATTTTTGGGATCGATTATTGGATTTGGGTCCAGAAAGCGGGCATCGTCGAAAACAGGTTGGAAACTTTTTGGGTTAGAGAGGTTAGAGAGACTAGAGACGCAGAGGGTTTAGAAAAATGGCGTCATGATTTGAAGCTATAAAACTGTGCAAAGGTCTGTTATCAATATGTCTAGAAAAAATGGCTGTCATCAAAAATATATCAAGCTGTTTTTTTGATACAAAGGGGTCGCGAAAATTTATTTTCGAGTTGGAAAAAATGAAAAGTCTAGTGTTCTAGAGAGGCTGGGATCAAAATTTCAAATTTCATTCTGATTTTTTGAAAAAAAAATTCAAAATTTTTTTGTTGACACTGCAAAGAATCAGAAATTTCCCACAGGAAATCAATTTTTGCAGTCTCGAAGTTCAAAACTTATGAAATCTTACTATTTCCTAATGGTTTTTTAATGGAAAAATTTCAAATCTCTTTTTTCCCCACTAATAAATTCAAAATTTTTGGCGCCAAACACGATCAAAAGCACCGTTCCTTTTAGTCACTAAGCAAGCAAACAAATAAAATGTCTCGCCGTCTGTCGTCTCCAATTCTCACACACTCTCTCGTTATCAAAACACAGAAAAACTATAGTTACTTTTGCCTATTGCATCATTTCAACACTTTTTTCAATTCAGACACTTCAACCACTACAAAACCTGTGAAGGAACCAGCTGCGCCTTTAACAACCCAACCTACAGTACCGCAATCAGTTGTTGCGGAAAATCCAGTCGAGACCCGAACAGAAGCTGATATTTATCGAGAAATTGTCAGTGAAGCTGAACTTTGGGAACAAAGTCAACCGGTAGGTCAAAAACTCGGATTTTTTGGGAAATTTTGAGAGGGAGAGCGAGAAAAATAAGTAAAACTCACCAAGAAAAAGTGCACGTTTTTGATCGCCAGAAAATTTCTATTCACTATCTCAAATATATTAAAAAGCCCTTATCTATCAATTTTTTTTGAGAAAAAAAACTTGCATCATCTTATTTCATCTCAATCTGCGAACAGAATAGAAGACCGACCGAAAAATATATATATAACAATCATTTTTCGTTTTTGCTTTGATTTTTATTGATCTCAGGGTACTGTAGCTTGAATTTTTTAAACGTTTGACTGTAAGGAACAATTTTAATAAATCTTTGGTCTATAGAATTTTCGGGAATTTCGAATCTTATAAGAATACTGTAGAGAAAAAAGCTCTGAAAATTACCCAAATCTCTTTAAAAATTCCAAATTTTTTTCCAGACAACTCCCGATTTCTCGTGCCCAACTTCACCATTACCACCCCGCTTGATTCCACACCCACAACAATATTTTATTCCACCACAACCCGTTTATATTCCACCTGGTTCAATGATGCATCACGATGCTCAAAAAATCTATCCACCTTATCATATGGTGATGACACCAGTTGCACCACATCCAATCCCCGTTGATCAAAATGGTGTGCCATTGGGAAATCGTGAGTTTTTTTTGTTTTTTAGTTTGGATAAAGCTAATTGATCTTGGTGAGAAGTTTCGAAAATTTTATGAGATTATTTTCATGTTTTTGATTTATTGTTTATTTCATAAGTTTTTTGGATGGCTAAAAAGAAAAGAAAAAATCTTGGTGAAAAATTTAGAAAATATTTTGAGATATTCTTGAAACAGTGAAAATTTTTAGAATTTTGTTTGAGAAAGATAAACTTGATTTTTTCGGATTTTTAGAACTCTCAAAATTTCAACCTGAAATAATTGTTTTTTAGAATGCCCAATGGCTCCTCCACCATACTTCCAACAACCCCAACAACTTCCACAACAACCCTCCGGAAGTGCTCCACAAATTCCCTACGAAGTCAAACGAGAAATTCAAGAGCATCTCGTCAATTCCGGAAACCCCCAAGTTTCCATTGAGGAAATCGTAAAACTCGTCGTAACCGCGTTGAAAGATTCGAACATTGAAGAGTCTGGCGGAAAAGAGGAATCACCAGAAGAGATTCTTCGTCGAAAACGAGTTCAGAACAATTTGGCTGCAGCCAGATATCGAAAACGTCAACGAGAAGCGAAAGATTCTGCAGAGCTAGAACTTGGAGATCTTGCGAAGCGAAACGATGAACTTCGATCGATGGTTGCTAAAATGGAAGATGAGATTGCGCAACTCAAACAAATTGTGTTGAATAAATAAATAGAGGCTCCGAGTTGCCATTTCAGAGAGCCCAATAAATTCTAGTCATTTATTTTTCATGTATGTACAAATTTGAAATAAAAGCAATACACCGAAAAATCAAAATTCTGAAAATTTAATGCCAAGCTGACTCGAGTTGCTTGAAATATGTATCAGTTTCTTGATTGAGTTGTAGCCATTTCAGATCGATATTTGTGCTCGGCGGAGTTCTCACATTTACACGGCGATTCATACGATTGAACAATATTGGAAGATGTTTTCGGATGAAAAGTTTCCAAGAGGGAACAGACCAGATGAAAATTGGACAGACGATTAGAGGATTTCTGAAAATTTTATTTATTATGGACATATATGTAATTGTAGAATCAGAGCCTCGCTGAGAATTTGAAAAATAACATTTTTTGAAACGTATTTTTTCCGGACAGAGAGGAGGTAAAAGAGTTGGTGAATTAGAAAAACAGCTTGCTAGAGGCGCAGACATGATGAAATATCTCACAGAAGACTGAAGATCCCAATTTCCCCTAACTCACAAATGCACAATATTATCTACCAAATAATTGATAAACGTATCCATCACTGGCACAACTTCTAAAGTCAAAATCAATACCAAACAAAGACCAAGTGTCATCATAGCAATTGCACAAATAATCACTCGCGTCACTAACTTTTGAGCTTTATAATTTTCCCGTGCCTGAAATCTTGAGGCCAATGTATATTGTGTGGGTGAGGTCTCAAAACGATCGATTATCTTTTTGTTGTAGTTCTCCGTGTAGAGGAACATCTGAATTTGAATCGAATATTTTTAGGGGAAAATTGGAGACTTACAATACTGGCAAAAACATTGGGAAACATACAAAATGAAAATGCTATGGCGAAATGAAAAGTGGCGTAGAAGAAGGTGTAAGTCATGAGAAGAACAAAACTGTGGTAGAAGAAGAGGATTAGGACGAGGAGATAGTTACGAGGAGTTTGCTCGTAGTCGCTGAAAAAAATATGTGGATGTCTGGGGGGACTAATTGGTGTTTACAAACTGTCTAGACTCTCTTACTCATAACATAACAATTTGTCTGTTTTCCCAAACCTAGCTGTCTGAAATATATTTCTAATCAAAATCTTTAATAGAATTTTCCAAGTGCGCCCCACCGTACTCCATCACACTACAACCTAGCCATTCATTAATTTTTGGTTTATCAATTTTTCCTCTGCTCTCAAGCATCTCTTGATAATCTACCTGATGAAACAACACGCAAATGATCGTTCAACCGCAAAAATGAACAACACATTGGCTAGGCTTAAAATATAATGCCACTGAAAAAATCCACCAATGAAAAATGAAACATCGGAAGACATTGATGCAATTGGAATCATTTTTGAAATATCAGATGTCCACCAGAGTTTGATTTGAGATGGATTATCTAAAGAAATCTGTTAGTTGTTGTGAGAAAATTAAAAATTACCTCCAATAATTTTTAATCCTGTTAAATAGGGACTCATCAATAATTTTGCAGTTAATGATTCAAACCACTGAAGTAACATAAATGCAAAAATCACAGACATATTTCTATGAAAAGCTCTTATAGATAAAATAATATATGAGGTCCATAGGGTAAAAATAGCAGAAATTAAAGTTAAAAAAGCTTCGATGATAATTAAAAAAGTATTGAAGCCTTCCAAATAACTTTTATCGTGTAATACAAAAAATGCCAAACATACTGTAGAGGAATTATTCACCAAAAACATCATGGCTCTCTGAAAATTGAAAATAAAAAATTAGAAGTGTTCTTTAGATCAACATCGTAGTGAAGTAATAGATTATGCGCAAAAATTAAATTTATTTGATTGAAAGAACTTGAGTTGAGTGGTCTGGTCTTTCTTGGCTGATAGCTTAAATATCTGAAAATAACTCGAGTGGGTTGATTAAGATAAAAATAATAATTAGAAGAGAGGCAGAGAAAAATACATGACAGAAATTTGCACTAAAGTTTTTTATAAATTAATATTTATTGAAAATTCCAATTTAATTTTTGTTGACAAAAATTATTTCCTGGAGTGACAAAAAACTTCTAGAACAACTTTTTAATTTTTGAAAAAAATCAAAAAAGTTTTATTGTGGTTTCTTTTCATAAAAATTGAGGCCTTATGGAATAAATCATAATTATTTATGAAAAAATCATATTTTTTAGTGTGACAAAAAATTCAATAAAGAAAAAAACGAGAGCTTGAAAATGTCAAGCAAGCTAGTAATTTTCAGAAAAAGTAAAGCACATGGTTAGCTCGATTAAAAATGAGCTAAAACAGCTGAAAATTTTTGGCAATGTTTTATTCATTCGTTTTCTGATCCATGAAATAAAATAATATCAAATCCAAGCTGATTCCAATTGACTGAAATGAATCTCGGTATCTTTTCGAAGTTGTATGAACTTTAGATCAAAAGCGGAGCTCGGCGGAGTTTGATCATGAACTCGACGATTTCCTCTTTTTCTCCCGGGTAAATGATGTATGACGTGGCGTTTCCAAGAATCGACTGAGAATATAAAAAGAGGGCAGATGATTAGAGGGTTTCTGAAAAATGTTAGGAAATTGAGAAGACTGAAGATTGAAATGTGAATAATATTTATTTATAATTATTATGTTGGATTTGTACCTGAAGGTTATTGCTCAAAGATTTTCAAAATCAAATTGAAAAGTAAAATTTTATGTAGAGACCCGGAAGTTAAACAGATTTTGTATTTTAATATTCAATTCAAATTACCACGTGAAACAAAAGTTTTTGATGCTCGATGAAAAATTTTTACGTGAGAGAATAACTATGTCTTTTGAAAAATAAGACTGTTACGCCTGGGAGCTAACAGCTCTGTCTGTCCACTCGCTCTCTCTCTTTCTAACCCTCTCTCCATTTCCCACACTCTCTCATCTACCCTGCAAAAAAAACAACAAAATAAACACGCTAAACAACGTGCACGCGGAGTATCGTTGTTTTTCTTTTATTTTTTTTCACGACCTTTATTTTTGTTTTTTTCTGGTTTTTGAGTGGTTTTTTTAGGCGCAGAAAGTGTTATTTGGTACATTTTTCAATTTTCTTATTTTTTTCAGAGACAACCGTCACAGAATGCAGGGATCCCATCAAATCCACAATTGCCATTTTCTGATGTAAGTTTAAGAATAGGCGAAGATTTTGAGAAAAAGAATGTAGATGTTTCAGGCTTTCGAAAAAGAAGATGTTTCGTTTGGACAGGACATTCAAAGAAATAAACAACTTTTCACGGAAAGGACCAGTCAAGTTAGTTTATTTTGAGGTTTGGGGGGAGGAACAAAACTAACAGGTGAGATTTGAGCTTTATTGAAAAATATTGGGTAAAGTTTTTTATTCATTATTACTATTGATGTTAAAGGAAAGTTGTTTATAAATTACTATGTTTAAATGATTAGATGAAGCTTTGAATTACACTTGATGGTATAGGTTTTTCACGTCAGCTTAGCTGCGAAAATAGGTTTTTCTTCAAAATTTAGAATTTTTGAGGATTTTCTGACTGTTTCACATAGGGGCACCGCCCCTAGTCTAATAAATTTGGAAACAATCTTTGCTTTTTTTCAAATAAAAAACTTGATCAGATATTTTCTCTACAGTAGTTCCAAAACTCACAAATGTATCAAATTATCCAATAAAAAATTGAAAAATGTATCCATCCCTGGCACAATTTCCAATAACATCAATAAAACCAAAAATGCGCCGAAAGTTAGCATAACTAAAGCCCACACGAAAACTCGAGCAACTAATCTTTGAGCTCGATAATTTTCCCTGGCTTGAAACTTTGAGGCCAAAGTGTAGGAGGTCTCAAAACAATTTATAACTTTTTTGTTGTATTGATTGGTAGAAATAAACATCTGGAAGAATACAGTTGAGTCTTTTGAAAGTACATAAAACTTACACAAATCGAAAAAATATTCGGCAGTAGACAAATCCAAAAAGCCACCACAAAATGAAAAATGGAGTAGAAAAACCAATAGGTTAAAATAATCAAAAGTGCATGATTCAGAACTTGGATGAAAACTAGAATATAGTTTCGAGATGTCTTTTCATAATCTTTCACAAAATAACAAGCAAAACTTCGTTCCAATGCAAAAATGAAGAGAACAGTTGTTAGGCTTAAAATATAATGCCATTGAAAAATTCCACCAATGAAAAACCAAAGATCCGATTTCATTGATGGCACTGCAATCATTTTTGATATATCTTGAGTCCACCAAAGTTTGATTGTCGAAGGATTAGCTAAAAAATTAATTGGAACTTATTCAAAAACAGTTAGTTCAACTTACAGCCAATAGTTCGCCATCCTATAAAATATGGTGTCATCAAACATTTTGCAATCAAACTTTCGAACCATTGCATCAAAATACATATAAAAATTACAGACATATTTTTATGAAATGCTCTTATGGTTAGAATTATATAAGAGGTCCATAGGACAAAAATAGCTGAAATTATTGTTAGAAAAGCTTCAAGGAAAATCAGCGAAATATTTGGGCCTTCTAGGTAACTTTTGTCGTGTAACACGAAAAATGCCAAACATACTGTAGTGGTGTTATTTACAAGAAACATCATTTTTGGAAACTAGACAATATTTCTAGAAGAGTTAGAATAACTCGAATGAGAATAAAAAATATCAATAGGAAATTATGTTTTTTTGTTAGTACCGAGTCATAGATAGATAATTATAAGCTAGATTTCTCAATCAGAATTTGTGAGATCTTTGCTTTAATCATAGTGTTACTATAACAAACACTTGATAGAACTTTTAGTAGATCACGGATTTTAGCGTTGTCATAGGAACCTGAAGTTAAAATCCTGGTATATTTATAGGTTTGATGTTATTTGAAAAATAACACATTTGAATGAAAAGTTCTGAAATATGTCTTTCACAAGGATTCAGACTTTGGTGTTACATTTTGATTTTAACTGATTTTCTGGTCTCTTATTTTCTTAGTGAAAAAATCTGCAAAAATTTTGATCGCTCCAATTCATTTTCCTAGTAAATTCATAATTTTTCAAAAAACTTTCCAAGCGATACAAAATTGAATTAGAAGATCTTTGATCAAATCATATAGAATTGAAAAAAAAAACTTTATTCACATCCAAGATTGCTGCAAGTTCCCAAAATAAATATCACTTTCACATCGAACAGTCATTTTCTGACTAGGTGTTGTTAATTTTTTCTTGGTGAAACTGTTAAGTTTTGAGATAAGATAACTCCGCCATTGATCGATTGAATAATAAGAAGTTGGACAAATTATAAGAGGGTACAAATAAATCATCAATTCCAGAAAGAAGTTTAGATACATATCGGCTTCAGGAATCATATCAATAACAATCATTGCGATTAATGTCATTGCGGTGGAAATTAGAATAACTCCAAAAATTATAACATGATAGAAGAGCTAGAAAATTATGGGATCTGGGGAAGTAAGGAGATAGGGTTACCTTAAGGACTCTCATATTTTCCCTAGCTTGGTAGCGAAGAGCTAAAGTGTATTCTGTGTGTCGGCGAAGAGTGCCAAACTGAGCAATGGTATGAGTATTGTAGCGATAAACATAAATGAAAACCTGAAGGCAATAGAGAAGATATCAAAGCTCAAAAAAGTGTTTGCTCACCAAAACCGACAAAGAGCTTGGCAAAGAGCAAGCAATTAAAATAATCAAAAACTCCGATCGATAATTGAACGCGAGTGTAGAACTGACTATAAGAGCGGTCTCATAAATCAAGCCAATACCGAGAATAACATGAAATCTTCCAGTTTTCTCATAATCTTTTATATAAAAACAAGCTGCGAGTCGTTCCAAAGAAAATGCGGGAAAAATCAGGATAAGTGACATAATATAATGCCAACAGATGAATCCACCAATGTAAAATTGAGTGTCTTCCTCGAAATTTTTGACAACAATCATTTTACTGAGATTTTGGGTGTACCAGAGTTTCGGATATGGTTGATTTGATAATCTGCGCTCTCCGTGGATCCAAGGGCTCATGAGAAATCTTGAAAGAAGTCCCTCGAACCAATGCAAAAGAAAAAATAAAAATAAAATCGATAAGTTACGGTGGAACGCGGGAACTTTGAAAAGCATAAACATTGAAAAACATACAAGAAATATCGAGATAAGTGTTAAAACTGACTCAAAATACTGCAGTATTTTTTCGTCGTTTAGATGAAACATGAAAAACGCCAAATAGACTGTAGTTTGATTGTCAGCTGTTCGAAACATCATTTTTTCTCAATTCAGGAAATCAACCCTTTTTGGGAAATGGACGTTGTGTTTTTCTGGCTCTCCTGAAAAATTGAAAAGTCGCAGCTGATCTGCAAGAAAAACAACAAAATGAGTTGATAGGAAAATAAGGTGAAAAGATTTTTCATGATTAATCAGCAGGAAATGTGAATTTGATCAAGCGTGAAGTGACGCGGATCAAATTATTTCATTTATTTGAAAAAGTTTCAGAAATGATTCTTATTAAAAAAATTTTTGATCCTTGCAAAAAGGTTTAGATTTTTCTGATTGAGATGATGACAAAATTATACATATCAGGGAAATTAATTTATTCGCAACTGCGTAGAGTGGTGTTTCGTGAGGCCAAGAGTTTCCCAATTTGACACGCGAATTGCCCAAACATCTCACACCCTTGTAGCAATTTTCGCCAAGTTCCTGAGCCTCTTTGAACGCTTTCATTTTTTCAAAATCATTCGATCTTCTCTCCAGTTAATTGTCGTTGACCGTTTTCGTTGTTACTTCGAGATCGCACTGAAAAAATTTTTGAGTAATTTTCTGCTGACGGAACACTCGTTCTACCACCCCCTCCTGATCACGAAACCTACTATGACCCGACATATTTACCTTGTTTCTACTTTACGTAACGGAAATTGAAATAAATCCTTTTAGCATTGGATGTGTTGAATAGAAAACGGACATCTGATTCTGGTCGCCTTTTATTCTGAGATTTGCCACGTTTTTCTGGGTTAGTGGATCACGCGTAGAAAAATATTTGATCTTATCTGAGAATTCATTTCTAAAAAAAAATATTCACAATCAGGTATTTCTGATTTAAAAACAGGGCTAGGGAAAATTGTCGTGGCCTAGAATATTTTGTGTGAAATCTCGCAATCTGTTTTTTCAACCACATTTAATTTAAATTGTTCCCAAACCAGTGTCCAAATCACCATAGCAACAAAAAAATTTCACACAAATATTTGTGTTGGTGAGGTCACTTCACTGCATTTCAAATGTGTATTCTTTTTATTCAGATTATTATTTTCCTCTTTGCATCTCCATTAAAATTTCGTCCTTGAAAGATGCGAATTCTCTGTTCACCTCCTCACCTCATAAAATCCTCTTTTATTGAAATTTTTTATTTATTATTTACGACTCAACTCAATTTTTCTGCACAAAAACAAAACTTTTTTTCGGTATCAAATTTCTCTAGTTTTCTCTAGTTCTCTGCGTCTCTCCATGCTCGTTTTCTCTCTCTCTCTCTCTCTCTCTCTACTCTCTCATTTCGATACACTCTCTCCTAGGTTTTTGGCTGGTCAGTTTTGTTAGCCTCTTTTTGCACCCACCCCAAAATTTCGATTTTTGCATGTTTCTTGTTTTTTTTTTGAAGCCAAAGTGAAAAAGTAGGTCGAAAAAAAAGTTGTCAACTTTATTTTTGATTGATAAAGATCTTGAAATTTTTATTTGTGTGATAAATCATTGACATTTTTATGCGGTCACACCCAAACAAAATAATTTTCTTGATTTATTTTTATTTTTGTTGATTTTGTTGGCACGTGGAATTTTTCAAAATTTGCGCGAAAAAAATTGATTTTTAGAAACAAAACTTAGGACAACTCATCTAGATTTTCCTCCAAAATTTTGAAATCTGAATTTTTTCAAAAAAAATTATGATTCAACAAAAATTTCACAACTTTTTCTCACAATCAAAATTATTTTTTTATTATGAAACTAGAAAAAATTCACCCGCCTGCCCGCCAAAAACAAACAAAAATCAATAATAGACAATTTTCCCGCGCGCACCCACCTTTTTCTCTTTTTTTTTCAATTTATTCATTCATTTTCCACTATTATTATTATATTTTATTTATTATTTACTATGTTTGGTTGTATAGATAGACGAAAAAACACTAGGCGCTGGTCACTTTTTTTTTGGTTTTTTTGAAAATTTGAGAATTTCTCTGGATTTTTGTTTAAAAAGTTGTTGATTTTTTGAGGTGCGAATTAAGAATTCTGCCAAGTGGACTTGTGTTAACTAGCACACACTTGAGAATTTTTGTTTCACATGTTTTCTTCCCGTGTTTTTTTTTGTCTTGAGTAGCCAGGCTTGACCAACTGGTTTTTTGTTGGTGGAAAATGAAATGAAAATGACCAGATTTTGGAATAAACTGGGATTATGGTTTTGAAACTTTTCAAAATATTTTATTTTTCGAAAAATAAATGAAAGTTGTTTTGAATGTTGCTATTCATTTTTTTGAAATATTTCTGGTGAAAAATACGTTTCCAAAATGTTGTGTAATGTTTTTTGAGATTTTTTTTTGATAGTAATGTCTTTTTGGTCCATATGAATTCTGATTTCGAAGCAAAAAATAAGATTAAAAATTTGAAAGAAAATTTTATTCCAGTTTTGCTGCTCTATTTAGAAAGAAAAGGTTCAAGATGTTTTCAGAAAGTTTGGGATTTCGAAATTTTTCAGATTTTCATGAGATTAAAGAATTCTGAAACGTAAATGTATCAAGAAAAAAATACGTTTAAAAAAAACCAAATTTTGAGCTGAAATTCAAAATTTGAATTTTTTCTAAACTCCCAAAAAAGTTCAAAAAGTTCCCAGAGCATTTTTCAAATTTCCCCTCATTTTTCTTTTTTTTGTCGCGCTGCTCTTTCTCCTTTTTTCAAACAATAGCCAATTTTTCTCATTTCCATTTTTTTTTCGTTTTTCTCACATCAATTCTCAATTCTCAATTTCTCATTCTCGCTCTTTTTTTCTCGCACCAATTTTTCACAAACTGCTTCCATATGTTTTTTGTTGAGTGACAAATTGTACTGAAAATTATATTTTTTCATTCAAAAAATCGTGCAAAAATGGGTTTTTTCGATGAAAAATTACTATTTGACATCGCAAAAATTCCAGTTTGATTGATTTTTTTTTTGGAAAAAAAATTATTGGCGCACCGCGTTTTATTTGAACATAGTAAATGTTTGTTTGACATGAGGATGCTGCTCGTTTATTTTTTTTTTGATTGAAAGAAATTTGATAGGTTTTTTTTGGGAGAGGGAAATTGTGATTTATTTTTGAGGTTCTAGCAAATTTTGGGTTATACAAGTTAATAAGACGATTTTTTTTTAGAATTTTTGCCACGTATGTAGGTTTTGAAGTTTTGATGAAAATTAATTCAATTTTGAATGTTTCCCGCCAAAACTGATTTCTCATTTTCTGCGTCTCTAACCTCTCCCGTTTCTCTCTCTCTCTCTCTCTCTCTCTCTCTCTCTCTCTCTCTCTCTCTCTCTCTCTCTCTTTCTCAAAATGACAAGATAATTGTGTCATTCACAAAAACTTGAGTGAAAAATAATAATTATTTTTGCGACTAGCCGCTTATTATTTTGTTCTGTTGTTCACAAATATTTTGTTGTATTTTATTATAAACAAACATTAGCTCATCTCGCGCAATTTTTCACCACAAATTCGTATTTTTCGCTCGATTTTATTGTCAAAATATTTACCTGCACTTTTGTTATTTTTGGAAACTTTCACTTGAAAGAGGATTTTACCCGGTTTTTTCAGGGCAAAAACAACAAAAAACAACAGAAACATCAAAAACAACATTGAAACAGTGAAAAATAGTCAAGATGGATTCTCAAAATGTTGGGGATATTGACATTTTTCAACAATGTAAATATATCCATGAGGTTGGTTTTTTATTTTAAATTTTTGGAAAACTGGATCAATTTTCAAATTTAATTTTTATGTTCAAAGTCCTTTGAAACGGTGAATTTTATAATTTTTTTTCGTTTTGATTTATAAATATACAGCACTTTCTTCCAACATAAATTTGACTTTTGCAAATTATTCGAAGCATTTTTGAAACGTAGATTTTTTGAGATTTTCGAAAACAATAATTTTGTCAATAGTATGCGACGACTCATCAGAAATTCAATCTGAAATTCACTCTTTTCGAATTTTTGAAACGTAGATTTTTCGGGTATTTTTCGGCTTATTATTCAATTGTAATGTATTGAAGTTTATCAAATTTTCAAACAGAAAAAAAATAATTCGATATCGAACTTTTTTTATTTTTCAGAAGATATTATTTTTAAAGAAATGAAGTTTTAACAGATGAAAAATTCACATTTGAAAATCCAGTATTTTTTGAAACAGTATTACTTTGCCGTTATTGAAAAAAAAAACAATCAATGGTTTTTACAAAATTTTGGATCGTTTTGAGAAATTTTTGAAACAGTTACATTAAATTGTAGAAAATCAGTTTGAAATTCACCGCTGAAATTTAACAACACATTTTGAAACAGTGAATTTTTCTCAAAATTTAATTTTCAGGTCGAATTAGTCAACATGAAGCTCCAGATGCGAATTCTCGAAACACATATTGAAACAAAAGATCGACTTTTGCGAAATTTGGAAGATATTATAGATGAACAAGAAGCAAGAATCGCAAATATGGAAGACTTCATTCAAGGTAACAGAAAACTCTTTTCTATTTTTGAATTTTTTGTTGTGCTTGTGATTGGTCTGGGTGTGCATGGTGTGCAATTCAATTCCTTCATTCATTCCCAGCCAGATCAGATCAGACTAACCCCGCAGTAATTTTCACGTAAAAAAAATTAATGACTAATTAATTCAAAAACCTAATGAAGATAAATCTCTGACCTGGGAATTTTTTGTTGAAGGAAAAGAATTGCAGGCCGTGCTTCGAGTTATACGAAACGCAATCAAATGCTCAAGGGTATTTCAGTTCTCTCGTTGGATTTTGGCACACTTTCTGAAGAGAATATGAGGCTAAAAAATGCGCTGACTCAAATGCAAAAATCGACAAGGATGAATGAATTGCTGGAAACTGATGAGGATTATGAGAGTAGCGATTTGATGAGTTGTGATGGAGGAACCGGAAATGGAAGGTGAGTATACATATGGGGTTTGGAGGTCGTGAGAGAGAATTTGCAGAATTTGGGAAATTTCTGTATGAAATATATCAGTGTTACAAACAAAAAACAATTTTTTTCAAAAAAAAATTCCCGAAATTTTAATTCATATTGTTTACTGTTTCATATTTTCATTAACAATTTTTGAACATTTAGTAGGTTTGATTCTGTCGAGAAGCAGCAAAAAATTGTTTTTTCTAAAATTTCACTGTTTCAAAATATTGATAATGAAAATTTGATCCAATGTCTTAATACTAGTCGGATTAAAAAAATATTTTTTTTTTAATTCCACTGTTTCAAATTTTCATTAACAAATTTTGAAAGTATAGACAATTTAATCCTGAACTTTTCTTTTATTTCAAAAATTAGGAAACGTTTTTCGTTTGAACTTTTTCTGAAATTTTTACTGTTTAAAAAATTTTATATTGAAATTTCAGTAAAATCAAACTTGATCTAATGTCTTCATACCACTCTGATTAAAAACAATTCTGAATTTTTCTCAAAAAATTAAAATTAAAAAATAAAATTTTTTTTAGATAAATAATTATTTCATATTATGCTTTGCTTTTTCACGAAAATTCTGTAAAAAATCATTCACCTTTCTAAAACATTACAGGTTCAAAAAATAAAATCAATATTAAAATTCACATCATCATCAACGAAAAAAAATAAAATTCCAAAATGATTCAGATCCACGTCTCCACAACCAACTTCCGATGTCACAAAATCATATCCTTTGATGGTTCAATCAATGCGCGAAGAATCACATTGGAAAAAACTTCAGAGATGCGCAGAAGAGCTAAAGTCTGAAAAAGACGAGTTACGTCAACTCGCTTTAGACACAAAAGACGCATTTAATGTTTGTATGGGAGAAATGAAAATGATGCTAACATCAAAAACCACTGATTTCTTCCGAGTTTTAATCGAAAGATACAAAGCTGAGATGGAAAAACGAAAACAATTGCATAATCAATTAGTCGAACTCAATGGAAATATTCGAGTTTTCTATCGAATTCGACCATTGCTCAGATTACCGCAAAATAATGAAGCTGAAGATGGAAATGAAAAACCAGTTGTGTTTATTGATGATATGGATAATGGAGTTGTTCATGTCACAAATACGAGTAATACCAAAAAAACAAGTGCCAGTGCTGATAAAGTTATTCCCACGGATTTTTCACAGGAACAGATTTTTGAAGAGGTGAGAACAATTTTTATAGAAAATTTTCCCTGTTTAATGAATTTTTTGATCTCTGATGTGAGTAATTCTCGAAATTCTAAAAAATAAAATAAAAATTTCAAAAATTTTGACTGTTTCAAAAAATTTGAAAACAAAAAAGAACAAAAATCATTGAATAAATTTCCTGAAAATTCACTGTTTCAAAAATTCATGAAATTTTTGAGATTATTTTTCGGAGCGATAAGCTTAGTGAATATTCTCCGTTTGGAAATGAGATTCACCCCGCGAAAAAATAAATTTGAATTTGCTGCAGGAGACGCAGACAGCGAGAGAGTGAACTGGCAAACAGCCAACGGGGGTTTTGTATGGGAAAGCGACCGCGACGCACACGCGTCGCGGGGGTAGGGGGAAATTAGAGATTTTCTCAAATTCAAATTTATTTTTTCGCGGGGTGAATCTCATTTCCAAACGGACAATACGTTGAAATTTTCTTGAAATATAATTTTTTGAAAACAAATTTTACTGTTTCAAAAATGCACTAATTTGTTCAATACATTTTTTGTCAATTCATTTACGTTTTGTTAAAAAACAAAAAAAGTAATTGAAACGGAAGAGCATTCTCATTCCTGAAATAATTTTTTTTTAACTTCTACATTTTTCAGGTCTCTCCAATAATCACGAGTTGCATTGATGGTTATAATGTGTGCATTTTTGCGTATGGTCACACTGGAAGTGGAAAAACTTATACAATGGAAGGACCTTTAGATGCACCCGGAATAAATCAAAGAGCAATTATGCAACTTTTTGAAACAGCAAAAGATCGAAGCAATGATATTTCATATAATATTAAAGTTTCGATGATGGAGATTTATAATGAGAAAATTAGGTGAGATCGGGGAACTTTATATATTTTTTGGATAAGAATACTTATTTTTGTCTCGAATTTCCATTGTTCAAAATATTTGGAAATTATTTGAAATCTTGAAAAAAAGTTGACTAAATTTCACAATCAAAAATATTTTCCAGAGATCTTCTGAACACTGCAAATTCCAATCTGAGCATCCGACAAACTGACGAAGGAAAATCCTCGATTCCTGGATTGGAAGAAGTTTTAGTAACATCGGCACAAGAAGTGACTGACACTTTGGCGAAGGGAAGAAAAAATAAAGTTGTGGCGGCGACTGAGGCAAATATTGAGTCGAGTAGATCGCATGTGATTGTTAGAGTTGTTGTATCGGCGACTAATTTGATTACGAAAGTTACAACTGTTGGTGAGTTTTTTTTTGGGGATATTTTTGGAGAGAAACACGGGTTTTTGGCTCATTAAAATTCTGGGAAAATAATTCTTGGTTTTACTGAATCTCCCGGGAAGTGTACGTTTCAAAATTTGTATTTTATGCATAAAGAAAAAAATAAATTTAAAAAAATGATGTACCTCTATGTACAAATTTTAATTTTCGCAGGTCGTCTCAACCTTGTCGATCTCGCTGGTTCTGAAAGAGTCTCCCAAACCAACGCAACCGGTCAACTTCTCAAAGAAGCCCAAGCAATCAATAAAAGTCTCTCGGAACTCGGAAATGTCGTGTTGGCTTTACGCCAAAACCAAAAACACATCCCATTCCGAAATTGTCAATTAACCCGAATTCTCGAAGATAGTCTAAATGGCGATTCGAAAACTCTGGTTTTGGTGCATTTGAGTCCGGATGCAAAATCTTTGAATGAATCGATAAGCAGTGTGAATTTTGCGGAAAAAATTGGACAAGTTTTCAAAAGTGGATTCAAACGAGATGTGACAAGAAAAAGTATCAGCGGACCTCCCAAGATTCCAGCATCACCAAGGAAATAATTTATGAAAATTTGTTGAATTTCACTAAAAATCAAAAAAACTGCCCCTAGTCCCAAATATTACGGTTGCTTGAAAATAATAATAATAAAATAAATTTATACGAAATTTTTCAAAATTTACAAATAAATTAATCAAAGGTCCATAAAAGTCAGATAATTTGAATTGGTGGAACAGTCACAAATATCAGACAACACGTAACAAGAACAATGGAAAACACGACGAGACAAAAACGATCGACGGCCATCGCGGCGAATTTCCATTCCTCCTGGATTTCTTTGCGTCGACGTTTTAGAACGATGCGTTTACGGATTCGAGAGATCTGACCGACTACACTTTCGTACATTCGGATTGTTGTTATTAGAATGTGAGTCATGTCGTTGGCTGGAAAATAACTTTTTATTGATTCGTAAGTTTCTTTCGAATTTTTTTTCAAATTTTCAAAAATTTATAAAAGAAAATCAATGAATTTTCAGCAAAAACTAGAAAAAAACCAAATTTCAAAATTAGAAACATTTTTGAAAATTAAAAAAAAATGTCGAAACAACTTTTTGCTTGAAGTTTTGAATTTCAAAAATTTTTGAAACAGTGAATTTTTAAAAACAGAGCAATAACTTTGAAAAATGAAAAAATCAAACATCTACTAATTTTTAAAAAATATCCCAGAAATTTACAATATTTCTGAAAAAAAAATTTTTACGTTTTTCTTAAAAATTTTCAATTAACTTTTTTCTCTTATTAGTCAAAATGCATGGCAATTCTAAAAGTTTTTTGAAAACTCATAATTTTTTTAGACAGTAAAAAAAATCTTTCTTCTGAGCGAATTTTTCGAAACAGTGATTTTTTTCAAGAAACATTTGACCAAGCGTTTATAAAAAACCTTGCTCACCCTCCTCCTTAATTGCCATTTCACAAGCTTTCATAGCACTTTCAAATTTCTCATTCCTCCTTTGTTCATGAATCTCACATCTTTTCTGAATAAACAAACCATCCCCAACTTTCCGATCCAATTTCAATCCCAAAGCATCAGGCCTCAAAAGAGTTTCAGAATCTCCTCTCAAAATTCCCTTGAGCTCCGCATTTTTAACACATTGAACACATCGATTTGATTGATCGATTCGATGTGATTCACAAGATCGAAATTTATGATCAGGTCTTCGCATCATCATAATCCATGGAAGAAAATCGAGAAATATTCGGCGAAAAAGTCCAGCCATGTGGTGATTGGTGATTTGACGGTATCTAGAGAAAATTATAATTTTTAAATATTCTTTTTCCTTTTAAAACTCACCTGATATTCAACACCAAAATTGTGAAAGTAGTTGACATTGCAATAATAAAAGTCAAAGCCGAGAAAAACACTCCCAAAAGTGGAACAGCTTCTGAAGTTGTTGGTGTCATTTCTGATAAAATTGTGAGAAAAAAACAGACGGAGAGAAGAATTGTGGTTTCTGGAAATGAAGTTTGTTTGGAATGAAATTGAATTCAAGATTTTCAGATTTCTAAGTTCAATAAATCTCAAGATTAAATTCCAAAAAAATTCACTGTTTCAAACTTTTCATATAATTTATTGTAACACAGAAACCCCAAAAACAATTCTGAAAATTTCCCGATCTCTCTCAAAGTTCACCGGACCAAAGTACAATTCCAAACTTATCATCAGTTCCACTCATCCCGATTTTTTTTTCGATTTTCAAAAAGAACAAACAATTTTTTTTCTACTCATTTTTTATTCTGAATTGATAATGAGAAAGAGAATCATTAAAAATATTTTGATTATTTTTTTGTGGAAGTAAACCAGTTCTTTGGTCAGACCAGTTAAGATTTATTTCATTTTTACAGGAATTTTTATTATTATTTTCAAAAACACTTGGAAAAACTCACGTAACCCGATTTTCTCACTCAAATCCGTTGCTGGAAGACAAAAAGCTAACAACGACATAAAAGAAACAAGAAGTGTTGGCAAAACCACATTGAAAATATAATAAAAAGTTCGACGACGAAGATGCAAATAAAATTTGATAGTTGGATATGGCTCCTTGCAACATTTGAAGAATTGCTCTTCGCGCATCGCTGGAGCCTGAATCAAATGCCATTCGCCATTGGAAATATAAGTGGAAAGATCAGCGCCAGGTTCAGCGTTTTCACCAATATCCATTTGAAGATCGAGAGCGAATCCGTGATAAGTCCAAGAGCCAAATTTCATGTGACAAATTTGCTCGTCGAATGGGAATAACATTATATCCATTTTACAGGAGATTTTAAAATTTCCTGGAGGAATCCAGTTTATCACACCATCACTGTAGACTACGGTGTTGGTTTTGTAGGTACTGTCGAAGCTTTCTTGCTCACTGCAAAATATTGAAGTAGTGTTGATCTCCTGATCTTTGAGGTGAGGAAAAATTGAGATAATATTTTTCAAAGTGTTTTTTTTTTGAGCCAGCTCAGAAACTCAAATTTTGAAAATTAAAATGTTAAATCTCCAGAAGACGATTTTCCGACTGTCAATTTTTAAAATTGTTCAAAATCAGCCAAAAATCTTCTGATCTCAAAAAATGCACCCATTTTGAAACGTATTTTTTCGAAGAAATTTGTTATCAGAAGTTATTGATCATTTTCTGATTTATCAAATATTTTTGTTCCGCTGATTATTTGATTCTGGTTCAAAATTTGGTTTTAGAATAGTTTTTGTACTATAAAAAAAACATTCCAAGAAATAAAACTCACTCTTCAATATATCGATTATACAAAAGAATATCCGGCTGCCAAATTTGATCTTCTCCCTCAAATCTCACTGATGTTATATTATCATAATCTACTGGCTGCCAACGAAGCCGATAATCTGTCCAAACCTGAAAAAATCTCTGATAAAAATATAGCTGGCCTAAATCTTCTTACATATTTGAGCCAGGCATTGATTTCAACCATTTGATGTTTTGCATCAACCATCAGAACTTGTTGTAGGAACACTTTCATAGTTACTGTGATGGTTTTCTTGGGGTTTCGGACTGGCCGAACCATGTGATTGTAGTCTTTGAGGAGTTTGCTGGAAAAAAAATGGGGATTGAGGTAAAATTGAGGTTTATAGATAATTAGAAAAATCATAAATTATAGAAAGACTATAGTGCCACAGAATCAGAGAGCGAAAATTTCACAAGTGAATTTTACAAGACTCTTCAGAAAAAGATCAATCAAAGATCACAGAATATTTACGTTAAGTTAGAAAGTCTTGGAACCATGACAAGATCTTAAGCTCAAAAATCTTACCTCAAAATTCCAAAAATCCAAAAATAACTCACCGATATAACTCAGCTTCCTTCTTGCTTCCATCGCAAACATCGAACCCAAAACCAACAAAAAAATAAATGAGAATATAATAGAGCATCTTTCTAATCATTTCAAAAACATGTGTGAAAAATATTTTTCGAAACAATTTTTCAAACGTATGTCAATGAGTCTGTATGTAAAAAATGATCTGTCAAGTGGTGTGCGGCGAGAAAATCGCTCCTGCTTGTATTTGTGCACTTGGAAAACAAATATCAATGAAGAAGCATGATAAGCTCAAAGAGACGCAGATTTTTAAGTCAGCTTTGCTACAAAAGAGATATTACTTTTTTTTTCTGTTGAAGTTTTTTTGTGAGCTTGTTCTATTTGTAGTGATTGACTTGACCTTTCTGGTTTTTTTTGTTGAAAGTTGTATGAGATCTCTTTTTCTCTTGAGTTGAGTCCACAATTTTTGAGAATTGATTTTTTTTTTAGTTTTGAAATTGCTGTGAAACTGTTTTGTCAAGAACTACTTGAAAATTGGTTGAGCATTGATACTTGAAGTTTTTTGTAACTTTTGGTCTAGAGGAAATTTTTTGGAACATTTTGGCCAAAGTTTTTATCATTTTTTGAACTCAAAACTTTCACATTTTTATTTTGAACATTTTTTTTGGTTTGAAATTTCTGTGAAATCTGGATTCTGAAATTTTCTTCAGAAATCTTCAAATTTTTCCGACCAGAATTTGAACTCAACCAGAATTTTTTCCCTCGTACCACAAAAATCTCTCCAGCACTTCAAATTTTCTAGCCTGTCTCCAACTTCAAATTTGATCGATCAATGAAACACTTTTTCTCATTTCATTTCACAACCAATTTACATCAAAAAATAATTGTCGATCATCTTGTTATCAGATAACATTCGTTCCAAAAGTTCCATTTCTCTCGATTTTTGTCTCTTTCAAAAATCTTGGTTCAACTTCTAAAAATACCCAAAACGGTCACGTTTTTTCAGAATCTATCACACATTTTTGTTCGTTTCGGTTTGGTTCTCATCGAAGATCACATCCAATTCGTCAAACTTCTACTGATAAATAATTTTTTGATCTACCTAAATTCTTTATCAATTTTTTTTCTTGATAAAAAATCATACGGTATTTATCAGATAAAAAATTATATGCAAATAAAGAGGAAATTGGGTACATTTGGATTTTGTGACGGAAAAAATTCACGTGAATCATCTGATTATTATTATGTAACTTTTCCTTATCTTCTTCTTCTTCTTCTTCCTAACAGCGCGTGACTTTCAATTTCTTTCATATTTTTATATACATTGTTTGTGTATCACAACATAAAAAAATATATCAAAAAAAAAAAAGAAAATATTTTGTACTTGATTGCCCTATGATTTTTTGAATGAATGATTGAAAGTTTTTTGCGTTGTGTATCAATACAAATCGAATCAAATTAGCCTGGAAAAATTGCAAACAAATTCCAGATTTTTGGGGAATTCCTGAGACAACTATAAATTAAGGAAAAACAAGCGGGGAGAAAGATGATTCTTTGTTTTCTGTTCGCATTTTTTTTTGTTGGCTTGATTGATCGATTTGAATTTTGATTTTGAAAATTGAAAAAAAATATTAGAAGTAGAATGTTTGTGATCTTTGGCGTCAAAACTTCCTAGTGAAAATATTCGCAGCTTGATTTTTGAAAGATCACATTTTTCAGGTAAGTTTTTGATCTACCGAATTCAGAACATGTTTCTCAAATATTTTCTAAATGTTACGGTTATTGTAAAATATATCTAGCAGGAACTAATTTCTTGAAGCTTCCAAAAGTTTTGACCTACCCCCTTTGTCTTATAAATATGTTAGATCTACTGAAAGATTACTGTAGTTATCGAACTTTAAAAATTCAACCTGATTGTAGTTTCGTAGTTTTCAAAATTTCCAAAACTTATCTTCAATTTTCATTTTTAATTCGTAAGGTTTTTTTTCCAAAATATCACATTGCTGCGTCATGAGAACTGTTTTCAATAACGAAATCTGTGATCTTTGAAGGTTGTTACTCTGATTCAAAGAAAAGTGGGAAGGAATGAGAGTCTGGAGTACTGTAGATAGAAATTACCATTTGTTTGGAAAATTTTTGAACATAATTGGGTTGATGTACTTACAGTACTTTTGCTGATCTCTGCAATTCAATTTTCATTGTTTGGACTTCAATTTCAAAAATTATTGCACTTTTGGAACTTGTTTACTGGGATACTGTAGCTACAGATGGTTTTTGAAATTCGAAATTGAAGTTAAAAAATATCAGAAAATTATATACATTTTTCTGGTTACAATACCTCAATTTCAATTTACTACAGTACCCCGTTGATCTCTGAGATTTCAATGCAAAATTTCATGTGTCAAAGTCCATTTCTCTTCATGTTTCATCTCTCTCTAAACAACAAACAATCACATGCGCAACATCGCTTTTTTCCCACGAAAATCTCACGTGTCCCTTTAAAATTTCGCGTCAGGTCTTATCTTATCATCTGTCGCAGCCTTAGTCACAAAAAGTACTGTAGTTAGGGGGGCCGCGCATCTATTCTTCGCCTTCTCTCCGCCCTCTTTCAATATTTCATTTCATTTCTTCTTTTCTCTTCTTCTCGGTATTAGGTTGAGATGTGATGATAAGATGGATGAAACCGAGAATTTCAGACTGACTGAAAAATTTGGCTGAAAATTCTAGAGAGAAAAGTTTTCAGAAAAGAGATCAGATAAGTTCAAGGTTCTTGCGGCTTCTGATGAGAACAACAGCAAAAACTGCGTAAAATGTTCGAGGTCGAATTGATTTATCAATGCGCAAAAAAATCATATCTTTTTTTGTGGTTGGTTGTTCGCGGAAGTATCGAATTGATTTTTCTTTGGCCAAGTGGAACCGGGATTTCTTTTTTGATCTACCAGAAATCTTTATGACATCATCATAAAGAAACGAAAAATAATAAATTTTCATGACTCATGTTACGTCCGTCCGCCCCAAGTCATACTATTATTTGTGTCCTTTTTATTTCAAATTACTAACAATTTTTCCTGTGTCATCTTCCATTTTCTTTTTTCTTGTACCAAACGAAAACATCCTCTAAATAATTTAAAAATTTCAGACAAAAATGAATAAGCTGAAATCACAAATATCGCAAAAATCACAAAATGGATCAGATGATGATTTGAAGGGTGTAATGGCTGAATTTGAAGAGCAACAATCCGAAAAAGAGCCAAGTCCGGGAAGATTTCGATGGTATATTTGTTGGATTGTTACTGGATTATTGACTGTGGTTCAGGCAAATGTGCATGTTTATAATTTTACGGTTTTGTGTATGCAGGAGGAGAATCAGAGGTTGAGGAATGGTGAGTGATTTATAACTTTTGGAATTTTTTGGATAATTTCTTTTGTTGATGTTCTGAAACTATCTTTTTCTGACAAAAATATTTAACTCTGGGAATTAATTCAAAACATTTTGATCTACGAAATTTTTATTTATTTTTTGGAAACCTACAAAAATATCATATTTCAGAAATAGAGACTTTTTCAAAACAAACGCTCTATTTTGAATTTAGGAGGAAAACTTTTTTGATTTCAATAATTTTCAATTGGGGGGTTCCACCAAAACCACCAAAACCTCGTAATTTTTCAGAAAGCATGTTGCTCAACCGTGTTCACGTCGAATTTTTCAACTACAACAAACTTGAGCAAGATCTGCTCTTCTCCGCCGCATACATCGCTCCACTTCCAGCTATAATTATCCTATATATGATCTCAAATAAATCAGGTGTCAAATTGACAATGACAATTTGCACATTGATCTCATTATTCTCAATTCTTCTAACTCCACTTGCAACTTATCAAGGTTTCTGGTTCCTTTATGCAGTTCGATTCTGGCAAGGTTTATCCACCGCAGTTTTCTCGGTTGTTATTTCAGTCGTAACTTCACATTGGTCAACATTAGCTGAAAATGGTGTTTACGTATCAATTCTGGCTGCACATTATCAACTTGCACCATTATTAACTATGCCACTTTCTGCTACAATGTGTCAAATTGGCGGGTGGACTTCGGTATTTTATACACAAGGAGCTTTGACAGCAATCTTCTTGGTATTATTTTTTGTATTTTATTCTGACAAGCCTGCGGCTAACAGATTTGTTAGCAAAGCTGAGCTGAAAATCATCGACGAAGGAAAATCAATCGAAGAAAGACATGTTGAAAAATCTCGAACTCCATTCTTCGCAATTCACACTGATATTGCAGTCTGGGCTATTTGGCTTGCCTCAATTGGAGGAACAATCGGATTTTCGATCTTCCTCCAATACGGACCAACATACCTCAACAAGGTTCTTCATTATAATTTGAGCACAACTGGTTGGACAGCTGCGATTCCATATATTTTCTCATGTTTTGTTCGAATCGCCGCTCAACCACTCTCCGCAAATTGTCATTTCTTGGGTGAACGTCTCGCAGCAATTATCACTACCACAATCTCCCAGGGTACAATGGCTGTATGTTTCTTGATTCTCATGTTCATCCCACAAGATTGGAGTTCGGTGGGGCAACTTTGCTACTCGTTTGTTATTGTTGCCAATGGTTTGAATGGAGTTGGAATAACTCGAAGTGCTCAACTTGTTTGTAAACAACATTTATCGTTTGTCTATACTGCACGATCTTTTTATAATGCGACGGTTGGATTGGCTTTGCCGATTATGGTGAATTTGGTGGCACCAAATGACACACATAAAGAATGGACTACCCTGTTTTTGTGAGTTGGGAAGAAAATCTTTGTGATCAGATTTTTGAGTTTAGTTCTACAAAACCCGTTATCACAGATGATCTTTGACTACCTAGGCCAAGATCTTTACCAAACTTGTTATCAAAAATAAAAAATGATGAATTATTTGTTTTTTGTTTCAGAATTATCTTCATAATCGTCTTCGTCTCCAATATTTTCTTCATTATTTTTGCCAAAGCGGAAGCCGCACCTTGGACTGTTGGAACTGTTGAAATCGATGATAGATCATCTCAACATTCGAATGAAGAAGAGCAAAACTCGAAAATTGAGCGATTCTAGATTTTTCTTTTTCCAAAACTTTCAAAATCACTGACGCCTCTTCTCAAGAAGTAGATGTATATATCAAATCAAAAAGTCACTATTGTTCCTTTTTTACGGGTTTATTTTCATTTGAAAACAACTCTCTCTAGTTATTATGTATATAAAAATGAAAAAATGTTAACCATCTCATGTCATGTATGGATTGATTTTATATTTTGGTTTTTTTTGAGCTGCTTGTCTGATTTTTAATAAATTCATTACTATTTAAAAATTTGGTTTTTTGATCAATGAATATTTTAATTAAAAATTCAAAGTTCCAGAAAGTTTTACGATCAAACTTTTTTATTTACAATAGGAAAATCAATTGAGAATGAGTTTTTATTCCAAAAAAAAACTTTAAATTTCCAAAAATTCCAAAATTTTCCAACGTGACAACCCAGATCACGTGATTTTTTCCGGCAATTCTAAAAATGCTCACAATCAGTTTAGCAAAAATAGTTTAACCGAAAACATGACTAATGCTACTAATAGCTTCGAGATTTTGACCAAAGAAACTCCGAATAATAATTCGAGGTAAGATTTGGCCCTAGGGCCTCAATGGCCTCTTTAATTGGCCTACATTTTGAAAGCAAAGGCTTCTAAGAACCTTTTGATTCAAAAAAATTCAAAAATTATTGAATTCTAGATACTTACAAGAACTGATGCAAGAATTACAAATGATGACAAATTTATACGAAAACAATAATAGTGCAAATTTTCGAAACTCTTATAATCTACTTTTGCGTGAAATTCAGCGCATTTGGAATGTGGTTTTAACATCATCACCAACTTCGGAATCTCCAACACCAACACCAACAAAATCCGAAAAATCGCCGAAAAAAGAAGAGATTCCACGTGTCAGCAAAGAATTGAAAGTGTATTTTCCAGAGGAAGATGAGAAAAATCAAAACCTAGTTGGAAGATTGATCGGACCACGTGGAATGACGATTCGACAACTCGAAAACGATTTAGATGTGAAATTGTATATTAGAGGAAAGGGTTGTATGAGAGACGCAGAGAAAGAGATGAAATTAAAGGGTAGAAATGGATGGCAACATTTGGCTGAAAATATTCATGTTTTGGTGGTTGCAAAAGGTGAAGATTTGGCAGCGTGTGAGGAGAAATTGGAAGGGGCAAAGACGAGAATCGATGAGTTGTTCAGTAATCCGAATGATTCGTTGAAGAAGGGACAATTGGTGCAATTAGCGATTATTGAAGGAACTTTAAGAGATTAGATTGGCGATGAGATTTTGGTGGAATAAATCACTTTCTAGAAATGTTTTTGAACTGAAAAATTATTGCTTAAGCGGTCACGTGAAAAATTAAGAAATGAAAATGAGTTTTCCACGTGGCAGTTCACGTTTTTATTGTTTCAGATTTGCGTAAAATTTTAGATCTTTGGAAAACCTGATTTCATTCTCAGTGCAGATGACCGCGTTCAATATCATTCCCAAACCCAAAAAACACAAGTTCCAGACAAAAGTTTCTCGATCTTGACTAAATCATTTTTCATACACAATCAGTCAGTCACACTTTAAAGACAAAACAAAATAACATTTTGTCGTTTTTTTTCGGTGATTGATAATCATTTGACCACCGGCGAACAATACAATTTTTGGCCTTGGAGAAAAAAAAATGCAAATCAAGGGGGTTTTTGCAAAAGTTCCCATAGCTATACAGAATTTGTAATTTGGAAACTGTATTTAAAGAGAGCAATTTTTTGATCTAGAACTTCAGAAAAATGAAGATGTTCTATATTTTATTTATACTCATAGGTTTTTCAAGTGGCGAAGAAACTTGCTGCGCGAATTTGGCACCGAAGAACTGGATATTCGAAACTTCAGGAATTCGCAATGCCTCCGAGATTTTCGAAGTTCAAGATTGTGAGAATGCTAAGATTTATTGTAAATCAACTCATCAAAATGCGATTTATTTTTGGGATGGAAACAGAGATATCAAATATAATTATGAATTTGAGATGGAGACTGATGGTACTTTTTTTGTCAGCAGTTTACCAGTGAGTTTGAGAGTTCGGTTCAGCTTCAATGTTAAAAAATTTCCAGCTTCAATGTATAAATTCTACATGGCAATTTACTCCTTATGATAATTCTTCAAACACGATTCCCTTGAAACATGTGATTTGTGGACATTCTCCACAATATGAAATCGAAGATTCATTAAATTCTACTGAAGTTTGAGTTCAAAATACATTAATGACCTTTATCCTATGTTTTAAACAAAAATAATAGCAAAAATATAAGCCAATGGTGTAATAATCCCACTAGCTGCACTTATCCCCATTTCAAAATTATTGAAACCGCAAATATTTTCGAAATCAATAAATATTTTGTCGATGAGAAATCCAGATATAAATAAAAGCTTGGATAGAATTGCTAGATTCAAGTGGATGATCTCAAAATTGCGAATAGTCACATTTTTATAATTCCTGTAGATTATTATCATACTAGAAATTGACAGAATTATGAGCTCTGTTTGAAGTTTATAGCAAAAATATGGACAGAAATAGTTCAGAAGTACTGTGAAGAAAATTGAAAAGCAAAATATGAATTTTCCGCTGGAAAATTTATTTGAAGAATACTTATCCTAACAACATACATATCAAAAACGTGTGTGGAAATTCTGAATTTCTTGGGAACCTTCAAACTTTTATTAAGTATCCAAAAATCCAACATCCTATCCAAAGGCAAAAAATAGAACCGGAAAACCACTTTGGCAAGCATTTCAGTTATAGTTTGTTCGTCATTCAGCATGTGACACAAAAGTCCAACGATCAATATAAAAATCATGGTGATATTATTGATATGAAGTCCGTAGAAAGCTTGGGAAGTTTTTGAGAATCTTTTATATTTTTTGAGTTTGATGGTTAGGAAAATTGAAAAAACATAAATGAAAAAAGAGATAATTAGAAAAATTAGTGAAGAAATAAGTATAGGAGAACTTGATAGATACATTCAAAAATAGACTAAAAATATCATCTGTTCGAAAACTAGACATTCCGCGTTGATTCAATAGCATTTTCTTGATAAACAACTCCAATTCTACGAAATCTTCTACACTTTAAAATATTCCGAATTGTTTCCAAATTCGATTTATTGCAAAATAAATATGATATTTGAATGATGAATGGTGTTGTTAATGTGTCAATCACAACATAATAAACATTTATCATATCCCAATCCAATCTTAAACCAATAATAATCATAATAGTTGCACTTTTGATAAATAAAATGAGAAATGTTTGAAGTAGAATGCATTTTTCAGGTCGGGTTTTCATTGTTTTCACAAACTTCGTAAGTTTTTTGATATGAAGAAAAATAAGAGCATAGAAGAAAGCAGATATGAAAACAAGAAGATCGATGGATGTACAAATTACATAGAAAATATGATTTAATTCATCATTATGTGTATCAACAAACAGAATATAAAATTGAATTATGATAACTATCACATAAATATATCGGATAAAAACTTTGAAAAAATTTGGTTTCATTGCGATATAAGGTTCCGATCTTGGGAAGAAATAAAGGGTAAATCTTTGAAAAGCTAATAAAAATAACAGAATATTCTGGACAATTGTAATTAATCTAATAGTAAAAAATGCAATATAAACCATCAAGATTGATATTAGCTTAGTTAAAACATTTTCCACAAATATTACGATTAGAAATACCAAACAAGTGATGAAAACAAATAATTGCATAAACACAACAGTTTGATAAAAATGATATGTTATTGGATAGATCAAAGCCTGAAAAATGAGAGGTACAACTAAATTTTTAATGTTTTCAAATTTTGAAAACCCACTAATTTATCATTTTCCCGATTCAGTCTGCTTATGTAGACAAAAATTGGAAAAACCACAGTAATTGAAGTAATATACATCAGTATAAGGATAATCAGGAGTATTAGAAAATTTGAGTATAAGGCGCCAAGAGCAAAGTCGTTGGTTTTCATCTTGAGAAAAAAAATTTAGACTTTCACTTTCAATAAACAATTTTTGTCGACTGAAATGCCACGAAAATCAGCTGTCTATTATGAAGTTTGAGATTCGTAATGTACGTTACAAAAAAAAATTGTTTCATCGGAAAAAGTTAAAAATTTATTCTCAAACCAAATATCAACAACCTAATTAAGTCACGTAGACTTAACAATTTGAAAAAAATCAGGAATTTTTCAAAGCAAAACCAACGCAACAGCTGATTTTAGCAGTTTTCATTCAGTCTTTCTTATTTTCAAAATCGAACTCAAAAATGCTATACAATACAACAGAATTCGAATATCTTGACATTTTTTTGAATAAATCCTTGAATTTCTATATTTATTTCTTGGTTTCTCTATATATTTGTAGTGTTTTCATAATGTTTCCAGTTTTTGTATATTTCACAAGAATTAATCAAAAAAAAGATCGAGAGGTTCGGTTTTTCTATGAAATGTTTTCTTTCTTCATCTGCTAATCAATTTTAAAGGCTTCCATATTCCCAATAACCCATCACTTATACAAAATTACAGTTGTTTCACAATTTATCATAATTATTTCATTATTTTCAATTATCAATTATAATATTTCATCAAGTTATGAACATTCCGATGTAATTAGATTATTTTTTTTCACCATTTCTTTCTTTTTACTCCTAGTAGTTTATATTTTCAACCAAATTGTTGTTCCAATTCAAAATCTTCTGATTTTCTTCTTAGCTTTTAAAAGATTGTTGGTTTATTATTTTCCAAGGTCTGAAAAATATATTGTTCCCAAAGAAAAACGAATAAAGTATATCATTCGATGGCTATATTTTACATCGATGTTTGGCAATTTTTTGTACTTTATTGTTTTATTGTCACCTGAGGGCGACGTAATTTCAAGTAAAATTTGGTCAACTATAAATTCGGTAAGATCTACATTATTTCAGATGAATCTACGGAGATCAAGCTGAAGTTCAACAGTTAATTTTTGAGCCATCTCGTAGAGTTATAAGATCTTTTCGGTTTCAGGCGATTTATATATTTCTGGATGCTCTTGTGATTGTTTCAGCAAGTTTTTATTTGTTGATTTTTTCGAGTGTTCGAAAAATCACACAAAATTCCACAGTGTTTATCAAATCTCATCCAGAAAAAACAATATTTTATCAAACTTTGGTTTTGTTTTCGATCAAATTACTTTGCATTCCTTTTATGATTTTATCAGTTGGTGCTCTTTTGATTAACGGAATAACTGCGGATTCAGTGTTGAATTCGGTGAGTCTAGTTTCCGGGTCTGGTTGGGAATTAAGGGTTGGACTCTTCTAAACATTTTTTTTCGAAAAACTCTCCCAAACCCATTTTTGCCATCTTTCTAGATCTACTACCCTCTAGCTATCATTGATGTTCTAACAACTCCAATAGTATTTCAAATCACATATATTTTTTGCAACAAAAAAAATCTAGAAAAGTTGTTGAACATGAACTTCACAACATTGAAAACTTGGATGACTATTTGCTGTGGAGTTGAATCAAATCGTGTAGGAATTCAGTGAAAAATGATGAATGTTACTGAAGCTATTCCAGCGTGAATTGAAGTAAGTGCGTTACTGTGGCTCAAAAGTTGCATTGAAATTATATAATCACACCCTTGTTTTCAGCCAAATCCCAAATGTTTTCTGAAAATTTCGTATTCAGTGAAATTCTCGAAATTGAAATCAATTGAAATCAATCGAGCGTCACGTGAGCTTTGAACAATGACGTCAGCTACTTCCAAAAAATCCTCATTTCTTACTAATCTATTTTTTCAAAAAATGAAAATCTATCAATTTTTATTCTTGCTATTTCTATTTCTAAAAATACCTTCATCATATTCCAAAACTTCTGAGAAAGTCCAAGATTCTCAAAACACCATAGGAATCAACATGTTCCAAAAAACTTTTGGAAATGTTTATCAAACTTGTTATATTTGGGTGACACCATTGAAAATTGCCAAATTGAACAATCCGCCATTTTATGAATTGTCCAAAAGATTGCTAAAAATCATGTCTGATCAATGGAATGAGGACAATTTTCGAAAATATATTCAAAAAACGCTAGCTGATCAGGAAGGATCGCATTATTTCAAAATGGCTTATACAAGTTTGGTACGTGATAGCGATCTAATTCTATTTCTAGACCTTACATTAGAATGAATCCTAATTTTTTCAGCCAATGTTAGATGATCTCGTTATCACATTCTCCCTGGCTTCATTAATTATGATCGGGCTGATTGTAACAATTCGATTTTCGCCAGGAATATTCGAAATTCTTGACCGACATTTGAATGTTATTGGAAATTTTCGAGTTTCTACAGTAATTCCAGTGTTATTCATTTATTTTCTATTGGCTTCAACGGTTGAATTTACAAATTCAGCAAATATTGCCGAAGATCGACTTATGATTGGACACGGTTGGCATCATGAATTAACTGAAAGTTGGTTTTTTCACTTTGAAAAATGGGAAAAACGTTTTAAAAACTAACAAGTTAATTTTAATCTTAAAAGAATCTCTAGAAAACTATGGCCAATGATTTTCAGAGCACGGAGCTTTGATGAGTAGCAAACTCGAGCAATTCAATTGTGTTGTTCGAACATATTGGAGTGTGATGAGAGAATTTGAAAAATGGGTAAATCCATATGAATTTTATCGACCAATTTTGCTCAACAAAACTGACATATTCTTTCAAAATCAATCGATATCATTGGCTGAATATTTGAAGGAAACATATACTGATGATATAAAAAGAGAATATGTTTCGAATAAGATCACTCAAAAATTTGTGGATGAAATGCATTATTATTCGAGTGGTGCGGCAAATTATACCGTTAAACCTCAAACTGTAGATATGAAAGATGTATTGATTTCGTATTATGAAAAAACTTTACAACTTCCGGTTAGTCAGTTTTAATACTGTAATAATGGTCTAAAATTGAGTTTAAGACAGCCAAATGTTTTCTGATAATAAGTTGTCTTCGAAAGTCAAACAAAAAAATCGCAATCTGTGTTTATGAAAATTTTTTGCAGAAATCAGAAGAATACAGATTGTTCAAATTCTCAATCATCATCCTGAATGTGTATACTTTGATCATCGCAATTGCTGTAACAATTCTAGGATTTATGGATCATAAACCATGGCATGATAAAGTTCTTCGGATCCTAGATTGGGCTCAACATGGAATTCTACTAATTATTTTTTTGAAAGTCATCATTTTTATGCTCATCGTGGCTCAAGTTTGTAACACATATAAAATTCAAACAACAATGAATACTGGAAATTTTACATTTTTGAGTGAGACAACTACAAAACATGGAATCAATCTCAGTTTTTTATTCGAAAAATCGTATTTTACGAACACAACTTTGACTGAAGTTATGGGATTGGGAAGTGAGTTTTTTCAAACTTTTATTCGTGAATTGTGCTTTAATAAAATACCCAATTCCAGAATATTTATACGATGCTCGCCCTGATCAATTTCAACCTGATATGGAATTGCGAAACTTGGATTTTCTTCAAGAATTCATCAAATCTCCACATCTCAAATTTCAGCCAAAAGAGTTTTATGCACACATCGCTGAGAAATTCAAATTTAATGTGACAGAACATCCATTCTTTTTCAATGCGTTTTTATTTTCGATGAATTTTAGTCGATTCACGAACTCATTGATGAAAGATGTTACTGTACCTGCTAGCACACCAGTTTGGATTATGCGTGAGTTCTAGGAAATGTTTGAATATTCTTCAAAAAGTTAAGCCATTGCTCATATTAGGAAAACATTCTAAATTTTCAGTTGTCATGCCAATCTACCATTTCGGAATCGCATTTTATGTAATGTTCGCAATTCCAAAACTTCGCTATGATCGAAAAACTTGGACAAATGATAATCTAATTTAATGAAAATATAATTAATTGAGAATCTAATAATGCATACGAATAAATTTATTTTATATTCAAAATGAGTGCATTAATTTGTTGTGTTGAAAAAATATGGATCAAAAAAAGAAAAAAATTTGGTTCCTTTTTAAAATGCGTGCTCTAATTTTTTGCCTAAAAAAATAGATCAAAAAATCCCAAGGCCGCTCATTTTTTCCCCAGATGTTGTTTCTAAATTTTGAAGAAAAACCTATTTTTCACAGCTAAGCTGACGTGAGGAAAAAAAAATTTCTTTTAAAAAAGTTACGCCTGGGAATACAAATTGTGAAGTTTAATGAGACATAGACTATAAAAGAAAAATAAATAAATTTAAAACAAAAATGGAAATGGCATGCATAAAACTATGAAAAAATTAATCTACCTATGAAATATTTCATAGTTTGTTTTTCAATAAAATCTCGAAGCTGATCCTATACCATCAAGTGTAATTCAAAGCTTCATCTAATCATTTAAACATAGTTATTTATAAACAACTTTCCTTTAACATCAATAGTAATTATGAATAAAAAACTTTACCCAATATTTTTCAATTAAGCTCAAATCTTACCTGTTAGTTTTACTCCTCCCCCCCCCCAAACCTCAAAATAAACTAACTTGACTGGTCCTTTCCGTGAAAAATTGTTGATATCTTTGAATATCCTGTCCAAACGAAACATCTTTTTCGAAAGCCTGAAATATCTACATTCTTTTTCTCAAAATCTTCGCCTATTCTTAAACTTACATCAGAAAATGGCAATTGTGCATTTGATGGGATCCCTGCATTCTGTTACTGTTGTCTCTAAAAAAATAAGAAAATTACAAAATTTATCAAATCACCCGATTAATAACACTTTCTGCGCAGAAAAAACCAGAAAAATGAATCAGTTCGAAAAAAAAACGTTCAATCAATAGTTTCTTTTCAAATAAAAAACATCTCTCTATATATATCTCTCTCTCTCTCTCTAACCCTCTCTCCATTTTCCACACTCTCTCATCTACCCTGCAAAAAAACAATAAAATAAACACGCTAAACAACGCGCACGCGGAGTATCGTTGTTTTTCTTTTATTTTTTTTTCACAATTTTTATTTTTTGCTTTTTTTCTGGTTTTTCACGTCGTGCCACCACACAAATCCGAGGAGACGCAGAGAAAAAAGACACCGTACTCATCCCCGGTCCCCCAGGTACATCGCTGCGAGACCACACAAAATCTCTGCGTCTCTACGAAATTATCTTTTCCCTTTGTTCTGGCACGACGTGATTTTGAGTGGTTTTTTTCAGCTATCATCGAGAAATTTGGACAAATGAAAATCTAATTTAATTGAGAATTCAATAATGCACACAAATAATTCTTTATTCAAAATTAGTGGTTCAATTTGTTGTGTTGAAAAATATGGATCAAGATGACCAAAATTTTTGGTTTTTTTTAAATTACGTGCTCCAATTTTTCGTATAAAAATACATCAAAAATCTCAAGGTCGCTCGCTCATTGTTCATTTTTTTTCAAAAATGAAAATCCATCAAGTTTTATTTTTGCTATTTCTATTTCTAAAAATTCCTTTATCGTTTTCCGAAGCTTCTTTAGAAGTTCAAAGAATTCAAAACACCACAGGAATAACAATATTCCAAAAAACTCTTCAAAATGCTCATCAAAGATGTTATCGTTTTGTGACACCATTGAAAATTGCCAAATTGAATAATCCACCATTTTATGAATTGTCCAAAAAAATGTTGAAAACTTTGTCTAGAAAATGGGATAAAAGGAGATATCAAGTGTATATTAATGAAACATTGGTGGAACAAAATCCGGTGCATTTTTTCAAAATGGCTTATTCCAGTATGGTTAGTTTTAAAACACCATTTGTGAATCAGTTATGAATTGTTTCAGGAAAATTTAGTCGAACTGGTTGTCTCATTTTGCCTGACCGCATTAATTATGATCGGATTGATTTTGACAATTCGATTGTCACCAGGAATATTTGATATTTTGGACGAATATTTGAATTTCATTGGGAATTTTCGAATTTCTACAGTAATTCCAGTGTTATTCATTTATTTTCTATTGGCTTCAACGGTTGAATTTACAAATTCAGTAAATATTGCAGAAGATCGACTAATAATTGGACATAATTGGCATCATGAATTAACAGATAGTTGGTTTTTTATAACATCGAAAATAGGGTTCCCATCAAAAAATTTAATAATTTTCAGAGCATGGAGACTTGATGAAAGAGAAAATCGCCCAATTCAGATGTGTTATCACAACTTATTGGCAAGTAATGGCTAAATTTGAGGACTGGGTAAATCCATATGATTTTTATAAGCCAATTTTGCTCAACGAAACTGACATATTCTTCAAAAATCAATCGAAATCATTGGGTGAATATTTGAAAGAAACATATACTGATGATAAAAAAAGAGAACATGTTTCGAATAAAATCACTCAAAAATTTGTGGATGAAATGCATAATTATAAAAATGGTCAGAAAAAACATAAATTGAGAGATCGAACAGATGATATGAGCGATATGTTGACTTCGTATTATACCAACACCTTACAACTTCCGGTAACTTTTTTCAATCCGTCTGAAAAAGCACCGAAAAATTCCTGGAAACTACTAAACTGATACTGTAACTCAGAATTCGCAAAAATACTTTAAGAGACGTTTTTTGCAAAATGGTGAATTTTAATGAAGGAGCTCGGACAACAAAAAAAGGTGTAATTTTAGAATCGGCTCAAATTTTTTTTATTGATACATGGATGGATGGTGAACATTTTCCACCATATTTTTTTCCATAAAATCGATGCACCAATTTGGTGGGGGGTGATGAATGCGAAAAAGGGCATTTTTTCAAAAAATCAGAACTCAGCTCAAACTTCATATTTTTTGATGATCAAAAAAGGATTTTGTAGCTCTTGAGACGCTCTTTACTCCTGAATTTACTAGAATTGCCGAAATCCAAAAATAAATTTTCAATATTGATGGAAAAATTTTGACGCTAATTTTCCCTCCTTAAACGCCATTTCCGCAATTTCTAACTCGATCCATTAGATCCGCCTTGCAATTTTACGTCGGATTAGTCGAAAAAAACGGAAAAAAAGGGGGCCCTCAAAAAAGTTCTATTCCAGCTTCTAATTTTCATTCTGACGCGCGCAACACACATGTGTGTATTTTGTGTGCGCATGCTCCCACATATGTGTCTGTTGTGTGTTTGGTGCTTGAAATATACAAGGGTACTGTAGTGTGTGTAGTTTTTTTTGTATTTTAATTGTAGATTTAACATCTGGGGAGGTAAGAAAAACCCCGGAGGATTTTTACATGCAAAAATGTTTTTCCTGGGGGTGGACCTTTTTTGAGAATTTTTTCGGTTCTGAACTTTGAAAAATTGTAACTTTACTTATAGTGGACGAAAAAAATCGAACATAAAAGCTAAACAAAGCTTATATTTCGCTCTATGAATTCAGCTAATGGACAGTTATATGGACTGGAAAAATTGTTGTAACAAACTAATTTTTTTGACGTACAAAATTCGAAATTTTCAAAAAAAAGGAAAATTCGGAACATGTCAGCCCTTTATAAATTGAAAATTGGTGAGAGTGAGGTAGACTCAGAATCAGTTAAAAAAAATGAAAAAATCCATAATTTTTGAAATCCCTGTTGCTGCACATATTTTTTTCCGAAATAAGTTGACAAGGGAACCTTTTTTACTCAACACTTCAAATCATGATGAAACAGCTTTTGGGACCATAAGAACACCCTTAAAATTTCAGTCTCCCAATGGACCTCTGAGCCAAGTTCTGGGCTTTCAAAAACTCAAAAAAGGCCTAAAAATGGTCATAAAAGTCATCATAGCTCCATTTCAAAATTTTTTTTTAGAAAAATGAAGTTTCAGATATTGATCAGCATAGTCGATTACCTAAAAGTGAATCAATAAAAATTATTTTTTCGAAAAATTTTGAAGTTTTTTATTTTTCGGCTGAAAATTCATGAAAATTCATGTGCCCCTGCTCATTCTTTTTTTCAAAATCAAAAATTTTTCTGAAAATTCGATTTATTGATGGTTTTTGGGTAAATCGACCACGCTGATCATCATCTGCTACTCATGTCTTCAAGACTTGACATAAAATCTATCAAGACGCAGTACCAAGTGAAAGTTCTTCAGGCAACTTTGCTAGACATATCAGCTCTTCTGGTGCTGATAGAAATCGCGTACACTTCATTTTTGATTCCCTGAAACTTCTCCCAAAAATTATTTTTTTAGATAATATTTTTCATGTTGTGAGGAATCGATCCAGTGAACTTTTTTCACGTTTTTAACTTTACTTAAAATTGCAGCCTGCAGAAAACACTATTTCTGTTTATTTTTGCAAGAGAAAAGCATAAAATCGATGTTCAGAACTTCTGGGAACCCGGAAACCTATAGATTCTAACATTTTTATTACATTACGGAAATATATATACGTTATTTCGAATCAAGACCATAGAACACTTGACACTTTTTCTAAAAATATTTCGAATTTTCCTTTTTTTTTTGAAAATTTCAAATTTTGTACGTCAAAAAAATTAGTTTGTTACAACAATTTTTCCAGTCCATATAACTGTCCATTAGCTGAATTCATAGAGCGAAATATAAGCTTTGTTTAGCTTTTATGTTCGATTTTTTTCGTCCACTATAAGTAAAGTTACAATTTTTCAAAGTTCAGAACCAAAAAAATTCTCAAAAAGGTCCACCCCCAGGAAAAACATTTTTGCATGTAAAAATCCTCCGGGGTTTTTCTTACCTCCCCAGATGTTAAATCTACAATTAAAATACAAAAAAACTACACACACTACAGTACCCTTGTATATTTCAAGCACCAAACACACAACAGACACATATGTGGGAGCATGCGCACACAAAATACACACATGTGTGTTGCGCGCGTCAGAATGAAAATTAGAAGCTGGAATAGAACTTTTTGAGGGCCCCCTTTTTTTCCGTTTTTTTCGACTAATCCGACGTAAAATTGCAAGGCGGATCTAATGGATCGAGTTAGAAATTGCGGAAATGGCGTTTAAGGAGGGAAAATTAGCGTCAAAATTTTTCCATCAATATTGAAAATTTATTTTTGGATTTCGGCAATTCTAGTAAATTCAGGAGTAAAGAGCGTCTCAAGAGCTACAAAATCCTTTTTTGATCATCAAAAAATATGAAGTTTGAGCTGAGTTCTGATTTTTTGAAAAAATGCCCTTTTTCGCATTCATCACCCCCCACCAAATTGGTGCATCGATTTTATGGAAAAAAATATGGTGGAAAATGTTCACCATCCATCCATGTATCAATAAAAAAATTTGAGCCGATTCTAAAATTACACCCTTTTTTGTTGTCCGACCCTATTTGCCTTTTTGCAAAAAACGTCTTAAAAGACTTCAACCCCTCCAACTCAATTTTCCAGAAAGAAAATGACTACAATCTTTTCAAATTCTCTATCACAATTCTATCCATTTATACATTGATCATCGCAATTTCTGTAACAATCCTAGGATTTATGGATCATAAACCATGGCATGATAAAATTCTTCGAATTCTCGATTGGGCTCAACATGGAATTCCAGTAATTATCATAATTAAAGTTATCGTTTTTATGCTTCTGGCAGCTCAAGTTTGTAATACTTATCGTATTCAAACAACAATGAATGATGAGAATTTTTCATTTTTGAATGAAACTATGACAAAAAATGGGATCAATATCAGTTTTTTATTGAGAGATTCGTATTTTACAAACACTACTTTGACTCAAGTTATGGGAATGGGAAGTGAGTCTAATAATTTTGTTTTGAAAAATAATTTTTCTTGATTTTTTCAGAACATGTTTATGATGCTCGCCCTGATCAATTCCAACCTAATATGAGTTCACGAAATTTGAAATTTTTCGAAGAATACATTACATCTCCAGACTTTGAATTTCAGCCAAAACAATTTTTTGCACATATTTCCCGAAAATTTAAATTCCCGTTGAAAGAGGCTACCAATTTCTTCACCGCCTATTTTTTCTCCATTTTAGTCGATTCACAAACTCGTTGATGAAAGATGTTATTGTACCTGTGAGCACACCGGTTTGGATTATGCGTGAGTTGTTTTCTGGGATCCTAGGTTTTGAGAAGAAAGTAGAGCATTTTTAGATTATTATGAGCAATTGTTTATCTTCAAAAACCTTCCATTTCAGTTTTCATGCCAATTTATCACTTCGGAATTGCATTTTATGTAATGTTCGCAATTCCAAAACTTCGCTATGATCGAGAAATTTGGACAAATGACAATCTTATTTGATTTGAAATGAAATATTTTTCAACATCCAGACTCCAACAAAAATATAATCCCTCATTATTTTATTAATTCAAAAAACTAGGCAAGTAGGCACATTTTACATTGAGAAGTATTGTTTGATCAAAAAAAATTATATAAGCGAAATATCACAGTGTTAAGAGAGAAACTAGACGAAAAAGGCCACCAAAATATTCAAGAGCCCACAAAATAGAGAAGAAGAGAGAACATTCGCAATTTGAATAAAAACCTGTGGAAAAAACGATCATTTTGAGAGAGAGAGAGAGAGAGAGAAAAAGGGGTTTGAAAAATACACATAAAAATCTGACGTGGATATAACTGAAAAAATACAATTGGAGCAAAAATGAAAATAAAAAAATATATATTTGAGTGATGAAGATCAAGTTCGGCTCAACACATCGGTAAAAGATACATTTTCGAAGAATTTTAAAAAATCGAATAATATCAGATACCGAATGTCGACCAATTAATTAATGAAAACATTTTGAATGTTTCAATAATCATTTCGAGTTGGAGAAAAAATGGGGAAAAAAAGGATTTGATTCGGAGATCCTAAAGAGTATCCGACAATAAAAAAAAGACTTTGGTTTGATATAAAATCCCGCGTTTAGAGGCCGTTGTACACTTTTGGTTTAATATCAGATTGCTTCAATATTTCAATGATTTGTGCTTTTTGTTCTGCACTCATTTCGGTTTTTGGAAAATCGACATCAAATGTGATAATGAGCATTCCACGTTGATTGTTGTTTTCGAGTGATGGCATTCCTTCGTCTTTTTTACGTAGTCGAGCACCTGGCCATGTTACCTGAAACAAAAATCGATTTTTGATAGGAAGAAAATATTTCTCTTATTTATGAAAATGAAAAACAGCGAGCTGATGTTTTCTGTTATGATTATTGATTATTGATGAACTTTCGCCGATTAAAAAAACGATGACAAAAGAATTCAATTCATATTTTTGAAAATTATCCATATATTTTTCAGTCGTTCAAAAAAAATACTGTTCCTATGAAAAAAAAAATTTACAGTATAATATTTTGAGTATAATATTTAGATTGCGTAAAATTAAGAGGATCTAGACAAAACAGATTAGTTTTTTGTAATTTTTGACTAAACTCTCTCAAATTTACGTTGTCTCTAAATAAATAAAATTCTGTGAATTTTGTTTTTTTTTTCATCGTGTTTCTGCTCTGGTCCATTATCAAAATTACAAAAGTTTTCAAAAAACTCACTTTTTCTCTCGACACGTCCACTTTATGCCCATCTAAATGCTCAATTTCCATCGTGAAACCGTTGAGAGCGTCTTGCAACGAAATTGTCACATTTGTGTACAGATCATCACCCTTACGTTCGAACCTGAAAATAAAATGTATAATTTGAAATTTCTTCTAATTATAAAAAAATACGAAAAGTAATAAATTTATGATAATTTAATATGAAAATGAAACAGTTGTGTCTACAGATTCAATTTTTTTGGATGGTTTAGGGGAATGTTAGTCAAATATGTGTCAACACACACATTTTCTCCTACGCATTCATTCCTTCTTCCGCCCTTTGTTTGTATCCAGTTTTCAAACAACACCAAGAAAAAAAGAAAACAAAAACATCTTCGAGAAGAAAAAAAAAGCGAAAATCAAATCATGATTGACATTTATCAATGTGAATGTGTATAAATTTGAATTGACATGAAATAGGCATCAGATAGATAGAGAGACGAGAAAATGTTTTATTCATAAATACTAAAAAGTATTGAATAAAAAACTCTAGATTGACACAAAAGTTGCTACATCTAGATATCTGTCGATGAAAAAAGTGCAAGGCAATTACTGAGTGAAGCGACACCTGCTCAGTAAAAAAATGTACTTTTCATCAGAAAAAAATAGTATCATTATCACGAGAAAGATAACCAAAATAGGAAATGAAGCAGATGTTGATTGGAAGTTATCGATAAAAAACAGGGAAGCAAAAAAACGACAAAAAATTCGAGTACCGACAAAAATTCAAGTGGAAAAAACGAAAACGAGCAATGCAGCCAGCAATCTTCAAATCAGTTAGATAAACAAGCTGAGATAGTTAATTACGTCAGCGAGAGAAATGCAAAGAGAACGATGATGATGGTATATTTCGAAAAAGAGCAATTGTAGACTGACAACGACAAGTTCAGAGAAATCAGTGGGGGCAAAAATGGGCGGGTCGAAAAGGACACAGAGAGAGAGATGGAGTGGAAGAGAAAGAGAGAAACATATCGTTTGACTCACCAACCATATGATGAATCAGGATGGAAAAAACGAACGAACGAAGAAAGGCGTGGAACACATTTTGGAAATAACCGATACAAGCTAGATTACGAAAATGTTGTCGGACCGGCCTTTCAGCTATTGCCAAAAATAGAAAATTTCGGACTCGAGAAATCATGCCGACTGCGATAAATCGAATCCGAATTTGAAGATGAAACTACCAAAATTATAGAGAACCTTCTTTTTCTTCTCCATTCTTTGTATTAAATTAATAGGAAAAACTTGGAATCATAAAACAATGATAACAATCTAATTCCAAATCGAAAACTAAAAAAAACCTCAATCAGACACATTCTGAATGAAAAAAAAACGAACAAAACTTTTGATAAGACCAAGAGTTTATGCCAGATTTTTTTACACATTCAAAGGCAGATTGCGGCTGAAAACAAAAAGCGTTCGAAACGAAACGATTGAAAAACAAGGTCGTGCTGTGTGTATCAAAGCGACACGGCGACAGAAAAAAAACAGAACGGCTCGTCTAAAGAAATACAATAGATGAGTTTAATGATCTACGATCAATTGTTTTTTTTTCTCTCACATTAATCGATAAGTTTTCAGCGATACCAAATATTTTGATAGAGAGGGAGAGACAGAGAGGAAAATACTGTTTTTTTTTTCATTCTGCATTGAACGAATACAAAAATGATGATAAAAATAATAATAAATAATTTCGGTGGCTGAGGAGAAAAATAAACAAGAAAAAATCATTGATAGAAAGAAAATGAGGGGAAAATGAATGAATAGTGAGCAATCAAGCAAGTGATGGACGAAAAAAAAACATATCGGATGGATAAGAAATGAGAGAAGAAAACGAAGAAGACATATGGTTAGTTGTTCTCTCAAATATTCTCTTGACACAAAACGAGCAAAAAACTGAAAATCACGAGCCTAGTCAAACTATGTGTATACATAAAGGTAGGAGAAGCAACGCAGCACGCACACATGTTTGGTCAACCGGTTCGGGAAAAAAAAACGAACGAACGAGAAGAAAAAAAAACGAATCTATTTGTATTTATTTATTAGTGAGTGAACAATTCGAGATTCGAGTTTTGGTCGGCTATAGTTTGATCTGACAGGCCAAGATGAAGCCTGTGGATCGGATCGGGCCAGACTATTTTCTTCATTATCGATTTCGGCCGGCCTGTACCAACTAGCAATTCCTGCTTTAGCAAAATAATTGTGTCGAGACGAATGAGGTCGTTAAATTATGCATTTCAACGGACGACAAAAAGTGTGTGACTGGTTGAAAACAAAATAAAAAGGAATGTCGGGGGAAAATTCGATATAATCTTGATTGAATCGTGGGTGGTTTTTGACGACGATAGAAAACGGAATTGATAAAGAAAAACCAAATTATTTTATCATCAAATTTAAAGTGGGGAGAAATATTGTATATTTATATATATGGTTTTTGTGTATATTTGATCAATTTTACAAAAACATACCAACACATTCTTCAATAATTAATCATAGAATTCTGTTCAAAATACAACTTCCTTTTTTCTGTCAAAAATGCGTTTTTCATCCAATTTCTATCAAAAACTTCAAATATTTCTAATCAAAATAATGTGTTTTGTTTTCCTTTCTCTCAAACAGCAAAAATGTGTCCTTTCAATCAATCAATAACAATTTCAGCCATACATAAATCATCGACAAAAAAAATCAGAACAGCTGCTTGTTACTTTTTTCGCATTCAAACTAAATAACATTTGCGATGTGCGACAAAAGACTATTACTTTCTATCGAAAAACACAAAAACGAAAACTGGTAGAAAAACGTATTTGTGTTATTGAAGTTTATGTGAAAAAAATTGACAAAAAATCATTATTTTCGAAGGGAAACTAGGAAACTAGGGTTTTGTTGAAGATAAAACTGTTGAAGTGAAACAACAAATTAATCACAGTCAGGCGAATATGAGGATTATACAAATCCCAAAATATTTTCGCTGGGAGATAGATTTATTATGACACATTTCATTTTCTTAACGATAATGATGAAATATGTTTGTGAACTATGAATCACATGTGTAAAGTACAAAATGAAAAATACAAAAACTATACTTGATGAACTACGTTTCAAAAAATAAATACACATATTTCTGAAGCACTTGAATTGGTTTTCACAAATTTCAACGGAAAATAAAGAAACGAATATTATGTTTCTGTTTTCAACTCTGAATTTGAACTATGTCGTGTATTTTTTTGTTGAAAAATCCTTGTAATCTCTTCGTTTTTGAATTATAAAGAAACCCACCTTGAATGTTTCAATATTCTAACTTTGAATTTCAAATCTCCCGGATCTCCTTCAATGTGTGGTTCTCCTTCACCATGGAAAATTTGAGTATGTCCATTGTCAGCTCCGGCTTCAATTTCAACTTCTAATGTCTTCGATTCTTGAACTAATTTCACATTTGGACATTCGTCACAAACTTTGACTTGATACATTTGGAATCTTCCTTGTCCCATTTGTTCGGTTCTCATTTCGTGTCGACAATTGCATTGACGTGTTCCAGAAGTTTGTTTATAAACTGCTTTTTTCCGTTTGACCTGGAATAAATTGTTTATTCGATTTTTGGATTGAAAAAACCAAACAAATTGAATAACAAACAGGGGAACCTTATAATATAGGGACTTGTTTCCGGAAAAAATATCAAATTTATATGAGAATAGGTCCCACCCAAAAAATCTTACTTCAACAAAATGTCCAACATATGCTTCTTCAAGAGTAACAAATAAATCAATAACAACATCAGCTCCTTTCGGAGTTCCTTCATCTCCCTCATGAGAACCACCGCCACCACCAAAAAAGTCGCCGAAAAATGAGCTGAACGGATCGTGTCCTCCGCCACCACCTCCTCCCATTTTTTGAACTCCTTCTTCACCGTGTCGATCATATGTGGCACGCTTATCTTTATTTGAGAGAACTTCATAAGCGGCAGAGAGATCTTGGAATTTTTCATTTGCCATTTCATCGTCTTGATTTCTATCCGGATGTAATTCTTTCGCCAATTTTCTGTATGCCTGAAAAATTTCGAATTTTAATTATTTATTGATTGATCAAAACCAACTTACCTTCTTAATTTGATTGGCGTTCGCATTTTTTGGAACACCAAGAATTTTATAGAAATCTCTACCTGCTAGGATGAATTCGACCAAGCAAGAGGCTAGACAAAATGCTAGCAGAAATGATCGACCAAACTTCATTTCTGTAAAAAAAAATCAAAAATATTCCAATTTAGGGCCAAATTTGATTGAAAATGAATAAAATAAACTGCCACATACAAAGCACACGTCAGATAATATTTTAAAATGTTCGCTAGAGCGCATTTTCTGTTTGCCCCACTTTAAAAACGCTTGTTTGCTTGCTTGTGTAGACAACATTGAACCATAACTAACTACCTATTTTATCTGATTAGTTTATTTACACATTTTTATTTTCAGTTTGAACTTAATCAGTCAATTAAGGCGATGATGCAGATTAGTTTCTCCCCGAGCTAATTGAGGAGAAAGAGGAGAAACGTGTTGCAGGTGGAGGCGAAACAATGTATTTTTCGAATTTCGCCCCATTTCTCCTCATTTCTCCTCGGAGGAGAAACTCATCTGCAACATCGCCTAAAAAATATATTTACACTCTAGTGAGATTCTCATTGTTAAAAAACATAACTAACTCTCTCCACGAATAATCATGCGATTAATGTTTAGAATGCGGCTTTCACATAAAAAAATCGTTATCGCTAAAAAATGGTGCGCTTTGATTTCGTCATCGAATAATTCAGCTTCTAACTTTTCTGAAAATGCATATCGTGTAAAAATAAATGCTTCTCTATTTTCACTACGATGAGACGAATCAAATGATATACCCCGCGTTCGCTGAACCCACCTCTGACATGCTGAAACAAAAAGAAAAAACTGAAATTTCCTATAGTCTGCAAACACGGCGACGCGAAAATGCACATACTGGCTACCGTATCACAAAAAAAAAATTATTTTTCGAATTTCTGCGGCTTGAACTTTATTTCTTGAGCTCAAAATCTTGAGTTGCAAATTGTTTTTTTTTTCAGAATGTTGATTATGCTATTCCTCCAAGGTTTGGTGATAGCATCAGCAGATGTTACACAGAGGGAATTGAAATCTATAAAAGGAGTTCCAGTGGAAAGTAAGTCAAGTTAAAAAAAATCTTTAAAATATTTTAATTATTTCAGGATTCGTACTATATCAACCATCTGGATTGAATTTCAAATGTTTAGATGGATCAAGAACAATTCTTTACAGTCAATTAAACGATGATTATTGTGATTGTCCAGATGGAAGTGACGAACCTGGAACATCAGCTTGTCAAAATGGTCATTTCTTCTGCCAAAATGTTGGACATCGTGGAAACTTCATTCCTTCTTCAAGAGTAAATGATAAACTTTGTGATTGTTGTGATGGAAGTGATGAATATGATAGTGGAATCAGTTGTCCGAATATTTGCGATGAACTTGGTCGAGCAGCTAGAATAGAGAAAGAAAGAAAAGTTGCGATTGCTAGAAAAGGTTATGATAAACGACAAGAATTAGCGAAAGAAGGGCAACAATTGAGAGATGAAACTATTCAAAAATTAGAACCTTTGAGAGAAGAAAAAACTGCTTTGACTCCACAATACGAAGCTCTTGAAAAAGTTATGAATGATGCAAATGCTCTCGAAACATCTTTGAAAGATGCGTTCAAAAAACAATTCGAAGATGCTCAAAAAATTGTGAGAAAAGACAAAGCGCAAACTCTTTTCAATGAAATTGATGTGAATAAAGATGGAAAAATCACTTTGGACGAAATTACTATTCTTCCATATGTTGATAGAAATTTTGATGGAACTGTTTCAGAAGATGAAGCAAAAGAATATTTGATCAATATTGGTAAGTTACATTTGTTATGAATATGATAGAATATATGTATAGTGTATTATATTTCAGAATCCGCTGATTTTGAATATTTCGAGACCAACATCTATTCACTTTTGAAGGATGCAAAGAAAAATCATAACGTCGATAAACAACTGAAAGAAGAGCAAGCACAAGCTGATGAGAAAGATGATTTGGATGCAGGTAGGGGTTTTAAGGCGAGCTCTTTTGAGATTGGTTCGATTTCCCGTCTTCACCGCCTCCTTAATCAAATTTGAATTTTCAGATGAAGAAAGCGATGATATTTCAACATCCGATCATAATTTAGACGAAGATGATGATGAAAAACAACCACCATTCACCGAAGAAATCAACAATGCTGTTGAAGCCTCAAACAAAGCCCGAAATGAATTTTATGAATTCAAAAGAAAAGTGACTGATTTGGAGCAAAAAATCAAGTGAGACAAATTACATGAATTTCTTCAGAAAGAAATATTGTTTCAGAGATGCTGAAGAATTATCGAAAATTGACTATGGAGAAGATTTTGCTTGGGCTGCTTTGAATGGAAAATGTTTCGAGAGAAATGTTCAGCAATACACTTATAAGTTCTGTCCATTTGCAACAAATTCGCAAAATGAATATGGATCTGGTGGACCAAGTCTTGGGTGAGGATTTTGAAAAAAAATCGAAATCAGATGATTTTAAAAATATTTCTAGAAAAAATTATCACAAAATTGCATTCATTGTTTTTTTTACACATTGCTCCTGTTTAATATTTTTGTTATTACAGCTCTTTCAATAGTTGGAATGGCCCAGAGAATTCCAAATACACCAGTCAACGATATGATAATGGACAACAATGTTGGAATGGCCCAAAAAGAAGTACCGATGTGAGTTTTATTCCAATTATCATGAGTAGATCTCTTGTTTTTTCGAATTTCTATTAATTAGTCTTCTCTTCTTCTCAACCAAAAATAATAACATATCCGAGTCATAAAACTCATTTAATAATTTCCCCGCTCTTCTTCTTTTTTTCCTATCTATCGAAAAAAAAACATTCGTTTTTGAGGTCGCCATCGAATGTGGAGAAGAACATGAATTAGTTGAAGTAACTGAACCATCAAAATGTGAATATCATTTCGTTTTCCGAACTCCACTCGCTTGTCCGGATCCAGAAACAATTCACGATGAACTTTAAGTTTCTATTTTTCTCCTTTTTCATGTTGAAATTCGAATTCTTTCGTCTAATTGGGGGTATTTTTGGGGGCCTTACTAAAATATTTATTGAAAAATTTCGAAGGTTCTTTTTTTCGTTCTAATTAACAGAACTAGAACAGAAAACTAAAAGATATTCGATTTTTTCTATTTTCCTCCCATTTTAATTTTTTATATAATGTGATTTTTTTTTTGAAAATTTAGGGTGAATAAAACGATATGTGTAAGTTAGAAGTTCGTGCTCGTAAATTGAATCTTGATTTTTTTGGGTGACAATTCAATTTCTTTGAAACTTTTGATTGCAAACAATTTTGTCTTGTGAGAAAGAAAAAGAAGTTGAACATTTTTAAAAGTATTCTACTTTCCTTTTGAACAAAAACTGCCCGAAAACTATAATTTTTAATTATTTCAGTTGCACCAGGGTCCCACTGAAATGACTTTTTCGCACGCAAACTCAAACTCAATTCTAGTTTTTTTTTGCTCTAATTTGTTTTTTTTTTTTGTTAAATTTTTCTAAAGGGAAAGTAGGTTTATAGTTTAATTTTTTTTGAGTTAATTCATAAGAATCGAAAATCATAGAGCTAATTGAATGAAAGCATTTGTTTGGCAGAAAAAACAACCAAATTTTTTGTGTAGTTCAGAACATTTCTCATTTATGCTTTTCTGGGTAAGATTTATCCAAAAACTTTCCTGGAGGCGTTGGAAAACTCACAAATTTATGAAATTTTTGTTGATCTTTCCGATTAGAAATAATTCAAGAAATGAGTTTGGATGTTTTTGGAATGGAATTTTCTTTGAAATAGTTCACGTGAGAAAAATTTTCTAACGAAAAAAAAAACCATTTGAAATTTGGAAAAATTATTCTTTGTGTTTTTTCCAATCAAATGTGTCAAGTTTGATTTTGTCGAACTCGATTTCAATAGAAATTTGAGAAGAGGCGAAAAAGAAGGACGACAATTTGATTTGATTTGGGACCCACATTTGATTTTATTATTTTTTCAGCGTATAAGAAAAAAGGGGGAGGGAGGACAAGAAGAGTTACTACTAGAAATAGATATCACTCTTTTTTTATGACGTTGTTTTTGTTATTTTTATTGTCAATTTCGAAAGAGTTTCAGTAACTTGATATCTTCTCTGAAAACTTGTCAGGTTTTTGACATGTGAAAAAAATCAAGAAGGTGTGATTTTTGCTGCCTAAAAAACAATAATAATAATGATGCTGATCTCGTGACGGAAAATTTGTTTTTTTTTTCAATTTTTCAAAGTGTTGTTTTTTTTTAGAAAAAATTACGGTATTAATTTTCAAAAAATGTCGTTTTTGAAATACAATTCTTGCTCATTTTTTATGAATTCAAAATTTTGAATTTCCAATTCAAAATTAAAAATTCGTTTTGCACTTCATTTTTCTCATTTACTATTCGTTTGTCTCGAATTTTAAGCTACCGTAGTTATTTTTATTTTTCGAAAAAAAATCAGATCAAAACATGCGAAAAAACAAAAACACATTATGAAAATTGGTCGATTCATTTTCAAAATCCCTGATCTCCTCATTCATTCATTCATTCATTCCTGTGAGGCCGGCGAAAAAATCTTGAAAAATACTTGAACGCTTCAATTTTTATAAGTTTTTTCTTGTCTATGTATTCATCGATTTTTGGTTTTTCTCGTCTTTCTCTTTTTTTTCACACCAATCAACACCATTTCAACAAAATGTATGTGGGTCACTATGATTTTTGATGCGTTTTTTTGTGCATTTTCAAACTCATGGCTTTCTGGGTCAATTTTTTGAGAACTGGTTTTTTCCAAAAAAAATTTAAATTTACAGAAGTCCGGAAATTTTAGCCAATTCAGTGCTGGAATTCTAAAATTTTCTGATTTTCACCTTTCCAACTACAGCCTAGAACAGATTATTTTTTTTAGGAGAATCATCATAATCCAAAATCCGAAGAAATTTCGGAAAATCCTTGTTAGTTACGCAATTTTTTTGTTTTTCCAGGTATTTATTCATTCATTTCACACAAATATCTCCTCTTTTCACGTCAAAATTGAATTTGCTTTTTTTTTGAGTTTTGCTCCTTCAAGTTTCAGACTTTTTCTTGAACTGCATTTTTTTCAAATAAAAATGAATAGCCTTTAATTTTCCTGAAAAAAAACTGATTTTCTGGAAACATATTTTTTGAATAGTAAAAATAAGTTGACTGGATAGGCCTAAATTTAGCCTAAGCTAAGCCTAAAAAAATCGTATTTCAAAATTCAGAGAGCCTGTCCTTATGACGTGCCTAGAAAAATTTGAAAAATGCAATTTTACCCTTGTTTATCTACACATTTGAATCAATCAAGTCCCCTTTTATCTCAAAACAATTTTTTGTTGCTTCTTCTCATTTTATTCGTGCATTTTTCAAACCCGAGCAATAATATTATAGCCTTAAGGCAATGAAAGGCGGAGCAATATCCATTTTTTGTTGCTCTCTCGAAATTTCCTGGAAGTGAAAAAGGAAAAAGTCTCACAGTTTTATATTATTCTTTTTAATTTTCGGGGTTTTTTTTCGAACCGAGAGCCAAAAGTTTTATTTCACTTCCAGAAAATATTTCAGATTTCAGATTTGAATAGGGAAAATGACGAATCTGACGGCTGAGGAATTGTTTTTTGAGGAAAATTGTCGACCATGGATGCCCGAATTTTCGAGGTTTGTTTGATAGAATCATTGTGGTGGTTCAAGAAAAAATAGATCATAAGGTACTTTTAAAGAAAAAAAATTTGTTTTAATTTTTCAACTTTCACAGCTCAGGCTCAGGTTTGTTCAAACAGTTCTCTAGATTTCTGAATTGATCCATCAAATCTGAAGTTGAGTTATGACGTGGCAAAATTTAAACGTGATTTTTTGATTTTCCAGGCTAAAAATAACATCAAAAAGATTTTCATTTTAATTAATTTGGAATTCGGAGACCTTTTCACGAAAAATAAATGTTTCCAATTATTTTTGAGGCTTCATAAATTGTCTAACTTTGCCACGTCATAACTCAAAATTGACCGGCGCATTAAAAAAATCTTTAAAAAATTTTTTTTTTCGAAATTCCCATTTTTTCAGAATTCTAATAGTTGGCGTAATTGGAGCTGCAATTGCTCCGGTATCAGTGATTTTCAACATTTTCCTATTTTTTGTACTTTATCGAAATCCACGTCATCGAAATTCTCATCTAATTTACCTCATGTTCCTCGCCATCGCTGATACATTTTTATCAGGTATTTCGATTTTTTTTTAAATTTTTGTTAGAGAAAAAAATTTTTTTTTTCAGCTGCATACGTGTTACTATTTCCTGTAAGTATTTATATGGATTGGTTTGAGATTGAATTATTAGCAATGGCTTGGTTCAGTTATTTGAGAATTATGATCACAATTTCGCATATTTTCATAACAACTTCAGCATTTTTAATTTGTGCCGCGGCATTTGAAAGGTTTGTTCTATGTTATTTTTCTGCATCAAAGTTCAAGCCATTAATTAGTTATTCATTTTTCAAAATTAATTATCATTTGCTTGGTCTTTCATTTTTGAATGATCAATTTTTAGATACATTATGATATCAAAAATATCTTGTCAATTTGCTCGAAATCATCGACTTATCATTATTGTGTCATGTTTGATTATTGCTACAGTAACCAAAGCTCCGATTTATATTGAGAATCAAATTATAAGGAATTTGAATTGTACAGGAGTAACTTATTGGACAGTTACTTCAAATACTTATGGATATGGTTATGATACAATATATAAGGTAGAGAAAAACATAATTTTGAAGGAGAATGTGATTTTATGTACAGCCAAAGCTTGAAGTAGTAAATTGTGTAAATTTTTTTCAGTTCTGGGTTCGTAATGTTGTCACAATCATTCTCCCATTCATAATATGTTTCTACTTGAATTTTGCAATCATGAATCGCCTTCGAATTCAACATGTTGGAGCAAAACTGTTCCGATTCGCTACATCGGAACATCGACAAAATATTCGGGCAGCAACATTGATGTTAGTTGCTGTAACTTGCACATATCTTCTTTCAAATCTACCCAATTTTATCACAAATACTATTGAATTTATTGATAAGGTAGGCTTTTTTTGGCAAATTGCAAATTATTTGAAATGAAAATCATTTCAGGAATATTTGAGCAGCGAAGAACATCGTCCATTTTATACAATTGTCACTGATATGATATCACTTTTGACAGTTTTGGCGAGTGCTTGTCGATTACCGATTTATTTTGTTTGCAATGCGAGAATTCGTTGTGAAATTCTGGACTATTTTGATAATTGTATTCTGATTTATTTCAATGTCAAACCGTATGCAGTGAGTTTTTGATTATATATTTTTCACAGGATTTTCTTAAAGTTTCAGACTGAAAGTACAAAACAACGATGTCGAGCTACAACTGTTCGATATTGTGATACTGGAAACGGATATATGATTTATGATGTGAGTTTTTTCCCGCTTGATCTCTGAAATCAACGTTTCCTAGAAAACTCTCTATCCATATTTTATTTGTTAATCCGAGTTTCAGACAAAAACAGAAGATCCAGTACCTCAACCAGTGGTAAGATGAAATGTTTTTTTTTACTTCTTCTCATGAATTTTTTGTAACCTTGTAGTTGCTTTCTTCTCACTTCTCCTTCTCCATTTTTATGTACCTATTTTGCACAATTTACATATCGTGAATCACGGAAAAGACATGGCCTAAAATTAAAATTTTTAAAACTTCTTGAAATAAAATTTTTCAGCCGCCCAACAAAAAAGGAGAGAGACGAGTTCGATCGGTTGGAACTGGATTGGATCGAGTTGTCTTATCTGTTGCGATGGGAGCAGTGCAATCACATCCGAAAGGGTTAGTAAAAACATCGGCTCTGTTCGGAAACAAAATCTGAGTTTCTAAAAAATTAATATTTTTTAGGAATCATTTATCAGTGCCACTCAATCAAACTTCTTTGTTAATTGAAGAATAACCACGTGTATTTTTATACTTAATTTTGTCTCAAAATAAAATTTTCAAAAAATTTATACATTATTCAATAGAAAATCACAATGACGAGATTGAAAAGAATTTGGCTAGAAAAGAATCAGGAAAACACATTGAACCCAAACAGAAAAATTATGCAAAAAATAAATTTTTTTGTGTAAAGCTATAAACCAATGTGACAGAAAAAAAGATGAATGTGTGGAAGCTCTTGGAATTTCAGAAATAATTTCAGAAAACCGGAAATTTGAAATACTGTACATTTTGTTAGCGACTAGCCAGGCTCATAAGGGACACTTTTGGGGGGAAAATCGAGGAAGATAAAAATTGAATTGGGAAAAAAGGCAGAGTTTGCAAATCGAAACACAACCGGAAAATATTTGTAAAAAAATTAGAAAGAAATGAAAAAAGTGAATTTCAGAATGACCAGATTTTTGTTTTAAGTATTTTAAAAATTATTGATTATCGAATTAATGATGTTGCTGGAGTATTTGCTTTAAAACAAATTTGTAAAGTTCTTCCAGCTAATTGTGTTCCATTTAATGAAATCATTGCATTATATGCTTCAGTATATCCACCCATCGATACAAATCCATAACCTTTACATTTCTGCGTGCTAAAATCTCGAATCAATTTCACATTCACAACCGCTCCAAATGGTGAGAATAATTGCCACAACAATTGATCTTCCGTGTCAGCTCCCAAATTATAAACAAATAAACAATAACCAGCTGTATCAGCGGCTGGAAGAGTTGCTGCAACTGATGCTGATAATGCAGCTAATTGTGCTTGCGCAGCTGTTGCTGGAGGACTACTTGTTTGTTGAACAGCTGCTGCTTGTTGAGCATATAATAATTCGGAAAAATCAGACATTTGAGGTGTTGTTGTTGGGAAACCAGTTAAACCAGCTAAGGCATTTAATTGAGACATCTGAAGAAGTGCTGATGTTGTAAGATAATCAGCTGACAATGCAGCTGTTGGTTGTGCGCTGATTGTAGCTCCCATCGGGGAATATCTGGAATAAAATTTTTAAAACCGGCCGAAATTTTGACCTAATACAAGCTTAGATTTTGTAAAGAAAAAGGTTCCGTTTTTGCCCTTTCTGTTCACATTTTGAAAGAAAAATGGCATCACACATTTCTTAAACCCCATAAAAATCTGAATCTTTTTTTTCTCTCACTAACCTATATTTAGATGCAATTGATGAATGATGAATTGGTCCCAAACCAGAAGCAGCTCTTAATGGAGTCGCTGCAGCAGCTCCAAGAATTGTTGTAAGTGGCACAAGACTTGCTGCTTGTTGCACTGCTTCCAGTTCTTGCAGCACATTTTTCGCTGTGTTACTTGCTGGATTATTCGCGAATTTTACAGTAATCTGTTCTTGACATCCAATTGGAATTGTTCCATTCAATGTTCGAATTGCATTATCAGCCTCTTCTTTTTTATCGAAACGAACAAATCCAACACCTTTCGACAGTCCTGAAACATATGTAATCATTAGATCTTCTGTGATCTGAGAAATTTGTACTTACCTGTAACATTATCTGATAAAATCCTAGATGTAATAATTTGTCCAAACGGAACAAAAATTGCTTCCAGTTCATGAAGTGTCATTGATTTTGGAATTCCGGATACATACAAATTGGAACCTTTTATTTGATCATTTGATGGTCGAGCATAGGATACCTGAATTATTTTGAGGTTTGGAAGAGGAAATAATTTGGGGAAAAATATTTGAGTTTGGTTTTGCCAAGGGAACTTTTTTTGGAAACACTTGAGAGATTAAAAAAAAAAAAAAAATTAACTAATTTTGGCCCAAAACACAATTCTTGAGTGAGTCCAAAAAAAGCGTCCTTCTTTCAAAAATGCTTCAAAAATCAGTAAAACTTTTAAGGTAACTTGAAAATTTTTTGTGCATTAGTTTTTTGCATATCACACGAAAAAAATAAACGGGAATTGAAAACACGTAAAAACAGGAGGAGAAAATAAATGAATAGAAATTAGAACTAAAAAATCGAAAAATAAAAAAAAAATAACCTTGATAGTTTTGTTCTGCAATCGAAGTCCATTGAATGAGCTGACGGCTCGAAGAGCATCTTCTTCTTTCACATAATTAACAAAACCGTAACCAAGGGATTGGCCTGCAAAAAAACACCAAAACAGCCTTGAGAAAAAATTATAGTTGAAGGTGTGTGTAGTAATTGAAATGAAATTAAAAGAAATTAAATAATCAGGGAAAAAATGCTGAAGCGGAAGGAAGACTACTGTAATTGAAACTTAAAATGAAAAAATTCTATAATTCAAAATTTTTGGGTCTGTTTGAAAAATGAAGGGTTTTTTTTTGTAATTTTAAAACCCTTCATTTCCGATCAGAGCCAAAAGAGAAGCAAAAAATCCCCCATTTTTCATTGAAAATTTAATTCAGGACACACACATTTTTCAGACACACGAAATACAATCAAATAAATTGATCAAGTGCAAGTGCATCTATTTTTCCCCCACATTTTTTCGCCCGGAATAATAAGCCGCTATCACATGCTAATCAGAACAAAATAAATATAAAAATTGGAATGTTTTGCAAAAAAAAAATTATCAATAGAATTATTAGAGGAACTTAGAATTATTATTTTCTTTTTAATGAGTTTTAATTAATTGTAAGAAAAATAGAAAAACTCTGAACATACCTGTGATTTTATCTCGAACTAATTTACATGATTCGATTTCTCCAATTGATGTAAATAAAGATCGAACTTCTTCCTGTGTCATTCCTTGTGGCAAATAATTTATGATCAAATTCGTTTTTGATTCACCGATTTCGACATTTGGAGCAGTGCAATATCTTTGTGTTGAAGTATAAGTTGGCTGAAAAACAAGACACATTTTGAATGGGGCTAGAGGAATTGGGATTTAGGACTAATTCCAATGTGATCACCCTGATCTGACCCACCTCTCCCCCGCCAAAAAATTAATTTTTCTATCAAAATATGGTGCTGTTCTAATAGTTCTTTTTCATACATAATTCGGTTGTTTACACCTTTTGTCCTGCCTGCGCTCTTTTCAAATAACACAATTTATAATAGTTAATAATTCATATATTATTTGTTCCATTTTTCCCCCGCCATAGTGACCCGTTTTGTTGCTTGCTCATATAGACAAAAATATACATACGAATATGTATGTTCAAAAATCCATCTATCCAAACTGACATTTCCCTGGGGACTTTTTGTTTGGCATGCGTTTCGAAGAGGAAAAGCGCGCGAAAAATTGTGGAGAATGGCGAAAAAAAAACACTCAAGAGAATTGTATATATGAACACAATTTTGGCGGGTGGTGTGAGAAGTGGAGGTGCAAAATGGAATATTATATTTTTTGGAGGGAGAAGTGGCATTTTTAAATTTTGTTATCAAGAAAAAATTGATTTAAAAAATATTTTTAGTTGATCTTCCTTTTTAAAGTTCAGAGAAATTCAGAAAACTTTCCAGAATTTCAAAAACATTAAATAAGCTTTTGAAAAGTTCAGGAAGATCAGGTTTTTCAGAAGTTTGTTGTGAAAGATATATGTCCCTCTAGAAATTGAAAGATCAGCAGAGGTTCTAGAAAATTAGGAGAAGTTCTGAAAGATCAGAAAACCTTGCATACGACGTTGTTGGTGAATTTTTAAGGTAATTCTTGAAAGCATTTTTTTTAGATCAGGGGAACTTTCCGGTTTTGGGTCAGATTCAGAATTTCTCACAAAAACTCCAAGAATGTGTGATTTTTGAAATGTTTTCCCACAGTCCGACTCCAAATTTTTGCCCAAAAAACAAATCCCCCAAAAAATATACCAACCTGTGAATGTAGAACTACAGTACTCGTTGCTGCCGCATTAGCCATATGATTATTATTAGCAGTCAACATTTGTGGTGCCGCTTCCATCGTCATTTCCTCCTCCACCTCGTGTTTTTTGTTCTTTCTCTCTCTCTATCGAAAAATAATTTTGGCACCGATGAAGAACAACAAAAGGCACCACCCAACAATATTCTCTTTCTCCTTTTTTTTGCTATGCGGTCCTGGAACAAAACAATATTTCTTTCCATATTTGAAAAAACCGAGAAAGAGAGAGAGAGAGAGAAGAGAAATTGGGGCAAAAAATAAAGGGCGGAGCAAAAAAAAACAAGCAAGATAATTAGAGAAATATTCGGTATTTGAATAAAATACTTTTGAAACACAAAAAATCAGCTTTGATTTTGGGCCAGGTTGGGAAATGTCATTTGCATAAACACACTCGACAATGATTGATTACTGTAGTGGTGGAAATGACATATTCATGAAGGTGGCAGGTTTTCAAAATGAAATGAATAAAAGGGTTTTTGTGTTTCAGAGGCCCGCCTCTTTTTCAAAATAACAAAATTCTAGACCTAAATTGATTTCAGATCAAAGTTTGAATTGGAATTTGGGTTGAGATTGGGTACAAAAATAATCCGACGAGTTCATTTGAAAACCAATTATTGACGATTCAACAAAACAAAAATTTAGAGTTTTTTTGAAGAATATGCTTGAAAATTAGAATCTCCAGACAGTCATGTTTGACAATTGAAATTTCTAGGCACGGTTACTTGACAACTAGAACTTCTAGGGGCGACTACTTGGTCAGAAGCTCCCAAGACGCAGCCCTTTGCTAGAATGGAATTCTAGATGTGAGTTCTAGACATTGAGGTTTTTAAGGTGCAGCTACTTGAGCACTAGATTTTCTAGGCGCTGATGGTACGACCAATTTTTTTACAGAAACTTCATTTCTGCAAATCTTCTTGAGAATGAACTAATCAAAAATATTCTTAACTTTTGAACGCTGGTTAAAACTCACTTGGTCTAACTTAATTTTTTTACAAAAAATAAATAAAAGCAAATTACCATGAATAAGTATAGAATAGGATTATTATTGTATTTCGATTCGATTTGAAACACACACAGTTCTGACTTGATCACCCAAAAACAAGTCTATCTGCCTGTCATTCATTCATATTTTTTGGTTTAAAAATATTATTGGCGCGCACGGCGGACGAGGCAAAATACTAACAAAAACTAATGAGATTTTTTTGCAGTATTCACTATTTTTTGTTCAGAAATGAAAAGAGAAAACAAAATAGGCAGAGCCAGTCAAAAAATATGGCTGGTATAGGAAAAAATGGAAGAAGGAAAACGGAAAGAAGAAGGAGGATAGAAGAATTAATGAAGAGATCGAATAGAGGCATCACAAAATATATAGATATATTGAGTTGACTAGAATAAATCGAGAACAGGTGACAAAACATTGAAAAATTGAACAAATATAAGTGACCTGGTTTTGGGAGGGAAAAGGGTGGAAATGAAATGGGATGGGATGAGGGTGGAAATAAATACAGGAAATTAGAAATATTGGAGTTATCCTGGATATTTTTGGTAATTTATATTAAATCACAGGGTCACTAGGTTCTCTAGATTCTCAAATGAACGTGTTAGACACGCAGAGTTTTCCGTAACGGAAAAAAACCCACTGTCACGTAGATTTTCCAAAGGTGCCATAAGAAAATACAAAGATTATGTTGGTCCGAACAATTTTCTTTTTATTTTTTTTGTTGAAAAAAATTCTTCCTGCTATTATTCGCAACAATTCTACCTATTCTATGCACTTTTTCTCCCAAAAAAATTTTTTTTTCATTTCTTCTTGCAACTAAAAATTTCAAGAAACGATGCAAAATTCAAAATTCAGGAAAATAAAAACAACGCAAAATCACACGGATCGGTAATTGCCTTTTCGAAAAAAAAACAAACAACACGGAAAAAATAAGATGGCGAAAATAGTAATTTCAGATTTGATATTCTGAAAGGGATTCGGAAAAAATTAGAATTAGAGCAGGAATCCAAGCGTTTTTTTGATTTTTTGTAGAAAATTCCGAAAACTTCAGAGCCTAGGAGTTAGCCTAAACAGCAGTACATTGCGGGAAGATTAGCCAGGGCCCAAAATTTTCAGAAAATCCTAAGTCAAAGTGTAAAAACAGTTCTCCCATCTAAAAAAAATGTTCAATTGATTATGAATGAATGAAAAAATATATGCCGGCACGAGTCGAATGAATAGACTCAATTATATTCATTCTGACCTCCAGGGGAGGGACTCACTCAGGTAAATTAGCCGTATTCATAGATCACAAGCAAAATGGGAGAGTGCGAGAGAAGACGAATTGTATATCGAATACAGTAGATAGAATACGGTCGCTAATTGAGTGTGGGTCTCTTTTTTCCTCCCTTTTCTATTTGTTGTTATTCGAAAAATGGGCGAAAATTGAGGTGAGAATACATATGTTGACATTATTATTTATGTTGTATTCTCGACACTAGAAAGGTGTGTGTGTCTATGAGAAAGGTATATAAATAAAGAAGTGGAAGGAGGAGAAAATGGTATTTTTGAGGTTTTGGGGGGAATTTGATACTAACAGGGGAATCAAAAACAAAACTCGCAATGTTAAAGCTAAAATGAGCAATGTTCACTCGCTGGATCGAACTTGGAACATTTCAATTGGCAGCCAAACCTCTTCACACCAACAAATTTTTGAATTCTGTTGCTGATTTTTTTATTTAGTAGAAAAATTGATAAATTCGAGATAAAAGTCAATTTTGTGCCAAAATTCTGAACCTTTATTTTTGAAACTTTTGAAAAAATATGCAAAAATATCTACAGAAAAAGGAATCTCGAAAACTACAGGCTTCGAAAAAATTACAACCTTGTAATTTTCAGAAAAAATCGATTTCAGGGTATAATTAGGTAGGTGAGGTTTTGTTTTTCTTTGTTTTTTCTCTCAAAAACAACCAACAAAAACTACTGTATCTAAAAATCTCGCGCACCTGCCAAATTACTGTCAAAAAAGATAACCATCATATTCGGAAATCCATTAAAAACCCGAATCCAAAACCATAAAAATTATTGTTTATAATTACTCGATTCCCCTGGTTGTCTCTGCGTCTCTTTGTCTCCCGCAAAAATATGGAAATCATATTAATAATTTTATACGGTATGTGTATGTATAATAAACATAAATCTGGTATACTTTGAACAAAAAGAGGAAAAACCGGATTTGAAACATTTTTGGAATGACCTTGGATTTATAGAAAAGGGGAATATTTTCAGAGAACCTCGAATGGGATTTCTAGAAGTTAGCCTAAGTCAAAACTCCAAGAATTTCTAGATTTTTGCGCCTAAAAATGGAACCCAAAAAGGAACACTCGAATATTTATAATGGTCCCGGAGCCGCCAAAAAAGGACAAAAGACAAAAAAGAAGAGTGAATGAGCGAGAGAGGATTATGTAGTATTAACGAAAAAAAAAGGACCGCCACACATGAGAAAAGAAAATTAGCAGCACGGAATGTTTCACTCGAAATGAGCAAAATTATATACAATCCAAGAGCAATCCATCAAAAAACACGGACCTCAAGAAAACAAATTCAATTGTTAACTGCAAAATAGAGTGTTTGGAAAACAGTGTGACTATGGAAACCGAATAAAATAATAAATATATGAAAATATGTATAAATAAAATAATAGAAAAAAAAGTGAGGAAGGAAGAGAGAGAGAGTGAAAATAATAAGAGGATTAGAGAGAGACAACGGCGGGACATGACTGAATAATAACTTGTCTGAAACTTGGGTGTCTTTGGTAGATCACCCAAAAAATTTTACGAAATTTTCGAGACTTGGCACAAAATTGTGGGTGAGACAAAAAAAACGTGAGAGATTTAGAAAAAAAATTTTTTGATCTACCAAAAAAGCTTGAGGCCTACATAGAGATTTGAGGTAAGTAAATTACAGAAACATATTCTGGAAAAAAGCTTCTCTAGGCTCTCTAGCGAAAATATTTTTGATCTACCTAAAAAGTTTTGGCAAGACCTTCAACGGTAAGTCTTCGATTTTTAGTATAGTTATGACTTTTCAAAAAAAAAAGACAATTGCAAAAGTGAAAAAGAATTGAAAATTAGAGAAAAAAGGGGGCTTGTTCTTATCCATTATTCACTGGACATGTTTGTCTCCTTCGCCCTCTTCTTCTCCATCTCGGGTTCTTTTTTTTTGTCTTTTTTGCGGTTCACTTAATTTGACTAGTAGAAAAAAGAAGAAGAAGAAGCCAAGTGTATTTAGATCAACATTATTTATTATATTAGAAGATATACGGTAGGCAGGCAGGCAAACTGACAAAAAAGGAAGAATGGAGAGAAGAGGTTTCATGAATTTGTTATTTGTTTAGGATATGAAGCGAGAGGAACCTTTTTTGTCAGAAAAAATTGTCTTTGTTCAGTTTTTGTGAACTGGAAAAGGTGAATTGGTTGGTGGGTTTGGGTGGACACTTGTACAAAATTAGTTCCCAGTATAGAAAAATGTTTCAATAAAACCCCTAAACCATTATGTATTTCTCGATTTCAAAGAGGTCAATCAACAAAAAGGTTTCAGATTTCAATTTCAATAATGCAAAAGAGTTCAGAAGTAGGTTTTTCAATAGCACAAAAGGGAAAAATGAGAGTACGCATAATTTACATAATTATACACATATAAATATAGTGAGAGACGAAGAGACGCAGAGAAAAAGAGAGACGAAAAAAGATTCGAAAAATGACGGATGTGTGTGAAGAAGAACTGAAAAAGAAGAAGAAGAAGACAACAAAATCAACCAAAACCAACTGGAATCTATCTTTTTCATGTTTATGTTAATTTTTTAATGTTCATTTTCATTTTCGTTTAGAAAAGCCACAATTGTTTCAGTCTTTAATTTCGTGTGTAACTTTTTTTTAATTTCCGAAAAAAAAATTTGAAAAAATCCAAATAATGAAATGATTTCTTTAGATGTTACTGGCAATATTTGCGCAACTGCGGAAAAAAATAATAAAAAAATAATGAAAAAAATATAGTGAAAAAAATTGCGTTTTGCCTGAATGAACATGAAAGATTTATATAATTGTATGGAGAGGAAATGTTTGAATATTTTGGAAAAAAAGAAGAAACAAAACAGAAAAGGAAGAGAATAGATAGAGGGAAAAGAGCAATCCTGACCAATGGGTCTTTTGGGAAAACGGGTCGCGCAAAGGTCGAATTTCACACAAAATAAAAGAAACGGAAAAGAAATATTGAAATCTGAGAATCTTGAATTGCGTAAAACCACCAAAACATTTCTCTTTATTTATTTCTTCCTTCTTTCATAATGGTATAGTCACGAAATCAAATTTATCCACAAAATTTTACACATTTTTAAGACAACCTGTTCTTTTCTGGCAAATGTAACCTACATAGAAATCGATATTATTTGTACACAGCACAAAAGGCAAACATGTAGAAATGAAGGCAATTTTTCCTATTGCAAAATTTAGCCAATTCTCTCCAATTCCCCATTCTCAACATACTTCAAAAGAAAATATGTATTTCCAAAAATGAAAAAAATTTCGACCACGGCAGGACTCGAACCTGCAATCCCCAGATTCGAAGTCTGGTGCCTTATCCATTAGGCCACGCGGCCACATGGAAAACACATCAAAATTTTGCAAACTATCTGAGAGTTGAGAGATAGGGAAAAGGTGTTTGCCGAAGGTTGGAAAAAACAAAACAACAAGAAAAAAGTGTGAAGTACCTGTCTTTTTTTGAACATAAGTGGACATATAAGTGGTATTGGAATAAAACATCGAATAAAATAAAATAAAAACGGAATGAATTGAAAATGACAGAAAAGGGAGTAGATTAGAGTGGAACGGTACAGATTTATGAGGGAAATTCGAAACAGAAAAAAAATAATTACCATGGGAAAATGTTGAAATCACAGTACTCCATAGCTTCAAAGCTTTCTGAAGTTGTGAAAAATAAAAGTTAAGATTTTCTAGTTAAAAGTAGGTCACAAAAACCAGACCAAAATAAGAGAAGACAAAAAGATAATCAGGAAAAATTAGGTCAAACTTTTTTCGAAATCATTTGTTTTTGCTTTCAAAAATGAACAGTTTTTGGAATTTTTTTTCGAAAATAAAATTGTTCAAAAACACGCAAAGCTTCACATAATGAAGAAATCGTAAAAAACACAAAACTTCAATTAATTTTCTGTACATCTTTTGTTTTTTTGGCTGGCGGCGGGAAACAAAAAAAGACAATTGGGAACAACACGAAATGTCCGGAAAGTCGCGCCTTTTTTTGAATTGAAATTACTTTTTCAATTTTTGTTTTTTTTTTGTTTAGATTAGCAAATCAAAAAATCAGACAAATTTTGAATAGGAACCGATGTTGATTGTTGTACAGCTTCTCTAGACTCTCTTTATTCTCTATCTTTTCCAGGTTCTCTAGTTTCTCTAACTCTCTCTATGTTCTCTAGCTTCCAGAAAATCATGAAAATATTTGTATACTATTTCTGTCTTTCAGTCCAGGTGTTTGAAATTGATGATCTAGGAAATGAAAAAAAAACTTTCCAGATGTTTTCAGATGAAAAGAAAGATTTGAACACCAGAAAACTAAAAAAGCGGACCATCGAAGAATGTTTATAAATTCGACAAAAAGAAAAATAATAAACAAAACAAATGAATAATAATAATAATATTCAGATCAGAAGAGAAAGAAGGCGAGAATTTGTGCCACCCGTAGACTTTTTCTCCATCAATCGTGGCTATTCTTTGCACAAATGGAAACTGTGTTGAGAGAGTTCGAGAAATTCAGAGAGTGAAAAGAAAGACGATCAGTTACACAAACAAAAAAAAAGAAGAAGATGTATATTTTTGGGATTTATATAGAAAATGTTATTGACGAAACAACTATTATTAAAAGTATCAAATTTCATAATTTTTGTATGGTATGAAGTTTTTAGGGTGAATTTTAATGTTACTTTAGCTTGAGGTATAAAAAATTCTGAAAGAAGTTCCTGATTCAGAACATGTCAAAAAAATTGAGAAATTTTTCAAAAATTATTTTTTGAACTTGAATTTTCAAATAAATTTCAGCCAAATTTTCTGAGAATATTGAATTCTCAAGTTTTCAACCAATTATTTTTTGGTTTGTAAGCTAAAAAATAGTGAAGAAAATGTTTTTCAACCCTAAGAATTTAGTTTTCAAACCTTAATTACTGTGAAAATAACCTCCAAATTTCATTAAATTCACAAAATCTGCTAAAGAACTCAAAATCAGCATAAAATTTCATAAAAGAACCCTTCGATTTTGAAAAAACACTGAAAACATTAAAAAAATGAAGAAACTGCTGTCAAATAAAAAAAGTGGGCGGAGTCTGCCGAAATGAAAAAGATAGAGAGGCGCACAACCCGTCAAACGTCGGCAAGCGCAGAGAACAACCTTTGGGAGAGAAGAAAAAATGAATAGGCCTGTGATCGATGTTATCCCTGTATGAGAGGAATGAATATAAAGTCACTATCTCTGAGGCTTCACTAAACTTTTGGATAAAGAACAACTCTTCGAGGAAGATGAACAGATTTTTGATTATTTGATGTGAGATCATCAGTCATTTCAAATCAAGAGAGAGGAAAGAAAAACATCGTATATAATATTTTTTTTTGAAAGAATAACTGAACGAAAAATGATCTGCACTAGCGTCTAAGTCTCACTCACTTCACTGATATTTTGTTGAAACTAGGCTCTCTGTTTTTCTTCCTTTATAATAGCAGCTGTTTAACTCTTTCAGGTTTTGGCTATTATATTTTATTAGTATATACATACATTCTTAAAGTTCAGGTGTTCCTATTTTTTGTAAATACTAAAATGATCTTAAACCTATAATAATAATATCTCAGCCTCATAATCTCTCATTTTTCAAACTCAAAAAAAAGTGACAGCCGACTATTAAAAAGGAACCCTTTCAGCCCACAAAGAAGTGTAATAAAAGTAGTTTCGAACAAAAAAAATGAAAAGAGATGAGTTTCAGGTTTCGATGGAAAAGAGAAAATCAAAGTTCCTTCCAGAAAAAATGTCATTCATTTTTCCGGTTTTCGGTCACACTTTAATTTGATGGCAGTTGAAAAAAAAAACTAAAGAAAAAAGTAAATCGTTAAAAATAAATTGGCGGAGTGTTTTGACCTTGTTTGATTATGTTTTTAGTTAGTTTAACACTTTTTGAGAGGCATCGATAAGTGCCATAAAATTGAATCAAAAAAACACAATTTGGAAGTAATAGAATCAGAAATTAGAAATACAGTACCCCGTGAACTAAAACCCCAGAACTCACAAATATCGCTTCTCTTCACATCGACGAATTATTTAGTTGAATGAAAACAATCAAGAAATGAGCATTGAACACGATACCGCTGAATTAAAAAAAATTAAACGTGAAAATTCTTTTGCAGATTTTTCATACATCGAATACTACGCGCAAAGACTTACTGTACTTCTCGGGGAAAATGTGAGGGGAGTCTGAGAAGATTCTGATGAGCAACCCCGGGAACTCGGAGATTTGAACCTTTGAAAACCAAAGATTTCCACAAAAGATCAAAGGAGCTGACAAATTCTAGGTTTTAAAAAAAAATTTTAGAAAAAAATCCAGGATTTTTTTAAAAGAAAATTCAGAACAAAATTTAGTTTTTTGAAGCTTCTCGGATTGAAAAAAATCAAAATTACTTCTCTACTTCCAAGTTATTCAAAAATCTATTTATGAAACTCGTAAAACTCAAAACTCGATAAAAATGGGAGAAAAATAAAAAGAACCAAGCAATTATAGTCGACCTCCATGGAATTTTGTTGTTTTTACGATTTTCAAAAAGACATTGAGAAAATTGGAGAGACGCAGATGATAATTACTACTTTTTCATAGAGGCAAAAACGAAAAACAGGCAGATTTTTTGGTTATTTTATGTTAGTTTTCATTTTGAAATCACAAATTAACAAATGACAAAAAACCACAATAAATGTCGAGATGAAAAAGGAAAGAAGAAGAAGAAAATGAAAAAGAAACAAGACAAATCAGACCGGTTTTTTGATTTGTCCCAATATTTTGAAGGGGTAACAAAAAATATTCAGAACATTTATTTTTGGAAAAAAATAAGTTGGAAAAAGTATTGGGAAAAAATGAAAATGAGAAGTAAAATAAAAAAAATTAACATTTCGCGCACTGATTTTTAGGTAGATCAAATATGAAGAAAAATGTTTTTTTGTCGGTGTAGAACATTTTTTCCAAAAAAAAAAAAACAAAATGATGAAAAAGCATTGGGAGAAAATGAAATTTGATACCTAGGACAACAAAAAACTCAAATAAAAATACATCTCACGTTTTTTGAAATGACGAGAAAAATTGATTCATTTTTAGATTTTTGTGATTTATCAATTCGACTCGTTACTCGAAAATAATTATTGAAAAATGTCAAGTACAAAAAATGTTGATGACGAATATGTTTATCAAGGAATTCCGACTTATTGGTGATTTTTTGGGAATAAAATGGGATACTGAGATCATCTTTGCTATGAAGAATTTTTTTTAAAAAGCTGAAAATTCAATTAGGATTCAAAACTAATTTAGGTTCAGGCTTAGACTTCATGAACTTCCAGGTTCATCGTGATAGAAGTTGCATATCTAATTGTTTGTGTTGTGGCTGCAGTTGTTATTCGAAAACTAAAATTCATGAAAACTGACGAAGATGCTGTAACTTCACACCATCGATTCCATGATGCTCGAATCAAGAAACAAGAAGAGAATTTGATCGAGGCACAAAAAGGTCAGGAAAATTTCTTGAAAGGAAGTCCGCAAGTTAAATCGAATGTTTGATTGATATAAATAAATTAATTTTGAGCTTTTGATTTTGGGTTGGACTTCAAAGAAAAACCATTAGTCGGAAAATGTTCAAAGCCTAGAAATTATTTTTTTCAATCCCTAACAGAGTCCTGTTCTCAGATTTACTTGAAAAGTAATTAACAATAAGCAGCTGAAAAACAGGGTGTTCTTGAATCGAGTCACAATCGAGATAATTGAGATATTTGGTTGTTTAGCAGCTGATTTGATTTCTCAAAAAAAATACGTGTTTTGCATTTTGCGGAAGGAATTTTATATTCTTTTGATTTTTCGATTTTCCAAACAAAATGATTAATTTTGAAATTTATGACTATATCGAAATGGGATTCATGACTATTGTTATTCTATCTTTACCAATTTATATTTTCATCTCATATGCTTTGTTGACTGAAAGGTAATAAAGTTCTAATCACAGGTTTTCTTGAGAATAAATTTCAGGAAAAAAGTTTTTTGCTCATCATTCTACAAAATTCTGTCTCTTCTAACTTGCCTTGATATAATTGCCTGTATGGTAAACATTTTCAGTATGTTAGAATTCAGAATTCCTTTTCTCACACCAGTTAATAATATTTTTATAGCTCTAACAATACCTGATACATTTTTTCCAACTTTAACAAAAGAAACAATTTGTGGGAAACTATATTTGGGATTTTCATGGTTTTTAAGATTAGGTCAAGGAACGACTGGCTCATTTTTAGCGATGAATCGAGCATCAGCCATTCTTTTTCCATTGAAATATAAACAGGTACAGTAATCCCGAAACATTGTAAACAATGCATTTTTGAAGTTTTGGTCTGATAGATTTGGATTTTATGCAAAAACTTTTACAATTCTTGGATATCCATTCTTGATTCTCATATTTTTGGCAGATGTTGAATATGTCACAGATCCAGTATCTATGGTCAGCTTTCCGGAAAAAATCTAACCAAAAACCATATTTTCCAGAAAATATTCCCAAACATTGCTCATGATAAAGTTAGATATTGGATATTTTTATTTGGCGCATTCTTCGATGCATTATCAATTAGTTTAATTATCCTCGCATATATAAAAACAGTTTTGAAACTTAAGAAATTAAAAGATAACAAGATGATTTCGAGTTCAAGCTCAAATTCAAAATTGAAAACAAAATCGAAAATCGAAGAAAATATGGCATCTCGAATTGCTATGATTGTTTGTTGCGGCGAAATTTTATATTTTCTATTTCTTGGTGTCAGTTCAATGTTTGAAATGACGACAAAAATATTTTATTTAATATTTTCTCCATTATCCTATACTTATTCAATTCTGAATTGTTATATTTTATTTTTCTTTTGTTCGCCAATCAGAAATTCAATTTTAAGGAAACCGGAAGAAGTTCACAAGAGATCAACAGTTTTGGCTATATGAAAATATTTACACGTTGAGCACGAGACCACGTGGCGTGGTTTTTCAGAAATCCATTTCCGATCTTAGACTAAAGATTCTCACGAAAATTTGTTAATTATTATTTTGCTCGTTTTGTTTTCTTCCAAAAATAAAACATATAATTGAATGAGTACTGTCAGATTCTTTGTCTTGTGACTAATTCTAAAATGTTTTTTTTTCATTTCTTGGAACATATAATCAGAACTTGAAGGAACAGCTGAATAATTTCCAGAAAATCTGCTCTTTTAATTTTTTTTTCCATTTTCCCCTCACTTTCTTTTGAATAATGATTAAAATGGATTTGTATGATAATATTGAACTGATTTTTATGGCATTTGCAATCGCAACAATTCCAATTTATTGTTATATTTCATTTGTATTATTAGCGGAAAGGTGAATGAGACAAAAAAATGTGGAAAAAACTTGCCCGGATTTCAGGAAAAAAGTATTTTCTTCATCATTTTATAAACTTTTTTCATTATTAACTTGTTTCGATATACTTTCATGTTTTTGCATGATTTCAAGTAAGCTAAAAAGTTTTTTTTCGTAAAATCGTGACCAATCCAATTGTTTCAGCCATGACAATTCCAAGTATATTTTTCCCAGATGAAATAAAAGATACAGTACTTGCGAAAATATTCACCGGGCTTTTGCTGTTTTTGAGAACTGGACAAGGGACTGCAACAACTTATATTGCTGTGAATCGAGCTACTGTATTCATATTCCCATTGAAGTATATTAAAATTTGGCCGAAAAGGTTTATATTTTATATTTTAATATTTCCCTGTTTCGGATTACCGTTTCTTTTTGGAATTTTTTATGCAGATATCAATTATATTGTTGAACCAATATCTGGTGTAAGTTTGGAAAATATTTTGAGAATCCACATTCAGATGTTTTAATCTTCAGAGACCATTTCCAAACTTCATTGACACAAATATTCGAGATATTCTATTTATGATAGCTCTCGTCATGGAATTCTATTCACTCGTTGTTATATTTCTCGCATATATTCTAGTCGTAGTTAAATTGCGAAAAATCGGCAAGCAATTATATTCTAATCAAAAAACAGAGGAAAACACATCAACCCGAATTGCGATTATAGTTTGCTGTTGTGAAATAATTTATTTCATATTTCTCGGACTATGCCCAATATTTGCGATTTCAACGAAGACTTTTTACGCATTCATCAATCCTGTTACCTATGTTTATTCAACAATTAATTGTTTTGTTCTTCTTTTATTTTGCCCGCCAATTCGAGATCTCTGGAAACCAATCAAAATCAAAAATGTGACTACGATAACATTATGAATTTATGTCGGAATAAATTCTATTAATTTATTTCTGGCTTTGCATTTCATTTTATTTATTGCTTGCTCATAAGAAATAATGACTGCCAAGTTTCAATTTTATGAATACATTCAACTTGGATTCTCAACAATTGCATTGGTCACACTTCCACTTTATATAAGTATTTCATATTTGATATATTCGAAGAGGTATGTTTTCGTCCATGAGATTGCAAGAAATTTGAGATTTTTATAGAAAAACATCATTCAAAACGACGTTCTATAAACTTCTGCTAGTTCTCACATTTTGTGACATTCTTTCGTGCCTTTGTAATGTTTTTGGTAAGTTTTTTAGAAGATTTTTCAGGATTCTACCTCATATTGTTCTCAAAAAACTTGCAGTTTCAAAACTATCGAAAAGTTTCGAGCAAAAATTACAAATTCCATGGATTTTCTAAAAATCTTTGTTTTTAGGAGCCTCATTTCCATTCCTATTTTTCTCCCGTCAAATTTCGGAACTTGGAACAATGTGGGGCCGAGTATATTTATCATTATCTTGGTGCATTCGAGCATCTCAAGGTTTCTCTGGAACATTATTGGCAATAAATCGAGCGACAGCAATTGTTTATCCAATTATATACAAAAAAGTGAGCCAACAATCTTTCAATTCACAGTTTTAGAATAAATATGTGAGTAATTGAGTTCAGATTTGGCCAAACAATCAATTTACTTATTTATTGTTTTGCACATTTCCTGGATATCCATTTCTTTTTGTTATTTGGTTTGCAGATATTGAATATGTCAAAGATCAAGAATCTGATGTATGTTTCTTTCTTTCGTGATACATTTATTTAACTGATTCTGATTTTCAAAAATTTTAAAGAGAATTTACCCGAATATTGCAAATGATCAAGTGAGAAATGGAATGTTTGGATTTGGTGCATTGCTAGATGTCATATCAATATTCATAATAATCATATCATATTTCATAACACTTCGAGCAATTCGAAAACTTCGTCGAAAAACGAGTGTCGAATCAACGCGAATGAAAAATGGCGAGCATTCGGCAACTCGAATTGCAATGATAATTTGCGTTTGTGAGATTTTATATTTCATTTTTCTTGGAATCTGTTCAAGTATGAATTTGCCAACAAGAGTGTTTTATGCAATATTTTCACCATTGACTGATATTTATTCCATGTTGAATTGTTATGTTCTTATCGCTTTTTGTCCGCCAATCAGAAATGGATTGAGGTAATTAACCGGATATTGAGATTCAGAATATTAAATCGATGTTCATTTTCCAGAAAAAAGAAGAGTGTTATTTCATTTGATGATAATCTAACATTTCGCAAAATAACCACTATTCCAGCTGTTGAATAATTCTTCAGATGCAAAATGCTATAATAGATTTTGAATAGATTCTTCCTGATTTTCCGCCGGTAATTTTGGTTTTGTATTGATTCGATAAACTGTTTTTGCAATCGGATCCGACATATGAACAGATAATTCATGTTTTCGTAGAGCCGAGCTGAATAAAAATTATTTGTGATAAACTTCTAATTTTCTAACAAGATATTTAGAAGTCGGATTTGACCATGAAAAAAAATTTCGAATGAGAATTCCAAAGATTCCCCCATTCTCAAAATTAGTCACTCACTTATCTCTGAACTTTTTCGCACAAACTTCACATTTATATGGCAACTCGTGTGTATGCGATCGTATATGAGCAGTAAGTGCTTGAGATTGTGCAAATCCTTTACTACAATAACCACAAGTGAATGGTTTTTCTCCAGTATGTATTCTTTCGTGGATAACCATGTCTTTTTTATGATGAAATCTTCGAGAACAATAACTACATCGAAATCTTGCTGGCAGACCATTTGGTAGAATCTCATCGTTGTATTCAGAAGTGCATGTGTTCTGAAATCCGGTGTTTTTTTTTAAATCAACAGCTTTATAATAATCAACTCACTGAATGATTGCTCAATAATTCTCGCGTTCTGAAAAACCTCGAACAATTTGGACATTGAAATCGAACAGTATGCATTTTTCGATGTAAATTTCTGCTTTCAATTTTCGAAAATGTTTTTGAACAAAAATCACAAGCATAAACAGGTCGAAGTAATGCTGAAATCAAAAAATTATTGGAATTTCGCAAATAAACTAATTTACCGTGATCTTTTAAATGCATTGTCATTGATGATTTATTGGCAAACTTCATTCCACAACTAAAACAAGCAAAAGGGCGAGCATCAACATGAACTTCTCTCATATGTCTTTGCCAAACTTCAGGATTACCGAAATATGTTTTACAATTTGTACATACATAAAGACCGGCTAGTGATTTCGGTTCAGTAATTGGTTCAGGATCTGTTAACCAGCTCGGCTCTGGATTATCTGAAAATATAGTTTTGTTATGGAGATTTGAGGCTCACTGAAACACTAACCTATTTTATCCGGACCTTCCGGTGCTTCACTTGCATTTATAACTTTGAATTTCAACACTTTTTGACCGATCCTGATTGACATTCTGTGAAGTGGAACAGGTTGACGGAAATCTTGAGAAATCGGAGCATTTGACGTTGAAGGCTCACAAATCACTTCTTGATCATAGTGAATAACACTCTGAAATCATTTTGAAAAATTATTATTTGTTCAAATTCCTAACTTACTTCGCCTAACAAATCTCCTTCTAAAATATTTCCGCTCAAATCAATTTTTGCATTCGGTAGTTGTTCTCTTGAAATTGTTGCAGTTTTTTGAACTCCACTCGGTGTTTTGAAACATTTTGTATCGGTCAACTCAAATCCAATATGTCGTGGCGGTTGCCAATCTGTGAAAAAGAATGATAGTTTTTACTTTCTTCCAAATTTTCTGTATTTTAATTCTCACCTCCTTCAGTTGTTGTACATTCTTCATAAACATCGACATTGAGAGAAGGATCCATTCTCTGAAAAAATAGAAATCAATTTCAGGATTGTACGCAGACAACGAGGGCAAGATGAAGCTGAAGGCAAGACAAACAAAACACAAAAATAAAAATCATTTTTTTGAAAACGCGGGTGTGCAAGTTGACGTCACCGTGTTTGCAGATAAAAATGTTCTTTTCTTTTTTTCAAAAACGTTTTTCCGTTTTTTTCCAGCCGAAAGAAAAAAGATGGTTGCTGTTGAAACGGTCTCTGAAGGTCTCAGAAAATTAGATGTGAACGGCAAACCTATCAGAAAAGTTGCTGGAAATGCGAGAGTTGTTTTGGGAGACATTACACCCCATAATATATTGGTGAGTCAGATTAATTTTTTTTCGATTTTGTTGCTAAAATTTAATTTTTTCAGCAACTTAAAGCATTGCACAATGCGATTTTCCCGTTCAACTACAACGACAAATTCTACACCGAGGTTGGTTAAAATACTTTTATTGATAACAAAAAATATCGATTTCGAAATAGAAATTGAAAACGATTATTTCTAGGTTAGAGGATCTGGAGAGCTCACAAGACTAGCATATTTCAATGATGTTGTTGTTGGTGCTGTTACTTGTAGAATTAACAATTCAACCGACAAAAAGTCGTTGTATATTATGACTTTCGGTGTTCTGCCAGTTTACAGACAGTGAGTTGAATAATCTTATTCCTATTCATACCCAAGATCATTTTCAGGTTTGGAATTGGCACCGAATTGATCAATTACACTCTTCAATTGGCTGAAAAAGACGAGTCGATCAAAACTATCAGTCTTCACGTTCATGTATGTTTTCTTTCTTTTCAGTTTTTGTTTGTTATTAAAAATTTTTCCAAATCACAAAAAGACAATACTATCTAGATATGAAGCAAACTCCTTTTCAGATAGACAATCAACTCGCATTGAATTTCTACAAAAAGCATGGTTTTGAGCAACAAGAATTAGTCGAAAACTATTATGAATTGCTTCCATCAATCGACATGAAACACGAGGCGTATTCACTTGTCAAAAAAATTCGAGATTAGATGAATGTTATTATGAAAATGTGAATGTGAGCTTTTTGTTCTTTTTTACAGAAAAAATTATTCTAAAACATACGTAAAAAGCAGTTGGTTAACTCAGAAAACGTCTCGTCAACCGTCCGCGAGCCGGCAGACGGCCGTCGAATTCTGATACTAATTTGTCAGTTTGCTAGCTCGCAGACAGCGCCTGCTAGGTTCTGCCAGCTAGCAACCTCGCGGCGAGCTGTCGAAATGCCTCTGCTAGCTTTCGACAGCTCGCAACCTCGCGGACGGCTGACGAGACGTTTTCTGAGAAAGAAGAAAAGACAATTCGTGTTTACGATAAACAACAGGCAGGCGGAGTTTCGTTGATATTTTTGACAATAAACAACCAAAAATGTAACAAACACAACAAACCTGAATAGACACAATTTATGAACTTTCAATAACTGATGTCAGTGAAGATTCGTCTTTTTCTGAAATCAGTGATATCCTTAATTGTTCCATACTTTCTTTAACATTTTCAAGTATTTGTTGATCATCATCCAATGTACAATTCTCACAAATCGGACCAGTTTCTCTCAATATTTTCTTGATAATTTTTCTCCGGTCATCTTCCTTATCTGGAATACACCAACCAAGTTTGAGAATAACAAATGTTTCAAAAAATGAAGTGAACACTTTGATCCATGAAAATAGGAATAAAATTATGTTATCTGAAAGTTGAATTTGATCTAGAGCATTTGAATAGAAGAGGACAAACCTAGCTGATAGCTTTGTTTTGGCTCAAGAACAATAACTAATCGGACATAGAAAAGAACAAAATCCCAAAGCGCATTGGAAATCGAAAAAATCGATATAAATGTGAACATTGTTTTTGATTGACAAGCAACAGCAAGTAGATACAGCAAAACCCATAATATCTTTAAAAAAAGGAGAAAACATTTCAGGATACTTTTTAGGATAGATGTTTCTTACACTACTAAAGCCACTCTCACTTGGTTGATTGTCAGTTGATCTGAAACATCAAGAACTATGAAAAAGATTATTTGTTGATAGAAACTCACACAAATTTATAAAATACTAAAGTAGTTATTCCAATTATTAATTCATTGAAAGCGAAGAATAATATCCATAACTATAAAAAAACAATGGATTTTATCTGTAATATCAATATAGAAGAAAACCAACTTCTGTTCTAACTCCGAAAATTTTGACTCGAATATTTGCATCATCTCTACCTGCAACCCGCCGATTCTGTTTGTCCATTTGATAAAAAATGATCAGTTTTAAAATTTTTGAGAAAAAAATCGAAAAGAAAAAAGAAGTTCACGCAAAAAATTCATTAAATACCAAATTTTGTTTTAATTAAACCGCATCAATTTTTACACGTAGATTATACAAGTATTTGCTAACAATAAATTGAACTTTGAGAAATATTAAACTCGATAGTTTTCGATTGAATTATGACCAGAACCATATAAATAATTATTGGAATTTGAATTTGAAATTGGATCAAAATATGTTCTCTCAAATATCACCTCATGAACACATTCAATAAATCCATTGTCGAAATTTGGATCAGCTCGGATGAAAAGACGAGTGAGACTTCTACAAAAGTTCTATTTATTTATTAAAGCCTCAAAAATGTTTATGGTTACCTTAGATGTGGATAATCTTCCATGCCATGAATACATGATCCATCAATGTCATATTTTGAACTTTTACAATTTTTCTCCAACACAATCAGTTCTTTGTTGTTCTCTGATGGCTGAAATGAATGACGTGATGAGACTAGGACTAAGAACATTAAAGATCACACTCACCAAAACAAAATTGGGAGTTTTGAAGAGATATTTGTATAATCGATCATGTTGAGAATGACTTATTGTTGCAGTTGAACCAAGATGTTGAATCCAGTTTTTAGTGACTTTGAATACTAGAAAAACACATTGATTTTGAAAAAAAATATTTTTTAGTAGAACTTACAATGAGATGTTTGATTTTTTGGATCAGCATGCAATAATGTGTCCTCTTTGAAAGTCTCCCCATTAATTTCAAAAGAATCTCGAAGTCGACGCGATCTTCTTGCTAGATATTTTGTTGAGTGTAAAGGAATATCATATTCCTAAAAAATAAATTGTTTACACTCGTAAATGAATAGTTTATTACCGATGTGATTATCACATGTTTCCATTCGAAAGCATCAATTTCTGTTAAACATCGTTTATGGGCTTTTAATAGTCCGTGACTTGTTGTTATATCAAATGTTTCTCTTGGTACTAATACATTAACCATACAATCACCAAGACGATGCATCTGAAATAGATTTTTACTAGAAAGATCACACGGGATATCAGAGTCTAAAACGTTTTGAGTGAAAGTTCGATCAGTTCCTTACCCTTTCTCTGAATTCTTGTTCTGATGATTGATCGAGAACAAAACAAAAAAAGTGTAGTGGTGAATGCATCATTGTTAATACTTCCTCAACGAAATCGTAGTCCTAAAACGAAGCAGAATTTTCGTTTACCTCTTGTGGGTCTTGAATTTTCAAAGCGAAGTTCGCATTAACAAAAATTGAATTGTGATCTACGATCCAAGACTTACCTTTGATACAACCCGAATAAAAAACATATTATGATTTCCTGCCATAGTTTTCGGCATATCAGTTGGAAGATATCGTCGACGCCGAATTTGAAAACAACTAAAAAATTTAATTTCAAAAACTAATCTATAAAAATAGTTAGAGACTCACTTTTTGTCATTTTCAGTAGCATTCAAGATTGTTCTATTCTCAAAATAGTTCAAATAATATTCCGAAGATGAATTTATCATTTTATGACATTCGATTGAATTTGTTGGCGCAATTGGAATAAATATGTGAAAACTGGAATTTTTGAAAAAATAAAATTAGTTCGAAAATTGTTGCTTACCTGTAGGAAGCATACGCGATCAACGCAACAAATAACATGAATAAAATAGAAAGTGGTATTGATAAAATCCAATATGTTTTTGTGCATATTTGTTGTGACATTCTAGGAGAAAAAAAGTTTTGATTAACTTATGCAAAGTACACAAATAAACGACGAGAAATTGGTAATGAGAGAATCTATAATAAAAAAATGAGAAAAACAGGTTCTTATGACCAGAAAAATACACAACACAATAACATCACATATATAGTTGTTGATGTCTTACAAGGATATTTAGAATTTGCAAAGTATTGATTGGTAAATACTTCAACACCAAAAATATGGTTTTCCCGAGAAAAAATCGATGATTGATTGGATTAATGAATTTTTTCTTCTGCAAAATAACTGAATGTTTCTGTCGTTTTTTTCTTCTCAACTTTCTCTCTTTCCTTGATTGGTCAATAGTCTTTTACGTCGAAGTTTTTCGATTTTAAATTAAATGATACTATCTCGCCCTAAACGTCTTTTTTTGATGTGAAATGAACGAACAACTTTCAATTTATTTTATTTAACCCGTAAATACAAGTACATGAATGAATGATATTCACTATTATGAGTTGAGTTAGGTCCTATTTCTCTAATTGGATTTCTTGGATTTGCTGACTTTGTTCGATTTTTTGGCGACGATTCCGATTGATGAAAAGACATATCGAATAGCACGGAAGATTGATCGAATGACAAAATAGATAGAGGCAATAGTACAGTAAATAACGAAGAAGAAAAAAGCGATGACGTCGACAAGGAAATATTGGAAGACGTTGAGTTTGTCAGCGCCTGATCGAGCATGGGGAACCTAGAATTTGAATACTTTTGTTTGAAATACTTGTGACTTTTTGAATCTTACCTCTTGATGTCGTTCAATAAATTCAACCCAAAATGCGGCATGATATAATTCAGTATAAGGAACATCAATAACCATGTCTTGGAAAATTAGCATTTCCTTTTTGAATTTCTCATTTTCAATAACTTCAACCAACGCATTTTTCAGTGATTCGGTGGAAAAATCTGATTTTTCAATAAGAATTCCTGAATCTCTTGCAGTTACTCGAAGTAGATTATCATATGCTCTTGTTGTTAATGGTAATCCAACAACCGGAACACCGTGATAAACTGATTCAATAACACTATTCAAACCACCGTGTGAAACATGTGCTAAACATTTGCTATTTCCTAATAGATCTTGTTGTGGAACCCATGATTTGATAAGAACATTTTTTGGAAGGCCATTAATTGTTAGACCATTATATTGCCAAATAAATTGAAAATTTGGAAGAGATTTGAATGTTGAAATGTAGATTTGTTTGATTTCTTCTGGCGCGTTTTTCCATTGAGCAGTGAACCCGGTTGTAAGAAGAATAAAACCCTTTCCAGAATTTTCTATAAAATCTGAATATTCTTTTGAAAGTTCTCCAGCTTTTTTGCAATGTAATCCACCAACAAAATTGACACGTGGCATATAAGGACGAGCAAAATCGAAAATTGGAGGATTATTCACCAAATTTATTGAAGCATTTCGCTCAATATTAAAAGTTGATTCAACTCCAGGATAATATTTCTGTAATTTTTTTGGATTGAACAATTGAGAATATTTTCTAGAAAACTAGATCAAACCTGGAAAACTGCATCAATTCTTGGCTGAACAATATGTTGATGAATATAAAGATTCTTGAAATATGAAGCAACATTATAAATTCGTTGTGTGAAACTCAAATCATCGGTCAAACCAGTTCCTGGAGCTGGTAGATAACTTGGAGGCGATGGAGATTGATTTGCCCAAGCTGATTCGGTTCGCATTGATGTCATACTCCAATAAACGTACACAGATTCTGAAAAAGGAAAAAAAAAATTTCTGGGTGACTCTGAATGTGTAAAATTTTCCAAAAGCCTTTTTCAAAATTCTCACTTTTAAGTCCGGCTAGAAGAATTCCACATGGATTATAAAGATCATCAACGACAATGGTGTCGAATTTTTGTTGAACAAGTTTGTCGAATTTATCCTTGCTTTTCGAAAGAACCGAATCACAAAGTCGAATTGAAGCTAACCAGCCAGTTGTTTGCTCATTCTCATTGTTGAAATCAACATCCCAAAGCTAGAAATATACAAGAAAATGTATAAAAATTAGAAGTTCAGAACGCTTAGCTTACCTTCGAATGTTGAGAGTGATTTCGATGTGTGAAAATATCGCTCAAAGTTTGATCGTTGAATTTTGCTGGCCAGAATTCTCGATTCACTGATTTTTGAAGCACTGTTTTAGACTGAAAAATCAGATGTCATTTTTGCGCAAAAGTTTTAGCTAACCTGTTGTGGACCAATTTCCAACCATGTAATCTGATGTCCACGATTCGATAACTCATTTGCCAAATGAGACATTGTTAAACTATGCACAGGATAAAGAGTGGATGGTAGAAAAAGGACATTTCCACATAAAATTGTTGAGATTAGATTGATTAATAGGAGAAAAAGGGCCCGCATTTTTCTGAAAAGAAACTCAATTATTCAGGGAGAAATGAGGGAAGAAAGTGGGAGGTATAAGTTAGAGAAACTTCGACTTATGTTAATTGTTAATTGAATCAAATGATTAATTAAGTGAATAATTTACACACAAACATGTAAGAAAAATAGTGAACTTTTAAAGTACTCAAAATAAAATACAATTTGTTATCAAAAATGCACTAATTTTTCAACACTACGTAGAAAAACTACGTTTCAAAAATTCTGGTAAAAATAAGTATCTAATTATTTTAATAATTTACATTTAGCTGTAAATGGTGAAGATCTAAAGTACTGAAAATAAAATCAGGATTCGCTCTCTAACAAAATAAAGTTGACCAGGTTGATTTTTTTGCACTTTAGTTATCTACCAAAAAAATAAGAAGAAATAAAAACCCAAGAACAACACAGTTTATATATATTTGGACAGATATCAATCGATATTTCTGATGAAACAGAAAAAATAACTGATAAGAACCAAATCGCCTACAACATACAAATGTAGTATACAAGAAATAATGGTTGCAAATGGATGGAGATGGGAAAGGGAATGGACAAAAAAAGGACGGAAAAATTATTATTCGATTATTTTCACTGAGATGCTGACAAATAATATGTAATGGATGGTTGTGAGAAAAATCAGTCTTTTGGAAATAATAAAAGTACAAAGAATATTCCAAGGGATATATGGTAAGAGACTTGAAAATCAAACAATTTGAAATGTTTCCATCAAATTTATAGACAAAATGAAAAAAAAGGTGTTTGAAGAAGAAAACGAGTTTCCTCCAGCGCCACTGAAACAAAACAACAAAAACAACTTGAAAAAAGTGCGAGTCTGGTCTTACTTGGGGAAAAGTGCTTTCGAATTCTGATCACAAAAAATAATACAGATATTTTATTTTGGTACTTTTTTTCACTTCAGTTTTTAAAGATCCACGTGGAAAAAGTTTATATTCACAGAGTTTTTGTAGTATTTTGATCGCCAAAATTTGAAAAGCATCTTTTTCCAAATCCCCATATGACGTCATATTAATCTTCAATCAAAAATTTCGTCACTCAGTTTATCCCCTATTAAAGCTTAATCTCAGTTTTCGACGTCTTGTCTCAAAAAAATTGAAGAATTTTTATTTTTTTTTAAAGATTTTTTTGCGTGTTTTTAGAAGTTTCTAGAAATAAATTTTTTGAACTTTTTTTCAATTGAAATCAGACATTTATTTTTTTCCGAGTTCAAAAAAATCTGTTAAAGTTAATTTCATTGCTGAGTCCGGGGTCAAAACTGGCCTTTATTTCAAAACTTGAGGACCGGTCTATTATTGTAATCACAAATTTTTTGCGATAATTTTTCACCAGCTAACAAAAATATTTTCAAAGAGAAGCAAAAAAAAATCGAAAAAATGTCCACCGGATGACCTACTAAATGAAAAGAGAATGAATAAGGTGAAAAGTATCTCCCTAACTAATAATTGGCTTCTCGCCGCATTTGAATCGGAAGGAAGGAAAAAGGTAATTAATATGAGAAAAGGAATAAGGGAGCGAAAAAAAAAATTTCGTTAAAAATATTTTTCTTGTAATTTTCAAACATTTAATTTTTCAAAATGAATTTTCAATCTCATTCTAATTCCAGCAATGGAATTAACTTTAATTAAAATTTAAAAAATGGATCTTTGGTTTTTTCCAAATATTTTCCCCCAAAAACTTTTTTTCCAAATTATTTGTTTAGTTTGCCTCTTTGTTTGTCTCGCTCATTTCCAGCAATTCTACGAGTTTTTTTTTCTAAAAAAGAAACGTTTTAATTTTTCTCTTGAATATTAGGCTAGACGAAATAAAAAAATGTTTATGTTGAAATGCTTTGAGATCTGTATTGATATTATTTATTGAACATGTCTTTAATCGTATTTTTTGTTTTCGGAACATTTTTAAGTTCAATTTACGCGGGAAAAATCGCGAATTCAATTGCACTAGATTTATTAACAAGTTACGGTACCGCTATTCTTGAACGAAATCAAACGAAGCTTTTTGAAGTTCTCAGCAAAGATTACAAATTCTATCATTGCGAAAAAAATGCGAAAAGCTTGAATAGAGATGATATTTGGAAAACTGTAGAATTTATGCCAAATCTTGCGACTGTTTTAAGTAGAAGAGAATTAATTGATACTGGATTGTCTAATGAAAATAAGACACTTGCAATTGTTGTGAATCTTGGAAATTTCACAGAAACCATGTTAGAAGCTCATTTGAGAAATGGTAAATTTGTAATCATTTTCGAGCAAGAAAATAAATGCAAATCTTACGAGAAATTCAAAACAACTTATATGATTGATTACAAAAAAAGTGCAACTAAAACTTCTGAAAACTTACTGGGCCAATTATTTGAATCTGCAAAATTGTGTGATCGTAATATAACTAGACATACACTTATGATACCATTCTATATTTTTTATTACAATAAGAATAATAGTTTGAACGAAAAAGCAGATGAATTGGAATTTGTGAAATTAGGAGCATTAAATATGGTTGTGCCACGTACTTTTTTCAATGAAAGTTTTGAAGTCACTCCAGTTGATGTTATTTATTCAAATATTTATGAAAATGGGTCAGTGATTTTTGAAGCAGAAGGAATAGATTTCCAAAGAATTCGAAAATTATGTTAGACATCTTATAATCTATCAATTATATCTAAAACCTCTTGAATTCAAACCAGACAATGATTTACCATCGGAACAACTACAATATTTATATATCAGAAAATCGATTTGATTTTTTTATCATAAATGATTTTTTGTTTCAATAATTTATCAATGTACCCTCAACAGTGTAACTTTTTCCTGCTTTTTCTATCTTTTTTTGAGTTGTTCTTTGTTTCGAAGCTCATCATTTTGTCTGTAGTTTTTTAAAATATGAGGTCTAAATTTTATTTTTACCTTTTTCCTCTCAGAAAATCATGCCTATGGAAATTCCTGTCCATAATTAAAGTGACTAATTAAAAACGCGTAGTTTTGCGATTCAGTTCAACCGTGTTGAAAAAACTTTTGTCCGATCAAAATAACAAACTTTTTTCTTTTCATCTTTTTTTTTCAAAAAGTGTTTTCGTGTTTGTTCAGAGTCACACACTTTGATTTTTTACTAACCTTTTACTGAAAATGTTTAAAATTTTAATTTAATTTAGTTCCAGTTTTGAAAAAAAATTTATATATTATATTTTTTTATGTGACTAGAGGTCATGGTTATCAAGTAACTGCGCCGAAAGAATATACTTGTCTAGGACTGATTGCTAGAGATCCACTCTGACAAGGAGGCGCGCCTTGAGACATTCATCGCCAAGTAGCCGAGACTATAAATTCTAGTTTCCAAGTAGTCACGTCGAGTAGTTTCAGTTCAAGCAGTCTCGCCTAAAGAGCCTAATTGTCTAGGAGCCGCGCCTAGAAAGCTCATTTTCCAAGGTCTAATGCCTATAAACCACATATTTTCATATAATTTTTCACAGTTCCAATTTTTCCTTCTCTTTTTTTCCAAGTTCCATCAAATCCAAATATCATTTTTCTTCGAAGTACAGTATCTTATCATTATTTCTTCGGAAGATCGATTATATCGCGCCTTTCTGTTTGCAGCCAAAAAATATCACGCGAATTTTCATGATCTATTGATAGTTATTTTAGGCTACAGGAGAGAATGTTCTAGTTGGAAATTTATCTGATCTTAAATGAGATTTGAAAGAATTTAAAAAGCTTATCTGAAAAATTTTGAATGAGCAATAAAATTTTTTTAAGATAAAAAAAACTGGTTTACTTTTTTTTCACAAAAGATCAAACAGTTCAGAATCATTTTTCCCAGCAAATCAAACCATAAACTTGTTCGTACCAAAAATTTATTGTGTTGTAAATTTTTCCTAGAAAACATAAATATTCACATACATAATTATAGTCACGTGTATGTACATATAACCTAGTTATTATATATTGAAAAATATTACATTCTAGTTTCACATTTCAGCTGTTTTTTTCGCATTTGATTTCATATTCACTCATGATTTTTAGTTGTTTTTTTTTTGCTTGAAACTGAATCATGAGGTATACTAGACACTTCTTCTTGAGAATTCAAGATGTCAGAGTGAATCTCTAGACGCCGACCCTAGACAATTAGGTTTTATAGACGTGGCTACTTGAGAACTATGACCTGAAGGCCCAGCTTCTTGGCCGGGCTGCTCTCAACACGTGGCTCTAATGCCACGTCGTCATTTATCTATAAAAACTTCAAAGACCATAAACGAGTTCACAGAATCCTCAAAAAAAAACTTTATCGCCGATTTTTGTTCTGATAAACAATTTAATTTTATCGTATCATTTCACTTTATTGGAAAAAAATCTTTTTTTTTCTCTCTGTTTTGATAAAAAGTTTCAAATTGATCTTGTGAATCTTCCACGTCATCTTTGACCCTTGTCTCATAAAAATAACACTTTTTGAATGTCAAACATTTTTTTTTCGAAAAAAAAAAGAGTCAATCACGTGGAGAGGACAAATTGATTGATTCTCTTTTTTTTTTGAATGTGAAAGAGAGAAAAACGACTGGCTGAAAGGATACACCGTGGTTATTGAACAGTTTTTTTTTTTGAATTTTTCGAGAATGTGTGAAATTTAATTTGGACTGATCTTTTGGTTTTTCCAGTTTGATGAATCTCAAAATTTTAATGAGAATTATACTTCCTTTCTGACAGTGTTATTTTTAGATTTAAAAAATTCGAATTCAATTTTTTGGCACCAAAAATTCAAAAGGTCAAACCTAAGCCCCAAAAAAAGTCCGGTAATGACTCTTCAAACTATAGTCTAGTCTAAATATATATTCAGAAGCCCTCTAATTCACTCCCTGAAAACTTAATGTTGACCCGGCTGCTTCTCAAAGATTTCTAGTTGAATCTATTTATTTTTCCTCGTGGTCTTCTTTTTTTTCAAAACTCTTCCAAGAAGTAAACAACATCGTCACGTGTTTTGTTCACAGCTCAAATTTCTAGAAACTCAGTTTTTTTGTTTTAATTTTTTGGAAACTTCAAATTCCAATTCTAATGTTTGTTGCCAGAAACCCTTGAATTATTGATTTTTGGTCGCTCTCCACTTTCTGATAAAAAATATTTTTTTTGTAAATAAATATCATCACATTCCACCTCATTCTTCTTCTTTCATTTTCTTCTTTTCTCCTCCCCAACACGTTGTTTGTGATGTCTGCGTCTCTTCGTCTTCCACACTCTCTCTTTCCCACGTGATAAATATCTTCTTGTTTGTATTTTTCTCTGCGTCACTTGCCCCATGAGAAAAGAAATGGAAAGAGAGAGCGCAGAGATGCAGAGCAATTTTTTTCTCGCCACTCGCTTTTTCTCTTTTGGTTTCGTCGTTTCTTTTGGCAACACTTGTACTTTTACCTTGGGAGGATTCTTTTTGATGTTTTTTGTTTTTGTTTTTTTTTAAAGGAGAAGTAGATTGTTCTTTTTTTTAAGTTTCTAATTATTCAGATGTTCTCAAAAAACATACACTTGAAAAAAATTGATTGATTTTCAAATAAAAAACATTAACCCCAAATTTCTAGATCAAAAGTATTTTTTCTCTGAATCTCTCTTCGAAAACATTCTGATTACCCTTTCAAGTCAAAAATTCCAATTAAAATTTCATAAATGCATCGCAAAAATTTCCGTCTTCCCATGAATACATTCAAATTTTCTTTTTCGCACATTTTTTCTTAACTACCTTCTTCTTTCAAAGCGGAATTTTTTATTTATAAAATATATTTCTTGTGTTGCGCTCAAACTACATTTATTATTGATTTGTGATCTTTTATCAATTTTTTCCTTTGGCGAAATCAGAGAATTTTCGCAACTAAAAACGTGTGTGCTGATTCGACAATTTCTTTTTTAATTTTCCATTTTTCTGATAAAGAAAAAGAGAAACCTTTTTATTCGATTTGATTTGTTTGGACATAGATCATAATGCAAATTTTTTATATTGTTGTCATTCAATTTTTCATGCCAACATCAATTTTTTGTAGTTCGTTTCATATTTTTTTTGGAGAAAAAATGCGAAGTTTTTTTTTTTTAAACTTGTTCCAGTTTCAGGCATAACTTTAGACTTTAGATAAATTCAAGATAGAATTTTGAAAAAAAATGAATCCAGTTTTCAAATTATCATAATACTTGATCGACTAACTGGTTTTTGAAGTCCCCCACTTCAAAAATCATCAAAGTTATTTTCGAAAACGCTGACACCACGTGTTTTCTGTAGTCTGAGTGATTGATAATGAAATTATTTGGTTTCGGAGTGGTTGGTACATTTTTATCTTTCATTCTTAGCTGTCAATTTTTGCTCGACACCAAACTTCACATTTATGTACCAAAATGTTACAGTTCTGAATTTTATTTGTTCAGTTTTTTTTTGAACAAAAATGTGTTAGTCACATGCATTTTTCATTTGAGATGAGAGATGACTAAAAAGTAGAACTATACTGTAGTTATAATATTGTTATATGAAGGAAATTATTATAATTTTGTGGATCAATATTTCAATTTTCACACGATTATTTGTTTTTGCATTTGAAAAAGCTTTTCTTGGGTGAAAATTGGAGCCTATTTTCTTGCATACACTTGGAGCTCATCACATAATTTTCACAGCATCGTGATCAGCGCGTAGAGTTTCATCTCTTATTTTCCGAACCTCAGAATCAGAATCTTATTTCAAGGTTCTCAATAAACATGGGAACATCGTTAAAAATCCCATGGCTATCTGTTTTCTATTTGATTCCACGTGACATCAATAATAATCATCCATGTCCTCCGGTTTTCTTTCTTTCCTTCTCCATCTCTTTTCGCAATCCCTTTATTTTTTGCCCCAAAGCAGTTATCAATTTGGTTGATTTTGACGGTCAATCGTCTTCTTCAGTCACGTTGTGATAACAAAAACACCACATTTCTCTCACTTATATATTTTTTTTATCATTCTCATTAAATACATTTTTTGAATGAATGAATAAATAAAGTTTCTATCTTCAGCAGTTCATATTAATAAATGTCAACTGCGACATTTTTACATATGCCAGTAACATATCCATCAGTGATATCAGTTCCAACAGTTTCAGTCAATCATCATATCGTGAAGCAGGAAAAATGTAAGTCATTTATTTTGAAATTTTTGAAATATTTTGAACTTTTTATAGGTGTAATTGGAGAATGTTTGATTTGTGGAGAACCATCGACTGGTAAACATTATGGAATTGTTGCGTGTCTTGGTTGTAAAACTTTTTTTCGAAGGTTCGTTTGATTTTGGGTGGGATGTTAAATCCAGAATTTTTTTTTCTAAAACTTCAAAATTTTGTGCTCAATAAAAACTTCCGAATTAAATAAAAAATCAGTCAGGACATTTAGAGAAATTTAAAGTTTTTTGACTTATGAATTTCCGATTTGCTCAAAACATCAATGTTTTCTACAGAGCTGTGGTTCAACGACAAGATACAGCATGTAAACGAGAAAAGGAATGCGACACATCAACGATGGCTCGAAAAGCATGTCGAGCTTGTAGATATCGAAAATGTCTAGAATGTGGAATGAGCAAAGATGCATTACAACCACGAAGAGATCTAATTGGATGTCGACGGATTCGATCAAGACCAAGTTATTCATCCTCATCAATTATCTCAACTCCAACTCCACCAAAACCAAATTTCATGGACAAAGAGATGAATCTTCAACTCATTGAAAGATTGACTGAAATTGATGAGCGACTTAGGAAAAGAAAATTGCAATTGGTAAAATCGAGACAAGAAGCTGTGAATTTGGCGAGAATTATTAAACGGGGAACAACGATTCCGGAAGATGATATGGTTTTTGGACCGACAACTTCGAAAATGCCAACTATGAATTCAGCTGGATTTGTGAGTTTTTTCGTCGGGTTTGGTAGAAAAATTTTTTGTAGAAAACTAGTTTTGATTTTTCCAGCCATATGTAAATGTGTATAACAACAAAATGCTGGTGATGCTCGGCACTGATATCTCAATTGCCACACAATCTGAACTTCTAATGATGTTGGAATGGACAAGAACTTTGCCCGTTTTTCAAAATCTTCCCGTTGCTGATAAATCAACGATTCTCAAGGTATACTTTACAACTAATTGTGAAACATTATGTTTTTGCAGCGATTCGCGGTTCATTGTCTGATTCTGGAACATGGTTATTACACAGCATCATCGGATTATGAAGATGTTTGGTTGATTTCGAATGGAACTTGTATGCCAAGAAATTTTGGGACAACGCCGGAAAAGGAGGGAAGGGTAAGAGATTTGAGGGATCTTTGGTAGCTAACTTGGGTGTCCCTCAGAAATTTGAAATGTTTTTTCAACTTACAGAAACAAATTTGTGATTTTATAAAACTAGACAGAAATATAACATGTGTTACAAAAGTTCAAAAAAGTTTTACCAAAAAGTTTCCAGATCTCTGTAACCGCTGATCGTCTCTGGCGTCAGGAAAAACTCTACAAACAAATGACAGATAGTTGCATCGACGAAGTCGCAATCCCACTTCGAAATCTCAAATTATCACCCCAAGAACTTGTTGCAATCAAAATCATTGTTTTATTCAACTGTGGTTGCTCATCTGAATATTCGGATATCAGTGAACCATCGCGTAGAAGTGTTTTAGCTTTTCGAAATCGTGTCATTTCGGCGCTTTTCGCCTATTATGAACAAATTGGTTTACCAAATTATGCAGGTTATTTTTTCCATTATCAAAAAAAAATTTAAATGTTCGAATTTTTGCAGAGCGATTTGGTAATGTGATTTTAATACTCTCTGGAGTATCTTCAGCTGCATCTGCAATGCTCGAATCATATCAAGTTATGCGCCTTTTCAAAATTACACCATTTGATCAACTTTCCCAGGAATTGTTATTTAATATCTAGTCATTTTGTACATATTTCCCATTGTTTTTGCTCAATTCTTGCTCAACCCTATTTGTTATTCCGTGATTTGACACACCACAAAACCTTTCTACAGTACCTCTAGTGATTATTATTATACGGGTTTCTCATTTTTCTTGAAATAAATCAATTTATTGAACATAAATACTTCGAAATTATTCAGCGGCCGACAATTTGATGATAGTTTCACCGTCAAAAACTCCAGTTGGATTTGGAGTGGCAAAAACAGCCTTGGCGTCAGTCACATCTTCACCAATTGCAACATATTGAATAACTAATTTATCGGCTTGTGGCTTTCCAGGTTTTCTTGTGATGACCAAGGTGAAAGTTTCGGAAACTTTGATGATTCCAAAGATTTGATTAACACTGTAGTTTGAATTGTTTGAAGATTTGATCTGAAAATTTTAATTTGAGAGGAAATTGGGAAGGTTCGGAATAGTTTTTATGAAAAAATTTCTGAATTTCAGAAAACTGATACTATTTTATTGTTAGGTGCATTTTGAATACCATTGGTGCGAAATTTGGCTTAAACTTTGAACAAAAATTTTCAAGATGACTAAAGTGAGCCCGGATTTTAGTCCACTTCAGGCTTCCAGGCCCACTTTTCTCTCTGCTTCTTTAAATCTCATTCAACCCAATTTCCCAGAAACCAACCTTGAATGCAATAATTTTATCCGTATGATTGATCATTTTATGAGTCGATTTTCCACCCATCGCTTGAATTGGACAAACTGGTGGATCAAGAGATAATTCAACACCCATTGCTGCCTGCAACAAAAGCTGATTACTGTAGCTTCCTGAAAGTTGAACTCACCTGATAGTAAACAACTAAAACTCACAACTAACGTGTTTCTCAATTTTTATTCGCCAAAATTTGATCAGATAAGAATCGAAATCTAGGTTGCCAACAAATCAAAAATGACGTGTCTCACGTGTCGAGTTGCAAATTTTTGTCGGATCAATCAGTTCTAGTATCGTTCTTTCTACCAAACAGTGCCTTGAAAAAAGTGAGTTTTGCCTAGACTTTAGTCTCAAAGAGTTACCGTAACTCAGTTTTGCAGAGAGATGGGTGTTGAATTGTCATTGGATCCACCAGTTTGCCCAATTCAAGCGAGTGGCGGAAAATCCACACATAAAATCATCAATCATTGTGATAAAATGTTGGCTTATAAAGTATGTTTGAACCCGAATATTCTCCACGAAAATATATAAAATATGAATTTTTGCAGGTAAAATCGTCGAACAACTCAAATTATAGTGTCAACACAACATATGGATTAATTCAAATTGGATATACAGTTGATTTGATTATCACAAGAAAAGATGGAAAACCACAAGCGGATAAATTGGTCATCCAATATGCTTCAGTTGAGCAAACTTGTCGCGATCCGAAACAACCATTTGAAACTGGAAAACCGGTTGGAGAAATTGCGGGCGAAACTATTATCAAATTGTCGGCAGCTGAATAATAAAGATTTTTATTTTGGTGGATTTTGTAATGTAGATATTCGGGGAAACATACATAAAATAGGTCCCCCGAGCCAGTTTTTTCAATTAGGGCCCCTGTTTGAAAAATTTTCAAAGTTAAACCCCTTCTTCACATTTTTGAGCGAATTTTTGTGAATTATCAGCAGAAAATTGGCCAAGTTAGGCACCCTTCCCTTATGATTTTTGAAAAAAGTTAAGCCCGTCACCCCTATTCTCGTGACCCATTTTATGTATGCGGGGAAAACGTGGCGCCTTTTGTAACAAGTTTAAAAAAATTCATGTAAAGATTCTAGATTTCAGAAAATGTTACAGTAATCTTATTCAGTTGGAAAATTCTGCATTTTATTTTTAAAAAAAATATATCACCAAATTCTCACATTTTTCCCGAACTTTTGTACTCTGTATTTCTGCACTCAAGAATTTTTTGCTGAAAAATTTAATCAGCAGCTAAAATATTTTATCAACTTCAGTACCGATACTTATCAACTAAAAAAGTCATCACCGGCGTTAGTCTTTTTTCAAGATTACTCGAGTTTGTTTTTCATCAGATTCCGATACACCAGTTTCCAGAAAAATTTATTCAAAACAATTATTTTAGAGTTGGTGGTGGAGGTGGTAATTTTGTGCTGAAACTTGGAACCGGCTCATATACACTATCATCTTTCTGAAAAATTATTTTTTCCTATCCAAATTCGAAAACTTTCAATACCTTTTTCACTTCACTCGGTTTAATTTGAGCTGATGAACTTGAAGATGATGATGAAAGCGGATTCCAATTCCACCATGTTGATTGCTGTGAAGTTGAAGATGAACTTTGTTGAATTTTTGATGGAATTGGAGCAGGAGCAGATGTGGATAGATTCGGTTTTGAATTTTGACCAGAAACCGGCTGATTTTGAGATATTCTTGTTTGACTTTGTTCTTGACCCATTTTATGATTAGAAATATTGAAAAATGAATTTTTTCAGAACACGTGAAATTTATTCACGTAAAATAGAATAAGTATTTGATTTTTTTTGTCGTTGAGAAAATTAGAAAATTTCGGAAAATTTCGAATTCCTTCAGTGACGTTTCATAAATGTTTATTTAACACTACTTGCTTTTTTGATATCACCAGGCAAAATAAATATGAACTCGGGCTAGAGAAAAAATATGTTTTGTTTTTATTTACGATTTAATGACTGCGGGGGTGGCGGAGGCAATCTTTCGACATACGTTGGAATTCTCTCGTAAACATCGTCTGATTTCTGAAAAACAAAAATTTGACTGTATGAGCAGAAACGAGAGGAAGTTTCTGTTAAATAAAATCTGACAAGGGAACCTTTTTTACTCAACACTTCAAATCATGATGAAATTTTGTCCAGAGACAGCTTTTAGGGTCATAAGAACACCCTAAAAATTTTAGTTACCCAATGGACCTCTGAGCCAAGTTCTGGGCTCTCAAAAGTTCAAAAATTGCCAAAATTGGCTCATAAAACACGTCATAACTCAATTCTCGATCAATTTTATGAAAAACTGAGTAGCAGATGATGATCAGCGTGGTCGATTTACCCAAAAACCATCAATAAATCAAATTTTCAGAAAAAATTTTGATTTTGAAAAAAAGAATGAGCAGGGGCACATATGAATTTTCATGAATTTTCAGCCCAAAAATAAAAAAACTTCAAAATTTTTCGAAAAAATGTTTTTTATTGATGTACTTTTAGGTAATCGACTATGCTGATCAATATCTGAAACTTTATTTCTCCCAAAAAAATTTTTGAAATGGAGCTATGATGACTTTTGTGACCATTTTTTGGCCTTTTTTGAGTTTTTGAGAGCCCAGAACTTGGCTCATGGGTCCATTGGGTAACTTAAATTTTTAGGGTGTTCTTATGACCCCAAAAGCTGTCTCTGGACAAAATTTCATCAAGGTTTGAAGTGTTGAGTAAAAAAGGTTCCCTTGTGAATTTTTTCCTCTCGAAATTTTCCAAAAATTGTTTCCCGCACAAGCTTGATCTACAGTAATCCTCACCTTTTTTGTTTCAGCAGTTTTGATATTTGACGAAGAACTCGAAGATGTGACAGTTCCCCAGCTACTAAAACTATTCCACCATGTTGATTGAGGTTGTTCTGGAACTTTCGACGGAGCAATTGGACTTGGGGGTTTTTGTTGTTGTGGTGACTCAATTTTTGATGGTGCTGGTGTTGGTGTAGATTGAGGTTTCGAAGTTTGACCAGCTACTGTTTGACTTTCAGATACTTTGATTTGACTCTGCTCTTGACCCATTTTATTTTATTTTATTAAAAAATGAATAACAATAACTGACTAATTCTTTTTTTTAATCAAATGATAAATAGGACACGCTTGAAAAATATTCGAGAACAAATACGGAACAGGAATTATCTAACGAAGTACCCATAGAACTTACAAAATATTTGGAATTCCATCTAACAAGAAATGTTTTTCTGATATGTACTGATAAATGTCTTATTCTACGAGTATGAAATTCCAGCTGATAACCGCGTTCTGATTAATTTTTCCAGATTTCGTTGGTTACGGTAGATGTGACAACAACAATTTCAGATTTTATCAATAGACATTTTGTTTTGGTAAAAGTTCCAATTCAATTTTTAAGTATCATGTTAATGTTTCAAAATATTTCGTCATTCCAAAAACAAGTGTAAATAGATGTTTCAATTTTTAAATAAGTCATTAAAAAATTCTTCTCTGTTCATTTTTTAGAAACTTTGTTGTTTTGTTTACATAGCGGTTTCCTCGCGGGAAATATTTTGAAATATATAACTGCCGTCCAACCCGCTGGACAAAGTATGCTCAAAAAAACCGCACGCTGCTTCTCCTACCTTATCAGTGGCGACTTCTACTTGTCTTCATTTGTTTTCTTTCCGCCAACACCTTTCTCAGTCTAGTTTTTTTGCAGAGAATGAGCAACGCGTTCGTCATTTTTTGTTGTATTTTCTGTTCGATGTTTGCTGTAATTCAAGCATCTCATACTGCTCCAAAAATTTATATTACTCATAATGGGGAATCAATAAAACCGGCGCATATTTATGTTTATGAAAGTGGTGAGTTTTGAACAAATGTTTTCGAGGGAAATTCGAAATGTTTTTAAGTTTTAGAAAAACGAGTGGTTGATTACAGAATAATTTTTGAGAACTCAAAAAAATTTGTCTTTGAAACTAATTACAATAATCGAAAAGTTTGCCACGTCATAGGCAAATTTTGAACCCTAGGATTTCTGGAATAATTCTCTCTTGGGCAGTTCTTTTGAGAATCCTTGTTGCAAGCATCACCTCTCCAAGTAAACTATCTCGGTTGTTTTATCACTCTCTTATCAATTGATGACTCATTTAGGAAATAAAAACGAAGTTTATATTAATTTTCAGAAGGAGATTCGATAAAAGAAGTTGAAAAGATAACAACAAATGAGCACGGATATTTTCGAGCTCATTTTCTTCGACATTCGCCCGAAAAAGAATTTGAGCTGACAATATTATACAAATGCGGAAAAATCGATTTTGTTAGTTGATTTGATCTATTTTAAATTGATTTTTTATCAGAAAAAAATATTGCAGAACTGCAACAATCCTTGTTACAAAATCACAATTCTTTCAAGTGACTTCAAGTTTGATCAAAATCGTGAGGTTTGTTATTTAAAAAAAAACTAATTTTGAATACTAGTAAATTTTCAGGCGATCATAAACTTGGAAGATGACAAACATGATCGATATATGCTTTGTGTTTGATTTAGTTTTCTACAAGTTTTCATATGCTTTTTGCTCAACTTCATAAGGGTTCAATCCATGGCTGATGATAATCAATAGATTTTTAAATTCACGTGTTATTCACGACCTTTCATAAATTTTAATTTATTTTGCGTTTTACATAACAACAAGTAAAACATATAGAGAAATAATTTAATATTCCGGTAAACCAAGAATAATTAAAAGTAAACAAAAAAAGAATAAGAGAAATCATAAGATTTTGGCTATTCTAGATGTCTGAAGAGAATTTTGAATTTAATTTTCAACTTGCTCATGGATCTTCTAATGTTATTATCAAGAAATGGAAGAATACGATGGAATTATATCAATCAATTGCTCGAGAATTCGAAATAAATCCAGAAGATATCATGTTTATGACGGTTAATGAATCCAAGGTAAACACAAAAACGTTTTTTTCTCAAAAATTATTATATAATTTTCAGATTAGTATGAGAAACTTATTCAATGGATCCTTGGATTTCGGAGATATTATATATGTTCACATCCGAGGACAATCGATTGAGATTGAACTTTTCAAAGATTCGGATATGTTTGGAGTAACCATAGCTGATAATGGAATCGGAAATGCATTCATCAAAATAATACAACACGGATCAATTTTTGATCGAGCTGCTTCTTTAAAAATTGGACAAATGTTCGAAAAAATCAATGGTGAAAATGTATTAGGATATCGACATTATCGAGTTGCAAAAGTTCTAAGATCTATTAGAAAAGGACAACATTGTTCAATTCGACTAATTTCGCCGAGAAAATCAGATCTTATTTGTGTTCCCAAATTTCTTAATTAAGCAAGAAAAGGTTCGATTCGTTTCAAAATGGATGGCGGACATACCATCGAAGATTTGAATGATAAACTTTTTCGAATCGAAATTTGTGAAAAATTGAACAGATTTCTTGATTCATATTTGGGTGTTCAAGATGATGAATTATCGATGAGAATATGGGAACTTTCAGAAAATTGTGTGACGTTACGAGATTTTGAAGGAGTTATCGAAAAGGTGCAGTCGTAACATCAATTGATTTTATTTGAAATTTTTCAGTCTGAAATTGCCGATTTCGAATTATCCTCAGAATTAGTTGTTGAGTTGTGGGAAATAATTGAGGAATTGAGAAAAATGAAGAATATCTCAAGGCAGCCTAAACCAAGACCGAGAAAAGCTCCGCGTAAATCTGTTTTGTCGGTTTTTGAATGAAGTGTTACCTCGTCATTTCCAAATTTTTTTCTTAAAACATCCGTAATTATATAATTGATATCTTACTCATCGTTTCCGTAATATTCTACTTTCAAAATGGACCGAAAAAGATGGCAACGTGCAGGAAAAACAGAAAAAAAAGAAAAGAAAAAAATGGCCGAAAAAAATGAGGGCAATTCTTCTTCCACGGCCATGGGTCTCGCAGCGAAGAGCCGTCACACAACCGCCCGTTGAGAGGAGACATTTTTGTTTTCTTTTTTTGCTCGTCCTGTTTGTCGTTTTTTTGCCGGGAAATCTCGAAACTTTTTACATGAAACTTGAATTCATGTTGAAAAGGAACCTTTCTCGTTGTTTTACAAGAAGAAGTTTACTAATTTGAAGTTTTCTGCTTGTCCAAATCACAATTTTGAAAAACAAAAAAAACTGTTCAAGTGTCTAATTTTGTAGATTTAAGAGTATTTAATGATTAAAATTGCTTGTTTCACTTATTTTCATTCGCCTAAGCGTTCATCTTGCCTATATTCATTATGTTTTATAAACCTCAATATTGACATAGAGTTTTTCAGTATGTCCTGGTTCCGTCCTCCACCACCACATACCCAACTTAGACCTTGGGTACCGGATGCGATCTTCATCCCAATCTCCCGTGCCGTCGAGAGAGTAGGAGTATACTTCTACAACAGGTACATTTTCAAACTTCTGTATTCTATCAACATTTTTGTTTTTTTTTAGAGTCTTGAACAAGACCGAAATCGGATTGTTCGACAAGAGATGGAACAAGAACGTCCACGGACCATATTGTCACTGGAGATACTACGGAAAGTGTAAGTGTTTTATCTCAGAAAACAATACGATAATTCAAATCCCAATTTTTTGAAGTGGACACCAAATTCTTGAATGTCAAACTCGGAGATTTGCCAGCATGGATTGCTCGCCGTGAGAAGACTCCAACCGCTTTCTACAATGAATTCATGCGCAACATCTGGAGAGTTCACAACCTTTACTACTCAGGACCAGTCTACGCCAACACCGTGAGTATTTTAGTGATGTTTCAAATCCAGAGTTGAATATATCTTCTGAAGTTATTTCGGAATACTTAATTTTTCACTCAAAAATATCAATGTATTTTTGCAACATTGAACGGATTCGATGGTGAACTATTTGTGGTAACAGATGGATTTTTCCAGACCTGATATTTATTGCTTGCTTTGAGTTAAATTCAATAAGCAATCAAATTGGGATTATTTCGAAAAATTTCCCTGAACCACGAAAACAAGCATTCTTGCTACTTGTAATTATTGGGTTGTATTTGAGAGCACAAAATGCTTGATTAATAAAATAAATTGTGATTTTCAGGTCAAAACCATCTTCCGTTTCGTCTTTGCTTATTCGTTCCTTAACTGGCTCGTCAAATCTCACCGTTACCTTGACTTCCAAAAGACTATGTACCATTGGTAGACAATTCAATAGTCGTATACGGAATGTAAAGATTTTGTTAACAAGTGTGTGTTTTATGGGCGCGAGTTTTTTCAACCTATCGATTATTTTTTTAGCCCTCGATTTTTCCATGTTTTTTACTGTCGAAATCACATTTTCTGACTGAATAAATTAATAGTGATAATTGATTTGTGGAATTTTTTTTGTTGAAGAAAAAGATACAAAGTTGATAGCTCAGTGAACGGATATTTTGCCAAGTTGGCCGATTTGCGCGCAAGATAACAAAAGATCTAGATATTTTTGTGGCGATTTGTCTCGGTTTTCATTTCTATCGAAAATGACTAGCCAACGAAGAGGTGTTCTTATTGTTTTTGAAGGTGGGTGATTATTTTTACAGAATATTTCAGAAACTCCAATTTTCAGGTCTTGATAGATCTGGAAAATCGACTCAAGCTAAAAGATTGGCTGATTTTCTGAACAGTCAAAATGAAGGATCTGCAGTTCTTCAAGCTTTTCCAGGTTTGTTAAAAATAACATAATTATGGGTTAATTAATTAAGTATTCAATTTTAGAACGTTCTGAACCATTTGGTCAAGTAATCGATCGATATTTGAGACGAGAAATTGATTTGAGTGAAAGAGCATTGCATTTAGCATTTTCGGCTAATCGATGGGAAAAGGTTTGAACTTTGAAAGTTCCCAAAAATCAGGAAAAATAAAATAAGTAGGGATTTTTCTTGAAGTTTCCATCATAAATTCTAATAATACCTGGACACGGATCGAGCTAGAAAATATATTTAAAATGAAGATTTTAATTCGAAAAATGAAGAATGCAAATTTCAGCGTTAGTTCACGTTTTTAGAGAATTGTTTTGTTTCATTTTCAATTTTTATCGAATTTATTCCAATAACATTTTTTGGAGAGAAAAATCAGATTTCTGTCGAAAATGTGTTTTTTGCGATTGATCTAGATTCCAAGTTAGGCTGTGAAAAATGTAAATCTGCTTTTTCGAACCAGAACTCTTCAGTTTTGTACAAAATTTAAAATTTCGAGTTTTCCTGAGATTTGAAATGAAAAATTTTCAACGTTTTCCCTGAAAGTTCCAAAATCCTCAAGTCCTTTTCATCCGAAAATTCCAGGAACAAATGATCCGCGACAAAATCGAACAAGGAATCGATGTTATCTGCGATAGATATTGTTATAGTGGAGTTGCTTATTCGCTTGCTAAAGGTGAGTGAAAAACTGGATTTTTTTCGAAATGAAAGCGAGAGAAAGAGAAAACACGTTTCAACCGGAGAAACACGTCATTTTAAGTTCTTTGAACATGATTCTGAAAGTAGATAAGATTCTTTGAAATCTGATGAGAATTCTTCTAACTAAAAGCCACGTCATAGGAACTATTCAAATAATTTTCTTATGAAATCAATTGATCCCTAATTTCTTAAATCTTTTCTCTCAAAACCACAAGAAGCCACAGAATAAAATTAAACCATAATTATTGTCGTCTTTTTCATTCATTCATTCATATTTAGACCATTTCCGGGATAAAGGTCAGAAATACACAGTGTGTTTTTTGCCGGTTGAAAACAACAGGTGCACGACAAGCTAATAAGGAATTGTAATTCTCTACCTAAACATGCCATTAAATGTCATCTGTGAAGATTTGTGCATTCAAAACAGAAGTAGGCAGGCGGAAAGGTGAAACCTGGAATTGAAAAATGTTTTGGATTTTTAAGCTGTAGTTTTGGGAACTCTAAAATTGAGCATTTCAGCAAGAGCTATCAGGAAATATCCCGGAATACTTCTAATTCCAACTTCTGAAAAAACCAAGATCCCCAGATTTTTCCCTATAAGTTGTTAGCTGAAAAGAGACATTTTTTAAGTGTGTAGTTATGTTTGGGGGAAAACGAAGAGATGGCATAATAATGATGGGCAGGAAGTAGTTATGTATGGAGCACAATAGAGAAAAAGAAGAGATGCTTGTGCTTCGCTTGGCTTGAGTGATGACTACATACATCCGGATAAATACTTTTTCTTTTTGGCTCTTCTTTTTTTGGTCTTACCTTTTTTTTTGGCAGAAGTTTGAATCGGAATTGGAGGTATCGGACCTGATTTTGGGATGTTTGAATCGGACCAAGATCTCATTTTTTGTCAGAATCGGACCAAAGACATCGGATTCTCTATAAAACTTTGCAGAACTCGTTCTAGGAGATGATACAATTTTGAAAAAATATTCCACTTGTCAAAAATAATCTGGGGATTCCATCATGAAGATTTGAATTTATTTCGAAAAAGGTTTTCTGAAAATTTTCGACACTCAACCATTTTTCGATCGTTTGATTTCATCCCTGATCAACTTGGACCCATTCTAAAACTTCCCCCATTTTTGAGATAGCTGAAAAGTTCAGTGGTTTTTTTGTGACAACCAAAAAAAGGACATTTATTTTATGGGAGGTCTTGATTGGTTAGTGGAACACAGGAAGGAAGTTGTTTGAGTTGAAACAAATTGACTTTACTTTCTTAGTTACTGTATTTTTTTCTGAAATTAGGAACTTTATTTTTAACAATCAGAATGAAATGATTTATTGGAGCGAACTAAACAATCACTAGATATTTTCCCAATTTAACAGAAACCGCAAGTTCTTGGACATTGAGTTCTCATAACACTGTACCAGATTGATTGTGTACAGTATGATCTTCTGTTTGGGCAATCGCTGATTCCGGTTGATGGATTTGTCAAATCACGACAAGTTGTTGAAGATCTTGTAGTTGTTGAAGTTGTTGAACAGAATCCACAAGTTTTTGGGCATTGAACACGCATAACATTGTACCAAACTGCTTGAGTACAGTATGCTCTTCTGTATGGACAGTCACTAATTCCAGTTGATGGATTTGTCAAATCAACACAAGCTGACGAGACTGAAGCAACGAAAAAAGCTAAGCAAATGATGAATGTATTCGACATTTTGTGAATTTGCCATGTTTCATTTCGATAACACCTTTTATATTGTCCGAAGTTCAACAGTTGTTCAAATAATTGTAGGCAACTTACAATTTATTCAGGATACATGCGGCGAACGAACTTTCGGATTGACTGTTTGAACTCGATGTCAAAAATCCAAAATCCCTAAATAGTTTATTATTGACTCATAGAAAATACACAGTAATTGGATTGTTATCATTTGGCGCACTGTCTTTGCTGATTTGTTTGTCTAACCAATAAGCGAATTTGAATAACAAAAGGCGTCGATTGTTTCTAACAGCTTACCGAGTTGAAGAGCAGATTAGGAGGAGCGGAATTTCTTTTAAGAAATTTTTTGGAGTGAATTAATTGAACTGTGCCGTTGTTGTCAAATATTAGATAGCGGTCTGATTTTGAGTTCAAAAGAAGATAATTTCGCTGTGAAAACACACTTGGGCTTCAAGCTTTTAAATCTAAAATAATATTCTACGAGCGTAATTTTGATCCCTTTCTCATTTTCCAATAAATGAAATCTCAATTCCCGTTGATTTTCCACCGAATATGAGCCCAATTCCGAGAGTTGTAAATGTAACATATGACTTTTTGATCCTATCCGCCTTTCCTTTCCTCTTTGGCTCTAATTAAATGAGTTATGGAAAAAGGAAACGTTTATGAGCCGGCTGGTTTGAAGAGCAGGTAGCAACAATAATTATTATTATCATGTTGATGGGTGTCTGTTTCCTTCTTCCGTTTTTAGCTTCTTATTCATCGGTGTTTGTTTGTCTTTGTCTCAAATTGCTTTCTTCCATGCTTTTTTCGTTCATCGAACGATGATTTATGCAAGGTGGTTTTAATTGCGAAGATATTATTGTTACACATCCATTTTTATATGAACTCTTGTTTGTTTCGGTTCTCAAGGCGCGGATCCTTGCCAAAGTGACCCTCTATGCGAGGTCCTAGTCTATCAGGTTCTCTAGGCTCAGCTACTTGCTTCTGAATTGTCATTCTTCTTCCTCCACCATCATTTGTTGGTGTGTGTTGTTTGAAGTGTCAAAACTTGGGGGGTTGCACTTCCGCCCTGTACAAATATGGTTTTAGAGACACACACACATTTTTGTGGAGCGCAAATATCGAGTGAAAGAGATGTGTTTGATGGCATGAATAGAATAGGATCGCTGTCAGTCAAGTCACTTTCTCTCTCCTTAAAACGAGCCACACACAATAAATAACAATAGATTGGTTATTCCTTAATTGTGCTCGTGTAAATATGAGAGTACGGTAGCGAAAGGAGGAGAAGAAGAAACATTTTTTTGAATCAAAACAAACAGTTTGGAAATGGTGGACTACTGTAGATTTAGAACACTTGGTAGGAAATTGTACTTGATTAGACTATAAAACAGCGGGAGGACTTCAGAAGGTGTGGAAAGTCTAAAAATTGTCAAATTTTTTGTAGCGAGAGTTACGTGGAAAGTGTTTTGCTCCAAAATTCGGCAGGTTAACTTGATTTTTGAAAATTCTAAAAAAGGTTCAGAATTGTTTATCCACTTTTTTTTGCATTTTGAAACTTTGAAAGTCCCTCATTTTTCACTTTTCTTCCAAACTTTTCTTTACGTAGGCGGAGTTTTTGCCTTAAGGCAAGCATACTGTATTTTCATTGTCAAGTGGCGATTCGTCCTCTTCTTGACTCCGCACGTTGATCTTTTCAACAAACAAAATATTCATGTATACTATTTTTATAGGACTTGATGAGAATTGGGTTCGACAATCGGATATTGGATTGCCACGTCCCGATGTTGTTCTATTCTTCGAAGTTTCGCCAGAAGTTGCGAGACAAAGAGGAGGATTTGGAGAAGAGAGATTGGAAACTGAGACAATTCAACAGAAGGTGGCGAAGAAAATGGAGGAATTGAGAGCGGATAATTGGAAATCTGTTAATGCTGATGGATCTTATGATGATGTTGAACTTGCTGTTCGCAAGATTTATTCAGAAATTGATAGAACTGCACCACTTACATCACTTGAAAAAGTTTGATTTTTCATTTTTCAAAACAATATTTGATTATTTATTATTTCATCTCACATTCCATACTCTTAAATTATTCTAACTCACAATGAAATCTTCATTCATTCATTCATTCATTAAAATCAGTAATTAAAAAAATAGAGAGAATCATGAGAACCACAAAAACAAGAAAAAATTATCAGATTTTCAAAAAAATGGAAAAAAACAGAAGAATCACATTGGCACGAAAAAAGATTTCAAAAAAAAAATAAATTGCACGAACTATATTTACAAACTGAAAAATATGGATTCTGCGGGGCAAGGATTTATGCAATACTTTTTGAGATGGGAACAAAAAAAGAAAATGGGGAAAATCTAGAGTTTTGGGAGAGTTAGGCCGGCCAAATGAAGCTGATGATGAGTTGGAAGTTGATAGGTTTGGCGGCGGTGTGGAGTTAGAGTTGTGTTTGGCTAAAATTATGATTTTAAATTTTTCCACGTGGATTCTATATGATTACTCACCTTATTGTGAATATTTCTAACATGTCTTTGAAGATTTGAGCTAATCGAGAAAGATCGTTCACAATATTGGCACTTATACGGCTGTTCTCCAGTATGAGTTCTCAAATGACGTGTCAAGTTAGCGGATCTTGGGAATACTTTCTGACAGAATTTACAAGTATATCTGTCCTTTGCTACAAGACCTCCATTATTTGACGAGGAAGATGATGATGTTGTATGCGATGATGAATTGTTGATCTTTGGTGTTGTTAAAAGTGAAGTTGGATATGGGAATGGTCTTTGAAACATTGCCAAAAATGGATTTGTCATCGCTGCGCTTGATGAGGATGTGTTTGATGTTGGAGCGAGAATTGAGCTGATTGAATGGGGTGTTGATTTTTTCTCGGATTTCTCTTCTTCGTCAACATCCTCGTCATCGTTTCCAGAATCACCGATACTTTCAGCGTCATCGGATTTTGAAGTTGTTTCAACTTCCGATGTTGATGGGGCTTTGGGTGCAGCGGAGACAGCAGCAGCCAGAAGGCACGATAAATCGAGAGGGGAGCCTTCTGCGTTGGCGGTAGCGATTGGGGATGATTCGCTAGCATGGCCACTGAAAAAAAATATATTCAAAAAATACGACAACTTTTTCAGAAAAAAAATCCCTTAACTTTTGATTTCTCTTATGAACATCAGAATCATTTTAGAAAAAAGTCTCATTTTCATAATGGGTGGCACGCGACAAAAAACGTTTCAAAAAAAGCTTGTACAATCATAAATTATTCCGCCTTTTTAATAAAAAAAGATGTTCTTTTTAGAAAATTAATTTTTTTCGAACACAAACGAACCTCGATGATTCTGCATCCGGTGATCCACACGAATTATTCAACATTTTCAATGCATCTTGATTGGCAAAAAGTGCAAATGGAAAGTGTGGAACTTGCGCGGCGATGTGCATCAATTGTGGCCAGAATGCCGTGCCAAATGGATTGGTGTTGCCATTTCCAGCAGCGGTGGTGAGTTGAGCGAAGAACGGCTTGTAGATGGTGTTCATTTCGCAAATTGGTCGATGTTTGATAAGAGCGGCGTGTGATGGCATTTGTTGCTGACAACTTGAACACTGCCAACCGTCCTGTAATAAAGACATTTTATAATGAGGAACAAAAAAAAACAGAAAAAATGAGACAAGAACATTTGCTTGCGCAAATTCAGAAAAGTGCAATGGGAATTGGGAGTGATTCAAAATGATGTGAAGCCTTCTCTTTTCATAAAATTTTTGAATAACCAAAACATGTCTTCAACACACACAATACCTGCTCATTAGACAGGGCAAAAGCCGCCTAATGATCAGACCACCCACAAATAATTAGCTAGTCGAGATTATCTTCCTCTTCAGGTTTCTCAATTTTTTTTTTGAAATTTCGAATCTAAGTTTTGATGATTAATAAAAAAGAAAAAAACAAACTTCGAGAACAAAATTAAAACCAAAAAATGATAAGAATTCTACCGTTCAGCTGCTTCTTTTATTCTAAAAATTAGATAAGGATGCGACCTTTCCTTCTCCAAAAAAAAAGAGCAACCTTCCCAAAAATGATGAAGATGATGACACCTGGAGAAGGAAAAAAGTGGGAGGAGCTTTGGGTGGTGGCACACGGTAAATAAACAGATTTATTGTTATTCTTTATATTAATAATAGGATTTGGGATCACTTTAGATTGAGAAGGAGGGAAGAGGAAGAAGATTGGACACGCCCATTTTTGGTCGGATTTGATTTCGCGCAAAAAATTGGGAATTTGGAAAGTTGGATGAATTTTTAAAAGGACAAGTACGAATTTTAGCGCGGAATTTTGAGTTTTCAAAATTCGGGGTCAAATTTTGAAGTTTTGTCTCGCGCTATAAATCATTGGATTACCGTAAATACCGTAGAATTTGCAGATTTTCAAACTTGAATTTAAAAATTTTGGGTTACTGTAGGATATCCAAACTTTCAGGTGTTCGAGACCTAATTTTGATATCCTCCAAAATTAGCCAGGGAATATATAAGTTTGGATCAACAGTTCTTAATTTTCCCAATCTCAATTTTTTTTTCAACTTTCCTCGAAAAAATCTTCTCTCCCTCTCAAACCGCAAAAAAGGTAAACCAGTTTCGAAAAAAAATGAGAAAAGCCAGGTATCTCTTTAAAAGTAAGGCCATTGTGCTTTTGATACATTTTGCCACGATTGTTTTTCCGTTTCTTTTCATGTGACTTTCTTTTTCTCTCTTTTTTCGGCGACTTCTTTTGATTTAACTTACGCAATAACATGTTTTCACACAAAATTTTGTGAGACAGACGAAAAATTTTTTTGAAGGACTCGCATGCAATTAGCGAATACTCTCGAGTGATAAAATAACCTTTTTGGGGAGAGAGAATGATTTCAAGACAAGAGAAAAAACTAACCAAATGAACTCTTCGATGTCTGCAAAGATTTGAGAATTGGGTGTAGGATTTGGAGCAAATGTGGCAGCGGAAGGGTTTCAATGAGCAGTGAATATGCGAGTGTTGTTTCAAACCGCTGAAAAAAATGGGTTGAGTTGGAAAAGTTTCAGATAGAAAAAACTATGTTTTAAAATTATTGACAAAAATTTCAGTTCAGGAAATGACAGAAAATTTTAAAAATGAATTTTCAGCCTTTCGCGCACTCAGAACCTTGAAATCTGCAAATTCCTTACACCCTTAGGTTCAAGTACTAGCCAGGTTCCCAGTTTTTCAGATTCCCCCATTTACAAGTTTAAAAAAAAATTGAATTCGGACTTTTTGAGCAAAAATTTGGAATGGAGCGTGCTTGCATTTTGGCGCGAAAATTTGAATACTTTTTCATGTAGGAAACCAGGAAGAATCTAGGAAGAATCTTGTCTACCTCGTTAAAATCCCCCTTTAAAAATCAATAATTCTGGTTTATTTGCTGTTCCATTAATTGACTCGACTTTTTGCATGTTTATTTATTCAAGCTTCTAATCCTCCTCCTACTTATTCTATATTCTATCTACAGTACTCTTTCTCTTCTGAGATGCGCGAACAGGTGTAATTTCTCCATCATCTTCTTCTTCTTCTCCATCTATTTTTTGTTTACATAGTATCACGCATGCTCAGAAGAGCCCACGAAGAGAAGAAAAACACAGTAGGAAATATTTTAGTGTATTGTTGGCAATATTGTTATTATTATTATATAAAAAAGAGTAATATAATAATGAAGAGGTCCAATTTTCAAGTCAAGTACACTTCTCGTTTCATTTGGAATGAATTTGTCATCACAAAATTTGTTTTTTTTTTCTGGTCAATATCAGACAGGGGAAGAACGGAAGACAGGAAGAATTATGATAGATGACATTTTTGGGAGGAAAAAATACTGATAGCGAACGAGCAGCGAAAATATTATGCACACACACACACAGACATTTTTGAAATTCACATTGATAAGTGTTCTTCTGTCCTGTTTGGAATTACAAATTTTGTATAATTTTGCACGTAGCATTTCAAGGGGAACCCAATTTTGGGAAAATTATAATTCCTGGTAGATTTTGAGATTAGTTGATCACTTGAGCATGAGCTATGACGTGGCAAAGTGAACTACGCGCGACGCTTAAAAAAATAACACATCTAGCTGAAAATCTAGCTCAAAAAAGTGCAAATTCTATTTTCGTCAAAGTTCAATTCAACAAATTTGTCACTATGATCTACAAATCATCTTTTGACTCACCTTGCACTGCTAAAACTTTTCGGGCAAACTCCACACTTGTGAGTTTGAGCACCTTCTGGCACAATTTGTCCGGGCGCCAATTCTCCAATTTCACGAATTGGTTTTGTGTCTTGATTTGATGAGCTGAAAAACATAGGAATGATATTAAATTAGAATCTCGTGATAAAGTATAAAAGTGCAAATTCTTGGAAACATGACTAAAAAGTACAAGGGAAGATTGATAATTTTGAAAACATACATAAGTAGAGGAAAACTTTCCGGGAAAAGTGAGAAGCAAAATGAGAAGGATGCTCTTGTCAACGACCCTCATCTACACAGATTCTCCTCCTCCTCCTATTTTTTTTTCGCTGTTGAATACCAACTAGTTTTCGGGATTTTTCAGGTTATCTTTGATTTTCATCGCCAAAAAGTGAAAAGGATTTATTTATTTGTGTATGTTTTTGTGTTGTAAATTATATAATTTATCAACTTTTTCCAAGAGATTTGTTGAAAATCGGGGGAAATGAGAAGTGAGAAAGTGTAACTTCGAGATTTATAGTTTTTATTTATCGTGGGGGAGACAGAATTCAAGCTGTAATAGACTTCCGAAAATCAGGTTTCAGGATCTGCTTTGGACCCATTCATAATTAAAATCCACTAACCTCTGCTCTTCAATAGGTTCATCCTTAATCGAACAACTTGATCCAGACATACTTCTCTGTCTTATTCTTCTCGATTTCATTTCCTGATTCATTTCGTCTTCTTCTTCATCACACTCTTCCTCTTCTTCGGATAATCTTTGAAGTAAAAGTCTCTCACCAACTTTAATATGTCGACTAGTTTGAAGGAATGTCTGAAAATTGAATGATAATAAAAAGAAGTGTGTCATCATTTTCACTCGAACCTTTGAATCATGTTGTCTTATGCATATATTTGCATCTTCTCCATCTTCAGCTTCTTTTATTAAATTTAAGATTAATAGAGCGTTTGGATCATTTGAAGTTGTCTGAAAGAAGTTGATGAATGAAGTTCAACAAATCAATTTCAGTCCCTCTTATCATTTTTCTTCTCCCCACAATCTTTTCCATAACTCTGAATATAATAATAATAATAATAATAACATCGAAAACAAGCGGCTCTCGCTCTCGCCGCGCGAAATTCAATTTTCCCACAATATTAGGCAGGTGGTTTGATTTAGAGCTGGAGCCTGCACATAATCATCATGGAAGAAGAAAACGTAGTCGAGAAGAATAGGAGAGGAGAGGAGAAAGAGTTAATCTTGTTCGAAAATTGATAAACAAATCATATGGAGGAAAATTGGAATTGGAATAAGTTGGGATACGGTAGAATAGATTTGGAACGGAAAAAAAATGGAAAATTAAATAGATTTGAAAATAAAATGAATAGAATGGTAGAAAATAAGACGTGATAACCCAAATTTTTAGAAAATCATTTTCAAAAAAAATTTTCAGATCAACAAAAAATTAAACTGAAAATCGAGAGATGGCTTAAAGTTGGCTAGTGTAAAATTAACTCAGATCATTTTCCTCTTTAAAAATTCAAAAGTCAGTAGATAATTCAATCAACCACCTAACAGTACTATATAATTATCCAATCCTCTTTTCCCTCTTCCCTTCCCTTCCCACTACAGTACTCCATCATCAATTTTGTACCTTTACCTTACCTAACCAGCAGAAAACAGGTGTTCGTTCATTTCTATTTGTTAATTCATGTTGTTCAATTCAAGGCCCAAAAAAGAGAAGAATAGTATGCGATTCGAGGAGACGCAGAACATCTCAAGAAATTTTGAAAAAGCTGCGAACACATGGTGGTATTGTAATTGCGGTTTGGGATTTTCGATGATGGAAAAATTTTGGAACAGAGGATTTCAAGGTTTTTATTTGAAAATAGTTTGAAATCTTCTATTGTGAATGAAAAATAAGAACTGTGGTGTGGAAAAATCAGAATTCAAATTCAAGATTAATTCAATTTCAGAAAGATTTGACCCAAAATGCTCAATTAAAATTCAGTCTCTCACACACTCTAAAAGCCACCTTGCATCCCCCATTTCCCACCTACCTTATCAATGACTCCAATAAGTCTTCCTGGCTGAATCGGCACAATTGCATTCAACGAATTTCCGTGAACTTCGTCGGTTTTGACTTCGACGTTGTGAAGAAAATCACTATCTATACTCATGATGTGGATAAATCTGGAAAAAAAAGTTGGGAGGATGAGAAAATATAGTGGAAGGTGGAAGAAAAAAAAAGATAGAATCGGGAAGCGAGGAAAATAGATCAGGTTTCATGGTTCCTCAATTTTTAGGTTCAATTAATTTTGTAATTTTTGGGGTGGGAATTATAGAAAAACGGATTTTTAATAGATTTGGAGCTTGTATACCGTATAGACTTCAAAGAACTTATAGAAACTAAATAAATGACTCTGGGACAAAAAAAAAACGATTTAAATTTCAAACCTGATAGCTAAAATGTTAAACTTCAAAAAATCCCTCCTTCAAAATCTTCCGCCAAAAAGATGTGGAAGAATAGTGGGCGGAGCATTTTTGAAAAAGAAAAACGGAAAAAGAAGAATAAGAAGAAGCAAAAAGCTCGTCTTTTAGTCACAAACCAATGCTCCGCCCATTTTCTCCTCATTTCAACCAATCACAAATTGACAAACGGATGAGTCGAGAAGCGGAAAAATGAGGAGAAAGAATTGGATTACTGTGGATGAGCATAATAAAAGTTATTTAGGATTTGAGGAAAAACAATTGAAAAAAAAGTTCCGGGGAAACCTGAGATTTGTTTGAGGAGAAAAGAGACGCAGAGAATAAGAGAAACCATGGGATTGTGAAATTTGGAAACAAAAAACAAGGGGAAAAAATGGTTTTTAAGTAGAATGAATCATTTGAAAATTGCTGGATGAAAAAAAGAATGGGAGAATGATTTTTGATGCGATAAAAAATGAGAGGTTTTGAGAAAAAAGATTTTTGATCTACCAGAAAAAGTTTTGAAAAGTTTTAGGCCTAGAGACAAATAACACACGGTTCGTGGCCAATTTCAATGTTTGAGAACAGTTTTCAGAGTGTCATGGCACAAATTTTTCTGTCTGAAAAATCTGAACTGAAACTTTCTTAAACCTTAATTCAAAAAAAAAATCTGGAAACTTGAGCCTAAGCATTTGAAGTTTTACGCTCTGGCCCCAAAGCTTTTGCTCTAACTTTTCACAATTTGAATTACCTACAGTACCCGCCTCTCCAAAATCACCACTTTTCAAATAAATTCCCACGTTTTCCCTTAAATCCCCTCAATGAACCCATAATTTGAGAACTAACAAAAACGGATGAAAAATAAAAGGAAGAAGAAGAAGAAGAATAAAAAGGTGGGGAGTTGAAGAATAAGAAGAAGAAGAAAAAAGAAGAAGGAGGAGCCATTTTCCGGTTTTTCTATATCGAGAAAAAGCAGGAAAAGGAGAAGAAGAAGAAGAAAGAGCCTTCTTCTTATTCTCTTCATTTTATATTTTACCTGAGAAGAGTTTTGATGATGGAATAAAAGAGAAAGGAATGAAAAAATGAGATGAAGAAAAAGAAATTATGGATATTTTTGACACAGAGTATAATTTTGTACCCGAAGATTTTCCCGCAAAAAGTATGAGAGATTCAGAGAAACTTTTTTCTGATCTACAAGAAAAATTTGAGATCTAGCGTAGATTTTTGGAGTTGGGTTTTAAGGGGGTGTGATTTCCGGTCATGTTTGTACTTTTTGTTGGTCAGGGAACTATATTTGAGCTAGAAAGGAATTTTTTGAGATCTGGAAAACTAATAAAAATTTTGAACAACCTCTGAGGCAAGCTAAGAGAAGACTAGGCATTTTTACATTTCAGATAAAATATTTTTCTGGCTTTTCAAAGACAAGCTAAAACGTGGTGAGTATAACTTGCGTCAGACAAAATATTCGATAATTCAATTTTCAGCGCAAAACTTGCTTGAAATCTTTTGATTTGTTTGTGAATTTCCAGAACATATTTTGGAACACGAGATAAATTATTAATTTTTTCCAAGAATTTACTAGCCTGGATCTTTAGACCTTATCTGGCCTCTGGAACTGTTCTCATAGCCTAATTCTCTCTCACTATTCTAATCTAAAATTCCAAAATTTACAAATCGGTGAACACTTTGAAGCCTAACTATTTCCGATTTTCTCTCTTCCACTCATTCATTCAATTCTTCTCCAGCTCACACCTTCTTCCTTTTTTTTTCTTCCCCAATATTTTGCTCAACTCAACACCCATAATATTCATGCTTAAATGCTCTTCACCTGCTTCTTTCCGGTATAAAAAAGTCTTCTTTTTCTTCTCACTTTTAACGGGAAGAAAGCCAAGAAAAAGAAGCGTTTTGCTCAAATCGATCATGTGTGAAAAAATGAGAAATGGTGAGAAAAATGATGGAATAAGAAGAAGAAGAAAGGAGAAGATAAACTACGGTAGAAGATTTAATTTGGGAAGCAGAAAGTCAGGTGTTTTTTTTGGAATGACGCAAAAGGTAGAGAGAAAAATTATTGAAGAAGGTTAGAATGACCGGATTGCTCTTATTATGATGGTAGATGTTTACATAGAAGAGTGAGAGATGATTCTGAATTGAATACATACTAGAAAAAACCGGATGGCAATTCATTTCACAGTTCGGAAGAGGGGAAAAAAGATGCTATAAATTTTGATGCCACTTTTTAAAGGTTCGATGCGAGACCTTTTCTGGTAGATCGAAAATGTTTTTTTGATCTACGAAGTTTCAAGAAACCTAGAGATTCACAAAATAACTCTCGAACGAGGAACTAAAAACAATCCAGAAAAAAATTCGAAAAAATTTAAAGCCGAAAAAAAATAGCTCATCAATAAGACGAAGCACCTTCTAACTACAAAAAAGGGATTTATCTCTCGCTTTCTCTCGCTTTTTTCATTGAGTACAATTGTCAATTTTCATTCATCACTTATCATAAGTACCCCCATGATCTAACAAAGTCAAGTAAAATAATCGGATCAGAATTCACAAGAAATTTGGGAGAGGAAGAAAACAAATGATCAAAATGCCGATCCATCAGAGCAAATATAAAAGTAGAAACAGGCAAGGCAAGGCAGGCAAAATAAATTGACAGCTCTTTGGCTCGCGGCGACGACGATTTCTTTCGATATATATTCTTCCACTAATATTTGAGGACACAAATAGAAGAGAAAAACCCGAGAATTGAACAGATATACATGGAAAATATCGAAATGAGAAGAGAAGAAGAAATGATTGGCAGGACGATCAACATAAACATTGAGCAACAAAAAAAACACAGAAATGAAACGAACTCGATGATCAAATGCGGATATTGAATTTATATTTGGAGGGTTCAGGAAAAGAGAACATGAAACTATAGTCTAGTCATAAAAATTTAAGATCCTTTGGAAGCGGAAATCTTCAGACATTTATCATCTTTGTAATTTTTTGAACAATTTTCGAATCTGATAAACTTGGAACACATTTTTATCAGAAATTTGTGACGTCAAGTTAAATTTTTCTGAATTTTTTGAAAAGATTCTTCTTTTTTTTTTTGTTTTGGATCAATGTTTAAAAAAGTACGAACTTGAAATTCGCAAAAATAATCTTGAGAAAATTATTCGAAATAAATAATAACTTGGGAATGTTTTTTTCCAAAATTTGTATTTTTTAAAAAATGCGCGAAAAATATCTGGGAAATTCAAAACCAAAAAAAGTTTGAAATGAGTGAATCATGAGATGTTCTTAAAATGTCCAACCAATGATTATTTTCTAAATCGAAGCTGTCTTTTTCTTATTTTCTCTACCGTTATTACCAACCCCATAATTATAAGAAACAATAATCAATGAAGCGCATTTTGTCTTCTTATTTTCGCTGTTCCCATCCTAACTACCTAATCTCGTACACATAATTAAGAGCAGGTGAAATTTTGAGCGAAAAATAGGACAATAAGGAAAAAATAAGAAAAAAGGAGCAAAGGAAGAAAAGGTTAATAACAGTTTGTTCGAGAAGAAATGCGCGCGCAAAATTTTAATGGATTCGCATTCAGAGTGCAACACAAACATGGTTTGAAAATGGGTGACGAATAGATGGGTGGGTGGAGTTAGCGTATATTCTGAAATGGTTTGAAAAACATTGTGTACTATTCAAAAACTGTTATCAACAACATTTCTCTTGCCAAATAGAGAAAAAGATGTGCAGCGATAATAACATACACATTTCAAATGTGTTTCCCATCAGCACGATGGCCGAGTGGTTAAGGCGTTGGACTTAAGTTCCAATGGATGCGAAATCCGCGTGGGTTCGAACCCCACTCGTGCTATAAGTTTTTATTTTTTTTTTGAATTTTTTCGGAGATTCATCAAAAAGTGCAATCTTCAATGCCCTTTAGGTCCCTCAAATAAATACTAATGCATAATTGATTTGAAAGCCTTCAATCACAAAGAAATGAATAAATGAGATATCTAAAAGGTGTTTTCTGTCATCGGAGAAGCGAAAAAAAAGAAGAAAAACGAAGGTAATCTCGAATGTATAGCTCATCTAAATTTGATGAAGAAAAGGACGTGATTTTTGGAGGAGAAAAGGTAGAAAGAAGTAGAAAGAAGAAGAAGAAATGAAATAGAGGGTTCTTCTTTTTGTGCCTGTTAATTATATACGAATTGCCTGCACTTGCGGGTTTTTCTATCATCTCGCTTAATTTCAGGTTATGAAATGAAAGAGAAAGAGGAGCTCCCCTTATTATTGATAGATTTTCGAGAAAACCTTGAGGCACGCGGAAAACTTCACAAAAATTGCGCAATGTTTTTCATCCCATTCACATGAGACACGATGCGAAAAATTGTTAGGAATGGAATTGTTTTATTGTTTGGAGGAGAGGAAATGTGGGAATCGGAATGGAATGGGCGCGAAAATTGTGAGGATTTGAAAACTTATTTACAGTTGAACAAATTTTTAATAGACAAAAAGGGAGCTGTGAGCAGTTATGAATTTTTGAGCTTCTGAGAATAGAAAAAATTTAATTTTTTTGAAAACCCGTAATAATTCACAGAAATCGACTAATCAAAAAACATATACAAAACTTCGAAAAAAAATTCTGGAAGTCAAGTTCTCAAATTTTTATCAAAGTTCAAATTGAAAATTTTAGTTTTTTGTTGGAAATATGGGAACTGAAAAACTGTCAAAAATACTGAAAATATCGAAGTTTCAGTTAGAAATCGGGATTTTCAGCTCCCAGACCAGAAAATGTTATTCTAGAAATTGATTTCCGTTTTTTTTTCAGCCAGCTTTTGAAAAGCTTCTTTATTCCAAATTTATTTTTATTCCCAAACTTTTCCAGAATTTTCAAAAGCCAAAAAAATGTTTTTAGAATTTCCCTTTGACTACCGTACTTTTTCTTTGATTTCTTTTCTCCTGAAACCCTTTATTCATTTCATTTTCTCTCTGAATCCCCTCTTTTTCAGTCATGCAAATTCAACCCTTTCATACAAAAAATCTCGTTCGTGTTCCACGAAAACAAAAGAAATGCGCAAACGAGTCATGCAAAAACCTTTTTTTCTCTTCGGAAGAAGAAGATTACTGTAGTTGTTATAAATATAAAAAAAGAAGGAATATTTGAATGAATAGAATAGGAATAGGGAACTGTTATATGAATATTTTCGATTAAATGGTAGTTGTGAGTCAGAATTTGTCTATTTTGTATATAATAAACTATTTATTTATTTTGTGAGCTACATATTTTCTTGTGTGAATAGGTGCAAAAATCCTCAAGAAAAAAGGGGAGATGTAGTTAATTAAAATGTAACCAGACAACTCATTTCTTATTCTAGATGTCGTGTAACATTTCGCGGATTATCCGAGCAATTTCAATTTCAATTAACAAACATATGTGTTCTCATCAAATCTTTTCCACCTTTCCTCTCTTTTTCAAATAAATATTTAATTAGACAAAAGAAAAAAGACAACAAAAACAAGAATCATAATAATAACACGATAATTAATAAAAATAAAAGCGATAAAAATACAGTAAGCCTTTTGGAGGGCCTTTGCGGCTCACCTCGTTCTTACCTTGATTAACTGGGGGCTGAATAATGTCGTAAAAATTTATGTATTTGTTGCATGCTCGAGATTTTATGGCATATAAAGTTGATTTGTTGATTGAAACGAGGGAGCAGGTTAAAATCTATGCACAGGGAGAAACATGCCGTTTTGACAAACTTCTTTTCGATCGCAATATGGAACGGCAATGAAATCTTCGACTTTGTTGTTTTGAGCATCGAAACAGAGTTCGTGATAACAATCCGTGCATAAATAGCCGGGACAATTTGGAAGAAGATTTTGATGTTGTAGAATTGCCCAATGTGCATATTCAGCTCGACAAACATTGCAATTGATTCGACGGAAGTTTCGCTCGAAAATATGACGAGGAAGAACTGCGTTTTCATACGATTCGTTCCTGAAAAATTGTTTTTTTTTAATTTTCTGACAAAGAATCTTTTGAAAAGTTAAATTACCTGTGTGATAATTCATTGAAAACAATGAGATGTTCACAAGTTCCTTGATGAATAAAAACATAAGGTTGTCCAAGTCGAGCTGTCAATTGATCCAATCTACAAATTTATAATATATTTTTCATACTTGTTCTTGCAAAAACCAAAAAGTACCTTGTGGTTCTCATGTCTTTGACATGCATTTCCCCAACTGATGATTTCGTTGCAGCCCAGTTTCGAATTGTTCTGCAATCAGAAAACTTTTGCATTAGAAAATAAAATTCTGACAAAAATCTTACTCTGATGGATCGGTATTATTGTCCGGATTATCAACATAAAACGTGTCATGAATGAAGAAAAATGAAACTGCGTATTTGTTTTTCGAAAAGTCAGCAGGGGTTGGCTGTTTTTGACTGAAATCTTCGGTGAATCGGTATTCCGATGGGCATGAAAATGCGTTTTTCAGTTCGAGAAGTGTGTGACATCCACTTAATTCAATTCGATCAGTTACTTTCAGCTGAAATTAAGACATTTTGGGATCTTGAACTTGACCAATCAATCTTACTCTTCTTCCGAGTCGAACTTCGTGTGGAGTTAATTCTCGACTATATCCAATATAAATTGAGACATTGACAATAAGGTTACTCTGAAAGCACCGATTTTTTTGGGACTTCACAGATTAATTTTAGAAAAAGAACTTACATCAAGATTCAAATCGATTTTATCTTCCGGATCAACCACACAAAATGGAGAATGTCTGCTCATAACAGATTTTTCAATATAATCATAGCGCAATGCTCGAAGAGCAATTGACTTATATTGAGGATTTCGACGACGATTTGTCTCGTGAATCAAATGTTTTTGTGATGTCAAATTGTTTCTCTCTTTTGTGTTATCCAATTTTGTTGAAGCTGAAGCTGTTGATCGAATATCAGAATTGCTGAAAAATGGAAACGAATCATTGAAAGATATATATATTCAAGGTTTCACAAACTCGATAGAAGATTGAAAAAGATCCGCTGTTACTTGACTCATTCTTTCATCGATCAATAACTTTTCGACAACATCTGTCTCTTCTTGATTTTTTTCGTCAACTGGATTCAATTCATTTTGCGCAGTACAAGCCGAAAACGCTCTGGAACTTTAAAAATGTATGTTTTAATTCGGATTCTGATTTATGTTCAACTCACCCAAAAAACACTGGCAAACTGACATATTCCCGCGCCTCGGTTCGAAGCAAAAAGTCCATCGACATTTTATTACTAGGAAAATGAAAAATAGGATTTTATTCGAAATTGCAGTTTTTTTTGCAAACCAATTTGTTTTCCACGAATGCCGCGTGGAAAACATCGAGACCCATAAGAGTACGGTCACACAATGTCAGCTGTGTGTTTTATTTATTTTTCGAAAAAATTCTTTTTGATCTTGTGTATCGCGCGAGCGCGAAACATGTGTGTTTCGAAATATCGGGCAAGTATAAAAGGTGAGTTTCGCGAAAAAAAGCGTCAGTTTTAGTTTTTCACATCATTTTTTCACGAAACCTAACCGTTTTTTTTCTTTTGCAGATCTACTAACCTGTACATCCAATTTCTGTTCATTATCAATCAACAATGAGCAACGATTCGGTTAAGAGTGAAGCCAACGACTCGGATTTCTTCTCTCCATCGCCGAAAACATTCACAACTGATATTAACATGTTTAATGGATCTTTTGACAGTAAGAAAGCACATCAAGGATTCGAAAACATTTCAAATAACATCAAAAATTTCAGCTGGGTTCGCTCCAAACTTATCATTGTTCGATTTCGTTCAATTTCGTCAACCAAATGTCTTCTCACCACAACCACTAATCAATGTAAGTTTCGAAAATCAATCAATCAATAAAAAACGCTTTTTCCAGGAGTCCAAACTTTTCCAACCAATTGGAAACTGTCGTTTGTCTGCGGCTCTCAATCCCTTGACTCCAAGCAATCGCAACAATTTTTCCACATCTTTGGAGTTCCGCGAAGTCGTTGATCGTCTTCCCGATTTGACTTGCCAAGATGAAAGTTTCGCCAGTTTCCAAAATCAAAACAACTCGTTTGTTGGCAATTTTTCGAGCGCAGTTCGTTCAACTCGTCTTCTTCCTGCTTGGGCTGTCGATGAAAACAATCATATTCGTGGCGATTTAACAATCATTGATGTTATTCGAAATGGATCATTGATTGATTTCGCAATGGATCGCACAGGAGTCAAGTTTTTGGAGAAGAACTATCCAACTGATGCAGAAAGTGATGTTCATCGCTTGTTGTTCGAAAAATTGACTGAACAACCAGCAGTTTTCATTGTAAGTTGTTTGGAATTTGGAATTTCAAACATTCAAATCAATTTTTTCCAGGGTTTGTGTCGCAGTTCCGCTGGCAACTTCATTGTTCAAAAGTTCGTCGAATTTTCAACAATTCGTGAGCAAGAACAATTAGTTCGCACAATGGTTGATAGTGGATTATTCAGCATGTGTTTGGATAAATTCGCATGCCGTGTTGTTCAATTGGCAATTCAAAAGTTCGATGTAACTGTCTCGACACTTCTTGTCTCCGAAATCAGTCAACTCGATCTTATGCCACTTTGCACTGATCAATGCGCAATTCATGTCATTCAAAAAATCGTCAAAACAATGCCAATCAATTCATGGAGTTTCTTTGTCAAATTTCTTTGTCGCGATGACAATTTGATGACTGTTTGTCAAGATAAATACGGTTGTCGACTTGTTCAACAAACAATCGATAAATTATCGGATAATCCAAAAAGCCCATGTTTCAACACTCGTTCACAATTATTACACGGTTTGATGACATCGGTTGCTAGAAATTGCTATCGTTTGGCATCAAATGAATTTGCCAATTATGTTGTGCAATATGTAATTAAATCAAGTGGAATAATGGAAATGTATCGAGATTCGATCATTGAGAAGTGCCTTCTTCGCAATCTTCTTTCAATGTCTCAAGATAAATATGCATCGCATGTTGTTGAAGGAGCATTCTTGTTTGCTCCACACAAATTGTTGAATGAAATGATGGATGAAATATTTGATGGATATGTTAAAGATTCGGAAACAAATCGAGATGCGCTGGATATTCTTCTTTTCCATCAATATGGAAATTATGTTATTCAACAAATGATTTCGATTTGTATTTCGGCTTTGTTGGGAAAAGAAGAACGCAAATTGAATCCAACTGATCTTCGAACTTATGCCAAATGGTTTGAACGCATCAAACTTCGTGTTAATCGCCATGCAGCAAGACTTGAAAGGTATATTTTAGAGGGTTTGCACAGACGCCAAAAATCAAAATGTATCTAAATATTTTTCGAATGTTTCGGCTGTTGCATTTAGGTCACGCCACGGAAATTTTTAATTTTTGAAAAATTTCATTAAATTGTTTTTAAATTTAGAAAAAAAACATAATATTTTCAGATTCTCATCTGGAAAGAAGATAATCGAATCAATTCAAAAGATCAATTCAAATGCAACACCATTCCAACTTCCATCAATTTTCAATCCAACTGCACCTGAATCAATTTGGTCACTTCCACCAGTTCAAAATGCAACAAATCTTCTCGATGTTTCCGCACATTTTAATAATCATCAATCAGTTTTTGATGATTAATCAAACACATTTTATCAAAGAGTTCAAAAATTTCAAAAATTACAACTAACAACAAAATACAAATAACACAATTTATTAACCGTTTTTTGTATATGTGGGTAATTTTCAAATTCCCATAAGTTATTTTTGTAATAATATATAACTCTAGCCCCTCTTTCCCCTACCCCAAAACTTTCTTGTAAATACCTATTTTCTTTTTTACCATATCATATATCTGCATGCCTGCCTGCCTTTTTGTTTTTGGTTGTCCTTTTGACACCAAACCTCTCTTTATAGTTCAAAAATAGCATTTTGTAACATATCTAATCATTGAATCCAGAATGCCTCAAATCATGTTATTTTATCTTGAAATGAAGTATTCGTAACAAAAATAATTTATTCAATTATATTTTCAACAAGTTCTTCTCCACAATTTCTATTTTTCATCCGATTTTTTCATACTTTTTGCAGCCTTTTTGATGATTTGCAACATTATGGTATCTTCGGTGTCCTCCAACGAATTCGGTGGTGCTTGTGTTTGGGTTTCTCCGAACTCGTCAACGCATTTTTCCGGTTGGAAAAACTGAAACAATTTTTGTTATTAATAGAACAATTTAATGCGTTTGGAGGCTCCTCGAGCAAAAACGCGTCTTATATCAACAACTGAATTCATAAAAAAAGTCAACTCACTTTTTTACCAGAATTTGTTTTTGATGTTGATTGGTTTATCAAAGTGCTCGAAAAAACGTTTTCTGGTATGACCATAGTACTATGATTGAACGTTGAGTCCTGAAAATATATGTGTTGGTTATTTTGAGGTTTCTTCCCAAACATTTTAAATTACCTCTTTTTTATTCCATGCGAAAAAAAAGTCAGAAATTTATGCCAGTGGGGAATACGTTTCGCCAGGCAGTGAAAGAATAAATGCAGAAACCTCTTTATTCCAATCAATGAGTTGCCTTGTATCACTTATTGTTAAGTGTACTCCATGAAAAGTACACATGTATTGTTCCATAACCTCATCAATTTTGACACGATGATGTTTGAGCAATTCAAATTTTATATTCATTTTGATTGTTTTTCGCCATGATCGAAGAACAAATACTCTGAACGCACATCTTATTATATCATGTGTTTCATTTGTATTGTAGATAGAGGCAAATTGCTGCCAAATCCAATTTTGATCGAATTGTTCGACTGGCACTACCTCAGTTCTTCTAAATAATGTTTGATTTTATTTTCTAGATGATGGTTAATTTTATAATGTGGAGGAAATTGATGCAATTTTGATTCTACATTTAAATAGAAATGTGTTTTTGTGTGAGCCAGCTGATCGAAAAAAGACAATTATATGAAAAACTCATTAAAATGATACAATTTCCACTGTCACTGCCACTTCAAAAAAAAGCCAATGTGTTCAATCAAAATGAGTTGAGGAGATCTTATAACTGGTTGATGACTTACTGGTTGATGAAATCGATGAATTTGTTTTCGAGTTGATAACTCAAATCGATTGACAATTCGATAGTTGAGAGTTTGGCCGAATTGTTCGAAATGTTCGACATTGATTCTGAAAATTTGTCACATCATATTTTCTTCGCCGCCACCTATGATACGTCACACGTACACGTGAAATAATTTACAATAATTGTCTCTTTTTTGTTTTTTTATACCATTCCAACAATGATGAGGTTCAAAATATAATTACAGAAAAATTGAAACTGGAATAAATGAGGAGACTGTTACGCCTAGGGGCTCACAGCCCCTAGTCTTTTTATAATAAAAATTGAAAAATAACGGAACGTGGTAAAATTAATTGGAACATTTTAAAAGGTCACGCAATAAATATCTTTCTTATATATTAAACGGCGTTCCGTCTGTCCCGTTTGACCTACTTTTGTGCCCTAGATTTAATTTAAATAATTTGACGTGAGTCATTTTGCTCATTTCTGATTTTTCAAAAACATTTGGATTGCCGCATTACTTTTCTACACTATGTTTTGAAATGTAGCGAAGCATTTGAGTTTATTAAAAGAGGGCTCGCATTTGTAAGAGTAAGACAAACTCTTGAAGGTAGAAGCTAAAGAAATAATATTTGATTTTTTTTTTCAATTTTTCTATAAAATTATTATTGGAAAGCTCCGAGGGTGATAGACCTAGGAATGTAAATTGTGAAATGATAATTTTTGCTTTCACTTTTGGGAGCAAATTTCACCCAAGACCTGTAGAATTGCTCTAGAAAATTTCATAGCCCAAGAAAAAAAACACTACAATGTGTTTTATTTTGGAAAAGTTTAAAACCAAAATGGTTTTGAAAACTGTTTCGTAAATAGAAGAACGAAGGTTGTAGGATTACAAATATTTTTTATAGAAAAATTGAAGTGACAAGCTATTTGTGTGTAATTAATACATAAATAAAAGTTTAATGAACACGCCAGATTCAGATCCTGAAACTACACAACGCACATTTATAGGTAAGCTAGTTTTCAACGCAAAATGTTGCCAAAAGTAAGGCGACTTCGAAGTAACAGATTCTTGAATGATGTATGTCCATTATAGTCATACCACGCCCAGCTTCGTGCAAATTAACTTTAAAAATTGGCGGTGTGGGTTTTGAAAATTTTTGGCGAGGTGGAAACAACCTTTTTGACTGAAAAATACGACTTTTTTACGGAAAAACTAGCAAAAATTTGCTGTTTTTGAAGAAAATCTCAAATTGGCGAGGTGAATTGCCGTACTTTTCTATTGGCGCCGTGCAAATGCCTCACCCTGGGCGTGGTATGATTATAGTTCACATAACATTTTTCAATTAATTACGTTGGAAAACTTCCAAAAAGTTCATTTTTCAAGAAAAATCCATGGATTTCACAATTCTAATTTTATGACTAGGGGCTGTTAGCCCCCAGGCGTAACAGTGTTCTCATTTATTTCAGTTTCACCTTTTTCAGTGGAAAATTGACTTACAATTGAATTCATGGAAAATTACAACCAAATTTCGATATACAAAATTTCAATTAGGAATCGTTCCTAATTTTGCCAAGGATGACGTCTTTTGATCAAAAAACTTGAAATTTTTCATGAATTTGATTGTAATTTACTGGTTTATAATTGAATTCGTTTTTTACTGGTTTATAATTGAATTAAAATATTGATAATACACCACGATGCGACTACTGAACCCAAAACCCATTAAATGGTTTCTCGAAAATTAAAAGCGAAAAGTTTATGAAATAATTTAAGATAAAGAAACATAATCAATAGAAAAGAAATAAGATATCAACAAAAAACACGTAATTTAAGTTTTTGTTCTATTTCTTATTAAATAGGTCAAAAATGTCTAAATAATGATTAATACAAAAACAAGAATGAAACGACCGGCTAACGCCGGTCTTCATTCTTGTTGCTACGCAGCCTTCGGCTGCGTGCTGAAGTCCGTATCTTACAGTAATATCTCATAAAGTTTCATAAAATTAGAATTGTGAAACTCGGGCCGATTTTTTTTCATTCAAAAAAAAAAACTCGGGCCGACTTTTTTTCATCTAACAATTTTTTGATCGAAAAATGTCTCGTGGCTAAATTAGGAATAGTTCCTAATTTTGCCATGGATGACGTCATCGATCAATTTTTCGAAAAAAAAAAGGGTAAAGTTTTTTATTCATAATCACTATTGAAAGTTGTTTATAAATTACTATGTTTGAATGATTAGATGACGCTTTGAATTACACTTGATGGTATAGGATCAGCTTCCAGATTTTATTGAAAAACAAACTATGAAATATTTCATAGGTAGATTAATTTTTTCATAGTTTTATGCACGCGATTTCCAGTTTGTTTTGAATTTATTTATTTTTCTTTTATAATCTATGTATGTCTTATTAAACTTTACAATTTGTATTCCCAGGCGTCACTTTTTTAAAAGAAATCTTTTTTTCTCACGTCAGCTTAGAATTAGCTGCGAAAAATAGGTTTTTCTTCAAAAATTTAGAATTTATGAGGATTTTCTGACTGTTTCGCCTAGTGGGGCACCGCCCCTTCAATGAATAATTATTTCTGATTTTTTGCATTTCGAAATTTAGTGAAGAAAAAAAGATAAAATCGAAACAATTATTTAAAAAACGTGAAACGTGTAATCGTGGCAGGGGGCGGAATCGACAGGAAAAAAGTCAGAAATGTATGCCTGTGGGGAATACGTTTCACCAGGCTGTGAAAGAATAAAGCAACTTTTTATCATCATTGTCAAGTGCACTCCGTGTAGTGATAAATATTGCTCGATCAACGGATTGATTTGACTTTATAATGTTTGAGCATATCCAATTTGATTGTCATTTTTATTGGTTTATGCCATACTCGTTGTATAAATACTTTGAATGCGCATATTATTATATCATGTGTTGAATTTATATTGTAGATTGACGCAAATTGTTTTCAAATCCATTTCTCAACGAATTGTTTCGACTGGCACTACCTCAGCTCTTCTAAATAATGTTCAATTATATTTTTCTAGATGGTGGTTAATTTTATAATGTGGAGGAAATTGATACAATTTTGATTCCACATTCAAATAAAAATGTTTTTTTGTGTGAGCCAGCAGATCGAAAAAGATCTTAGATAGCGAAATTGTTTTTAAAATGGGTCCATTCTAGAGTAAATTATATTGGTTTCTTATTTCTTTTCTATTGATTAAGTTTCTTTATCTTTATTTCAATAATTATTTATTTTTTTTAATCATCTAGGTTTTTGAATTGACTACAATTCTGGAAAATTCAAAAATTCTACAGTAGCAGAAAAAACAAATTCTCGCGTGAATCGGAAGGCGGGATTTATTTGGCAAGGTGCGGCACGTTTTTTTTCAATGAATAATTATTTCTGATTTTTTGCATTTCGAAATTTAGTGGAGAAAAAAAGTTGAAAACGAAAAAATTATTTAAAAAACGTGAAACGTGTAATCGTGGCAAGGGGGCGGAATCGACAGGAAAAAAAGTCAGAAATTTATGCCTGTGGGGAATACGTTTCATTGACATTCATTGACGTTATATTGACATCGTGATATGATATTATGAAATCCTTTATAATGAAGTCGATTTTTATTTTGAAATATCTCATAAATTTCAATTTTATGTCGGCTTCAATCGGCTGAAACCACAATCTATGAACAAAAACGGCAAAAGCGGGCTGTATATCAATAGTTGAATCAATATTGTATATTGATGCAAATAAATTCCACAGCCATATTTGATCAAATTGTTCGATTGGGATATCTGATCTTCTAAATAATGTTTAATTATATTTTTCTGGATAGTGGTTAATTTTATAATTTGGAGGAAATTGATGCAATTCTGATTCTACATCTAAATAGAAATGTTTTTTTGTGTGAGCCAGCAGATCGAAAATAATCTTAGATTTTTCTAAAATGGGCACATTTCAGAACAAAATAATATAAGAACTCATTAGAAAGACACAATTTCCACTTCAAAAAAACCATTACGTCCAATATAAAAATTAGTTGAGGAGATATTATGACTGGGAAATGACTTACTTCGTGATGAAATCCACGAATTTCGATTCCAATTCTTGTGCTCTCTCTACAAGTGTTTCAACATTCGATTGTTTTTGTATTGGCTCTACAACAAATTCAAAATGGATCAATCGATTTTGATGCCATTTTATCGATTTCAATGTTATTGATCTTTCAATGAATAATTTTCCATTATCATTGATAACTACATCGAGATGTTTGATCAACTTCAACTTTTTTGCATCTTCTATTTCATTCGATACAGATTGGGCACCATCACATTTTGATAACTGTAATAATGTGATTGTTTCAAAAAAATAAGAAAAATCACTTACTGCTCAAATAGCTCATCTGATTCAATATCAGGCAAAATATTCGATTTTAAAAATTGAGCAAAAAACGCAACATCAACGACATTTTGCTTTTTATTTGAAACAATACTTCTGAAAAATTGAAAAGTCAATTTGAAAATGAGGTTGTTCACCTTACTTAAAAATATAGTTCCAAATGATATTCTCGTTTTTAAGCAATAAAACATCTGAAGAATCCATTGATTCTGAAAATTTGTCACATCACATTTTATTTATGAATCTTCTTTTGGAAATAGGGAACATTTTTTTCAACTCACCGACATCACTAATTCTCTCATTAATTTTGGGCTCCCCGGCATTTTTGTTGGAAGTGTTGCGAGCATGCCGAGTTCATTTCCGAACAATTTTTTAACTTGATTGTTAAAATAATTGAACATAGTTGTTCTTTTTGTCTGTTTCATGAATACTTTTTATTATAAATTGAAAAATAAGGGAACGTGGTAAAATTAATTGGAACATTTTTAAAAGGTCACGCAATAAATATTTTTGTATTGATCATTATTTAGAAATTTTGGAAATAATTAATAAGAAATTGAAAAAAAAACCTTAAATTACGTGTTTTTTATTGATATCTTATTTCTTTTCTATTGATTATGTTTCTTTATCTTAAATTATTTCATAAACTTTTTTCTTTTGATTTTCGAGAGTTTAAATTATTTGGGATTTTGAATTTAATACATTTCTGGATGAATTCCGAAATTCTACAGTAATCTCATATTTTTTGAACTACAGTAACCCATCTGCTACAACATGTTATTTTATCTTGAAATGAAGTATTCGTCAAAAAATAATTTATTCAATTATATTTTCAAAAAGTATTTTCTTCTCCACCAATTCTATTTTTCATCCGATTTTTTCACATTTTTGGCGGCCTTTTTGATAATTTTCAACATTATGGAATCTTCGGTGTCCTCCAACAAATTCAGTGGTGCATGTGTTTGCGTTTCTCCAAATTCGTCAACATATTTTTCCGGTTGGCACAGGCATAAATTCTTGACTTTTTTTTAATTCAGAAATGACTGTCGCAGAAAAAAACGAATTCTCGCGTGAATCGGGAGGCGGGATTTATTTTGCAAGGTGCGGCACGTTTTTTTTTTAACAATAATTATTTCTGATTTTTTGCATTTCGAAATTTAGTGAAGAAAAAAAAGATGAAATCGAAAAATTATTTAAAAAACGTGGAACGTGTAATCGTGGCAGGGGGCGGAGTCGACAGGAAAAAAAGTCAGAAATTTATGCCTGTGGGGAATACGTTTCGCCAGGCTGTGAAAGAATCAATCCATTTCTCATCGGACAATAGTACTATGATTGTACGTTGTATAACTAAAAAGAGCCGATTTTTTTGGAAAAAAATCGGCCCGAGTTTTTCCAAATTTATAGAAAATTTCAAGTTTTTTTATCAAAAAATGATTCGTGGCAAAATCAGGAAGGCTTCCTAATTTTGCCATGGATGAAGTCATCAAACTATTTTTCATAAAACATAATTGAATCTCTTTTTTTATTTGCATAATTATAGACATTACCGTCTCCAAACCGATATTTATGATTTTTTCTCAATAATTTCATTTCTGGATGAAATTCTGAATTTTCTTGTTTTTTTAACAGTGTTAAAAATTTTCATTCAATTTTTTTTAGCTTCAAAGTTGGTTCTGGGTGGCTTACTAAGCCTAAGCCTGAGAGGAAGTGTCATTTAGGTCCCAACTCATCGACTTCATTTTTACGTTTTTGGATTATTCTAAATCTGATACTTTTTTTTGTTGACTGTATACACGAAAATAAAAATTTCAATTTTTGTCAGCTACCCGCTCAAATCGAAATTTTCATTTGGGCGGGTATTTTTGTCAAACAAAAAAAATCGGGCCGATTTTTTTTGTTGGAAAAACTCGGGCCATCACAGAAAAAAGTGAAACTGAAAAAAATGAGAAGACTGTTACGCCTGGGGGCTAACAGCCCCTAGTCTACCATTCAATAAAATCGCACAGTGTACAATTCGTATAGAAATAGTTTTTCCGGATTTTTGTGACAACGGCGGATATTTTTTCCGAAAAAAGCTGAAAAAAACCACTCAAAAACGAGAAAAAAAAACAAAAAATAAAAATGGCGTGCAAAAAAATAAAAGAAAAACAACGATACTCCGCTTGCGCGTTGTTTAGCGTGTTTATTTTGTTGTTTTTTTGCAGGGTAGATGAGAGAGTGTGGGAAATGGAGAGAGGGTTAGAGAGCGAGAGAGAGAGATATATGTTTTTTATTTGAAAAGACATTATTGATTGAACGTTTTTTTTCGAATTGAATCTATTTGCTGGTTTTTTTTCTGCGCAGAAAGTGTTATTAATGGGGTGATTTGGTACATTTTTTAATTTTCTTATTTTTTTAGAGACAACAGTAACAGAATGCAAGATTCCCATCAAATCCACAATTGCCATTTTCTGATGTAAGTTTAAGAATAGGCGAAGATTTTGAGAAAAAGAATGTAGATGTTTCAGGCTTTCGAAAAAAAAGATGTTTCGTTTGGAAAGGACATTGAAAGAGATTAACAACTTTTCACGGAAAGGACCAGTCAAGTTAGTTTATTTTGAGGTTTTGGGGGGGGGGAACAAAACTAACAGGTGAGATTTGAACTTCATTGAAAAATATTGGGTAAAGTTTTTTATTCATAATCACTTTGAAAGTTGTTTATAAATTACTAAAAAAATAATTTATTCAATTATATTTTCAAAAAGTATTTTCTTCTCCACCAATTCTATTTTTGATCCGATTTTTTCACATTTTTTGCTGCCTTTTTGATAATTTTCAACATTATGGAATCTTCGGTGTCCTCCAACAAATTCAGTGGTGCATGTGTTTGCGTTTCTCCAAATTCGTCGACATATTTTTCCGGTTGGCACAGGCATAAATTCTTGACTTTTTTAATTCAGAAATACCTGTCGCAGAAAAAAAATTCTCGCGTGAATCGGGAGGCGGGATTTATTTTGCAAGGTGCGGCACGTTTTTTTTTTCAATGAATAATTATTTCTGATTTTCTGCATTTCGAAATTTAGTGGAGAAAAAAAAAGATGAAATCGAAAAAAAATTATTTAAAAAACGTGGAACGTGTAATCGTGGCAGGGGCCGGAGTCGACAGGAAATAAAGACAGAAAAATATGCCTGTGGGGAATACGTTTCGCCAGGCTGTGAAATTATTTTTTACTCTTTTCTTTCATTCTTACCGAACATTCACGAATTGTTTTCATCATAAAACTTTCATTTCTGTCGCCATCTAATGTTTCACCGAAGTCATTCAATATTTTGCTCGGTTGATAACAAGCCATTTTGTCCTCGTTTTCAGAATTTGATTTGATTGTGCTTGACAAAATTGACGTTGGCAAAACGATGGTTGAGTGATCAAAGGTGTCTTCCAAATTGCGTTGATCAATCTGAAGCAAATCGTTTAGGTTTCTTCACCAAACATTTTTAATTACCATGTGGGTCCAGCCATTGATCTTGTTGTCATCATCAGGTGTTAAATTGACATCGTGATATGATGTTATAAAATCCTTTATAATGAAGTCGATTTTCATTTTGAAATATCTCATAAATTTCAATTTTATGTCGGCTTCAATCGGCTGAAACCACAATCTATTCAAAAACACGGCAAAAGCGGGCTGTATATCAATAGTTGAATCAATATTGTATATTGATGCAAATAAATTCCAGAGCCATATTTGACCAAATTGTTCGATTGGGATATCTGATCTTCTAAATAATGTTTAATTATATTTTTCTAGATGATGGTTAATTTTATAATTTGGAGGAAATTGATGCAATTCAATTTTTCGGTTTGGAGACATGACTTTTTCTCAATAATTTCATTTCTGGATGAAATTCTGAATTTTCTTGTTTTTTTAACAGTGTTAAAAATTTTCATTCAATTTTTTTTAGCTTAAAAGTTGGTTCTGGGGTGGTTTACTAAGCCTAAGCCTGAGAGAAAGTGTCATTTAGGTCCCAACTCATCGACTTCATTTTTACATTTTTGGATTATTCCAAATCTGATACTTTTTTTTGTTGACTGTATACACGAAAATAAAATTTTCAATTTTTTGTCATCTACCCGCTCAAATCGAAATTTTCATTTGGGCGGGTATTTTTGTCAAACAAAAAAAGCTGAAAAAAACCACTCAAAAACGAGAAAAAAAAAACAAAAAATAAAAATGGCGTGCAAAAAAATAAAAGAAAAACAACGATACTCCGCGTGCACGTTGTTTAGTTTATTTTGTTGTTTTTTTCAGTGTAGACGAGAGAGTGTGGGAAATGGAGAGAGGGTTAGAGAGAGAGAGAGAGAGATGTTTTTTATTTGAAAAAAAACTATTGATTGAACGTTTTTTTCTCGAACTGAATCATTTTTCTAGGTTTTTTTCAGCGCAGAAAATGTTATTAAAGGGGCGATTTGGTACATTTTTTAATTTTCTTATTTTTTTAGAGACAACCGTCACAGAATGCAGGGATCCCATCAAATGCACAATTGCCATTTTCTGATGTAAGTTTAAGAATGAGCGAAGATTTTGAGAAAAATAATGTAGATGTTTCAGGCTTTCGAAAATGAAGATGTTTCGTTTGGACAGGACATTCAAAGATATCAACAACTTTTCACGGAAAGGACCAGTCAAGTTAGTTTATTTTGAGGTTTTGGGGGGGGGAACAAAACTAACAGGTGAGATTTGAACTTCATTGAAAAATATTGGGTAAAGTTTTTTAGTCATAATTACTATTGATGTTAAAGGAAAGTTGTTTATAAATAACTATGTTTAAATGATTAGATGAAGCTTTGAATTACACTTGATGGTATAGGATCAGCTTCCAGATTTTATTGAAAAACAAACTATGAAATGTTTCATAAGTAGATTAATTTTTTCATAGTTTTATGCACGCGATTTCCAGTTTGTTTTGAATTTATTTATTTTTCTTTTATAATCTATGTATGTCTTATTAAACTTTACAATTTGTATTCCCAGGCGTCACTTTTTTAAAAGAAATCTTTTTTCTCACGTCAGCTTAGAATTAGCTGCGAAAAATAGGGTTTTCTTCAAAATTTAGAATTTATGAGGATTTTCTGACTGTTTCGCCTAGTGGGGCACCGCCCCTTCAATGAATAATTATTTCTGATTTTTTGCATTTCGAAATTTAGTGAAGAAAAAAAGATAAAATCGAAACAATTATTTAAAAAACGTGAAACGTGTAATCGTGGCAAGGGGCGGAATCGACAGGAAAAAAGTCAGAAATTTATGCCTGTGGGGAATACGTTTCACCAGGCTGTGAAAGAACAAATATCAATAGTTGAACCAATATTGTAAATTGATGCAAATAAATTCCAGAACCATATTTGACCAAATTGTTCGATTGGGATATCTGATCTTCTAAATAATGTTTAATTATATTTTTCTGGATAGTGGTTAATTTTATAATGTGGAGGAAATTGATGCAATTTTGATTCTACATCTAAATAGAAATGTTTTTTCGTGTGAGCCAGCAGCCCAAAAAAGATAGCGAAATTGTTTCAAAATGGGCCCATTCTAGAATAAATTATATTGGTTTCTTATTTATTTTCTATTTATTAAGCTTCTTTATCTTTATTTCAATAATTTTTTATTTTTAATTTTCGAGAAGTGCAAAACTTTAAATTATCTAGGTTTTTGAATTGACTACATTTCTGGAAAAATTCAAAAATTCTACAGTGATCTCATATCTTTTGAGCTACAGTAACCCAAACTGCAAATTTCTCTCATGATCAAAAATCTTGGAATTCTACAGTTTATTTCTTGAACTACAGAACTGCAAAATTTTGATTTTAAAAAAGCGCTTTTGAAAGGTCACGGATTGAATATTTTTGTATTTTTGTGTGGGAAACAAAAAAAAATCGAAAACGAAAAAAAAGTGGGCGGGAATCACAGGCATAAATTCTTGACTTTTTTTTAATTCAGAGATGACTGTCGCAGAAAAAAAAATTCTCGCTTGAATCGGGAGGCGGGATTTATTTTGCAAGGTGCGGCACGTTTTTTTTTCAATGAATAATTATTTCTGATTTTCTGCATTTCGAAATTTAGTGGAGAAAAAAAGATGAAAACGAAAAAATTATTTAAAAAACGTGAAACGTGTAATCGTGGCAGGGGGCGGAGTCGACAGGAAAAAAGACAGAAATTTATGCCTGTGCGGAATACGTTTCGCCAGGCTGTGAAAGAACAAATCCATTTCTCATCGAATTGTTACTGGCAATATCTCAGCTCTTCTAAATAATGTTTAATTATATTTTTCTAGATAGTGGTTAATTTTATAATTTGGAGGAAATTGATGCAATTTTGATTCTACATTTAAATAGAAATGTTTTTAATGTGAGCCAGCAGCTCAAAAAAGATAGCGAAATTGTTTCTAAATGGGCCGATTTTAGAACAAAATAATATAAGAACTCATTAAAATGACATCATTTCCATCTACTCTCAGTGCCACTGAAAAAAAAATCATTTGTCCAATTAAAATGAGTTGAGAAAATCTCATAACTGGTTAATGACTTACTCAGAGATAAAGTTCTGATGATCAAAAATCTTGGAATTCCACAGTAATCTCATATTTTTTAACTACAGTAACCCAAACTGCAAAACTTTCTGATGATCAAAAAATCTTGGAACTTTTTATCAATTCAGAATCTCCAGTGTAAATATGGTCTTTAATCCTTCCTTCAAACCTTATTGGTGAAGAAAAAAGTTATTTAAAAGTTGTACAAGCTGTTTTCTGAAAATTACTTTCGGAACTTGAAAACCCTATGAAAATAAGGATAATTTTGGTTTTTCTATACTTTCTTTTCTCTGGAAATCGGAAACAATATAAGATTTTAATTGTCAGCGATTTTCTGGAAATTGATATTTATATATTTCCAAATCATTATTATTCATGAAGTCTTTTTTTAAAACTCAATATTTTTTGTATTTTTGTGTGGGAAACAAAAAAAAACGAAAATGAAAAAAGTCGGCTGGAATACGTTTCGCCGGGTTGTAATCCAAATCAACAATAAAAAACGATATTACGACATTTTCCTTTTTCTTTAAAACAATACTGCTGAAAAATTGAAAAGTCAATTTGAAAATGAGGTTGTTCACCTTACTTATAAATATAGGACCAAATGATGATCTCGTTCTTCAGCAATATACCATCTGAAGAATCCATTGATTCTGAAAACTTGTCACATCATATTTTCTTTATGGATCTTGTTTTGGAAATAGGGAACATTTTTTTCAACTCACCAATTGCTTTTGATAAAAATATGTAAGCCTTTCTCATAAAAGTTTCGTTGTCCTCTCATCCAATAACTTTTCGCGTTGAATTTTCGAGAGGCGGAAAACTTTAAATAATCTAGGTTTTTTCAAATTGAATACATTTATGGAACAATTTTTAACATTCTACAGTAATCTCATATTTTTTGAACTACAATCAGGGGTGGAGAAACTGGCATCATGTTGCTCTGTCCTTGAACATGGCCTAAATTTGTCCCAACTCGAACATGGCTTGAACCTGTCCTAAAACCATGTTCCCAACCTGTCCTCGTGAAAAATTTTCTGTGTGGAAAAAAAAAATAAAAATGCGATATCCTGTTTTTCTCCGCGTGTTTTTTGTCAACTAAAAAAGAAACTGTCCAGGACAGGACATGTAGCCAGGTTTGGCACGCGAACATGTCATGTCTTATGTCCTTATTATCAAAGCCAACATGAGACCAACATAAGGCCAGGTTCCCCACACCTGAGTCGATATCAGACTCTTTTGTGCCCGCATAAATTTGACTTTTCAAATCATTTTTCTGTTTCACAGAAATGTACAAAAATTCTCATCTAATCATTGAATCCAGAATGCCTCGAATCATGTTATTTTATCTTGAAATGAAGTATTCGTAACAAAAATAATTTATTCAATTATATTTTCAACAAGTATTATCTATATTCTTCTCCACCAATTCTATTTTTCATCCGATTTTTTCACATTTTTGGTGGCCTTTTTGATAATTTTCAACATAATTGAATCCTCGGTGTCCTCCAACGAATTCGGTGGTGCTTGTGTTTGCGTTTCTCCAAATTCGTCGACATATTTTTCCGGTTGGCACAGGCATAAATTCTTGACTTTTTTAATTCAGAAATACCTGTCGCAGAAAAAAAAAATTCTCGCGTGAATCGGGAGGCGGGATTTATTTTGCAAGGTGCGGCACGTTTTTTTTCAAACAATAATTATTTCTGATTTTTTGCATTTCGAAATTTAGTGAAGAAAAAAAGATGAAATCGAAAAATTATTTAAAAACGTGAGACGTGTAATCGTGGCAGGGGGCGGAGTCGACAGGAAAAAAAGTCAGAAATTTATGCCTGTGGGAAATACGTTTCGCCAGGCTGTGAAAGAATTTCTCCTCGTTTTCAGAATTTGATTTGAACGTGCTTGACAATACTGACGTTGGCAAAACGATGGTTGAGTGATCGAATGTCTCTTCAAAATTGCGTTGATCAATCTGAAGCAAATCATTTAGGTTTCTTCACCAAACATTTTTAATTACCATGTGGGTCCAGCCATTGATCTTGTTGTCATCATCAGGTGTTAAATTGACATCGTGATATGATGTTATAAAATCCTTTATAATGAAGTCGATTTTCATTTTGAAATATCTCATAAATTTCAATTTTATGTCGGCTTCAATCGGCTGAAACCACAATCTATTCAAAAACACGGCAAAAGCGGACTGTATATCAATAGTTGAATCAATATTGTATATTGATGCGAATAAATTCCAGAGCCATATTTGACCAAATTGTTCGATTGGGATATCTGATCTTCTAAATAATGTTTAATTATATTTTTCTAGATGGTGGTTAATTTTATAATGTGGAGGAAATTGATACAATTTTGATTCTACATTTAAAAAGAAATGTGTTTTTGTGTGATCCAGCAGCTCAAAAAAGATAGCGAAATTGTTTCAAAAATGTGCACATTTTAGATAATATGAAAAACTCATTAAAATGACATCATTTCCATCCACTCTCAGTGCCACTCAAAAAAAATCATTTGTCCAATTAAAATGAGTTGAGAAAATCTCGTAACTGGTTTAAATACCACGCCCAGGGGTTAACAAATGCACGGCACCAATAATGCGGATATTATTGAATCATGTGTTGAATTTATATTGTAGATTGACGCAAATTGTTTCCAAATCCATTTCTCATCGAATTGTTCCACCGGTATTACCTCAGATCTTCTAAATAATGTTTGATTTTTTTGATGGTGATTAATTTTATAATGTGGAGGTAATTGATACAATTTTGATTCTAATGTTTGTTTTGTTTTTTTGTGTGAGCCAGCAGCTAAAAAAAGATCTTAGATAGCGAAATTGTTTTTAAAATGGGCCCATTCTAGAGTAAATTATATTGGTTTCTTATTTATTTCTATTGATTAAGCTTCTTTATCTTTATTTCAATAATTATTTATTTTTCATTTTCGAGAAGTGGAAAACTTTAAATTATCTAGGTTTTTGAATTGACTACATTTCTGGAAAAATTCAAAAATTCTACAGTGATCTCATATCTTTTGAGCTACAGTAACCCAAACTGCAAATTTCTCTAATGATCAAAAATCTTGGAATTCTACAATATATTTCTTGAACAACTACGAAAAAAAAAGTGGGCGGGAATATCACAGGCATAAATTCTTGACTTTTTTAATTCAGAAATACCTGTCGCAGAAAAAAACAAATTCTCGCTTGAATCGGAAGGCGGGATTTATTTGGCAAGGTGCGGCACGTTTTTTTTTCAATGAATAATTATTTCTGATTTTCTGCATTTCGAAATTTAGTGGAGAAAAAAGATGAAATCGAAAAATTATTTAAAAAACGTGGAACGTGTAATCGTGGCAGGGGGCGGAATCGAAAGGAAAAAAGTCAGAAATTTATGCCTGTGGGGAATACGTTTCGCCAGGCTGTGAAAGAAAAAATGCAAAAAGTGCAATGTTGATATTATGAAATCCTTTATAATGAAGTCGATTTTTATTTTGAAATATCTCATAAATTTCAATTTTATGTCGGCTTCAATCGGCTGAAACCACAATCTATTCAAAAACACGGCAAAAGCGGACTGTATATCAATAGTTGAATCAATATTGTATATTGATGCGAATAAATTCCAGAGCCATATTTGACCAAATTGTTCGATTGGGATATCTGATCTTCTAAATAATGTTTAATTATATTTTTCTAGATGGTGGTTAATTTTATAATTTGGAGGAAATTGATACAATTTTGATTCTAATGTTTGTTTTGTTGCTCGAGAAAGATCTTAGATAGCGAAATTGTTTCTAAAATGGGCCGATTTTAGAACAAAATAATATAAGAACTCATTAGAAAGACACAATTTCCACTTCAAAAAAACCATTATGTCCAATATAAAAATTAGTTGAGGAGATATTATGACTGGGAAATGACTTACTTCGTGATGAAATCCACGAATTTCGATTCCAATTCTTGTGATCTCTTTACAAGTGTTTCAACATTCGATTGTTTTTGTATTGGCTCTACAACAAATTCAAAATTGATCAATCGATTTTTATGCCATTTTATCGATTTCAATGTTATTGATCTTTCAATGAATAATTTTCCATGATCATTAATAACTACATCGAGATGTTTGATCAACTTCAACTTTTTTGCATCTTCTATTTCATTCGATACAGATTAGGCACCATCACATTTTGATAACTGTAAAAATGTGATTGTTTCAAAAAAGTAAGAAAAATCACTTACTGCTCAAATAGCTCATCTGATTCAATATCAGATTCCAAAAATTCATCTAAAAACACAATATCAACGACATTTTGCTTTTTATTTGAAACAATATTGCTGAAAAATTAAAAAGTCTTTTTTCAAAAAAAAATCGGCCCGAGTTTTTCCAAAAAAAAAAATCGGCCCGAGTTTTTTTCAAATTTATAGAAAATTTCGAGGTTTTTTGATAAAAAAATGATTCGTGGCAAAATCAGGAAGGCTTCCTAATTTTGCCATGGATAAAGTCACCAAACTATTTTTCATAAAACATAATTGAATCTTTTTTTTTATTTGCATAATTATAGACATGACCGTCTCCAAACAGAAATTTCGGTTTGGAGACATGACTTTTTCTCAATAATTCCATTTCTGGATGAAATTCTGAATTTTCTTGTTTTTTTTACAGTGTTAAAAATTTTCTTTCAATTTTTTTTAGCTTCAAAGTTGGTTCTGGGTGGCTTACTAAGCCTAAGCCTGAGAGAAAGTGTCATTTAGGTCCCAACTCATCGATTTCATTTTTACATTTTTGGATTATTCCAAATCTGTTACTTTTTTTTGTTGACTGTATACACGAGAATAAAAATTTTTAATTTTTGTCAGCTACCCGCTCAAATCGAAATTTTCATTTGGGCAGGTATTTTTGTCAAACAAAAAAATCGGGCCGATTTTTTTGTTGGAAAAACTCGGGCCGATTTTTTTTTGAAAAAAGCTGAAAAAAAACCACTCAAAAACGAGAAAAAAAACAAAAAATAAAAATGGCGTGCAAAAAAATAAAAGAAAAACAACGATACTCCGCGTGCGCGTTGTTTAGCGTATTTATTTTGTTGTTTTTTTCAGTGTAGACGAGAGAGTGTGGGAAATGGAGAGAGGGTTAGAGAGAGAGAGAGATATATGTTTTTTATTTGAAAAGACATTATTGATTGAACGTTTTTTTTCGAACTGAATCATTTTTCTAGGTTTTTTTCAGCGCAGAAAATGTTATTAATGGGGTGATTTGGTACATTTTTTAATTTTCTTATTTTTTTTAGAGACAACAGTAACAGAATGCAGGGATCCCATAAAATCGACAATTGCCATTTTCTGATGTAAGTTTAAGAATAGGCGAAGATTTTAAGAAAAATAATGTAGATGTTTCAGGATTTCGAAAAAGAAGATGTTTCGTTTGGACAGGACATTCAAAGATATCAACAACTTTTCACGGAAAGGACCAGTCAAGTTAGTTTATTTTGAGGTTTTGGGGGGGGGACAAAATTAACAGGTGAGATTTGAACTTCATTGAAAAATATTGGGTAAAGTTTTTTATTCATAATCATTATTGAAAGTTGTTTATAAATTACTATGTTTGAATAGGATCAGCTTCCAAATTTTATTGAAAAACAAACTATGAAATATTTAATAGGTAGATTAATTTTTTCATAGTTTTATGCACGCGATTTCCAGTTTGTTTTGAATTTATTTATTTTTCTTTTATAATCTATGTCTTATTAAACTTTACAATTTGTATTCCCAGGCGTCACTTTTTTAAAAGAAATCTTTTTTTCTCACGTCAGCTTAGAATTAGCTGCAAAAAATAGGGTTTTCTTCAAAATTTAGAATTTATGAGGATTTTCTGACTGTTTCGCCTAGTGGGGCACCGCCCCTTCAATGAATAATTATTTCTGATTTTTTGCATTTCGAAATTTAGTGAAGAAAAAAAGATGAAATCGAAAAAATTATCTAAAAAACGTGAAACGTGTAATCGAGGCAGGGGGCGGAGTCGACAGGAAAAAAAGTCAGAAATTTATGCCTGTGGGGAATACGTTTCACCAAGCTGTGAAAGAATAATTTTGCCGAGAGAGAGAGTTGAGAGTTTGGCCGAATTGTTCGAGTAACTAATTCATTCTGAAAATTTGTCACATCATATTTTCTTCATGGAAGTTATTTTGGAAACAGGGAACGATTTTTTAACTCACCGATTCTTTTTGTAATAACTAGGGGCTGTTAGCCCCCCGGAGTAACAGTCTTCTAATTTATTTCCGTTTCACTTTTTTCTGTGATTATTGTCAATTTTCTGTCGATAATTGACTTACAATCAAATTCATTGAAAATTTCAATCAAAATTTTAGAAAATTACAAGTTTTTAGATCAAAAAATGACTCGTGGCAAAAAAATCTTTTTTTTTTCGTTGGATGAAAAAAAAATATATATTATTTATATATATATATATATTATATATATTATTTCCCGAGGTGTCCTTCCGCGGAGCAAAAAGAATGAACACGTTTTTATTCAGAAAAAAATCAAGGCCACGTCCCTTATCTGATGAACCATTTAATATTCAGAGAGGATTATTTCAATCATTTCTCAATGTTTCCTTCTTCCAAAATAGTTGATGAGTGTGAGTCGGGGTAGGCGTCAAAGTTTCAAAGTGTCAGTAGTCTAAGTTTCAAATATTATTGAATTAAAAACACGTGAGAAATAAAAAACTAGGTCAAGTGATGTGGATTTAAAAACAGTATAGGTAGCCATGTCGTCAGTCGCGATGCGGTTCTGCGTTGCGTGTTGACCTCGATCTTTTCCATTGAATTTGCCAAATTTTCATTTTTAAAAACGTGTCGCTCACACGCATCGCAACTGACGACATGGCTACCTATACTGTTTTTAAATCCACGTCACATGACCTAGTTTTTTATTTCTCACGTGTTTTTAATTCAATAATACTGAATAATTGTTTCGAATAAAAAAATGATAGTTGTTTTCGATATGAATTCGTAATTCTAATGTGAGAGTTTTGTTACAATTTTAGTTTTGTATAGTTTTGAAGAAAATTTTGAAATTGGAAGCATCAAAATCTGAAATTGGAAGTTTTTCTTTCAGCTGAAACACTTTCCTCTTGCTCCAAAAGATTTGAAAGTTTTTTTTTTAAGAAGTAAGATATTTTCCAAAAATATCATCACACAGCGAGAATACAGTAAAAAACACAAAGAAATTCGGTTTCGCGAACAGGAAAAGTGTATACTTGAATCTTATCTGAAGTTCTATGAAGGATCAACATGTTTCTGAAGTTCATTCGATCCAAAACATGAATAAAAAATTCACTTTTATTGAAAATTTGTCAGTTTGAGTTTCATAGTCAAATATCTGTGGCCTTTTCTCGATGTTTCTCTTACCCTAATCGGAATATGAAAAAAAAGGAAAAGTAAGTAACTCAACCTCAAAAACTGCGATTTCCAGATATTCCAGATGAACAATATTTTAGCTAAATTGATAAGCTTGAATTGTGATGTGTTTTGTGGGTTCTTTTTATCAATAAAAATTAGAAGCTTCTCTAGATTACAATATTTGAAAATCTGCCAGAAACATTGAAATCTTTTTTTTGGATTTCGATGATCAAACTAATTTAAAATAAGATATATCGTCTGAATATAATTAAACCGCTTAGAAAGAAAAATTTGAAGTTTTATAAAAAGCACAATTTATCCCATATTTCTTCTAAAAATTCTTACATTCTTAAGAGTCCTCCCTTTTTTCCAAACAAATTCAAAAAGAAGGGTTTTGGAATGAAAGAGGTTGTTAGAAAACTAAGCTCACAAAAAAATTATGTCAAAATTATGACTTACCTACTTGACTTTTGAAAGGAAAAGTAACTTTTGAAGTTAAGTTTGAGCTACTAAAATATCAATACGCCTCAATTTTTGAAAAATCCACTTACAGTTTGTTTCAAAATTTTCCTTTCGCAAACAAAAAATGGATCTGAATAGAACAAGATGAGTTCAGAAATACTTTTAAAAAAAGTTCAAAAATCGTATTATCAGAAAAAATAAGGGTTGCAAATATGGAAAGGGTTTTTCATACTATGATAGGGTTTTGATTTTTTCGTGACTTAAGCTCAATTTCGAAATTTGCTTTTCAACGTAGTTCAGTTTTTCATGTAAAATTGAAATATTCAACATCTGATTTCTTAATTAATGGTGTGAGGGTTGAGAGATTTGACCGAGGGTCATCTGCCGAGGGTTGTACTTACATATGGACTGGTCGGAAGTGACTTTTCGGAATTTCGGAAGCGCCATTTTCACTTTCGATTTTATTTTCGAAATTTCGGGATTCGACTTTTTTTTCTGAATTTTCGAAGTTTCGGGATTCCGACTTTTTTTCCGAATAATTTTTCGATAGTTCGGAATTCCGACTTTTTCTTTCGGATTTTTTCGGAAGTTCTAATACGCAGGAAAAAGTAAAAAACGACATTTTTAGAAAAGTTATCAGATTGTGAAATTTAGTGCAAATAAATCGATTTTGTTCTTTAGTTAATCAAAGACAACAAAATGCTGTTTACTTTCGATAATTCACTGAAATTTTACCGTTATTTTAGATTCAAAACACAGTTTTCTACATAAACGCGAATATTTCGAAATCCCGAGATTTTCGGAAGTAATTTCGATAAAAAAAGTCGAACGTAGAAAAAGTCGGAGGAGATAAGATGCTAGAAAGTGTTGCGTGTGGACAAAGCAGCCGAAGGCTGCCTGTAACGGTTCGCAGCCGCAGGCTGCGTAACACAAGAATTTTGCCGCCGGAGGCGGCTATAAATTCTTGTTTTAAATTATTTCATAAACTTTTTTTCTTTTGATTTTCGAGAGTTTAAATTATCTGGGTTTTTGAATTGAATACATTTCTGGATGAATTCAGAAATTCTACAGTAATCTCATATTTTTTGAACTACAGTAACCCATCTGCTAAAACATGTTATTTTATCTTGAAATGAAGTATTCGTCAAAAAATGATTTATTCAATTATATTTTCAACAAGTATTATCTATATTCTCCTCCACCAATTCTATTTTTGATCCGATTTTTTTCACATTTTTGGCGGCCTTTTTGATAATTTTCAACATTATTGAATCCTTTGTGTCCTCCAACAAACTCGGTGGTGCTGGTGTTTGCGTTTCTCTAAATTCGTCAACATATTTTTCCGGTTGGCACAGGCATAAATTGTTGACTTTTTTTAATTCAGAAATACCTGTCGCAGAAAAAAAATTCTCGCGTGAATCGGGAGGCGGGATTTATTTTGCAAGGTGCGGCACGTTTTTTTTTTCAATGAATAATTATTTCTGATTTTCTGCATTTCGAAATTTAGTGGAGAAAAAAAAAGATGAAAACGAAAAAATTATTTAAAAAACGTGAAACGTGTAATCGTGGCATGGGGGCAGAGTCGACAGGAAAAAAAGTCAGAAATTTATGCCTGTGGGGAATACGTTTCGCCAGGCTGTGAAAGAACAAATCCAATCCACGAATTTCGATGCTCATCTGGTTCACTATCAGGCAAAATATTCGATTTTAAAAATTGAGCAAAAAACGCAATATTAACGACATTTTGCTTCTCATTTAAAACAATAGTGCTGAAAAATTAAAAGTCAATTTGAAAATGAGGTTGTTCACCTTACTTAAAAATATAGTTCCAAATGATATTCTCGTTTTTAAGCAATAAAACATCTGAAGAATCCATTGATTCTGAAAATTTGTCACATCATATTTTCTTTATGGATCTTGTTTTGGAAATAGGGAACGATTTTTTCAGAAAATATACAAAAAATTTTATTGCGTGACCTTTTAAAAATGTTCCAATCAATTTTACCACGTTCCGTTATTTTTCAATTTATAATAAAATCAAGTTAAAAAATTGTTCGGAAATGAACTCGGCATGCTCGCAACACTTCCAACAAAAATGCCGGGGAGCCCAAAATATATGAGAGAATTAGTGATGTCGGTGATTCTGAAAATTCGTCACATCACATTTTATTTATGAATCTTGTTTTGGAAATAGGAAACGATTTTTTTTAACTCACCGATTGCTTTTGATAAAAATATGTAAGCCTTTCTCATAAAAGCTTCGTTGTCCTCTCATCCAATAACTTTTCGCGTTGAATTTTCGAGCAGCGGAAAACTTTAATTTATCTAGGTTTTTTTAAATTGTATACATTTATGGAACTATTTTTAACATTCTACAGTAATCTCATATTTTTTGAACTACAATCAGGGGGTTTTGCAGTTTGGGTTACTGAGAGTGGATGGAAATGATGTCATTTTAATGAGTTTTTCATATAATTTAATCTAAAATGTGCCCATTTTAAAACAATTTTGCTATCTTTTTTCGAGCTGCTGGCTTACATAAATAACATTTCTATTTAGATTGCATCAATTTCCTCCAAATTATAAAATTAACCACTATCTAGAAATATATAATTAAACATTATTTAGAAGAGCTGATGTAATACCAGTGGAACAATTCGATGAGAAATGGATTTTCTGCATTTCGAAATTTAGTGGAGAAAAAAATATGAAAACGAAAAAATTATTTAAAAAACGTCGTGGCAGAGGGCGGAGTCGACAGGAAAAAAAGACAGAAATGTATGCCTGTGGAGAATACGTTTCACCAGGCTGTGAAAGAAGTTGATAACTCAAATCGATTGATAATTCGATAGTTGAGAGTTTGGCCGAATTGTTCGAGTAACTCATTGAAGCTGAAAATTTGTCACACCATATTTTCTTCATGGAAGTTATTTTGGAAACAGGGAACGATTTTTTAACTCACCGATTGCTTTTGTATGAAATGAAAAATAACGGAACGTGGTATCGGCCCGGGTTTTTCCAAAAAATCGGCCCGAGTTTTCGAGTTTTTCCAAAAAATCGGCCCGAGTTTTCGAGTTTTTCCAAAAAATCGGCCCGAGTTTTCGAGTTTTTCCAAAAAAATCGGCCCGAGTTTTTCCAAAAAATCGGCCCGAGTTTTCGAGTTTTTCCAAAAAAATCGGCCCGAGTTTTCGAGTTTTTCCAAAAAAATCGGCCCGAGTTTTTCCAAAAAATCGGCCCGAGTTTTTTCCAAATTTATAGAAAATTTCAAGTTTTTTTATCAAAAAATGACTCGTGGCAAAATCAGGAAGGCTTCCTAATTTTGGCATGGATGAAGTCATCAAACTATTTTTCATAAAACATAATTGAATCTCTTTTTTTATTTGCATAATTATAGACATGACTGTCTCCAAACAGAAATTTCGGTTTGGAGACATGACTTTTTCTCAATAATTCCATTTCTGGATGAAATTCTGAATTTTCTTGTTTTTTTTACAGTGTTAAAAATTTTCTTTCAATTTTTTTTAGCTTCAAAGTTGGTTCTGGGTGGCTTACTAAGCCTAAGCCTGAGAGAAAGTGTCATTTAGGTATCAACTCATCGATTTCATTTTTACATTTTTGGATTATTCCAAATCTGTTACTTTTTTTGTTGACTGTATACACGAGAATAAAAATTTCAATTTTTGTCAGCTACCCGCTCAAATCGAAATTTTCATTTGGGCAGGTATTTTTGTCAAACAAAAAATATCGGGCCGATTTTTTTTGTTGGAAAAACTCGGGCCGATTTTTTTTTGAAAAAAGCTGAAAAAAACCACTCAAAAACGAGAAAAAAAACAAAAAATAAAAATGGCGTGCAAAAAAATAAAAGAAAAACAACGATACTCCGCGTGCGCGTTGTTTAGCGTGTTTATTTTGTTGTTTTTTTCAGTGTAGACGAGAGAGTGTGGGAAATGGAGAGAGAGTTAGAGAGAGAGAGAGAGATATATGTTTTTTATTTGAAAAGACATTATTGATTGAACGTTTTTTTTCGAACTGAATCATTTTTCTAGGTTTTTTTCAGCGCAGAAAATGTTATTAATGGGGTGATTTGGTACGTTTTTTAATTTTCTTATTATTTTTAGAGACAACAGTAACAGAATGCAAGGATCCCATCAAATCTACAATTGTCATTTTCCGATGTAAGTTTAAGAATAGGCGAAGATTTTGAGAAAAATAATGTAGAAGTTTCAGGATTTCGAAAAAGAAGATGTTTCGTTTGGACAGGACATTCAAAGAAATCAACAACTTTTCACGGAAAGGACCAGTCAAGTTAGTTTATTTTGAGGTTTTGGGGGGGGGACAAAATTAACAGGTGAGATTTGAACTTCATTGAAAAATATTGGGTAAAGTTTTTTATTCATAATCATTATTGAAAGTTGTTTATAAATTACTATGTTTGAATAGGATCAGCTTCCAAATTTTATTGAAAAACAAACTATGAAATATTTAATAGGTAGATTAATTTTTTCATAGTTTTATGCACGCGATTTCCAGTTTGTTTTGAATTTATTTATTTTTCTTTTATAATCTATGTCTTATTAAACTTTACAATTTGTATTCCCAGGCGTCACTTTTTTAAAAGAAATCTTTTTTCTCTCACGTCAGCTTAGAATTAGCTGCAAAAAATAGGGTTTTCTTCAAAATTTAGAATTTATGAGGATTTTCTGACTGTTTCGCCTAGTGGGGCACCGCCCCTTCAATGAATAATTATTTCTGATTTTTTGCATTTCGAAATTTAGTGAAGAAAAAAGATGAAATCGAAAAAATTATCTAAAAAACGTGAAACGTGTAATCGTGTCAGGGGGCGGAGTCGACAGGAAAAAAAGTCAGAAATTTATGCCTGTGGGGAATACGTTTCATCAAGCTGTGAAAGAATAATTTTGCCGAGAGAGAGAGTTGAGAGTTTGGCCGAATTGTTCGAGTAACTAATTCATTCTGAAAATTTGTCACATCATATTTTCTTCATGGAAGTTATTTTGGAAACAGGGAACGATTTTTTAACTCACCGATTCTTTTTGTAATAACTAGGGGCTGTTAGCCCCCGGAGTAACAGTCTTCTAATTTATTTCCGTTTCACTTTTTTCTGTGATTATTGTCAATTTTCTGTCGATAATTGACTTACAATCAAATTCATTGAAAATTTCAATCAAAATTTTAGAAAATTACAAGTTTTTAGATCAAAAAATGACTCGTGGCAAAAAATCTTTTTTTTCGTTGGATGAAAAAAAATAAGGCAGATTTTTTTTTTTTGAAAAAAGCTCGGGCCGATTTTTTTTGAAAAAACTCAGGCCGATTTTTATTGAAAAAACTCGGGCCGATTTTTATTGAAAAAACTCAGGCCGATTTTTTTTTGGAAAAACTCGGGCCGATTTTTTTTTTGAAAAAACTCGGCCCGATTTTTTTTTTGAAAAAACTCGGGCCGATTTTTTTTTTGAAAAAACTCGGCCCGATTTTTATTGAAAAAACTCAGGCCGATTTTTTTTGGAAAAACTCGGGCCGATTTTTTTTTTGAAAAACTCGGGCCGATTTTTTTTGAAAAAACTCGGCCCGATTTTTTTTTTTGAAAAAACTCGGCCCGATTTTTTTTTGAAAAACTCGGGCCGATTTTTATTGAAAAAACTCGGGCCGATTTTTATTGAAAAAACTCAGGCCGATTTTTTTTTGGAAAAACTCGGGCCGATTTTTTTTTTGAAAAACTCGGGCCGATTTTTTTTTTGAAAAAACTCGGCCCGATTTTTTTTTTTGAAAAAACTCGGCCCGATTTTTTTTTTGAAAAAACTCGGCCCGATTTTTTTTTGGAAAAACTCGGGCCGATTTTTTTTTTGAAAAACCCACAATAAATATTTTTGTATTAATCATTATTTAGACATTTTTGACCTATTTAATAAGAAATAGAACAAAAACTTAAATTACGACAAAAACTTAATTTACGTGTGTGGTTAATTTTATAATGTGGAGGAAATTGATGCAATTTTGATTCTACATCTAAATAGAAATGTTTTTTTTTTGTGTGAGCCAGCAGATCGAAAATAATCTTAGATAGCGAAATTGTTTTTAAAATGGGCCCATTCTAGAGTAAATTACATTGGTTTCTTATTTCTTTTCTATTGATTATGCTTCTTTATCTTCAAATATTTCATAAAATTTTTTATTTTTGATTTTCGAGAAGCGGAAAACTTTAAATTATCTAGGTTTTTGAATTGACTACATTTCTGGAAAAATTCGAAAATTCTACAGTGATCTCATATCTTTTGAGCTACAGTAACCCAAACTGCAATATTCTCTAATGATCAAAAATCTTGGAATTCTACAATATATTTCTTGAACTACAGTTGCCTTTTTTAATTCAGAAATACCTGTCGCAGAAAAAAACAAATTCTCGCCTTAATCGGGAGGCGGGATTTATTTTGCAAGGTGCGGCACGTTTTTTTTCAATGAATAATTATTTCTGATTTTTTGCATTTCGAAATTTAGTGAAGAAAAAAAGATGAAATCGAAAAATTATTTAAAAAACGTGAAACGTGTAATCGTGGCAGGGGGCGGAGTCGACAGGAAAAAAAGTCAGAAATTTATGCCTGTGGGGAATACGTTTCGCCAGGCTGTGAAAGAACAAATCCAATCCACGAATTTCGATTCCAATTCTTGTGATCTCTTTACAAGTGTTTCAACATTCGATTGTGTTTGTATTAGCGCTACAACAAATTCAAAATGGATCAATCGATTTTTATGCCATTTTATCGATTTCAATGTTATTGATCTTTCAATGAATAATTTGCCATGATCATTAATAAGTACATTGAGATGTTTGATCAACTTCAACTTTTTTGCATCTTCTATTTCATTCGATACAGATTAGGCACCATCACATTTTGATAACTGTAAAAATGTGATTGTTTCAAAAAATAAGAAAAATCACTCACTGCTCTAACAGCTCATCTGGTTCAATATCAGGCAAAATATTCGATTTTAAAAATTGAGCAAAACCGAAACCTACAAAGGTTTCAGTTTCTATGGGTTTCAAAGCTCGATAAATTCGGAACTCTGGTGGTGCATGTGTTTGCGTTCCTCCAAATTCGTCAACATATTTTTCCGGTTGGCACAGGCATAAATTCTTGACTTTTTTAATTCAGAAATGACTGTCGCAGAAAAAAACAAATTCTCGCTTGAATCGGAAGGCGGGATTTATTTTGCAAGGTGCGGCACGTTTTTTTTCAATGAATAATTATTTCTGATTTTTTGCATTTCGAAATTTAGTGAAGAAAAAAAGATGAAATCGAAAAATTATTTAAAAAACGTGGAACGTGTAATCGTGGCAGAGGACGGAGTCGACAGGAAAAAAAGTCAGAAATTTATGCCTGTGGAGAATACGTTTCGCCAGGCTGTGAAAGAACAAATCCATTTCTCATCGAATTGTTACTGGCAATATCTCAGCTCTTCTAAATAATGTTTAATTATATTTTTCTAGATAGTGGTTAATTTTATAATTTGGAGGAAATTGATGCAATTTTGACTCTACATTTAAATAGAAATGTGTTTTTGTGTGATCCAGCAGCTCAAAAAAGATAGCGAAATTGTTTCAAAAATGGGCACATTTTAGATTATATGAAAAACTCATTAAAATGACATCATTTCCATCCAATCTCAGTGCCACTGAAAAAAAAAATCATTTGTCCAATTAAAATGAGTTGAGAAAATCTCGTAACTGGTTAATGGCTTACTCAGAGATTAAGTTCTGATGATCAAAAAATCTTGGAACTTTTCATCAATTCAGAAATTCCAGTTTAATTATGGTCTTTTATCCTTCCTTTAAACCATATTGGTGAAGAAAAAAGTTATTTAAAAGTTGTACAAGCCGTTTTCTGAAAATTACTCTCGGAACATGAAAACCCTATGAAAATAAGGATAATTTCGGTTTTTCGATGCTTTCTTTTCTCTGGAAATCGGAAACAATATAAGATTTTAATTATCAGCGATTTGCTGGAAATTGATATTTATATACTTCCAAATCATTATTATTCATGAAGTCTTTTTTCAAAACTCAATATTTTTGTATTTTTGTGTGGGAAACAAAAAAAACGAAAATGAAAAAAGTCGGCTGGAATACGTTTCGCCGGGCTGTAATCCAAATCAACAATAAAAAACGATGATCTCGTTTTTAAGCAATAAAATATTTATAATTTTGAAGCATCTATTGATTCTGAAAATTCGTCACATCACATTTTATTTGTGAATCTTGTTTTGGAAACAGGAAACGATTTTTTAACTCACCGATTGCTTTTGATAAAAATATGTAAGCCTTTCTCATAAAAGTTTCGTTGTCCTCTCATCCAATAACTTTTCGCGTTGAATTTTCGAGCAGCGGAAAACTTTAATTTATCTAGGTTTTTTTCAAATTGAATACATTTATGGAACAATTTTTAACATTCTACAGTAATCTCATATTTTTTTGAACTACAATCAGGGGTGGGGAAACTGTCATGGCATCGTGCTGTTCTGTCCATGAACATGGCCTAAATTTGTCCCAGCTCGAACATGGCTTGAACCTGTCCTAAAACCATGTTCCCAACCTGTCCTCGTGAAAAATTTTCTGCGTGGAAAAAAAAATAAAAATGCGATATTCTGTTTTTTCCGCGTGTTTTTTCTCAACTAGAAAAGAACTTGTTCAGGACAGGACATGTAGCCAGGTTTGGCACGCGAACATGTCATGTCTTATGTCCTTATTATCAAAGCCAACATGAGACCAACATAAGGCCAGGTTCCCCACACCTGAGTCGATATCAGACACTTTTGTGCCCGCATAAATTTGACCGTTCAAATCATTTTTTCTGTTTCACAGAAATGTACAAAAATTCTCATCTAATCATTGAATCCAGAATGCCTCGAATCATGTTATTTTATCTTGAAATGAAGTATTCGTAACAAAAATAATTTATTCAATTATATTTCAACAAGTTCTTCTCGACAAATTCTATTTTTCATCCGATTTTTTCACATTTTTTGCGGCCTTTTTGATAATTTTCAACATAATTGAATCTTCGGTGTCCTCCAACGAATTCGGTGGTGCTTGTGTTTGCGTTTCTCCAAATTCGTCAACATATTTTTCCGGTTGGAAATCATCGCCCTGTTTTTTGCCAAGCGACCTTGTTGACATTTCGAATTGTTTTCGACATAAAACTTTCGCTTCCGTCTTCATCTAGTGTCTCCCCAAACTCATTCAAAATTCTTCTCGGTTGATAACACGCAATTTTCTCCGCGTTTTCAGAATTTGATTTCAACGTGCTTGACAAAATTGATTTTGGCAAAACGATGGTTGAGTGATCGAAGGTCTCTTCAAAATTGCGTTTTTCAGTCTGAAGCAAATCATTTAGGTTTCTTCACCAAACATTTTTAATTACCATGTGGGTCCAGCCAATTATCACGTTTTTTTTTCAAACAATAATTATTTCTGATTTTTTGCATTTCGAAATTTAGTGAAGAAAAAAAGATGAAATCGAAATATTATTTAAAAAACGTGGAACGTGTAATCGTGGCAGAGGGCGGAGTCGACAGGAAAAAAGTCAGAAATTTATGCCTGTGGGGAATACGTTTCATTGACATTCATTGACGTTATATTGACATCGTGATATGATATTATGAAATCTTTTATAATGAAGTCGAATTTAATTTTGAAATATCTCAAAAATTTCAATTTTATGTCGACTTCAATCGGCTGAAACCACAATTTATGAACAAAAACGGCAAAAGCGGGCTGTATATCATCAGTTGAATCAATATTGTATATTGATGCGAATAAATTCCAGAGCCATATTTGACCAAATTGTTCGATTGGGATATCTGATCTTCTAAATAATGTTCAATTATATTTTTCTAGATAGTGGTTAATTTTATAATTTGGAGGAAATTGATACAATTTTGATTCTACATTTAGATAGAAATGTTTTTAATGTGAGCCAGCAGCTCAAAAAAGATAGCGAAATTGTTTCTAAAATGGGCACATTTTCGAACAAAATAATATAAGAACTCATTAGAAAGACACAATTTCCACTTCAAAAAAACCATTGTGTCCAATATAAAAATTAGTTGAGGATATATTATGACTGGGAAATGACTTACTTCGTGATGAAATCCACGAATTTCGATTCCAATTCTTGTGCTCTCTTTACAAGTGTTTCAACATTCGATTGTTTTTGTATTGGCTCTACAACAAATTCAAAATTGATCAATCGATTTTTATGCCATTTGATAGATCTCAATTTTATTGATCTTTCAATGAATAATTTGCCATTATCATTAATAAGTACATCGAGATGTTTGATCAACTTCAACTTTTTTGCATCTTCTATTTCACTTCGATACAGATTAGGCACCATCACATTTTGATAACTGTAAAAATGTGATTGTTTCAAAAAAATAAGAAAAATCACTCACTGCTCAAACAGCTCATCTGGTTCAATATCAGGCAAAATATTCGATTTTAAAAATTGAGCAAAAAACGCAACATCAACGACATTTTGCTTTTTATTTGAAACAATACTGCTGAAAAATTAAAAGTCAATTTGAAAATGAGGTTGTTCACCTTACTTAAAAATATAGTTCCAAATGATATTCTCGTTCTTCAGCAATATACCATCTGAAGAATCCATTGATTCTGAAAACTTATCACATCATATTTTCTTTATGGATCTTGTTTTGGAAATAGGGAACGATTTATTATAACTCACCGACATTACTAATTCTCTCATATATTTCGGGCTCCCCGGCATTTTTGTTGGAAGTGTGGCGAGCATGCCGAGTTCATTTCCGAACAATTTTTTAACTTGATTGTTAAAATAATTGAATACTTTTTATTATAAATTGAAAAATAACGGGACGTGGTAAAATGAATTGGAACATTTTTGAAAGGTCACGCAATAAATATTTTTGTATTAATCATTATTTAGACATTTTTGACCTAATTAATAAGAAATAGAACAAAAACTTAAATTACGTGTTTTTTGTTGATTTCTTTTTTTTTCTATTGATTATGTTTCTTTATCTTAAATTATTTCATAAACTTTCTTCTTTTGATTTTCGAGAATTTAAATTATTTGGGATTTTGAATTTAATACATTTCTGGAAGAATTCCGAAATTCTACAGTAATCTCATATTTTTTGAACTACAGTAACCCATCTGCTAAAACATGTTATTTTATCTTGAAATGAAGTATTCGTCAAAAAATAATTTTATATTTTCAACAAGTACTATCTATATTCTTCTCCACCAATTCTATTTTTCATCCGATTTTTTCACATTTTTGGCGGCCTTTTTGATAATTTTCAACATAATTGAATCTTCGGTGTCCTCCAACAAATTCAGTGGTGCTTGTGTTTGCGTTTCTCCAAATTCGTCGACATATTTTTCCGGTTGGCACAGGCATAAATTGTTGACTTTTTTAAATTCAGAAATACCTGTCGCAGAAAAAAAAATTCTCGCGTGAATCAAGAGGCGGGATTTATTTTGCAAGGTGCGGCACGTTTTTTTTCAAACAATAATTATTTCTGATTTTTTGCATTTCGAAATTTAGTGGAGAAAAAAAAAGATGAAAACGAAAAAATTATTTAAAAAACGTGAAACGTGTAATCGTGGCAGAGGGCGGAGCCGACAGGAAATAAAGTCAGAAATTTATGCCTGTGGAGAATACGTTTCGCCAGGCTGTGAAAGAATAAATCCATTTCGCCAATAGTACTATGATTGTAAGTAGAGTCCTGAAAATATATGTGTTGGTTATTTTGAGTTTCTTCCCAAACATTTTAAATTAACTCTTTTTTATTCCATGTAACGAGCAAATTAATATCATCAATTGTCAAATTCACTTCGTGCAATGTTGATAAGTCGGCCCGAGTTTTTCAAAAAATCGGCCCGAGTTTTTCAAAAAAATCGGCCCGAGTTTTTCAAAAAAAATCGGCCCGAGTTTTTCAAAAAAATCGGCCCGCGTTTTTTCAAAAAAAAAATCGGCCCGAGTTTTTCAAAAAAATCGGCCCGAGTTTTTTCCAAAAAAATCGGCCCGCGTTTTTTCAAAAAAAAATCGGCCCGAGTTTTTCAAAAAAATCGGCCCGAGTTTTTCAAAAAAATCGGCCCGAGTTTTTCAAAAAAATCGGCCCGAGTTCTTTCAAAAAAAAAATCGGCCCGAGTTTTTCAAAAAAAATCGGCCCGAGTTTTTCAAAAAAATCGGCCCGAGTTTTTTCAAAAAAAAAATCGGCAAAAAAAAATAAAAATAAAAATAATTGAATCTCTTTTTTTATTTGCATAATTATAGACATGACTGTCTCCAAACAGAAATTTCGGTTTGGAGACATGACTTTTTCTCAATAATTCCATTTCTGGATGAAATTCTGAATTTTCTTGTTTTTTTTACAGTGTTAAAAATTTTCTTTCAATTTTTTTAGCTTCAAAGTTGGTTCTGGGTTGCTTACTAAGCCTAAGCCTGAGAGGAAGTGTCATTTAGGTCCCAACTCATTGACTTCATTTTTACATTTTTGGATTATTCCAAATCTGTTACTTTTTTTTCTTGACTGTATACACGAGAATAAAATTTCATTTTTTGTCAGCTACCCGCTCAAATCGAAATTTTCATTTGGGCGGGTATTTTTGTCAAACAAAAAAAAACTCATTGATAATCGGCCCGAGTTTTTCCAAAAAAATCGGCTCGAGTTTTTCCACAAAAATCGGCCCGAGTTTTTTCAAAAAAGTTTTTCCAAAAAAAAATCGGGCCGATTTTTTTTTCCGAAAAATTGATCGATGACTTCATCTATGGCAAAATTAGGAAGCCTTCCTGATTTTGCCACGAGTCATTTTTGATCAAAAAACTTGAAATTTTCTATAAATTTGTTTTCAACAGAAAATTGAAAATAATCACAGAAAAAATTGAAACTGAAAAAAATGAGAAGACTGTTACGCCTGGGGGCTAACAGCCCCTAGTCTACCATTCAATAAAATCGCACAGTGTACAATTCGTATAGAAATTTTTTTTCCGGATTTTTTTGACAACGGCGGATATTATTTTCCGAAAAAAGCTGAAAAAAACCACTCAAAACCCAGAAAAAAAGCAAAAAATAAAAATGGCGTGCAAAAAAATAAAAGAAAAACAACGATACTCCGCGTGCGCGTTGTTTAGCGTGTTTATTTTGTTGTTTTTTTCAGTGTAGACGAGAGAGTGTGGGAAATGGAGAGAGAGTTAGAGAGAGAGAGAGAGATATATGTTTTTTATTTGAAAAGAAACTATTGATTGAACGTTTTTTTCTCGAACTGAATCATTTTTCTAGGTTTTTTTCAGCGCAGAAAATGTTATTAATGGGGTGATTTGGTACATTTTTCAATTTTCTTATTTTTTTAGAGACAACCGTCACAGAATGCAGGGATCTCATCAAATCGACAATTGCCATTTTCTGATGTAAGTTTAAGAATAGGCGAAGATTTTGAGAAAAAGAATGTAGATGTTTCAGGCTTTCGAAAAAGAAGATGTTTCGTTTGTACAGCACATTCAAAGAAATCAACAACTTTTCACGGAAAGGACCAGTCAAGTTAGTTTATTTTGAGGTTTGGGGGGGGAGAAGCAAAACTAACAGGTGAGATTTGAGCCTCATTGAAAAATATTGGGTGAAGTTTTTTATTCATAATCACTATTGATGTTAAAGGAAAATTGTTTATAAATTACTATGTTTAAATGATTAGATGAAGCTTTGAATTACACTTGATGGTATAAGATCAGCTTCCAGATTTTATTGAAAAACAAACTATGAAACATTTCATAGGTAGATTAATTTTTTCATAGTTTTATGCACGCGATTTCCAGTTTGTTTTGAATTTATTTATTTTTCTTTTATAATCTATGTCTTATTAAACTTTACAATTTGTATTCCCAGGCGTCACTTTTTTAAAAGAAATCTTTTTTCTCACGTCAGCTTAGAATTAGCTGCAAAAAATAGGGTTTTCTTCAAAATTTAGAATTTATGAGGATTTTCTGACTGTTTCGCCTAGTGGGGCACCGCCCCTTCAATGAATAATTATTTCTGATTTTTTGCATTTCGAAATTTAGTGAAGAAAAAAAGATGAAATCGAAAAAATTATCTAAAAAACGTGAAACGTGTAATCGTGTCAGGGGGCGGAGTCGACAGGAAAAAAAGTCAGAAATTTATGCCTGTGGGGAATACGTT